CTTTAAATAACTATAAATACCCCCCTTTCTTTCAAAGATAAAAAAGGGATTCACTTTTAATTAGAATAAAAAAGCCTACAAGCAATATTAATCTTATTCTTCCTGTTTTTTTATCTTTTATTTTTCCGTGTCAGACAAACCATTTTCCCACACAAACCCTCTTAAACGTCCAGAACAGTTATATACCTTGTACACTCTACCTACTCTCTTTTTTTTCCCTGTAATAAACATTTATTGGGTTTGACGTGAAAGAGACAGTGAAAGATAAGTAGATGTTTGTCGGGGACGATGGACTGGACTAATTTAATGATAAGCTGAGAAAACAATGGGGTGTTTGTCTTTATCGGAATATGATATTGGGAATCACATTATTAATTGCTGTTCATGACTCTCTTTAATCTGTCACTGAAGTATCAGCAAATGAGAAATTTTCACTTAAAAATTCGGGCCAATCAATATAATAAAGTATTAATTGACTTAAGACCATGTAATTCTAATTCCCATGTTTTAGAAGATAAAATCAAGCCAATGTCTATTCTTTACCAGATAGAATCTCCAATATGTTTTGATATGAAAAGCGTTCTCCCTTTTGCGATTACCTTCTCTCCGTAACTTTAAAAAAGGATTAATAGGGATTCATTTCTTTATTCTGTTTTTTATTTATTTTTAATATCTCAAAACATCACAGTAAATGGAAACATATTGTAGTTCAGTTTTTTAGGGTCGAAGGATCGAAACATCAACGTAATTTGCTTTGCCTTGAGTGGATAGAAGATTTGCAAACAGAGAACTTTCTTCTTTTGTACAAACTGCTGTCATAGCATACACATAATTTGGTAGTTGGAAGGAAACTTGTGTTTAAACTGTCTTGATGAGCGAAAAAATTTCAGAGAATTTCATTATAGGTAACAAAAAAAGTTTTATGATGCGACCTATTGTAGTTTTAATGTTTGCTTGGTGAGTTGCAGCTTGTTTGATTCCAATTTTTTTTTGACAAATAATACAGAATTTTTACGGCACCATAAGTCTCGTTTGTTTGTTCGAAGTTGATATAGCATCCATACTGCTTACAGATGTAATCTTGCACCGTTCTATAACCAACCTCATTTCACAAAACATTGATAGCTATAAAAAAACAAGAACTAATGATATCCTTGATGGTTTTTGTCGTATCTGCTCACAGATCCCACCCGAAATATTGTTTGATTACTTAATTACACTGTACTAAAATTGGGCTAATATAATTATAAACAAAATGAATGATCATCGATCCCACATATTTGACTCCTCGAATACCAAAGAAAAAAACATCAAGGTAGTCTTAAAGTTCGTTTAGTATTTCCTAATGTTAATATTGTCAATGAAGACACGGTCTTTCACGTTCTTCCTTCTTTTATTTTTGACTGCGCGTTTCTGCTCTTATTTATTCAGTTTCTACTATTTCAGGCATTTTTTTTACGTCACTGCCCTGTCAAAAACCTGCAACAAAGCAGGAAAATGAAAAACATTTGGCCTTTCTGTTGTGAAATATTTATTTATCTACTTGTAGACTGCCCGTATATGATGAGACTGACAGAATTTATATTATTCTTAAGTTATCGGACAAAAAGCTTTTCATGAAATATACTTTTATACGCAAACCAAATGCGATGTGAAGGCAATAAGCCTCAGTAGTAGTCTATTCTTTTCCTCTTCCTTTTGTTTGACGACATGGAATAGATATGACTAGCACAAGCAAACATAACTAAAACTTACTGACTGATTCAATAAAGCGGCTCCACAAATGAGTAGCTTCGAACAATACGATACCGCAAAGGAAGTCCCGAGTGTTCCGGAAATAAACCTGGGGCCCATCAGCAGACAATTATTAATGAGGGCGTTCAAAGTTGAAAGAACAACTCTACCAGATAAAAGCTTTTTAGACGTGACATTTTATTAATAGTTCTACAGGACAATGACGAGGAAGTTTTTTTTTTTTTTAAAAAAAAAAAAAAAAAAAAAAAAAAAAACTGTTTTGTACCGTAGACAAAAAATTTGGGATTGTTATGGTCATTTTTGCTCCGAAGAATATGTACGATCAATATCAAGCAGCATGTTTCGCAAATACAGTTTTGGGGATGGTAGTATTGGTCTGATCTTGCGAAGTATGTATATCTATCATAAATTCAAACTTTCGATTGAGAATGTAGGCTTGTACTACTTGTTATTACATTACAGTCAATAACAAGACCATGCAACTATCAGCAGTTAAAAAAAGAAGAAGTGGGCCGAGTAGATTGGATTGTGTAGCATTAATCGACACTTTTTTTTTTTGGGCCAAGAGATGATTTTGGTCACGACATGCCTTATTGATGAACTGCAATGAAAGGGATGTTCGTACGAAGTATGACTCCGTCAGTTGAAAGGATAAATACGATTACCATGGGATAAAAGTTGGCTCAAAAGATTTATTTAAATAGCTGAAGTTGTAATAAGCATACATTCCAGTTAGTCACCTTAATGTAATCAAGGTGACTTTTTTAATTATACCTGCACCTTAAAAAACTGCAATAGAACCACGAGTTCGCCAGTTCTAACAGGCTTATGCGGCGTATTCATCTAGTATGTATGTAATCGCTTGTACTGGCTGGCGCCAGTAAAAGTAATAGAATAAAATAAAGATGGAGTTTAGGATAAAAGTTCCTAAAAAGTGAGCGCCAGACTATGTAGTTGTCAACTAAAAAAAGATAAAGTACATTATATAAGGATGTAATTTATACGACGAAATCATGTAAGAGTGGTATTCGAAGGAGTATAGCTAACAATGCTGATGTACATAAGGAAATTACAAACAATTATAATAAATACAAAATCATAAAGACTTTAAGTATTATGACTTATATCAGATTCAAGTAAAGAACAAACTAATGCTTTTATTGATATTTTTGAGGTCCTTGTATAAGAAAAAGATGAAAGAAATAATGGATTTCTAAGGCCAAAAAGATTAATAGCAGGGAAAAGGTAGAGTAACAGCATCCATTGCAAGAGATCGTAAGGAAACGCTTAAGATTTATAAGACATTTGATTGTTACCACTTATTACTCAAGAATACGATCAAGCTAAATGCAATCATTAAATATTTATCAAATATGAACATCCGGGAAGCTGCGCTGACCTCAAGAAAGACACCGTATCACACGGTCAACATATTGGTTCATTGAGATCGAGAAATAGAGGATTCAAACTACTGCCTGTTTCATATTTTTGGCTTCGCCTCGCGAATTACATATTTAAGCTACTAGAGAAATGGGCTGGTAGTTTTAAAACAGAAAACCTCAACACGAAAAAGCCACGGGAGGTTTCATTTTGTCATGGAAGTGGTTAAGATAGCATTGACATCATTAAAAAATTCGGGCTGGCTGTGATCGATGAAAGAAAGTTTTTACCAAATAGCTGTGGTTGTTATCTTTCACTCGATACCGCATACGTTTCTCACAATGATGATCATAATAATAGTGATAATGATAATGACGATCATGATAATAATAACGATAGTTTTGTTATTTCTCCTGATAAAAATTAATTGGGCTCTGTATCTGTTGTATCAGATGTTAGACCTAGGTCTGTTACTTTTAATGTCACTTTTGATGGGGATGAGATGAGCTACATGTCTATTAAATTTATAACGGAGTATAAGTCTACTACTTCTAGTGTCACTCCTATTCTTTTGATCAGAAATATCTCACCAATTGGGTGATATGGTGGATTCCGTGCAGATCAAGATGGAAGTTGACCTCAAGTCGACCACTTGTTTAATTTTATCAATTTTACCCTTTCTACTGCTGCAGAAAAATAGGACTATACCAAGCGACATCGCTCTTTCCCTGTCTTTATATTATGTAAAATAAACAAAAAATCCCCTCTTCTTTTTTTATGCACTATACAAAATGTATTTTATGCATGCATTTGTTTAATAAAGCATTCGAGACTGTATTTGAATTGCTGGGATAGTTTCTTTTTTTTTTTTAAAAAAAAGAAAAAGTAGCATCCGATTTCCGGGAGACTTATCACGAGCAAGAGCGACTTGGTAAACTACTGCTTCTGGATAATTACGTCCAAGGGTTAGTAGCTTCGCATTTTATATTCAGCATTTGGGATTATCTGGGTTTGCCGTTTGTAAGACAGGCGATCTTTTTTTTCCGTATTAGTTTGCAACGACTGTAATCACTTTCAGAATGGCTTCGAGTCGTTAATAATTAATAATTCAAGGTAGTTTTGCATATTTTATGGTGACGTCTAACAACATGTTTCACATTTCGCAAGCAATGCGAAATGGGGTCATGGTTTAGGCCTCCCAGTTTTTTCTTTTTTTCTTTCAAAGATCTCAGAAGGTGCCTCACCTAAACGTGGTTCCGCACCTTGGTGAGCGAGTAAGAAGTTAACAGGTAATTTATTTTTTGTATGTGACAGTGAGTTTATTTATTGAAGTAAAAAAAAGGGGAAACCGAATTATTTGGTTTAGCAACCTTTGTCTTCATAAACAATTTGTGACCTTCAAGAACAACCGGCGTTTGGACAACCGGCTTGGGAACAGGGCCATTTAGAGGTCTACTTAATAGCTTTCGGTTAACCTAAGAAAGAACGCTTGTGATCGAGAACTTTCCTTGGTCTATCTGCTGGTTTTACCAACGGGGTTAGACTTTGGAGTTAAGGCCGTAGACATATTTTCAGGTCCATCAAACCCCATTGACACCGGTTCTACAGCTATGGCGTATTTTGAAGCGGAACAAACACACGGGATTAACTTAAAGGACGTTGATGTTTACAGGTAAAAGATTTTTTGTTTTTTAAATCATTTTGGTATATCTGATAAACTAATCAGAGTTTCCACCTTATTTCGTCCAGCCAGCTAAAATACTTGTCGGCATGAGCAGACAAAGAGCATGGTAGATGTGACGGGCGATGTTCACGTTACACATTGCATGAACATTTGAATACTTTTTTTTTTTGAAAACTTGTTTTTTTTCTTATTCATACATTAGCAAAATAAAAATGGCTAAATTGAACAAGACAGAAACTCCAGTAGAAAATAAATACTGGAGTTTAATCACTTCAGATCCGGGTATGTTTCTATCCTTTTCCTTTTCCTTTTTTTTTTTACAAAGGACACGCAGTACACTCGATTGAAAAAAAATAAAATAAATTGTGTCTGATTTAAATAAAATTAGATGTATTCAACGATATGATCAAAGAATACGGAGTAAAGAATACCAAAGCCGAGGAGCTTTTTACTCTGGACTTTGAGCACTTGGAAGAAGATGGGTAAAGAAAAAGAAAAAAAAAAGAAAATACTTTTTAAATATTTCTTATATTCGCCTTCCCTGTTTAACTCTAATATCTACTTTGTTTAGACCTGTGCACGGTCTTATTGTGATCACAGAGTTCACTGAGGAGCCGTTGGAGGAGGGTTATGATGTTGTAGACCCTGACGAAGAAAACATCATCTTTACGTCTCAGGTAGGTTTCCCCTTTTTTTTTACAGCCGCTGCCATCCCGTGTGATGAGAGAACTGACAGCTTTCTTTCAGGTTGTCACTAACGCTTGTGGAACCTTGGCAATTGTTGGCGTATTATTAAATGCTGATATTGAAGAGAAGGGACAAATACTTCATAGCTTTGAAGAATTTACCAATGGCTTCTCGCCTATTGTAAGTGTTGTAAAGAGATTGACTACGTATAGCATACTAACTCGTATTAGAACCGCGGTCTTTGTTTGGGAGGTTCTGATGAGATCAGAAGGATTCATAACGCGTACGCACCGTAAGTGGAAGACGCTAGTGTTGAAACTTTATCATTTTTTAAAACTTCTTTTTTTAAAATTATGTAGTGCCCATCAAATTGCAGACAATTTACTCTCTGCCAGTAACCAAGGTGTCTCAAGTGGAAAGGAGAACCAGGACGTGACTGATGACTATGAAATTGTTTATCACTATGTCACTTACATCTATAAGAATGGTTTCCTTTGGAAGATGGATGGTCTTGACAACAGACCAAAGAAGATTTGTAAGTGTGATAAGGGTGATTGGCTTGAGATGGCTCGACCTCATGTCGAAAAGAGAATGTTTGATAGCTCGTAAGTTTTTTTTTTTTGTGGTTAGTTTTATTTGATCATTGATCCATTGCGTAGCAATGCTTCCATCATCGCCATTAAGCATGATCCATACCCAAAATTAGTAGCGGAGAACGAAATATTGAAGTCGAATATTAAAAAGATGGATAAAGTTGTGAACAATGCCACACCTGTGAAGAAGACGACGGTGAAGAAACATATTCAACAATTCGAGAAGGAAGCCGATGGAAGTGTTGAGAGCTACTCGACCTTAAAAACGATTTGGTCCGAGCTTGAGCATTTCACAGACGATATTACCGAAAAGGCGATCCACGAACTTGACCGTATCCGAGAACACCAGACACAACTGGAAAGTAGAGTGAAGTTTGACAAGGAAAGCCGAAAGGAATCATGTGAGAATGTGTGCCGTCAAAAATTCGATTATTTCCCTTTTCTCGAAGCGATAGTTAAGAAAGCATACAAGCGTAATTTAATTGAAGACGATGAAAAGCCTAAATCACACAAGAAACAAAAGACGGCAAAGAACACGACAAAATCAAAAGCCAAATAATTCTCTGTTGCATTCACATCAAAAGCACCTCTTTCTGTCCATACCTGTCTCAAATTAATTGTTCATACCAACTGTAAATACATAATAAAATCATTAGCTTAAGTCCAGTCCATTTTATTTTTTAATTGGGTCCTAATCTTACTTACAAATATGCTACTGAGACAATATAAAGCAAAATCAGACAACTCAACATCTTTAGTTTGATATTTGGTTTTGACAGTAAAGTTTCATATAGTTGAATTAATAAGGTGTCCTTTCCGATAGCAGCCGTCTTTGATTACTTGAATGACTTGGTACCTTTTGCTGTTGAATTACTTGTGTTCTGTCACTGAAAAAGCTCCCAAAAACTGTCAATTTTTTTTTTAAAGCAACGATTTGGGGACAAATGCCATTTTGGGGGTGCCAAAAAAAAAATGGATTAGTAATCCATAGAAACATGAAAATGAAGATATGTCTCTATGACTAGAATAGAATGCTGGTACACAGGACGAAAAGAGGGATTTTGTGTCAGTGAACGACATATGTATAACAGAAGCCGTTCATAGAGCCTTTTGACAATATCAACTTTTGACATTTTAAGCTTCCGACCCGAAGCCAAGAACTAGCAATGTTATTTAGGAAGTATAAATAGTGGCATTTTAACGATCTTGATCAAGTGTATCTCTTTTTTTTTTTTTTTTTTATTGTTACAGCTTAATTATTTTCCTTATCAAGTATGAAAACCAGCGCTATTTTCAGTCCTATCCAACTTGGTGATAATCTACTCCGGCACCGTGTTGTCATGGCTCCTTTGACTCGATTCCGAGCCTCTGCAGATGCAGTACCTAGTGACCTTCAGGTGGAATATTACCAGCAGCGATGCAGTAAAGGAGGTCTGATAATTGCCGAAGCTACTTTTATCGATCGGTTGGCTGGTGGGCTTCCGCATGTTCCTGGGATATATAACCAAGCTCAAATCGAAGGATGGCAAAAGGTGACGACTGCTGTTCATGCAAAGGAAGGGATTATTTTTCTTCAGTTGTGGCATCTGGGACGAACAGGAAGCAAGGAGCTGAATCCGGATGGAGAACAAACTGTGTCTGCTTCTAGTATTGCGTCTGATGGTAAAACATTTCTTGGTGCAGGGTTTGAAACTCCCCGGGCTCTAGAGACTGAAGAAATTGGTGCTATTGTGGAGCAGTATCGTTCGGCAGCAATCAATGCGATAGAAGCTGGGTTTGATGGTGTTGAGATTCATGGTGGAAGTGGCTATTTGCTTGACCAATTCATCAATAGCAATAGTAATGTACGCACGGATATCTATGGTGGGTCGATCGAAAATCGATGCCGAATTGTTTTTGATGTTTTGGATGCTATTGTAGGCGCTATTGGTGCTGAACGTGTTGCTATCCGATTCTCTCCTGGTGGTGATTTTCAAGACATGCATGATGCCACTCCTGTTGAAACCTGGAGCTATCTTACAAGCGAGATACAAAAAAGATATCCCAAGCTTGGCTACCTTCATTTCATTGAAGTATGCGCCAATTTCTTTATCGATACGAACGTACCGGCGGCTGACTCGATTGAGCCCTACCGAAAGATCTGGAAGGGACCTCTTATTATGGCGAGTGGATTCTCAACAACGCATCAACATGCTATTGAGCTTGCTGAGAGAACTGGTAATTTAATCGCTTTTGGTCGAGCATTTATTGCGAATCCTGATCTTCCTGAACGTCTTTCCAATGGTTGGGAACTTAAAAAACATGATAGAGACACTTTTTATAGCCGTGGTTCGAAAGGATATACTGATTATTCTTGTTACAAAGATGCAAACTAAGCATTTGTGTATTGTATAAAGCAGCTATCGGAATTTTATAGGCCAAACCCAAAATTAATAAATATCTTATAAAAATCGTATTACGTAATTTAGTTTTTTCGGTTTTTAGTATAAATGCAACCCAGGGCGACATATCTGGATGAAGTAAGGTTTACTCTGCTGGTCATTAAAATACCGTAAAGATCAAGATGTGGTATTTTTGTGCTCACGCATCTTGATTTACAATCTATAGTATGATGGGGGGATTTGATAGAATACGTAAAATGTAATTTATCAAATAGGAAAACAACAGCAGTTTAATTTTTTACGGGTATGAATCACGGGATGTTGTCAATGTCCGTGTTACAATAGCCCATCCGTGCTTTTGGTGTAGGATACATACAAGTGGGAAGGTCAAGGTGAAGAAGGGCCACCCTTGAAGGGAAAAAATAATTTTGTTTTACAAACAATAGATGTTGTTTGTCGGATAAAAAAAAAGGTCTATCAAAAGAAGATCGGTTGAAACAGGGGACGAGATCGTCAGTCTCTCTCAATCCTTATTTTTTCATATGGTAAAATGACGTATATGCTGTACAACGTTTCCTGTACGACGGCGGTGATTTAATAAAGAAGAAAAAATGCAACAATGACCGTGTATGCAAATGATGATTGTGAAATGAAGTGAGGCAAAAGAGGATAAGGAGCAAGAAGTTTTGGTAATCACACTGGATATATATTTTTTAGAATGCATAATTAACAAAAAAAAAAGTTCTAAAGAAGAAAAAAAGAATTGGATATAAAAAAAGGTGTTTCAATGTCAACATGACATCATGGCTACTTTTTTTTTCCCCAGTTTGTTTAAATAAGACCATTATTTTTTTATTTTATACATTTCTTTTTTTTTCTTCTTGTTAAATATATATAAAAAAAAAGGTAAGATCTAAGAAGGTTATTTTCATTTGGGTGATTTTAAACAAGAACTCTCCCTGTAGTCTTTTTCTTTCTTTCGTATACTCTCTCTCTCTCAAATGTAAGAAATTTCTATTTTTGTCGTGGCCATGGGAAATATTAATTTATGCATACCTTTTTCCTTTATTAGATAAAACTACATATCAATGGATTCCAGTGAATTTCCTAGTCTTACTGATTCCAGAAGCAACAGTATGGATAAATCCACCTTGGGCTCTTCTTGGGCTGAGGTAGCACAACCACATCCTCATGAAGAACACGCGTCATCCGCTAACGTTGTGGAAAATAAGGTCGAGAGTAATCTCGAGGCATCCAACAAGAAGGTAGATCACCGTCCAGGCGTGTGGGAAACAACTAAAGAAAATGCTACATTTGCTGATATTGCCGGTCACGAGAAAAAACAAGCGGATGAATTCCCTACACCTCAAGAAAGTCTTGCTAAAATCGATATTCCTCCTGCTCCTGCTTCAGGTGGTGTAGGTGATTTATTACATAGTCCTTCATATGTTCCCGAACAAGGTAAGATAAGAAGAGGGTTTAAAAATGCGGGTTTATTGACTCTTCTTTGAACAGATCCATTATTACCACCTAACCCAGATAGATCATTTGCTGCTGTTACCTCACACGAAGGTTTCCCCAAACCAGAACATGATGCATCTCCCATCTCTGAGGAACCTCCCTTATCTTCCCTTCCTGATGTAAAGGATATGTTGGAAAAACCCTCAGGTAAAGTTTTTTATTTGTTATAAAAGAAAAAAAGATCCAGTTATTAACCTGTTTATTCTGATTAAATCAGTTCATATTCCTCCTGTTCCCAAGGCAAAGAGTTTTGCCAAAGTAGCGGCCACAGAAATCCCACCGGAGAAGAGACCTTTGAGTGAGCGCGCTATCAACTTTCTTAAGAACCAGCCTTCAGAGAAGGATGAACCCTTGGCCATGACGGATGAAAATTTCCCCACGTTAGGACAATCGAATTTAATGGCCGAACATCGCGCTTCCATTGAAGAAGAAAGAGCCGTGTATTCTGAAATTTCGAGATTCAATCAACTCAACGAAGATTTAGATCCCAAATGTATGTTGATGTGTTTGTGTATGTATATATTTTTAGGTTCCGTTTATTCACATAATTTAATATAGTTGATCCTACTTTACCCAAATCATTTGCTGATATCACTGGTTCCAACCTGGAGAATGCTCCTCCTTCAGCCATTCCTCATGTTGATCAACATCCAGTGTATGATGAAGAGCTCGTGTATCAACAAAATGAAAAGAGAGAAGAGAGAAAGACACATCATCTTGAACAAGGAAACAATGAACAATTGATCAAGGAAGAAAACGGTAAGAAAAAGCTAATAAAAGCACTCTCTTTTGGGGGAAAAAGTATACTTATCTAGTAAATAGAAATGGATGTGACACCTGCAAAGATTTTGAAGGAAGAGTTAAAGAAGGAACATAAGACCACCGAAAAGATTGAAACAAAACAAATCAACGCTGAAAAGTCTGAAGCCCAACCCGAAAAAGCAAAGGACAATGTGGTAAGAAACAGAGGCATGGGACAAAAGAGCAGAGGTGTTACGGATGATGCAAAGGACGAAGACGCTTTATCTGTTCGTTTGCACACATTTGATAAGAGTCGCACTGGCGTCATTACAATTTTTGATACAATCACAGGTAAGATTTTTTTTTATCAGTATTGACTAGGTAGCTAAAACCCCTTTTATAGCATTATACAGATTGGGCCACTCATGGTTAACCATTGTTCCCGGAGCTTACTTGATGCATCTCCGATTATCTCCCTTAACTTCACCTCATCGTTTCCCATTCATCTATCGATCGATTTCTGACTTGATTTTACTTCCAATTTACACACGTAATTTGAAGGGGGCATTAGCATACAAGACACCCATGTTACATCAAGGCAAGGACAAAGTCAACACTATGGTGGAAAAATATGGACACAAGTCTGGGTCTTCCAAGGGTCTTGGTTATTGGGATGGACTTAGAGCGATGCGTAGTTTAGAGCAAAACTCGTTAAGGTGGTGGCAAATCGGTCTTTGGGCTGTTCATCGGGTCCAATGGTCTTTAGCGTACACCATGTTACATGAGCCCAAGTCTAATATCGTCACTGCTCCAACCCTCATCGCATTATCTTCAGACTGAAGAAAAAATCACCTTTTTCAATCCGCACCGTATATATTCATAATAAACTAATCATATTTAAAAATCACCAATCAATCATTTTTTTTTTGAGTGCGCAGAGTTGGTATAGAGACAATTGTGTGTTATAGCGGGGAAGCCAAACACTAATAGTCTCTTTGATTATGTAGTTTGAGATATGTGGGTTAAGAATTATCTAAACTGTCTTTATTACATGTACGACAAAATTGTAATGACGATATCTATTATTGTCTCGACCGTTGCCGAGGCATTAAAAAGGTTGGAATTTCTTAGAGATTCGAAGCAACCCCACCCCCTCTTTGATAGATATAAGCTTTGCTGTTGAAAGGTCAGGTTGTCGATAACAATTACTTCTAGGTTCTCATATTGCTTAATGAATTGCATAACTTCTTTTTCATATGTTACTCAGAAGGAAATTTCTTAAATCACTTCGCGTATAAGATTTGTGTGCTTCATTAGCAATGCCGAAATCTCCTTTGTTTCCATTTGTCTAGATTTATATTTGCCTTCCTTAAGAGTATTAAATGGCAAGCGAACGCTGAATTGGTAGCTAGCATGTACTGATAGTAGAGCATATTTTATAAAAAACAAAAATCGATCGTCCTATATGAAGATGATTTGACATGTCAATCGACGTACACATTTTCTAGGACTTATGTGTAGACCACCAAGGACAGCCAATTCGGACGTAGCCATGATGTAAGATTTGTGTTTTTGGCTGTCCTTTAGTGACCTGGGAAACAAGAAAACACAATCACAAACATAGAGTTATTACAAATAAATGTATATACAATGTACCTTTTATGATAACTCCATCATTAGTCTTTTTGCCCGGGAATCTTAAAGCTACAACACATACAGACAATTTTGTCATATGCTGGTTGTATCCAGTCCAAGAGGATAAGCTATATTGACCTCTTGGTGTCAGTCGACATTACGACTACGTGCACCCCTGGTGGTCCCAAAGAGGCCACTGAGAAAAAAAAAATACGGAGGTCTAAACATTTCCGGTTCTCGAGTTCAATTCATCTTTTTAAACATCTTTTTACCACTAATTATGCCACCTAGATTTGGAGGAGCACCTAAATGTCCACGTTGTGAGAAATGTATGTATTTTACTTTTAGTTATAGGTGATAAGACTAACGCCATTGAAATAGCTGTCTATATGGCAGAACAGGTAAGGAAATACCCGAAAACTTATTTTTTACAATGGACGAAATAACTAGAAAAATTAGGTTATTGGACCAGGAGGACCTTGGCATAATTACTGTTTGACTTGCAAAGTAAGGAGACTTTCTTTTCAACAGTTCATTTTTCTCAAAGTTTTACTAAATAGAACTCTCTCTCTTTTTTTTTATAGGAATGTAATAAACGTTTAGACTCGACCACGTTGACAGAAAAGGACAATGAGGTAAAAAGAGAATGGTGGCTAAAAGTGAGAGATAGAGCTAATTGAAAATCGGGGGAAAAAAAAAGGCATATTGTAGAACTTGCTATACTCGTAAATGGGGACCGAAAGGATATGGGTTCGGTAAGGCCATTGTGCGATAGACAAAAAGGGGATAAGGACTAAAAGAGACCCTTCTTTTTTATTGTATGTAGCTGGAGGTGCGGCATTTTTAAGCACAGAGGACAAAATGCCAAGTGAAATATTAGAAGAAAAGGATTTAATCGGACACCAAAGCTCTGCAAGAGATCAAGAGCCCAGTTTACCTTTGCATCAAGAGGTATCGTCACCTAATGTACCTCAGCAACAGGAGCAGCAGCGGAAAGCACCACCTGCTTTACCTGCACGTCGAGAAGTACCTTTACCACCTCGTCAGATATCCCCTCCTTTACCTTCTCGTCAAGAAAGCTTCAGAGAAGAAGCATCCTCGACAAGTGCTAGTAGTCCAGCAGCAGCAGCAGCAGCAAACCATATACCTAGTATAAAGAAACCCGGGTATATAAGTCAACACACTGGCTATGTGCCACGCAAACTCAACTTTCAATCACAGAACGATATTTGCACTGGGTGTAAGAAGGCCGTGTATGCTGCAGAATTAGTATTGGGTGCGGGTAATAAGTATCATAAGGCCTGTTTGAAATGCTGTGATTGTGGTAAACGTTTGGATTCGACCAACATGGTGGATCGCGATTTTGATCTTTATTGCAGAGGATGCTATTCGAAGTCGTTTGGGCCTAAAGGATATGGGTATAATAATTTGTTATCCACGGAGGGTGCTACACGCTAAAAAGACATAGTAGTAGTAGTAGATAGTAGCTCCTAGTAGTAGTGGCAGTGGTAGTGCCCGATGAGTTTAAAAATAAATAAATTGCCAGCTTTTTTTGTGTGTATCGAAGACTATATTGTGTGATCTAAATTGAGATAAAAAATGTAACGAGCTTTGGACTTATAATTGTGTGTAATTCATAAAATTAAGGGTCCTTTCTAAATCTATCTAGATTGTGTTTCTTGCACTGCAAAGGTCATTATGATGACGCTTGGGTTTTAAAAAAAAAGTAAACTACACACGGTTTTTCTATTCTACCTGTAGCAATCGTGTATAAGTAAGACACATAAACAATGCTTCACTTAATCATACATCTAGACCCTATTATCTGCTTTATATTGATAAAACATTATCTATTTTTATTTCACACGCAAGGAGTTACGCGTCTGTCTAGAACTTTTTTTTTTGATAATAATGATTATTTCTCACGTCATTTTTGCAGTCGTGTGATCCCTTTTGGACCCAATACCTTGGGACAACTTCCCTTTTTAAAAATGAGATGCATACATTTTGTATTTTCTCGTCACGCTTTAAAAGGTTACAATACCCGCGATCATAATGATGCATTTTACGTGCGGGGTATTTTTATGCTCCGCCCAGACGAACTAGTAATTTTATGACGGGATGGTGATGATGATATGATGTAAAAAAAAAAGTTATATGTCTTGTACTTTGGATAAATTTTTTTATATAAATAGAGGAGCATAATTTCTGAATTTTTTTTTTTTATTATCATTATAACCATATAATAATACAAATAACAAATATGTCTGCCCCTTCAAGAACCGATGCCAAGAAAGATCAATTCGTAGGAAACGTCAAGGATAACGTAGGAGGAGCTGTTGGCAATGAAAGCCTTCAAAGCAAGGGAAAAACACAAAACGCTGCTGGTGAGACTCAAGAGACTGCTGCCAATGTGACTGGATATGTCCAAGGAGCTGCTGACCAAGTAGGTGGAGCTGTCAAGGGAGCTGTTAACTCTCTCACTGGTAATACCACTGGCGAAGCTGGAAACAAGGCCCAAGAAAAGAAGGGTGAAGCTCAAAAGGCCTTCAATTCTTAAATTTAATACCCTTTTCCTTAATATTGTTAAATATGTTAAATAAAAATACCAATTTTGTGCCCTATTTCTATATAAATGACGTACATCATGTTACTTTTTTGATGTGCCGCATGACTTTAGTTTTGTTGATTGGGCTGTCTCTGATAAGCATATGAAGCTTAATTCTTTCTTTTTTTTTTTCTTTTTTTTTATTTATTATTTATTGACAATATGGAACACGCAACTAGTAGTGAGTGTCGTACTATTGTTATGGAGTATCTGCTTCATTACAGTTACAAAAATTCGGCAAAGGCGCTTTTAAAAGACTTGAATCAATTCGACGATGGGGGTAATTGAAAATGACACGTAAATGTAAGGCTGTGAACATTGAAATGTATCTATCTCTTTTTTTTTTGTACAGACTCGAGAGAAAAGTCGAAAAGTAAGTTACCAGTAGTGTGTTTGAAGAGTAATTTTTTTTTTTTTTTTTTTTTTTTTTTTTTGACATGCTGGGTGAATTTAGGTATACTATTTGAGAATGATATCGATTGGGGTAAAGTGGATGCACGAAAAGGTAAAATACAAGTAAAGGGTAGAAAACGACAAGATCTAAATTGAGAATGTAGAGATTCACCAGGCCATTGTACAAGGTGAGATTGATGTTGCGTTTAGGTTGCTAGAAGTGCATTTTCCGGTATTGCTGCAGTCGGTGTATGAAGGGAAAACGAGTGGGGCTCATTTTACGCTACACAAGTTGCGGTGTCAAGAATTTGTGGAAAAGGTGAAAAAGGAAGGGGAAATGAAGGCGATAGCATTTGCACAGGCATATTTGCAGCCTTCTCATGCAGTGTATCGTGAGATCACGGACGCTGTGACCTGTTTATTAGCATACACTGATTATGATCAGAACCCAAAGACGCGAGATATTACAGGTCAAGGGAGAAGAGATACGATAGCAAATCAAGTGAATGAAATGATTTTAGGTAACAAAGAATATACAAGAAAAAAAAAAAAAGGCTGCTAACACATAAAAAGAATCACAACAGTTCTCATCGCAAACGATCATGGAAAAACTGTGGCGGCATAAGACAGTAGTACGAAACGAATTGAATCATCAAATCCAGTTGGAGTTATCCGAACATGAAAAAGAATTTGACATGCTTGAAAAAGAGATTGCGCAATAAGTGAGGACTTTTTTCTTTCGATATTGAATGATTTTTTATTAAAACATCAAAAAATCATCTATACGTTGTAATGAAAAAAAAGAAAGAGAGAACTAATTTCTTATGTGGATAAAAGAAAAAAAAAAACTTTTTTTTTTTCAGTGGCCAAAAAGAGGGAGCTCATTTAGATCTCTTTGACAACAAGAGCTATTAAAAAAGTTAGTGACGGAACACAATGACTCACAAAAGAACACTTACCAGGAGGGAGAGATTGTCTAAGCTTGAGGGCCTTGGACTTATCCTTGACAACCAAGGTGTAAAGATACTTGGAGCATCTGACCTTGAACTTGACACAGTCAGAGTTCTTCTTGATGCGGGCAGATTGGGCATCCTTTCTGCGGGCAATTTCAAGGAACTGCTTGATATCCTTAATTTGCTGAGGCTGTTTAAATTAAAAGAGAGTCAGTAAAAGTCATTGTAATGTTGTTGCTGCCACCATGTATACATCTTTTTTTTTAAAAAAAGAAGAGCGAAATGTTTCTACTGTGTGCGTTTCTACAATGTCATGCTGTAAAAATGAATCTTTCCTAGAAGCATCCATCCATCTGTAATCTACGTTGTCAATCGATCCATCTCTCTTTCTCTCTCTCTTATGTATACATGGTTGCTTTCTATGTTGTGAAATTCGACTCTTTACCATTTCGGACGTTTATAGATGTTCGGGAAGAGGGAGACTTATAATTGATCATGGTCGTTCTATTTTGTTCGGAGCGGCCACCCGCACCCCCCCTCCTCTCACCCAATTCGATCAGCGCCCCCAACATAACCAGAAAAAAAAATGTGACTTTTAGTTTTTCTTTTTTATTAAGAGTGGCATTTTTAATGCAGTTCGAATAGATGGTATCTTGAACGCTATATTCTGAATAACACTGTACCAAGCAGAAGAAAGCCAGTAAACCCCAATGGCCATGGGAGCATTGGCAGCAATAGGAACAAAGGCAACTGAGAGCACTCGAAATGTATTTGTCATGATCTTTTGCATACGCGTTTGTTGTCCTCGAGAAGCCCAAGCATTCAGCTTTTGATGAAAGAGTTAGTTTAAAAAGTTTAATATTAAAAAAAAAAGGGGGGTTGCACTTATTTGCTTTACCTCTACATTTAAAAGATTACCAGCGCCAATCATGACAGGTATCACCATGGTTGGATCCACTGCTGTCAAATCCACAAACCAAGCCAGCCCACCTTCAGATAACCCCGCCACCGGTAACTCAGCGGTTTGACCGTACCATGGCAACGGATAGGCCGACATATGTCTCAGGGTGAGAGACATGGAAACAAATAAAGGGATTTGAACCCAAGGCAATGTGAGCAGTTTCCAACGAGAGCAACCATAATGTTTGTAAATGGATTTGACCTTGGCACTGTATTGTTTTTGTAATTCGACTTGATACTTTTTATAAGACCAGCCTGCTAATTTGGATTCGGTAGCGACTTGGGATTTTAACGTCTCGGCCCAACTTTGGACCATGGGAGCGAGATTGATCATGGTGCCCATGCTACGCTGTTGATAAATGGCGATGGGGAGTGTGAGTGAGGTTCGTAAGAGAAGTGTGCCGGTGACGATGGTAGCCCACCATGGTAACCCCGCTTGATGAATAGTGTTTAAAATACTTTCGTTCATGGCCAGAATGGAAGGTAGTGTACTTTCAGTGGTTTCTTGAGGAGGTAATGTGACAGCTGCTGCTGCTGCTCGTAGTGACAACGGAAGGGGTGGCTGTTGATCGTCTTTGTGTCGTGGTAATGAGGCAGAGATGCAAGGTCTTGACCTTTGGATTATATTTGGTGAACGTCTTGTCCATGATGCAATGGAACGATGCATTTTTAAATCATGGATGAAAAAAAAAGATGATTTTTGTTTTTGTAGTTTTATTTAAACAGTGTACAGGGTTTAGCGGTACTTTAAGTAGGTAGTAATAATAGGGCAAAGCTTTTTCAAGATGGAGTAATGGTTTTAATGACCTTTGCAGGATTACCCACAGCGACCGAGTTTGGAGGAATATCTTTGGTGACAACGGCTCCAGCGCCAATGACAGCGCCGGCACCGATGGTAACGCCAGGACAGACAATGACGCCGCCGCCCAACCAGACGGCATCACCTATGGTAACGTCCAAGCCGATTTCCTTGCCAGTGATTCTTTCGGTAGGGTCGAGAGGATGGTTGACGGCGTAGATTTGTACGGCGGGACCGATGAAGACGTTGTTACCGATACGAATCTTGCCACAATCCAAAAAGACGCAATTGTAGTTCATTTCGACGCCTTTACCGAAAAAGATATTGGAACCGTAATCACATTGAAAGGTGATATTGACAAAATTATCGCGGTGCCAGGAACCGAATAATTCCTCAGCGATAGGATGACGGTCTGCACTTTGAGGTGGGATAGCGTTAAATTGGTCTAATAAGGATCGGCAGCGCGATCTATCTTTAGCTAACTCGGGATCGTTGGCAATGTAATATTCATTGTTCATCAATTTTTGCTTTTCTGTCTTTTCGCTAGCCATTGTTATTATTTGTGAGAGAAAACTGTAAATAGAAGAAATTTAGAAAAAAAAAAAAAAAAAGTAATACAAATTGATAAGGTTTCCCACGATCTCTTTTCTTTAAAAAAATAGTGTGTTCAACATCTTTAGCGCTGTTTTCTTGTAGTCCGATGATGACCAATACTTTTTAGTTAACTCACGAGACGGCAGCTAACAATACTGTCCCAGAAGGGATGACAGACGATATTTTTAATGGTTGAAGGAGATTAGAGCTTTACTGCAGAGTCAAATAGGCAAAAAAAAAAAAAAAAACTGGGAAGCACCTTACACTTCCAGCAATGCTTTTTAGAAGCCCTTCACCTTTCGAACTGGGAGAGCTTAAAGCGTGAGCGATTTAGACGATGACCTTGTAATTAAAGCTTTCATTTTCTCTTTCCCTACAACTGAGTTTAAATATAACAAATGGTGGGTCGTTCTCGGTCCTTAAATTCTGTATAATCCTGGATGGGAGGAATACATACATATTCAAATCAATCACTTTATACTGGCCATTTACAGATGTTTGTAATAAAGTAAAGGCTGAAACATAAATTGTACGCTTAAATAATCGTTTATTCTAACCTGACATAAACCTGCTCTTGTTTATCAGTCTATAAATAAAACTCGTTCGAACATATCTTTATGAAGAAAATTGTTCCACTTTAAACTTAGTGTGAAGAGGCTTTGGAATTCGATGGCACGCACGAAGTACCAGTCGCTGTCGTGTGCATATTTGCAAAATGGTAAAAGTCTACGATTACTTATGATCATCTATTCTTACTAAATAATTTTAGTTTTTCATTGTACAAACAAATTGGCGAGGTAAGCTCTTTCATAGTGTTCGAACTTTTCGAGCTTGCACCACTTTTTTTGGGTTCGAGCGAGCTCGCTCGAAGCTCGCTCGGCTAAAATGTCGATATTAATCACTTTAAAGTTAAGGTCCTTGAAAGTCTACAGATGGCATTTCCCCTTGATTTTAATCTTTTCTTCCCTTTACCATTTTTTTTTATTTATGCTCTAATAATGAGGACTTAGTTATCTGAATTTGGTGTTAAGGCTGGTGAAAAAAAAAACTTTTCTTTTTCTTTTTCCAACTTCTATTTCAATAAATAACAATTTTATTATCATAATTTTCTGTAATTAACATCACTTTGACGTGCACTTTGTGTAATAAAAAGGGCGAGCGAGTTCGAGCTATCGTATTCGCAACCGAGCCGAGCTTAAGAAACTTCGAGCGAGCACGAGCTGCAAAAAAACGCATCCGAGCGAGCTTCGACTGGAACACGATCGAAGCTCGCTCGAGAGTTTCGATCTTCATTCCGAACACTAGTTCAGACCTAATAAAGAAAATAAAAATACGTCAATAAAAGAACATGATAAAAATAATCGTATCATGTGTGCTAATTACCCATCATGAAGAAACCAATTGTATACAGTTGGTTGATTTTATGAGGGTTGACCTCGACAAGACCGCAAAGCATATCTCTTATTGTCCTTGGTAACTTTACCATACCATCATCAAGGTATTTATCATCGATTACCAACACATCATGCTTACCGACTTCGGTACACCCAACTTCATCAGTGATTTTTTTAAAAAGGATGTCTACCTTTGCACCTATTACTTTTCTTTCTCTTCTTTCTCTGAACTCCAGAGATCTACCTTCGTATCTGCCAAGAGCAGAAGAGACACTCGTACGCTCACCCAGCTTGGCTTTTACCTCGCTTTTTTTGAAAGCTCGATATACAGATGTCCAAAGAGTATGGAGCAAATCACCCTCGGAAAAATCATTTGTATTCAACAGTTCGCCTTCTTCAAATAAACCAGCAGCATTCATAATGGATTCTTTTATCCAGCGCTTCTCAAAAGAATCACTAAACTTCAGCTTTTGATCCGAAGCAAATTCGAAGTAATCTGCAGCTGTTTTTAAGGTGCTGTTATCATAAAGATTGATACAATTTTGTATCTCGTCTTGTAAATCAGGAAGTTCGACGGAGTTGTAGGTTCTTACTTCATCAGTTTCTTCGGGAGAAAAATAATTGGGCCAGATGGGATCTGCCAAGTCAACAATATAAGACAGACAGGGATGCTCGAAAGTACTATCGTTAATTGCTTGCATTACGACGTCTTCTATAAATCTTCCACTTTTCAACCTCCATTTCTCCTCAACAGATAAATTCTCTAAATAAGTAATTGCACTTTTTTTATCATCAGCACTGATAGATTTGTTATGTACTGATTTCGTGCTTTTTGTACTTGCTGATATAGAAGACGTCTTTCTTTTGGCCTTCAATTCGTCGCAGATCAAGGTTTGCCAGTTATTAGTGTCACCGGAATCATTTTTTATACGAAAGTTTAACCTTGAAGCCACTTCCTTAAACCGATGTTTCCATGTCCCTTTGAACATGTTCAGATGCGTGCCACAGTAACTGTTGATTATTGTCTCCTTTTCCGCGATCAGGAACAGATTCCAATCTACTTCATTATCTTCAATGACAGTTACTTGGAGAGCAATTGTTATGGCTATATTAGTGTTTGGAATGAAGATCGAAACTCCCCAGCGAGCTTCGATCGTGTTCCAGTCGAAGCTCGCTCGAATGCGTTTTTTTTTTTTGCAGCTCGAGCTCGCTCGAAGTTTCTTAAGCTCGGCTCGGTTGCGAATACGATAGCTCGAACTCGCTCGCCCTTTTTATTACACAAAGTGCACGTCAAAGTGATGTTAATTACAGAAAGTTATGATAATAAAATTGTTGTTTATTGAAATAGAAGTTGGAAAAAGAAAAAAAAAAAAAAAACTTTTTTTTTCACCAGCCTAAACACCAAATTTGGATACTTAAATCAAACTATTACTGCATCTATAATTATATTCATGCCTGACACCACAATTTTATCATCATCTCCTCAACCTCATTATTTTGCCCCTTATTTTGCTGATTGTCTTTAGAAAACACCAATGTAGTATAGCTGTAATAGTTAGTCTCTACCCTTAGCTGCATATTGACATATATTTTCTGTGATGTGCGACACTCTTTTCTAAAAAAAACGTACAACGCAATTATTTTATTTAGCGTATCTACATTTTGAATCCGTGCGCAGAATTTTAGTTACAAATACGGGGGGAAGGGTATAACCCAAAGAAGAAAAAAGAACCTTCTTGGAACTCATGATTCGATAAACTAGTATAGAACCTATTGTCATATCAGAGGGGATCGCTAAGTCTGATAAGTAAAAAATCGAATTCATTGGTTGGTTGGTTGGTTGGGGGTGCGGGCAACATGCATAAAAATAACAAAATGATTACGTAGATGTAGCACTATTTTTTAATGATCACTGATAAAAAGGGTTATGGGATTGGGGGAATAGAGAAGTTTTGTGTTCTACTATTTATACACACGTAGAAATAACTGTTGTGATCCCAATAGTGTGTACAGTAGGTAATTCATTATTTATAAAAGTTCAGAATGAACTCATCGATTTCACACCATCAGACAATCGAACAATGGGAAAGGCCGGAAAAAGGTTTATTTATGGGACAAACAGAAAGAACTCCGTCTCACAGTTCGGGTAGTACAATCGTTTACAAAAAAACACGGAATTACTGATATTGTGATGTTTGCCGGAACAGTAAGACAAAAAAAAAAAAAAGCCTCCGCTTTTATTTTAATATAAAATGAGCCTCCAAGCAACAAAAAAAAAAAGGTTTTTTTATCATTTCTTGACAAAAAAAAAATATGCTTCAACCTACGCACCCTTCTCTTTTGGAATTATTAAATCACTTTGTGAAATCTTTTAAACCCGAAACCAAATCATGTTCTCCCAATATCGATCTTGCCAATGCCAAACTCTCCCCCTTTGAAAAAACCTATGTATCCTTTCCCGAATTTGTAGATATCTCACAGCATCATGTTGAAAACGAAAACGAGAGAAGACCATTGTATTCTTCAAACTCATCATGGCAACAACAAACGCTTTCCTGTTAAATATTTTAATCTTCTTTTTACATAATTTTTTTACATATACATAGTTTTCCTTCCCCTCACCACCTTATACATAGTTTCCCTCTCTCTCTCTCTCTCTCTCTTTATACCAAATAAATAATAACAATAAAAAAAAAATATTTAACAGCGCACTTTCTCTCCCCCGCTTAGACCACCTCCTCTCAATGGCTCTAACCGAATACAGTTTGTTTATCTTTTTTTTTTTTTTTTCAATCACCATGACAAATTTTTCTTGGGCTGAACAACAAACACTCGTATCAAGTAGTTTTGTCTTGGTCATCATACTAACCCTTGTATAGATGATGAGGGAACTGACGTGCTGTCATTTTCACGTTTGCCCATGCCCACCTGTGTGTTTTTCCGCTGACTTTAAAAGAGAGAACAAACACCCATATCTCCCACTGTGTGCCTTACTTGATAGTTTTCCCCAGCGGAATTACTTTACCATTCAATCATTCTCGCCTCCGTTTTATTTCTTTTCTATTGACTAAAAGTGAGAAAAAAAAAAGGATAGTTTCAAGGATAATTCGTACCTCCTGAGAAAAATAGTTCATTTTACTCAACTAGCTAGGCCATAAAAGGTACTCACTTTATCAATAGTTTACTTTAGGGAACATGATCAATAATTGAGGTAATTATGCTTTATCAATTCATCATTAAATCCCTTTGTTTATCAAGTAAAAATAAGACTTTAATTCATGCCTTCAGGCCAATTAATTGGGCAACTTTCATGCTAAAAAAAAAAAAAAAAAAAAAAAAAAAAAAAAAAAAAAAAAAAACTTATTGCAGTAACGTCAAAAGGGCCAATTTTGACGTAGCGTAAATCTAATTAAAGAGAAAACCTGTTCAAAAAAAAAAAAATGCTTGTATATAAAAAAAGATGATAGGGGGAAATTCTTTCATATAAGCAACTAAACTATTTCTCTCCACCTGTATCTTACATGATGTAATTATTAGACTTTAATTTAGTGGGAAAAAAAAATATTGCATGTGATGAATGCTGTTGTAAACTTGTAGATTCGCTTTTGTTCTTTTTTTTTTTTCTCCATTCCTCACGGAATAAAACGTGCCGTTTACCTTATACAGCTTATTGACAAAGAAGGTGTAAGCTTTAGCCGAACAATGGACTTACTATGCCCCCGTCTATCAATCGATGCGAAAAAGTCAGAAAGCAATTGTTAAAGTCTTGACACTATTAAAAATAGTGTAACATGATCCTTATTATAAAGTGTTTGTTAACAATAATCAAAAGATGGATTTAGGAATACAGGTGATAGAAGTGACAAGCCATTACTAGAAAAACCAGACTTTTATTATGAATAGTTAATCAGCGTAAAAAAAAAAAGGGGGGGGGGAGTTAAAGTAAGATGCATCGCTAGCTTGTGATTTTATATCGTTCATTTGATTGTGTGAGCCAAGGGCTTTAACTCAACAGCCTGGAAGACGATTGGATTGAGGGTTTAAAGTGGTCTTCATGAGAGTAAACCTGCTTTTGATACACGAAAGACCATGAACCGCTAATTCCTGCACATGGGATGACACTTTGCAATTCCCACTTTCTACGTCATATTCCGTTCAGACTTGACACCCAATTAATTTCATAAAATACCAGTTGGCCTCTTTTATCTAGGTCCCCGAATACAAGCGTATAATTGAAAGAAGATAGAAGCATCTTCTTGAGTTCTAAAATGCAGAAAAGCACAGCTAATAAATACAGTACACAGAATGGAATAATTAACTCAATGTATTTAGCTTAAATTTGTGGATAGGCTAAATACCAATCGTGTGCTTGTTTTTGAAACGTGAATCCCATCCCGTAGAATTGGGGGGGTAGTTTTGTTTCAATAAGTTGAAGATGTAATCATCTTTCCCTGCGTAAGCGCTCGCCGCCAAGGATCACCACTTGGAACTTTTGGGGTGATTGTACTTTGGTGTGCTAGAGTGAGGCAATTTAAATAAACCAGACCCCTAATATTGGAGTCCCGGTTGAGCGCTTTAGACGGGCTGTCTCCATACGATTTTACTAAATAGAGTTTTATTTTTATTTTATGTATCTGTCAAAATTGTTTTTCGCTTACCTCCATAGGAGTTACTTATTCCCCAGACAGCGCCTATACCTACGCCCCATTTTTTCAAGGTCTTGAGTCAATTCATATTTTTATTTTATTGATTGGTCCCGAATTATTAAGTAAAAAATTTCGCATTTGCTGATACTTTAGTGACAGATTTAAAGAGAGTCATAAACAACCATTCATAATCTGATTACCAATATACAATTCTGTAACAAGATAATACTGGAAATATGAGAGTACCACTCGAATATTATAATTTAACCATATTGAAGGGGGGTCATTCTATACGATATTTATTATAGGAAATACGGACAGTTTGCAATGATGGGTAGGAGAACAAAGTGTCAAACTAAATCGTGTTGCCTGTCATTTTGGTGGATGTCAATGACGGAGTTTAAACTACATGACAAACCAGCCCAACCTCCCCCTTGCCCTGGGGGGTGACAAGAGGGGTTTTATTTCTTTTTATTTTTTTTTATATTTATTTATTCGAAATGAATTCTCGACTTTGTCAAATTGCATTATTGGCAACAAGAAGATCAACGCTACAGTATAGACGTAGCTTACCAAGTATACAACGCGTGCCATTACGTAGCATTAGCCATTCGGCCGTGGTGAAGGAGCAGTATTTACAAGGATATAAAGATAGCGAACGCTTCCACGGTAGATAAAATAAGCGAGCGGCGGGGGGGGGGATGAGTTTGCTGTATGTATATATTGACAGTTGTTTAGGTGAGTATCCTAGTCGTACGCATTATTGTGGTGATTTAAGAGCTTCGGATGATGGAAAGAAAGTTGTTTTATGCGGCTGGGCCCAATCCTCTCGGTAAATGAAAAAAAAAAAAAGGGGGAGAGAGAGAAAGAAAGTTAAAAAAAATGAAATTCTTTAGAGATATGTCTCAAGATTTGATCTTTTTACCTTTACGTGATCATTCTGGTGTGACACAATTAGTTTGTAAAGGGGATGAAGAGATCAAGACGCAGATTAAATCGTTGTCGGTAGAGAGTGTCATTTGTGTGGAAGGTATTGTACAAAAGCGACCTGAAGGAATGGGAAATAAGAAACAAGCGTCTGGTCAAGTAGAAGTGGAGATCACCAAGATTTACTGTTTGAATCCTGCCACGCCTTCATTGCCTTTCTGGCCCAACGGAGCGCAATTGGTAAATTTATTTTTTAAAAAGTGTTTTATGAATGGAATGATTGAAAAAAAAAAATTTAGCCAAATGAAGAGGTGAGATTACGTTATCGTTACTTGGATTTACGTCGAGAACAATTACAACATAATATTCGACTTCGGTCTTTGACGGCCAACACGGTTCGTAATTATTTATGCGAGCATGGATTTACCGAGATTGAAACACCCACCTTGTTTAAATCGACGCCAGAGGGAGCACGCGAGTTTATTGTACCTACACGAAAGCGAGGACAATTCTATGCCTTGCCTCAAAGTCCTCAGCAGGTAAATTATCATACGAGGGGGGGGGGGAAAGAAAGTACTGACTAAATAAAAAAAAAAAAAATTGAGTAGCACAAACAAATGTTAATGGCGGCTGGATTCGATCGATACTTTCAAATTGCCCGTTGTTTCCGAGATGAAGATTTAAGAGCGGATCGACAACCCGAGTTTACACAGGTATGAGATTGCACAGACGCACAAAAAAAAAAAAAAAAAAAAAGAGGCTAACGAAAAGGTAAAAAAAATAGATTGATTTGGAAATGTCGTTTATCAAGATTGCGGATATTCAGAATATCATTGAAGGGATGGTGACCTCGATTTGGGATAAAGCGTTAGGCCAGACTTTGACGAAGGCCAGTTTCCCTCACATGACGTATAATCAAGCGATGAGAGAATACGGTAGTGATAAGCCTGATGTTCGATTTGAAATGAAGATTGCGGATATACGTCAGGATGTCAAGGATATTTTGGATGAGACAACGAGTATGGATTGCATGGTGGTAAAGGACGGAGCTCGGGGATTATCTGGCGGTGATTTAAAAGCAATGCAAAAGAGTTTGGATCTGACATCTGATTTCGCCTATGTCAAGGTGAATGAAAAGAATCTGGAAACATGGCCCATGAAATGTGGAGCATTACGATACTCTCAACAAGTAGGAGGAAAAGAATTGAATGTCAAGTTGGGAGTGGAAGAAGGGGATGTAGTGATGATCCATAAGCGAGACAAGTATTTGTATGGTGGTAACACAACGATGGGGCGAGTCAGATTGCATGTATCTCAATTGATGCAAGGAAAAGGACTTTTAAAGCTAGATGAAGAGAAGTACAAGTTTTTGTGGGTGGAATCCTTCCCATTGTTTACACCTGATGAAGAAGGCAAACGTAAATGGCAAGCAACGCATCATCCGTTTACTGCTCCGTTTGATGAGGATATTGACAAGTTGGCAAGGGAACCATCCGAGGTACGAGGTCAGCATTATGATCTTGTGTTGAACGGAATGGAGATTGGAGGAGGATCGATTCGTATCCATAGTCCTGTGATGCAAACGTTTATTTTAGAAAAGGTATTGGAACTGGAGAAATACGAATATAAACGGTTTGATCATCTGATTGATGCTTTGGGAGGAGGCTGTCCCCCACATGGAGGTATGGCGTTGGGTTTTGATCGTTTGATGGCTATTTTGACTGATTCGAGTTCGATTCGTGATGTGATTGCATTTCCTAAAGCAGCAGGAGGAAAGGACTTTGTAGTGAACAGTCCATCAGCTGTCACTACCGCACAATTAAATGAATATGGACTCTCACTCTCTTCTTCTGATTCCTAATAAAAAAAGCTCCCCTTTCCCTTTTTTTTTTTTTTTCTTTTACAATTCATCCACCCTTACATTTTCTGTCTTTCTTTCTTTTACTCCGGCTCTTGTTGTGTTACACCCCCATCTATTTTATTTTTTTTGGATCATTTAAAAAAAATCATAAAAAAAGAAGGGGTAAAATCAAGGGAGATTGATTGTTTCCCGCACAAAAATAACCCATTTTGCTTGTTAGGAGAATAGATGAAAAAAGGGAGAGGAGATAAAAAGAGATAAAAAGGTCTTTTTGGAAAGGGGGAAAACACTATGTATAAAAATGTGACGGTTTCCCATGGTGAATTATTAGGTCCTTTTTTTATATATTTTTATTTACAACTTTTTAAACTTTTTTTCTCGTAAGAAAAAAAAAAAAAAAACTAATTATGACACGCATTGCAGACAATGTTTTTCTTTTGTCCACTTTACTTTTAGCAGCTGTAGGTGGAAAGAACACGAAAAAAAAAAAGAGAGAGAGAGAGTATATGAACTGATAAAGGAAGAGATAGTGTGGTTGGGTTATTTCATTTGTAGGTGCCTGTGTTTTTCGAAGTGGTATTTCAGGTGGAGCGTGGTGGATAGTGATATATCAACTGTTGTTACTGATGAGTATTGCTTTTGCATTAACGACGAATACATATGGGCACTATCGACTTGTGGTAAAAGATAACAAGAAAAAAAAAGAGCTAATAATAGACTATCTAATAACTCCCCAAAATTCTATTAGATCCTGACGTTCTTAGCAGCCAGTCTTTCAATGTTAACATATCAACTTGATTACGCTCTACCCACATCCAAATTCAAAAGTCAATATAAGGGAGGAGCAGGTGTCTATGCCGCAGGTTATATTATTTTAATTATAATTCAAGTAAGAGCACTCAAAGGGGAACAAAAAAAAAAAAAGCAAAAAAAAAAAAATTTAATTACAATATTCTTAAACTAAAAAAAGTAAGGGTTATAATTAATAGTTTTTATGGGTGATTGTTTTTGGAAGTGAGTCGGATAGTTACTTTGGTCAATTTGGGCCTGGATATACTGGGAACACTGTAGGTGTATCAAATGCAGCTTCATCCTCTTCGGAGCTTGTACGACCCATGAATGAAATGACAGCTGATAAAACTATGGTTGAAGCGACCACGCCGTATACTGCTCCAACTGCGTACACTCAGAACACTGCCTATCATGCCACATCACCACCCACACATCCCGTTGCTACAGCAACCATCGAACCTAATCATAATATCGCACGTGTCGATAATCAGATCCAATACAGAGAGAAAGTCCAAGCTCTCCATGCTTGTGAGTATAGTCTTTCTTTTTTCTTTTTCTTCTTGTTTTTCTTAGTACTTATTCTCCTTAAAAGATTCGGCGAATCCAGATGATCCCAATGAGTTGAGTTTTGCTAAGGGAGAAACCCTAGATATTGTGGATAGAAACGGTAACTGGTGGCAGGCACGTAAACTTGATGGTTCCATTGGCATCATCCCAAGCAATTATGTAAGTCTTCTCCCTTTTTTTTTTATTATTATCAGAAACTAATTTAAAAATTGATATTAGTTTGCTGCATCAGCATAAACTTATGCATCTATCTCTCTATTTTTTTTTTTCTATTTTTTTTTTTTTTTTTTTTTTGCGAAAAAAAAAAGAAATTGCATAAATCCAAACAGATGAAAAAAAAAAAAAAATAGACAACATTGTGACATGTATGTACATGTGTGACACAACACACACAAAGTTATGAAATAAACCTTTTCTCCCCCGCTCCCAAACTATTTTTTTTTTCTCTCTCTTGTTTGTGGTTCCCTCATCTTTTTTTCCCTCCCCCCCCCCTTTTTTTTTCTCACCTTACCAAAAAAAAAAAAAAAAAAAAATGAGTAGAGACGAAGAATATGATTATCTTTTCAAGGGTAGGGTTATTTTATTACTTTTCTCCATCTCCCTTCTTTTTATCTAATGTAAAAAGTCATGTAGTTGTCTTGATTGGTGATTCAGGTGTTGGTAAAACCAATCTTTTAAGTCGTTTCACTCGTAACGAGTTCAATTTGGAATCCAAGAGTACTATTGGTGTAGAATTCGCCACCAGAAGTATTCAAGTTGATAACAAGGTTATCAAGGCTCAAATTTGGGATACAGGTAAAGAGACTGGATGACACAAACCCTCATCTCTCTTTTTCCATTAACCAACAAAGTATTGACTCATCTCTTTTTTTATTATTATTATTATTAGCTGGACAAGAAAGATACCGTGCCATTACCAGTGCGTAAGTATTACAATCACACTGTGAATGAAATATATATAAAACTTATATTTCTTCTCTACCATAGCTATTATCGTGGCGCAGTGGGTGCATTGTTGGTCTATGATATTTCAAAGCATTCTACGTACGAGAGCGTGGATCGTTGGTTAAAGGAGCTTCGTGATCATGCTGATTCAAATATCGTCATTATGCTTGTGGGTAACAAGAGTGATTTAAGACATTTGAGAGCTGTGCCTACCGAAGAAGCCAAGCAATTTGCATGTAAAATTAAGCCTTTACCCTTCTTTATTTACAACTAACCCTAACCTAACCACACCTCCGATATCCCTCTCTCTCTCTTTTTTTTTTTCTAGCTGATAATGGCCTTTCATTTATTGAGACTTCTGCTTTGGATGCTACCAACGTAGATCAATCTTTCCAACAAATTTTGACAGGTTTCTTTTAGAAGGATGTTGGTTGAATACAGAAAAAGAAAAAAACTAATCGATTTTTTTTTTTATATGCATAGAAATCTATCGTATTGTTTCGAACAAGGCTTTGGAATCCTCTAATAACACAATCAAACCTACAAACGGTCAAACCATTCTTGTATCTCAAACACCTGATGAACAAGCTAAACAAGGTGGCGGTGGATGTTGTTAAGCATACCTTCATAATAAATAATAAAAAAAAAAAAAAATCTTACTCTCCATGATGCACACCTACGCACATATAAAAAAAAAAAGATTCTGAACGCTACATGGATTCAGAGAGTGCACTGACAAATGGGCTTAGACTTCAATGGTTGAAAAAGAAAAAAAAAATGGCACTTTGTATCACGTAGAATAGATACCCATTAGGGCTGAAAGCTTTCTTTTTTTTTTTGTACTTGGGCTGATGTTTCCTCTCTTTTAAAAAAAGTAGTGCAAACCTTGATCCCTCGGTTTGCCGTGAGATGCGGGATTGATTGGTTGAATCGGAGTCTCAATATGTGATTTTATGCAAGGCCTACTACAATGGTATGCTGTCAAGATCTAGAGCATGTGGATCTCTTTTATAGTAAAATAGGGTAAGTTTGTTTTAAATCCGTGACTGAGATAATTACTTCCATCATGGTGATTAAAAAAAAATCATCCTTCTTCTAATGAAAAATGAGACTTATCTATCGATTAAATATGATTTTAAAAAAAGCATGGCTACGGAGCGGCTATAATGTTGCAAAGTGTGGCATACTGGATTGTATTTCTACTTTATATAATTACCACAAGGTGACACACCTTTATAAACACCCTTCGGCCTCCCTGAAGACAACATTCAGGCCAATGTGTTTATTTAACTATCTATTTTAATGAGTGATATAACACAAAGACCATATGCATAACATGCCATTATATATTCAAAAGCAAATTTTGTGTTTCAAAAAAAAAAAAAACTTTTCTCCAAAGTGTCCTTTTATCAATGATTTATTAAAAACATAATGGTAAAAGGTCCATAGTCAATAACATATTAAAGAATCCACGACTTTTTTTTTCTTTCATCTGCTATCGTTAAAATATCTGCTATCGTTAAAATCTTGACTTTTTTGAGTATCCATTTTAATATCCAAGTTGTTTAAGACGAGTGTAGAAAATATTTCGTTACACGTCTGTTCACCAATTTTGTATTAGTTATGGAAAATATGGGGATGAAAGCAAAAGTTTATGAAGGTTACCTTTCCAGCATATTGATCCAGAGTTTTACCAAGATACGATAAGATAGTTTGCCTTTTTTATAATCAATGATTTAGTAAAGTTACAAGAAAACAATTTTTTTTTTTTTTTCAAAAAAAAATGATATCGCCTATACCTGCTTAATCCTTTGCCCCACGCATTATCAATAATAAGAGCCATCTCGATTTTGGCACGATCATGATTTAATGTTGTTCGTAGTTGATAATACATATGCCGGATTTCTTTGTCAAAGTTTCGAAAGAAAAGCCTCAAGTCTGGGTTAAGTAACTTTTGTATGACAATATCTAAAAAAGATATATACTTTTATATCAGCATCATTTACATGTTAGATTACCCCCCTTTTTTTTATTGCGTTATCTTACACTCTTCCATGATATGTTGCTTCATCATTTTTGTCTTTTTAAAGAAGAAAAAAAGAAAGATTTATTCTCCCTAATTTCTTGCAACCTATACACTGTTGATGCAAGTCCCGAATAATTACGAAATCAAGTGTTTTTTGTGGAACATGGGCGTTCTAGTCATTTAGAAAAAGAATGAAAAGGCTTGCTCTAATAAAGTCTCAGTAAAAAATATGATTAAGGAAAGTACCTTCTATTTGAAAGATGAAAGTGTGTTCGAGAGAGAAAGATATGTCTGTTGCTTGAATGGGATCAAGTTCTTCACGATAGTACTGTTAAATATTATAAACAAAACAATGCATATGATTAGATATGGTTTATATTCACCACTAATTACTGCGCAAAAAAAAAGAAGAGACAACCATAATACATAAATTACGTGTAGCTATTGATACAATCTTCAAATCAGAGTTGATGCATACGGTCTTTACTATATATGTACTCCTATCAAAGACTTCTTATATAAATATGCCATCCTACTATATATAAATGTGAAACACGCCACCAAATGATTGGCAAGAGATAAAACTTTGACATAAATATTGTCCGGGATTTTATTTATTTTGGTAACCATATAAAGAGGGAATATAAACTGGGTAATGGGAAATAAAACAAAAAAAAACCAGATAGTTTTGATCAAGAGAAAGTCCTTATTCAAAATATATAAAAGATAGCTGTAAGATCCGCTGTCTGCATGATAATATTTTTATTTGGTCGTGTATACAAAAGAGCAGTCCTTGCGGTACACCAATACTTAACATTTCATGCAAATGCCAAATTTGAATACCAATTTGACTTGTCAAAAAAAAATAATAGGGTCAACATATGTTATACAGATTACAAGATGCCATAATTATCTCATATAAATACCCCCGAATTCATCATTTGATAAGAAAAAAAAAAAAAAAAAAAGGCAATACCCAATATACACTCTCAAATAAATTTGAAGGCATTTTTCTTTCTGAGAGATAGATTGGAAGTTTGATCTATTACTGGTAAGAACCGTTCATTACCAAGGAGTAAAAAAAAACAATAGAGTTTTCATCAGTGGAGTGACATTTTAAAAGAAGCTTACTGAGAACAAAAATTATAAAAAAGAAATTTTATTCCAACAATAAAGTGAAGTGGAGGTGGTGTAATGATCTGGGGGTACTTTTACAAAGGGGAATTCAGCCCTTCAACCGTAATTGATGACACGGTAAATCAAGAGGATTATACGAATACTTTGGATCGTGATTTTTATACCTGGTTCAAGGAGTTTCCATAAAAAAGGAGGATAAAGACTTTATCATACAAGAAGACGGGGCTCCATGCCATACTAGGGCCTACGCACGGTGGTGGAAACAGACCCATCAGACTGCGGAATTTGAGTACTGGCCTGCCCAAAGTCTAGACTTAAACCCAATTGAGCATCTCTGGGTGGGTCTTAGAACGTCAGATTGCTGAAAAAAGATCCAAAGTAAAAAAAAAAAAAAAAAAAAAAAAAAAAAAAAAAAAAAAAAAAACTTAAAAGATTTTAGGGCTGTGATAGAGGAAGAATGGGAGCAAATGGACATTTCGCTTGCCCATCGTTTAGTCTGGAAAGAACGACGAATCAATGTCAGGCCGTAATTGATGCTCTAGAAAACCCCACCAAATATTAAACATTTTTTATTTTATTTTCGTATGCCTCTTATATTTATCTATTACTACTTAAATTTTGACATTGATTCCTTATTAAATTTGATCATTGATGTAGTGATTGCAGCTAGAACCCGAAAGTGATTCTAAAATCCACTTCCAATTAACAGAATAAACTTTCCCATAAATAATCGCATTACATAATAATCACATTACATAATAATCATAAGATTCGTAAACAAAAAATAAGGTAAACAATCCTAGTAAGCATGGCGGATGCTCCCTTAGTTTTTTTCTTTTCTTTTGAATAAAATAGATTGTAGTTTTGACGCTGTTTTTTCTTTCTATCATTTTATTCCATTTCCAAAAACCCCTCTTTACAACAATTGAAAATAGAGCAATATTTTTGAATAAAAATTTCAACATTTCCCCCCCCCCAAATTCACATGTGTGTAACTGTATTTTCGGTGGCCATAAACAAAAAAAAAAGTACCCACAATTCGAACTTGAACTTGCTTATGTACACAATAAAGTATATACATGGATGATTTACCCCATCTTTATCATTATACACAGCAAGTATGAACAACACAATTGACGACCAGTTATCCACGTCCGATGTCTCCTTGCTGAGTGGGACCAACTCACCAACTGTCTCAAACACCAATGGCGAATCAAGTCAAGGTGGCTCAAGAAAATGAAAGGTCGTTGCCATTAAGTCTCTCAGAATTCAGGAGAAGGTAAGTTATTATTTTTATCTATTTAAAAGCACGTATAATCTTTTATTGAACCAAAAAAATAAATAGATCATTGATAATTTAAAAAAAGAGAACTTTGACTTGAAACTGCAGTTAAATTTCTTGATGGAACGACTTAACCAAATATCTCCAGAAAACTGTGAGAAATTAAACCAAGAAGTAAACAGAAGAAGAAGAAAAAAAAAAAGCTGTGCTCCGGGTTACTGATATTTTTTGTAGAATATTAAATTAAGAGCAGGCGTTCAATCACTCTCTGCAGAGTTAAAAGAATCAAAGGAAATAATCTATGAACTCAATGAAGAAATTAACGATCTGCAAAATCAGCATGAATGAAAAGGCGATCAAGCTGGAAGAAGCTTTGATATGCTTAAGTTTAGTGGGTAATCCCGCCTGATTTCAGATCAAATTTTAAAATTTTATTTGAGTGGCCTCCAGTTTAGATGAGAGAGACGAAGAGATTCAGGAGAGAGAAGAAGCGATTGAAATTCTCAAAAAAGAGCTCGAGATACTGGCAGAATTACACGATAAAGATATCGAAGCCTTTGAAGAGCACATGGCTAAAGCTCGAGCCGAATTCAACGAACAAAAGCAGTTGAAACAAGAATTAGTTGAGGTACTTGAAAATACCGAAAAGTATTGCCAAGATGACCTCACTAAGCAGCGCGACGACCTGATTGTTTCTATCAGAGAGCGAGATGTGCGACTTGCGAGTTTACAAGGTAACTTCGAGCAACAAACAGACACAATGGAAAGAGAAAAAGATTTGCTGTTGGAGGAAATAGTAGAATTGAAAGACACAATTCATGATCTCTTCGATGCATTGAATAGACAAGAGGAAAATGTCATCGAATTAAAGAACCATCGGTGGATGACGCTGCTGGTTACCAGGTGTTTTGGATGGAGAACAAAATAGAAAATAAACCAAAAGTGATACTGTTAGAACTTGGATACCACTTTATTATTGACGAAAAAATACAATTAAAAACGTATTAAAAATGTATTCAAATCTATTGATGGTCTATGAGAAAAAACTATGGATATTTATATAAAGAACTGGGATAGTTCTAGGGAGAATATTAAGCGCCTTATTGGATCATGATGTAATAATCTGGTGATAGTAAATAATCAACATGTCTTTAAATTTAGCCCTTCCATACTGAGTATATAAATATTAGTCAGAGGGATCAACAGTTATAACATCAAATGACAAGAGTAATATTTGTGCTCAGGATCTATTAATATTCTATAGTCCAGGCCCATTCGATTGTATTGCTTTTTCAGAATAAATATATACTCGCCACAGGGATGTGCCCTGTGTACAGACTCCAACGGTAAGATGAGAACAAGCGGGGTAATGCGTGATTCATGATTAACTTTTATATTTATTATCCATCCTTAATGTGATGCGACAATTAACTTTATTATTATATCTATGATATCCTCAACACCAGGTAAGAGTGTTTGGTGCAGAAAGTTTTGTATTTTTTTACCAAGTTTGATATAACTTTGGGTATATCATATGGTGTGATTGCTGGGATGTAAGGTACAGCTTTATCTTTCCTCTCACAATTATTGATGTATCCTCTATGAGAAGAAAGGAAGAATATGTACGATATTTTTTAAATCGTCATCTTTAACAGATCTTTGATGCCTTTCAATTTCTTCCAATTGCGATAAAAAAAAATTAGGGTTTACATATATTTTAGTAGCGAAACAGTTTAGTAATCATCAACTATTGAAAATGAATTCAGTCCTAATTATCATTTTATAGGTTTGCGAGCTGCAATGGGTTAACTTTGTACCACTTATTTTTATGTCATGTAATAATAATAGGGGTTAAATGTAATGGTTGGAGTGCAAAAAACTAATAATAATAATCATAAATCTATTCCTCTTCATCATCGCAGTCTTCTTCATCATCGTAGTCTTCTTCATCATCGTAGTCTTCATCAGCATCGAGCTTATGGCCCTTATGCTTACTGCTTTTGACATATTTGCCTTTTTTATGTTTATTGTGCCAATTGTATGTTGTATAATCATCGTAGTCGGTATACTCCGTTTCATACTGGGTAGTGATTTTGGAAGTTGATTTAGTAGAACTGGTGGGCACATAAACGCTTGAAGATTGCACAGAACTATTAGAGCTACTGACTGTTGTGGATGATACACTGCTTAGGGTAACCTCGGGTTCGAGAGTTATAGTTACTAGAACGGACGAGCTTGTTATAACTATGATAGTATCATACGTGAGAGTAGTGGTAGGAATATCAGTTATCGTGCTATTAATGATTGTATTACTAGGATCTTCGGTGATTACACCGTATGTGATTGTGTCGCTTAAGCTTTCGGCCATCATACAATGATGTATCGTTGTATCGCTAGTATCATCCGTGGTTGTGCTGTACAATACAGTATCACTGGGAGTTTCTGTAATGGTACTACTAAGGTCTTCAGTTATGGTGCTATACGTAACTGTGTTGCTTGGGTTCGTATCTTCGGTTAAAGTGCTATACGTTGTCAGAATACTTGTAGTCGGCTCGCTGAAGATTGTACTAAAAGTCAAAAGCGACGTTTCAAAGGGTTTTTCTACTAATTCTGGGAAAAGAGGTTCACTATCATTAAATATGGGAAAACACCCTGTGAATCCAGAGCACTTCCCACCTAAGGCAGCATAATCATGAAGTTCTACACCACAAGTTCCTTGCTTCCATTCATAGTCATTAGCTACAACTAATCCAGCAAAATTTCCGGTACCAGCCTCTTCGATGTTAGCTGAGCGAATATGCATTAGGACAAATTGTGGTAAGCTTTTTGATTGTAAAACTTAAAAGAAAAATTACCGTCAGGCGCCAGGGTGAAACCTCCTAATTGGCCTCCAGTATTACGACTGATGTATATTCTTCCAGGTGTGTAAACGCCATTCGCATCTGAAGGGTAAAAATTGTAAATTGTGCTGCAAACATGAATTCCCAAACTTGGATGATTTCCAGCTATAGTAAAAGTTGTGCCGACGGAGATGGGTATCTAATAAAAAAATATTTAGATTAGTTGTCAATATACTACAACGCCATATTCATCATAGAAGGTATATTTACATTAATGACCAAATTATCTGGGAAAGACAATCCTCTAGGACCGTTCCAGTTACCTACACCATTGATCATATGACTTGAATAAGACAACCTCCCAGGATACAGATTACAGTTGAAGTTGTTGCAGGTATTTAGAGTCATGACATTAAAATATCCTATTTTAGGACCTAAACTAACAAGATTATCGTTTTCATCTAGCTTAAGATTAGGTTCTAAGGCTGAAAAAGTTTGGGAGGCATAGACGGAATTAATGTAGGCTTTTTCAAAATCAAATAGACCAGGACCTCTATCTGTAACTATTGGACAATCAGAAATTAACTCATGGATTTTCGAAGTATCAGTTCCGTATGGAAGGAATATAGCGCCATTGACACGGTCATCAGTGCCATCATAAGAACCTCCCACGACAAGACCATAGCCGTCAAAACTGTGCTCAATATCACTGCAATTTACAGCACCGTTCGCATTAATTGTGTAATGACTACCCGATAAAGTTCCTCGAACAGCAAGAGGACCCAGGATATCTTGGCCATAACCTGTAGTAAAATCACCAAAGAAGATCCCAGAAAATCTAGTAAACTAAAAGAGATACTTATTTAGAACCTATGCTATGTTTAAAAATAAGAGATGGCTAATACTTGCCATTGTAGAGGCAAGAGAATTATCGCAGGTTGTTGCACCATCAGCACGACTCTTCAGTCGATGGCTAGTTGTGCTTTTATGACTGCCGAATACGTAATCATAACTGTCATTTATAAAAGACGATATACCAAATGCATACAATCCAGAAATACTACTCAACAAAATTACAATAATGTAAACTTTCATAAAATTAGTCTTAAATGTTTGAGCAACTACAAACTTTTTTTCAGTGCATTTTATATTTGTTTATTTCGGCATAGTAGCATAGTGTCAGCGTAAATGTTGGACTCCTATTTCTATTAAGTATTTAGGAAACTACTTGAATTAAAATTCTTCATAAAGCATGCTCCGAGAATTAAAGAAAATTACTAAAGCTTTGTATATAATTTGAAGACACACACCACGGCTCTTAACTTGGTCGTTCTATTTAACTTTATAATCCGTTATTTGTGAATAAAAATGATGAATCTATTCAATATGTTACTAAGTTTTTTAAGGCATAAACTCCCTTGGTAAAATACTATCTTCCCAATTCCCACTTGAAAAGTGTCACAATTTTTTGGGTTCCGTAAGACCACTTATACATCTTTACCAGCTTTCGTTCATTTTAACTATATGCCGTAATAATAGTTTTCTTAATAATTCAACTTTGACTACTTACATTCTATAGTCTAAATTTCCACGAAAGAGAGTAATGAGGAGAGAAAATGGTATCATACTTCGCACTTTGGATACATACTTTGTTAGTGTAGCATGAGAGAATGGCTTGTGTGACATACCTGGGGGATAGGGAGGAAAGATTTTTTTTTGGCGGCAGCCAAAAAAAGAAAAAAAAAAAAAACAACGAAGAATGCAAACAGAATGCTGCCAGTCATGGCTCTTTCCGCTAAAGGTCTTTACCAGGGAAGCGAAAAAACACAATTTGGAAACCCCGAGAATAACTACGAGAAAAACTACCAGATTTAATTCCAAATGAAGTAAAAACGTGATTAAACAAACATGCAGTATACATGCAGTGTTTGTGATTTTGAATAGTTTCCAAGGCATGTTTCACCTTGGAAACTACCCGATTAATTCAAAAAAGGATAAGGTTAGAAAATCATTTCCGGATTTGATTTTACTAAAGTCATTAGCTGCGAACAGCATAAAATTATAGCGAAGTCATTATAGTATGCTTGCATGTTTGTTTAGTCACGTTTTTACTTCATTTGGAATTAAATCTGGTAGTTTTTCTCGTACACACCAACTAAGAAAAATCCATATTTGGAAGGTTTTTTGAATCAAAAAAATAAAGTTCAAAGTTCAGCCAATACTTGATGGTCAAATAAAAAATAAAGTTGTAGTTACAAACTACAAACAACAACAATTGTGATCATCCGAAAATTTCTTATTTAAAGTTTTTTTTATTTATGTTTCAGAAGGCACTTGGTTTTTGTAGCCACCAAAATAGGCTTCCATTGATATAGTTGAATTTTCTTCTTTCTTTTTCTTCAACACTTTTTAAACGAAAGCTAGGTATAAATTATAGATAGACCATTATCCAACACTCAATAATGTCTAATATATAGCATGATAACGTACCCTTAACAAGGCTATCAGTCAAGGTTTATGCACCATTCCATCGTTGATCCTATGTTTAAGAGTTTTTTTTTTTATTTTTTTTTTCTTTTTAGGTGATGTACAATTTTGAAGTTGAGCAGTTTCAACGGAAGCCTAAATACTAGATGTAAAAAAAAACGAGGTGTACTGAAGTGGAACCAATTGTATAACCAGGATATTAAAATTTAATTGATTGAAAATTTACATCATCAAACGGAAGGGTCCAGACCGAATACATTAAAACATTTATTGAACTATCCAAAATACATCGAGTATTTCTTTGCTAGGATACCTTCCCACATACACACACCCATAGGGATCATTATTTATGTGAATAGAATCAATGGTTTTTCTCAGTGCTCAAAAGGATTTTCAGGTCATTCCCTTTGGATGAGATTTGAAATTAGTTTATATTGCATGACATGTAAGTCTAACAAAATACACGAGCTTTTGGTTGCATTTTTTTTTTTTTAAAAAAAAAAAGTTCGGCTACACGATGAAATCGGGGGAAAAGTTAAATGAAATAAAAAGAGGTTTCAAGCGATTTTGGTCACGATTATGCAGAGTTATTTAAATTCATTTTTATAATTTAATTTCAAGAAATTGTTGTATGAAGATACATAAATACAGTTTTTATTATTGTAATAAAATAATACGCAAAAATACGTTAAATCACTTACTAGAATAAGTGCGATTTTTTTTTTATATACAATAGCCGATTCTTATTATTCACTTCTTCGTTCATTGAAAAAGTCTATTCCACTTTAATTAACTATAAAAGCATATAATTTGTCCTAATAAGTGCAATTTTTTTTAAAGGGCGTACAAAGTGAAATGAATTGCAGCAAGTGGTGATGAAATCCCGTATTTCGTTTATAAAAATGATACATACGTAACACCAATTTTAAGTACTGCAGATGGGATCTCCCGAATTTACATATCCCGATGATTGCAATTTTTAATATAAAAAGGGTGTAGGTAAGGGGAGACAAGTAAAGCTTGATCATCATCTTTTATTTCTTTTATTACCTGTCACATATGGTACATTTCCTCTCCTTTGGTTTATCCATTATTGCCTCATTGGTTTTATCCTCTACGGTGACTGCTGGTCCCACTTGCAACGTCGCGAAAAGTAGTTCTGACGATGCCATTACGATTGCGCAAGCTTTTAATAACTGTAAGAATGGCGGTACGGTGAATTTCCCCAAGGGAACAACGTACTACATCAAGACACCTGTGGATGTTCAAGGGTTAAGTCATGTCACTGTCAATTTCCAAGGACAGATTGTGTTACCCGTGTTCAACAAGAGTTTCAAGGGAGGAAATGCCTATATTTCAATCAAGGGGGATCATATTAATTGCTCTGGTGGGGGTACAATTGTGGGTAACGGACAGACGTGGTGGGATATCAAAGACACAACAGCACCAACCGTACTTCGTATCGGTGCTACGAATTCTGATTTCGGTAACTTTAATATTCTCAATTCCCCTAGAGCACATTTGGGTATGACGAATTGTGATAATGTGGTGCTTCATAATGTGTACTTGAAGACGGTTTCGACCAACAGTAATTTGGCCAAGAATACGGATGCCTTGGATGTGTCATCTTCAAAGAACATTATTTTTAAGGACTCGAACTTGTTTGTGGGTGATGATTGTACTGCTATCAATGGTGGTGTGACGAACATGACGATTTCTAATGTTCATTGTACTGGTGGTCATGGTTTCAGGTAAAAATTAATGGGATAAATATAAAATAGATTGCTTCTTTTTTTTAAGCTGATAAAAATACATGTGTTTGCGTTTATTAGTGTCGGTAGTCTTGGTAAAGGAGGAGCTACTGAGTACGTGAAAGATATTTCTGTTGTTAACAGTGTCTGTACCAACTGTCAAAATGGTCTCAGGTAGCTTTTATTATAAAAAAAAATGCATTTCCCAATAACATCCTTGGATATTAACCTTTTCTTTTTATATATATAATAGAATCAAGACATGGAGTGGTGGAAAGGGAGCAGTTCAAAATGTAAAGTTCAACAATGTCCAACTCATTAATGCCGATAACCCTATTGTTGTTACTACACATTATTGTGATCAAAACCAAATGGCATACTGTCAAAAGAGTGATAGCACTTCTTTATCCATTACTGGCGTTACTATTAGTGGTATTACTGGGTAAAAAGAAAAAAAAATATCTCTAAAATAGATAGGTTGTTAACCCTTTTTTTTTTGCACAACAATATATAGATCTGTCTCATCTGCTAACCAACCTATTGTCAACATCAATTGTTCTTCTGGAGCTCATTGCAGTGGTTTTTCAATCTCTGGTGTTACTGTCAACAAGGCAGCTAGAACCCCCAAAAATATTTGTACCTATCTTGATAACTCTAGCAAGATTGGTGTTTGTAGTCAATAGAATGGCCTGCGTCCAATTTAACATTGTTTTTTTTTTGAAAAATAAAGAAATTTCTTCTATTTTATTATTAAAAAACAGTTGTTTTTGGTTGACGTTGGATGATACAGCTATTTTAGCGCGAAGATGGAAGCTTTTGTCGTAGACATGTAATAACAAATGGCTGTATGCGAATCTCATTTATTACTAATAACTATAAAGATATCGTTTGGATTCGCCGTAATTCCCTTTTAATATTTGCAGTTATACTTTTGTTCACGCTCTTTTAAAATAATCTCTTGACCTTCAATAAGATTTCTCAAGTGGACTACCAATCTTGGTGATTCACTTTCATTTACTACACTTTCATATCGAATTCACTTCCGTTATAACAATCCTATATCTTGCCCTTTTTTTTAAAAAAAAAAACTAAGACCAATGTCTAAACAGCGGCATAAAAAAGACCTGATGATCAAAGACGTTCAGGACGACGCAGAATTTTGCCGTCCTTTAACATTCGAGCTAGATAACGACCAGTTTGCGGGAAATTAATTTTTTTTTTTTACAAAACTTCTGTGGTATTTGACAAAATATTACATAGAAAAGTAATGAGATAAAAGTATATTTTTATTAGAGGTAAAAAAAATAGACTAAAAGAACTCTGCTGCTATGAGATAATTGATCCTTTTTATATTGCACAGCTCTCCTGAGTTTTAACGATGAGTCAACCTTTCTGGTGTTGGAATAGATCTATACTTTGTTTCCCGCCTTGGGTTAAATGAATACTACTCGTTAGAATTGTTTCCAGATAACGTTGTCCCATATCAGTGGATCGGAAGCATGAGTATTCTAATAAATCTTTAGTATTACGAGACACTTATTTATCAGATCATGCAACGGTTACTGTAAAAGATGCATACTTGTTTGTCAAGTGTAATTGGCAATAGAACATAATAGTTGATCATTTATTCATTATCTTTGTAATGAATAAATTACGATCCCAAATATAAAATGTCTTATCGATATTTGTATATTTGGTTGTAGAAGCTAGGTATCCATTAATTCATACACTATTTCTTTATACTCTTTATCAGCAGTATAATTATATCAATATATAAGTAAATGAACCATTTATATTAATAGCTGTTCTATTCTCTCTCTGGGTAGCTAATCCATTGAGAGAACTATTAATATTAAGCTTCTCTTTCTGTTATAATTCTTGATTTGATCTGAGAAGCTTCTCTTCTCGATCGGTGATATTATAGTGTTCGAACTTTTCGAGCTTGCACCGATCTTGCTCCAGTTCGAAGGAAGCTCGAACCGAGTTTTTGTACTCGAGCTTGCGCCACTTTTTTTGGGTTCGAGCGAGCTTCGATCGATGCTCGCTCGGCTAAAATGTCGATAGTAGCCACTTTAAAGTTAAGGTAGCCACTTTAAAGTTAAGGTAGCCACTTTAAAGTTAAGGTAGCCACTTTAAAGTTAAGGTCCTTGAAAGACTACAGATGGAATTTCCCCTTGATTTTGATCTTTTCTTCCCTTTACCATTTTTATTTTTTATTTATGCTCTAATAATTCCAACTAAAATGCTTTGGACTTTTATTTAATTGTACAACCAACCATAGAAAATGATACAGTGTTGCACACTTAACCCAACTTAGCCAAATTTTTACAGCAATCATAGTAACATGACGTAGCAGAATTAATTTAAACTTTCATGTTCACAAATCCAACCGTATTATATTTATGATTTAAGTATCCGAATTTGGTTTTAAGGCTGGTGAAAAAAAAAGTTTTTTTTTTTTTTCTTTTTCCAACTTCTATTTCAATAAATAACAATTTTATTATCATAACTTTCTGTAATTAACATCACTTTGACGTGCACTTTGTGTAATAAAAAGGGCGAGCGAGTTCGAGCTATCGTATTCGCAACCGAGCCGAGCTGATAAATCGATGATAATTTAGGAAAAATGACAAGTAAGATTAACCAGATTGCAAAAATTAACTAAACTTTTATTAACATAATTTTTAGGGGTCCTTTATATACATATTAAATTCGACCTCCTTCTTAGACAGGGCTAGATGACAGGCAAGATTATGACTGACATGCCATATCTTGAAAGTAAGTAATCCAATGAGAATCATATAATAAAAGAAAGAGTGGTACACGTTTCTATAATAGGTCTGTAGTGTCACTTGACGCGTACATTTTAAAAGTCATCAAAGTACATTCAAAAATTTATCATGTTTGTACTTTTAAACCTCGCTTGTCATTGGCCTCCGCTAATCTGATTAGTACAATATATTAATAATGTCTTTTTAGAATAATTGTATAATAAATGTATACTTTTGTACTTGTATTTAGCTTGATGAGTATCGTGCTAGTTTGTTAAGTCAATTGTGAATATTTAATATGCAACATTAAAAGAAGTGTTTATAAAATTATCGTAATGGATAAAAATATGCTGTGTAGATCAAGCATACATGAATATATAAAGCTCGATCACAACACGAGCTTAAGAAACTTCGAGCGAGCTTCGATCTTCATTCCGAACACTAGTTCTGACTTGCTGGTGAGGTTTTTGCAAGTGTTTCTATTTTAAGTAAAGGCTCAAACATTATGGATGATAAAATAGACAAATGAAATCGTCCTGACATAAGCTTGTTTATCTATAAATAAAGCTGGTTCACACACTTTATTCTTCTCCTTTTCTTTTCCCTTAACATACTTCTTTTATCGTATGAAATTAATCGATCACGTAAAAAGGTTTGTTTAGTAGCGACTCTTGTTTTTTGAAAAGAAGCTAAATTGAAAAAGATATATTGTGATATTGCAGCTGCGGCTAGTCTTTGCTATAGGAGGGCGACCTGCTAGGCAGAGTTCTTGAGTTTTTGGAACTCACGAACTGTGAATAGCAGGGATGCATTTTCAATAGGTGCAAACATACTGGCCTGCTGATCTTCTGGCCAGAATTTCTGTAAGTAGTATAATAAAAAAATACGTTTGAAAAAAATACGGAGGTCTAGACATTTCCCATGATCTTGAGCTATGCTATATAAACGAAACCCCGACTGAACCATTCTTAGTGTCGGCTGGACGAGCAGGTTACTTTCCCTTTCGTTACAAGAGATACCGTCGCTCGACAGAAAGCTCCTCCTCCTCCTCCTCCACGATTACAGAACAGAATGACGTAACAGAAGTCAATAATCAAGTCATACGTTAGTATCAGACACCTATGCTTTTTATTTGCTCGTTGTTATATTCATTAACAATAATCTCTTGTAGATTGTGAATCTCAGCTGAAGGAATTTGTTGACAACGTCTTCCTGTCGGTAGACCCCTGTAATGAAAAAGTTTATGAACGTAGCGAGCTGACTTCCGAACAAGTATTCCAAATAACCTGTCAGTATACAACTTTATACAAAAACAATAAACTTGGAACTTTCACAAACTTTGCAAAAAAAAAAAAAAAAAAAATCAAGGCGCGCTATTTAAAGGCGGACACGACAAGAAAGAGAACCAAGGAAGGACGCGTTGAGCGCAAAATTCTTTAAGTGATGAAACCCGATGACAGAGGTAATCTGGTGTTAATATAATTTATTGGCTGAAGGAATCTGTGCACTGACATAATAGATAAAGCCTTTTTAGCACAAAACATCAGCAATTGCCAGTATCGTTATGAAGAATATATAAAAAGTCTCAAGATGGATGGTTTTGATGTGATTGGTTATGCAAGAAAAAGTCCCACCAATATATCAGACGATGATTTTAAAAAAAATTATTAAAAATATGATTTCATGCTTGCAATCCCGCTCCCAAGTGAAAGACGTTTATGTATCACCAAGTAGTCGCTCTAAAAGCCTCATTGCAGCAAGAGATATGGCAACGGACAAAGACTATACGGACGTAAGGGGTTGCGTTGGAAACACACAATGTAAGTTTTAAAAGAATGGAGAATTTAGAGAGATTATGATTCTATATCTTAATACTTTGTTTGATTCAGCTTTGTTGAAGTACTTATCGTCTACAACTAAAAAGGTTTGCTTTGTAATTGTTTATTACGCAGCTTTATCAACTGATCCAGATGATATCTTACTTTTGGTCAAGTACGTCTTTATGCCATGGTTATTTATTGATAAACACACACGCTAGCACTGACGCTGACACAACCTCTCATAGAAATTATAAATCCCTCGAATGTATTATCGTGGATCGTTTCCAAGATATAGGAAAGTACGAAGTGTACCAACGAAACGATATTCTTAAAACACCTGAGCAATTGGTATCATTTGACTGTCGTCCAAAACTTCCACAGCGGTCTATCTAAGAAAAAATTGTACTTCCATTATGCAATAATTTTATAATTTAAATTCAGACATCTTATATATATCCTTTTTATTCTTTGACCTTGATAATCCCTGATTCTCTTTTAACTGAAATAAAGCATACCAACAGTCTCAAAGTATTTCTACTTTTGTTTTATTTATTTTTGTCTGACTTTTTACTACTCCAAAACACCACACTATGGGCAGAGACAAAAAGGTCAATTCCATTTTAGGTAATTTTGGAAATTTGGCGAAGCCAAATTTTCAAAAATTCATTCAATCATTTATGTGATATAAAGCTTTATTTGAGACGATCTATTCTAATTATTACATTTGTCTATATTCCAAATTCCCTCACAAAGTTCTTTTTTTCTACATTTTAAACAAACAGCAGAGGTGCATTTGGTTCTCATAACTTTACCCGGGCAAGTACGCAATCCACAACCTTTGCAGGTTCTTCCTCTGTCATTCGAGCCTTTGTTTGGTACAATTGGAGGAGTAGCCATACCATGTGAATTATAAAAATTATATGGCTGAGAGCCGAGAGGTGTTGGGGCTGTTGTACCACAACGGCGAGTTGAATCACTTATTGGCAGTCTAAAAGTAAGGCGAAACCCATCATAAAAAACACCCTTGTCTTGAGCGACCTTGTTTTTTTAACAAACAAAAAAGCTGGGGGGTACTGGGAATGATGAATTGAATACGTAATAATATATTTTTGGGCCATGATAAGAACTTTTGGGGATGATAGATAATCCATGTTTTTTTTTGATTATTCCGATTTTTTATTGTGACACGCGGATCTTCGAATGCTGGTATAATCCCCCCCCCCCGTTTCTCGGTAGCATGTCTATGTCAATAAAATCGTACGAAGAGGTTTTTTTTTTTTAGTTTGCAGCTAATGCATTGAAAGGGCTAAAAGCTAAGAAAGATGTGCTATTTTTTTATTTTCACACGCACGCACAAAAAAAAAAAAGAATACATGTGATTTCGCACGTCATGATGAAAATATGTTTTTTTTTGACGTACCATTTGCATAGTTTGTGTGACAATCTATTTTTTTTTTTTTTTTTTACTAAAAACAGGATTTTTTTTTTTTTTTTATTATTACTATGATTATTTACAAACAAAACGAGAGAGAGATTTTTTTATAATGAGAGAAAAGATTTACAAGTCCTTGCTATGAGCTTCTTCAACCACGACTTCAGCAGGTTTTAAACCAACGTTATCACGAGTGGCTCTTAATTGACCAGCTTCATCCTCAGCGAATTTTTCTCCACGACGAACATGACCTTCAAGTCCTGTTTGACGAGGATCCTTGAAACCCAATAAACGATCCACTTCATCTTTAGCGCCTTCAATTTTTTCCTCGACCCAATTGATATCTTGATCAGCTACGTTTTTAACGGTATTGATGCTTGATTTGACTTGTTCTGTTCCCTTTTGATACCAACTCTTGGCAGTATCTTCAGCCTTGTATTTTAAAGACTCGGCTTGAGCAGAAGCTTCATCCAAACTACCAGCAATCTTGTTAGAGGCTTGACGAGTTAAACGAGCTCCTTCATCCTTGATATCCTTGGCTGTATTGGTAACATCAGAGGCAACACGACCTGTTTCATTCTTGGCCTTGGTTGCAACATTTTCCGCTTTATTGCGTGCTTGTTCCGCTTCGTAATTGGCATCGTTCTTCAAATTGTTCCAGCCCGTTTCGAGACGATTGGCTTCAGCGTTTGACTTGTTGGAGAGATCATTGATGGTGGAATTGACATTGTTCTTTGCACGTGTGGCTTCATGAGAGGCCTTGGCTTTAGCATCTTGCCATGTTTGAGAAGCAGTCTCCTTGACGTCATCCTTGGTCACCGCCGCATCCTTGGCTTGCGATTTCAAACCTTCCCACTTGTGTTTAGCTTCTTCGGCATGATCTTCAACTTGATTGGCTACCTTCTTTTCACTTGAACCAAAGAGACTGGCCCAGAATCCATTGTTTTCTTGACGATGAGCGGAAGCAGCAGCCTTTTCATTAGCGATAGATTTAGCATCCCAGACACCTTGCTTTACTTTCTCGGTATCCTTATCGACGAGTGTGCTTGTATCACGTACGACCTCCTTGGCATGATCTTCGAGACTGGATTCCCAAAGAGGTTTTGTCTTTTCAGCGCTGTGTTTTTCCATAACCATGGGGTTACCTTCCTTTTCAGCATGATGGTAGTAATCAAAGGAGGTACCCTTTTTACCGGGTGCAGGAGGTTTCGTGGCGTTCACAATGTCTTGATCGGTTTGACCGGGTACGGCATTTTCAGCAGCTAATCTATCTTCCCAGGGAGTACGATCTGTAGTATTAGCAGTAGCATTCGCATGAGCAGCAGCGGAGGAGAGCTTATGAGAGGTATCCTTCACGGTATCCTTGACGGTATCTTCAGCAGCACCAAAGAGGTTGAAAAGGGAGGATTTAACAGAGGAAGCAGTTTCCTTGGCAGCGTTTGCTTTTTCCTCAACAGCGGACTTGACATCACTCTCCACATTATAAAGAGAGGCCTTGGCATTGGAAGTACCATCGTCCCAAACTTGTTTTACCTTTTCAGTGTCCTTTTCAACAAGCTTGGAAGTATCCTTGAGTTTTTGATTGGCTTGATTTTCAAATCTGGACTCCCAATCGGGTTTTGTCTTGTCGGAAGAGATCTTTTCATGCACCATGGGATTGTGACGGGTGTCTTCCGATGATGAAGAAGAAGATTTAAAGAAACCTGAGACTTTGTTGACGTCTTGTTCAATTTCATGGGTAACAGCTTCCTTGGCTTGCTTGAACTTGTTAGCAGCATTAAAAGCAGCTTGATTAGCATCCTCTGCCTTCTTGTTGAGGGTAGCATCCACGTGACGTGTTGTTGAAGTAGTAGTAGCGTGAGAAACGACGTCTTCGGGAGAACGATCCCCTTCCTTGAGATAGGCCTTTTCACGCAATCGTTCAGCTTCAGAGAGTGCAGAAGATTTGAGGTTTTGAGCTTCTGACTTGAGATTGGAAGTGACGGATTGAGCTTCTGACTTGAGTTTAGAAGCAGTGGATTGAGCTTCCCTTTCAGCGGTAGAAAGTGTATTGCGAGCAGCATCCGCAGCTAACTCGGCTGAGTTCTTGATATGTTGACCAGCGTAACCTAATTCGTCTACAGCACCTGAGGATTTCTCCTTGACGTTGTCATCATGAACAATACGATCGGTAGCGTTTGACAATGACTTTTTGGTTTTTGCATAAGGGTCTGAATCTCCGTAGAAATCTGAGACACACATTTAAAAAAAAAAAAAAAATTAGTAAAAGAAAATTCATGCAATTTTTGAGAGAGAGAGAGAGATTTTTACCATGCTTTTGTTGACTTTGGTAATAAGCCATACCAGCAGCGGATAAGAGGAGACCACCAACGAGTGCTTTACTGACACCTCCTTTGCGTACATTGGTGGAGAGGGGACGTCTTGCAGCTATGACAGGACGGTTTAATGGAATACGGTTATTTAATGAAACTTTATACATTTTTCTTTATAGGGGGGGTTTTGTTATGTATGATAAAATAAAAAAGAAGAAGAAGAAAAGAAAATCAGAGGGTAGACATGATTTATAGTTGTTTAAAAGAGTTTTTTTTTTTGGAGGGGTTAAGGTGAGATAATCATGACATCATTTTGATGATATAGTTTCGGTTTTTTTTTTCTTTATTTTTTTTTTTTTTTTTTTTGGATTTATACTTTAGGGCTCCAATTAAGGAATCTAGTTAAAGGCGTTGTTGGAATTTCGAAAAATGAATAACCTAAACGGATAAAATAATAAAAAAAGAGTCATGATTAGCAAAAAACCAAAAGAAATTTTTTTGATGTCATTCTTTTTTCATTATGTCCTTTTTTTTTTTTACCTTTGCCGGCAATTAAAATATCGAGCAGAGGTTGTAATAACTTTTCATATTGGATAGCAGGATCATTTAATTCAGGTTGACCAGAAGCCCAAGTATCTGTTTGAATATGCCATTTCTTCATATCATCTGCAGAAAAGATACAAGGGAACATTTTAAGAAGTGGACCAAAGATATCAGGACGTGTCTCGGGTGAGATACCCATATCATTCATCAAATAATAAACAGGATATCTGTTCTCGACGTTCTTATGATAATCCACACAGGCCTCTAATAATTGACGTCGATCACTGGGTGTTTTTAAAGAGCGACCGAGGTTTAAGAGGTCCGCTAATTTCGAACCGGATTGAATAGGCATAGCGGCTGATACAGCTTGATTAATAGGAATATCACCAAAGATTTCAAGTACAACAGCCTCCATGAGTTCCTTTTTGGCTGTCTCACTCAAGTACTCCATCGATAGATTCTCTGGTATGGTTTCTTGTTGTTTATCACCATCAACAGCTAGCTTTTGTACGGTACCTGCACGAGCGTCTAATGCGACCAATTTGGACAGATTCAAGATGAGTGTACTGTACTGAAACTTACCACCAAGAGCAGAGACAATAGCATCCGATTGTTCTGTGAGTTGAGCCAACTGATTGGGAACGTTAAAACGAGTCTTCATCATGGCTTTACGAAGATCAAGTTGAATTTCAGAGGTGGATGTAGCGTAACGAGCAGCGGAATTTAAAGCACCAAATTGAAGGATCATTTCATTTCGTTCGAGTAATTTTTCTGGGGTTAATACGTATTTGAGTGGTTCAGTGAGCTTTTGCTTGGAGAGGAAATGGGATTGAATCCAACTGGAGAAACGATTTTCCTTTTTTTCAGGGTTTTCAGTGTCAATACGCTCCCAATTGGTACCGTTTTCTTTAAATGACATGACGTCAATGATGGCAACGTCTTCGGGTGTGATGGGTGTATTGAGAGCGGATTCATGTACACCCCAACCGTGACCCTGTGTACGTTCAATGATACGAATACCGTATTCCTTCTTGATGATATCTAAATCCATGATACTAGACCATGGAATCTCAAACCAATCATTCATTGTGTCGCAGGGCTCTAATTCGGTTCGCCAATTCTTTAACTTGGCATCGCATGCCTTTGCAAGTTGAGGTTTATCCTGAGCTTCGTAACGTTGAGCGAGCTCCTCAAAGGGTAGCCATGGATATATTTTATTGATTCGAAGCATAGGTGCAATGATGGTACGTTTGGTTTCCAAAGCAAGTCGGAGTCCATTTCTAAATGCTTCTTGTTGTTCAGGGAAGTCACTGTAATAATTATAACAAAGTTAAGTTCGACCTTTTTTTCTTAATTTTTTTTTACTTTACTCATCCCTCCCCACGAAAAAAAGTAATGTTTCTCTTTCTTTCTTTCTTTTTTTTAAAAAAAAAAATAAAGTTCTTACCTGTGAGGGAACCATGATAAATACTTTTCACCGTTGGCGTTGCTTGCGGCTTTTGGTTTAGTTTCTTGTAAAGGTAAAACCGGTGATGCCTTTAGATTGGGCAATATAGTAAATGAAATGAATGCAAAAAACAATAAAATCAAGATGTAATATATTAATCGCTGAATTCTAATCATTTTAGATGAAAAATAAAAAGGGAAATAAAATAAAAAGAAAAAATAGCGAATAATTAAAAGAAGGGGGAGAGAGCTTTTTTTTTTTTTTTATTAAAAGTAAGCTTAGGGGGGGTTGAATGTGTAGTACAAGGGGAAAATATATGGCTTGTAATTCTTTTTTTTTTAGCGTTGATCCTTATAGACCGCATATGTTTTTCTTTTTACTTTTGCTATTTTATATTTCAGATATAGAATGTGTTGTTTATATATAAGGAGGAGGATGACTTTTGTATTTTCTTTATACTTCTGATCTACCAAACCTGAGAGTGCAAAAAAAAAAAAAAAGGTATAAGAACGAGGTTGCCTGATGACAGAGAAGTGTATGAGGGCTGAAGTAAAAAGAAGCTTAGGGTGAGGCGTAAACCTGCTGAGTGTGGGGGTTTTTTTTTTAAAAAATAGGGTTTAAACGTTTCCTTTTGGTCTTGTTTGGTAGACGATTCGATTGTAGGTTATATCATCCAAGGACGATCCCTTTGTTGCGGTATTTCGGACTTTTCCCAAAAGTTAGTTCATTTAAAGAAATTAAATATTTTATTGCATAAATGAAAAAAAAAAAAGGTGCCCAATCTTGTCTTGTATTTGTTCAGTTCATTGAATAAATAACAAGAAGACCATTCTTTTAAACAAAAGAGAACCGCCCCTATGGTGTTCGAGACTAGTGTGGAAGCGTATCTTTACAGCCGGTTTTTTTTTTCTGGGAATTAAAATAGATCGTGGTTTTTTTATATCTCCTACTCAGCTTTTTTTTTTATAATTATTTATAACCTTTTTTTTTTTTTTTTGCTTTGAGTGATTGATGGATTCTATCTTGAATAAATCATAGAGAAATTAAGATGTAATAAGCTATCAAAAGAGTTAAATTTTGTGTTTGCGCGGGGATCACAAAAAAAAATAAAAAACGAGGCTAAATAATAAATTTAAAATTACCTTTTTGTGTAGGATTTGAAATAGAGTGCATGATACATTTAGGATAGAATGAATATCTTGCAGAATATTGAAAAATGTGGTGATGAGGATCACTTGAGAGGCTTTTATAAAGCAAAGGGGAGAGATGTTTTTTTTTTGTACAGTGTGGTCTAATAATACCTTGAAGATCCCCATCAATTAATGTGCATGCTTCTTGTGTATGCTGAATGACAACAGAATGTCACTGAAACAGACAACCCAAGCCATGTGTGTGTATACTTTTTTGCCCCCCTTTTTTTTTGTTTTACTCTTAAGAAGGGGTAGAGTGAAAGATAAATCTGGGTAAAAGCTTTTTTTTTTTTTTTTCTGGTTTAACCCACGCATTTTAATTTAATTTGCAACTTTTTTATTTACATCAGCTACTAATTTGTTTAAAATGTCCGCTGCAGACAACGTGCCGTGGTTCGTGTAAGTTGCCGCCACGGGTGCATTGACACCTGAAAGCAAAGCCATGTAATCCTGGATACCATGTGAGGTGGCATAAGCCACGATATCCTTGGTTTTAGAAGATTGAACGTCATAAGGAGGAATTATCTCTTCTTGACCAGCTCTTTCTTCAATACGTTGCATCAATTTATTAGGGTAGGCACGTACACGACGTCCAGTCAAGGTTCTGGTGATTTTCGATTCTGAGTTCTTGGCTGTCGTGAGCAAGTAATCCTTGTGGGCTTTCGGTGTACTCGATTCGGTTGCCAACATAAATAATGTACCCAAGACAGCTCCGTCCGCCTTCCAATCATGTAAAGCAGTATAAAGATCATCACCCGTGGTGATTCCTCCAGCTGCTAGAATAGGTAATGGGTAGTCCTTGGAGGCCGAACGAATGGCTTGAACAAGTTGCGCAGTTGGCTTTTGTTCATGGTAAGGTCCGCTACCTGAGAGAAAGGATCCACGATGACCACCTGCCTCTAAACCTTGCGCGACAATGGCATCTGCTTTTCGCGTGCTATCCTTTGGGTCTGCTAAACCAGCCAAGACCAAAGCTTCCTGTACGGTTGTCGCTGTACCGATCAAATAAGTACCTGCTTTTCTGAACTGTTCTGATGCTTCTTCGGGTAATAACCCAAAGGTAAAGGAAACCACAGGGACCTTTTCTTCCAGCAAGACTTGGACTTGATCATCAAACGAAGGTGAACGTAATTTATATTCGGTAGGGATAGGAATATCCAGGTCAACACGAATTTCATTCAAAATATCGTCCGTGGCTGGATAATGCTGATCGAGTTCTTGCGTGGTGGGTGGGGCTGTGGTACGACAAAAGAGATTGACAGAGAAAGGTTTATCTGTTTTCTCCCGAATGCGTTGAATGGTCTCTCGCAATTGAGGTGGTGGGATCATGCCAGCACCTAAAGAACCTAAACCACCCGCATTACTCACTGACGCAATGAGGTCGGCTCCTGTATGACCTGCACAAGGTGCTTGGACAATAGGGTATTGAATATTCAAGGCACGTGTAAAACATGTCGTGGCCCATTGGGTTGTCTTTATACTTGCCATTTGTGTTGTTAATGTTTGTTTTTTTTAACAAAAAAAAAAAAAGAGTGAGAGAGAGAAAGGGAAAAGAGTGGGGGTGTAGCCTATATGTTTTCTCCCCTCGTATCGACCGTCACAAGCAGCAGTGATTAGTAATGCTGCATAAACTGCATCTATTCTGTTAAAACCGTGGTTTCGGAAACCCCATGACCTTACCTTTTTTTTTTTTGCATGAAAGTTGTACATAATAAAAAAAAACTTGTAAAATACGTGTGTATCTTTATCCCTTTTACTGGAAACTATTTTTTTATAATGTGTTGTATTCATTCAGCCATAATATGCTTTCTATAACCATTGAAGCAGAGTTTCTTAAAACATTGCGCGTTTTGTGTTACAAACAATCCTTTTAAACTCAACACAAAAGATATCTGGGCTGGGATATTTTAAGGGTAAGCCCTTTTTCATTTAGTGAAATAATAATAATAATAATAATAATAAAAAGAAACTATTTAAACAGGTACACTTGTGAAATTAGCGGAAGCCACAGCAGCAGCAGCAGTGGTACTACTGTCAGTCTCATCAGGATAGTAATAGAAACTAATGGCTATCACAATATAGACAGCGATCAACATTAATCCCTCTAACCAATTACTTTCGCCATCCTAAAAAAAAAAGAAAGGGTATGTCAAAGGGACGATTTAAGAAGAAGGGAGATCCTTTTTTTTTTTTGCGTTACCATGATGAGATAGTTGACCATAATGACAGCAATGAATAAAATGGCAGTTTCGTAAATATTGAAATATAAACTCATTTCTACATCCATACCCCAACCAATAATGACCATGAGAGGAGTGACGAGAAGTGCAATTTGCATGCTACTACCAACAGCCACACCTAGTGCCAAATCCATCTATAAAAAAAAAAATTGTGCCCCTCTTTTTAGTTTTTTTTTTTTCGGTCGGAGTGCGTTTTTGGACAAACCTTATTTTTCATGGCACAGGTGACAGCAGTAAGATGTTCAGCGGCGTTACCCACAATAGGAATTAAAATAAGACCTGTAAAAAATGTTTGTAAACCTTAAAAAAATGTAGGATTTCTCTCTCTCTCTTTGGGGGATAATTACCAACAAATGTTTCACTGATATTCCAAATTTTAGTGACTTCTTCAATGGCAGACACTAAAAACTCGGCACACACACCTACCACTGCAGTGACAACAACCAGTCTAAAAAAAAAGAAAATATAAGTTACCATTTAGAAAAAGAAAATGAAAGCTTACAAGGTGACAGCCATCCAAGCAGGTAATTGAGGTTCTTCTTCTTCTTCTTCTTCTTCATCCTCATGTCCTTCTTCCAAGACTCTTTCTTGATTTTGAGGAGGAGGAATAATATTTGCGCTTGTTGATGTTGGACTGAACTATAAAAAGAAGTTAAGACATGTTGTACAATCGAAAGATCTTTTTTTCTTATAAGTACCAAATGGTTATGGGTCTTGAGCTATAGTCACACACAAAAAAAAAATAGAGAGAAATGAATGATTAAAAAAAAAAAAACGAGCCACAACATTCATTTTCCATTTACCTGAAAGAATAAATAAGAAAAGTAGAGTACGAGAAGAATAATGGAAGTTGCTCTTGAAATGGCAAGAATGCCACTTTGTAAATCAGCGTCTGATTCCGAGTTGGCGGATCGAATGGATCCATAAAAGGAGGCAGGGATGAGCAATGAAGCGACGGAGATAAACAAAAGAGAGGCGGATGTCTGTGCCACTGTCTTATTAAAATGTTGAGCCTTGTGATAATAACCTCCTCCCCAGAAACACATGCCCAACACCAATAATAAATTCGAAAGGATCGAGCCCAACATAGAGGCTTGAACCACAATCACCAGGTTCTGGGTTAATGAAATAATTGAAATAATCAACTCGACTGCGTTACCAAATGTAGCATTTAATAAACCGCCAATCACCTTTTTTTTTTAAAATATGAAAGTGTTAGATGCAAGTGATACACACACACTAGTATAATTTTTTACCTCGCCTGTTCGTAGGGCAATGTCTTCAGTAGCAAAGCCCAGTAACTTTGCAAGAGGGATAATGGCCAAAAAGTTCATGATAAAAGTGACGGTAGGTGACCAAACAAAATTGGATGCGATACCGATGGGTACAAAGACGAGAAGTAAGTTAACCCAAGAGGATTTGATAATGACCATACAACCTTCTTTAGCCGATATTTGTTTCTTGGGCTTTTCACTCTTGTGAAGACTATGGGAAGGTGTACGTGATGGGATCAATGGTTTTTGGTGGGTATCATGACCGTTGACAGCAGATGAGGTTTCTACCATGGTAACATCTTCAAAGCTCTTTTGTTTATCCATAATGATGATGAAGAAGAGGAGAGAGAAAAAAAAAAAAGTTTAAATAAAGAATGAACCTTTTATATACTTTTTATTAAAAAAAAAAAAAAGTCCCTTTTTAAGAAAAATTATCATAACGGATCAAAATAAAAAAAAAGACTTTTTTCTTGTACGACTGTCGTACCTTATTTTATTTTTTTGTTGATGTACATGACTTCATTTATTTATAATTAGGTCATTAAAATTACTTTACCATAATGGGTAATATTCTGTCAAGATCGCCTGTTTGTTCTTTTACCCCCAAAAAGTGCTACTCTCTTTTTTTTTATCAAACGATAACGCTAATCCCTTTTAAAAAAAAAAAGAGGGTTGTGAAGTCATTTCTAAAAAGCACAAAAATGACGGTTTTGCTTTTGAACTTAGAGTGTGACAAAGGGTCATTTTCATTCGGGTCAAAAAAAGGGTACGTGGCGTTTCTTTTTTGTGATGAATCCCCGGGGGGATGTATATAAACGCCAAGAGATTTTCCACCAGCCATTTTTTTTTTTTTTGTAGATGCATACACAGGTGGCTGGTTTTTCTGTTCGCCTTCCACCCCTTCCTCTACACACAGTGGTTTTATTGATTTAGAGGGGTTGATTAAGTGTGTAAGCTACTATACTTTTTACCGAATTTATTTTTACCTTGAACCTTACTGATATTTTTTTTTTTTTTTTTACTTTTTGAGCCCTTACCAATTTTTTTTTTTTTTTTTTTTTTGAACCTCAACCTTTGTCTTACACTTGATTAAAACATCCTTTTTTTTCCAAGACAGACTAAACTGTACCTCATTTAACAAAGTTACAATATTTCAAGTTTGTATTTACAATACCACCAGTGAGCCACAAGCCATGTCGAAAAAGGCGATACTCAAAAAGACAAGGCCTTGAGTTCTAAATATCGCTTGAACTGACTGAAAAAAAAAAAAGAGGGCCTGTGCTATTAAAAAAGTAACCGTATCTAAGTAACCAGCGATGTTGATTACAGTGCTTTATGCAACCAGGTGAGGCAACCCTTCAAGATGGAAAAAAAAATCCCGCTCATTTTCTCCTTTCAGGACCTACAATGCGCTTCGTATGCTCTTTTTTTTCAGGCACGTTCATTGACCATGACACTGACATCGTTTTTTACAACGGGTAGCTAAATCCACACCGAATCTTTTTTATCCTTGATGGTTTAATTTCTTTAAAACAATCATATAAAAACTCATTGAAGTTTTGTAAAAAAAAAAAAAAAGAAAGGGAATTACGGTGAGTCCAAACGATATCTTTATTGTTATTAGTATTAAATGGGATTCACATACAGCCATTTGTTATTACATGTCTACGACAAAAGCTTCCATCTTCGCGCTAAAATAGCTGTATCATCCAACGTCAACCAAAAACAACTGTTTTTTAATAATAAAATAGAAGAAATTTCTTTATTTTTTTTAGAAAAAAAAAGTTAAATTGAACGCAAATTATTCTATTGACTACAAACACCAATCTTGCTAGAGTTATCAAGATAGGTACAAATATTTTTGGGGGTTCTAGCTGCCTTGTTGACAGTAACACCAGAGATAGAGAAATCACTGCAATGAGCTCCAGAAGAACAATTGATGTTGACAATAGGTTGGTTAGCAGATGAGACAGATCTATGTATTGTTTTGCGAAAAAAATAAAAGGTTAACAACCAATCTATTTTAGAGATCTTTTTTTTTTCTTTTTACCCAGTGATACCACTAATAGTAACGCCAGTAATGGATAAAGAAGTGCTATCACTCTTTTGACAGTATGCCATTTGGTTTTGATCACAATAATGTGTAGTAACAACAATAGGGTTATCGGCATTAATGAGTTGGACATTGTTGAACTTTACATTCTGAACTGCTCCCTTTCCACCACTCCATGTCTTAATTCTATTATATATAAAAAAAGAAAAAGTTAATATCCAAGTATGCATTTTTTTTTATTATAGAAGCTACCTGAGACCATTTTGACAGTTGGTACAGACACTGTTAACAACAGAAATATCTTTCACGTACTCAGTAGCTCCTCCTTTACCAAGACTACCGACACTAATAAACGCAAACACATGTATTTATATCAGCTAAAAAAAAAGAAGCAATCTATTTTATATTTATCCCATTAATTTTTACCTGAAACCATGACCACCAGTACAATGAACATTAGAAAGCGTCATGTTCGTCACACCACCATTGATAGCAGTGCAATCATCACCCACAAACAAGTTCGAGTCCTTAAAAATAATGTTCTTTGAAGATGACACATCCAAGGCATCCGTATTCTTGGCCAAATTACTGTTGGTCGAAACCGTCTTCAAGTACACATTATGAAGTACCACATTATCACAATTCGTCATACCCAAATGTGCTCTAGGGGAATTGAGAATATTAAAGTTACCGAAATCAGAATTCGTAGCACCGATACGAAGTACGGTTGGTGCTGTTGTGTCTTTGATATCCCACCACGTCTGTCCGTTACCCACAATTGTACCCCCACCAGAGAAATTAATATGATCTCCCTTGATTGAAATATAGGCATTTCCTCCCTTGAAACTCTTGTTGAACACGGGTAACACAATCTGTCCTTGGAAATTGACAGTGACATGACTTAACCCTTGAACATCCACAGGTATCTTGATGTAGTACGTTGTTCCCTTGGGGAAATTCACCGTACCGCCATTCTTACAGTTATTAAAAGCTTGCGCAATCGTAATGGCATCGTCAGAACTACTTTTCGCGACATTGCAAGTGGGACCAGCAGTCACCGTAGAGGATAAAACCAATGAGGCAATAATGGATAAACCAAAGGAGAGGAAATGTACCATATGTGACAGGTAATAAAAGAAATAAAAGATGATGAAGCTTTACTTGTCTCCCCTTACCTACACCCTTTTTATATTAAAAATTGCAATCATCGGGATATGTAAATTCGGGAGATCTCATCTGCAGTACTTAAAATTGGTGTTACTTATGTATCATTTTTATAAACGAAATACGGGATTTCATCACCACTTGCTGCAATTCATTTCACTTTGTACGCCCTTTAAAAAAAATTGCACTTATTAGGACAAATTATATGCTTTTATAGTTAATTAAAGTGGAATAGACTTTTTCAATGAACGAAGAAGTGAATAATAAGAATCGGCTAATGTATAAAAAAAAAAATCGCACTTATTCTAGTAAGTGATTTAACGTATTTTTGCGTATTATTTTATTACAATAATAAAAAGTGTATTTATGTATTTTCATACAACAATTTCTTGAAATTAAATTATAAAAATGAATTTAAATAACTCTGCATAATCGTGACCAAAATCGCTTGAAACCTCTTTTCATTTCATTTAGCTCTTTCCCCCGATTTCATCGTGTAGCTGAACTTTTTTTTTTTTTTTTAAAAAAAAAAAAAATGCAACCAAAAGCTCGTGTATTTTGTTAGACTTACATGTCATGCAATATAGACTAATCTCATCCAAAGGGAATGACCTGAAAATCCTTTTGAGCACTGAGAAAAAGCATTGATTCTATTTACATAAATAATGATCCCTATGGGTGTGTGTATGTGGGAAGGTATCCTAACAAAGACATACTCGATATTTCAATAAATGTTTTAATGTATTCGGTCTGGACCCTCCCGTTTGTTGATGTCAATTTTCAATCAATTAAATTTTAATATCTTGGTTATACATTTGGTTTCACTCAAGTACACCTCTTTTTTTTTTTTTTTTTTACATCTAGTGTTTAGGCTTCCGTTGAAACTGCTTGAATTTAAAATTGTACATCACCTAAAAAAGAAAAGAAGAAAAAAAACTCTACTGTCTTCATGTAAACTAAAAACATTATGCACAGTTTATTATTTGGTGCTCTTCCAGAAGTTTTGTTAATAAGTACTTCTTTTTTCTTATTATGTGATACTTCTTCTCCATATCACGATAACCAGCCTGAAGGCTTTGGTTCTCATCTCTTGCTTCATTCCTTTCTCGTTGAATAGCATCTAGTTCTTCTTGATGTCTTTGTATTGTACTAGCAAATTCTTCAGAACTAGGACGTCTTCTGACATCTTCTTCCTTCCTTCTCACTTGGTTTTTTAATTCGATGACATTCTCTTCTTGCCTGTTCAATGCATCGAATAGTTCATGAATTGTGTCTTTCAATTCTACTATATCTTCCAGCAACAAATCCTTTTCTCTTTCCATCGTGTCTGCTTGTTGCTCGAAGTTACCTTGTAAGCTTGCAAGTCGAACATCTCGCTCTCTAATAGAGACAATCATGTCGTTGTATTGTTTCGTGAGGTCATCTTGGCAATACTTCTTGGTGTTTTCAAGTTCCTCGACTAGTTCTTGGTTCAACTGCCTTTGCTCGTTGAACTCGGCTTGGGCTTTAGCCATATGTTCTTCAAAGGCTTTGATGTCTTCATCGTGTGATTCTGTTACTGTTTTAAGTTCTTTTTTGAGGATATCGATCTCGTCTTCTCTCTCCTGAATTACTTCCTCTCTCTCTTGTAAAGCTTCTTCCAGCTTGATCACCTTTTCATTCATGGGTCCACACATACCCCTTTCATTCACGGGCCCACCCACACCCTTTTTATTCACGGGTCCATCCATACCCTTTTCATCCAAATGTGATAAAAGCTAATAAATAAGGTTTAGAAAAGAGAGTCAAAAGTGTAGAAATATATGACTACGGCTACCACTAACCTTTTCTACTTCGGCATCTAAAGCAGCGACATCTTGGTTTCTACTTTGGAGGGCTGCAACTAATTTCTCGTTGTCCTCTTCCAATTCTTGAACTGCTTTGATTAAATCATCTGTCTGGTTGTCACTTGATGGGTTTGACGAGGCTTTCTTCTTCAGGATCTCGTACTCGTTTTGTAAATCGTCATAATCGGCGTATATGTGGTCCAAGTGAGTCTTTAAGCGGTCGAAGTCATCTCTTTTGTTTTGGAGTTCGACTTCTTTATCTTGCAGATCCTATTCATTTATTCATGGATTTATAGTTACGTCATAATTCCCTCATGCTGTGAAAACTTACCTCTTTTAATTGTTCCAGCTCGTTTTCGGCTGACTCTGAGTCCGACTGATTACTACAGGAAGGACATTCATGCTGATTTTGCAGATCGTTAATCTCTTCATTGAGTTCAGAGATTATTTCCTTTGATTCTTTTAAGTCTGCAGAGAGTGATTGAACGCCTGCTCTTAATTTAATATTCTACAAACAATATCAGTAACCAGGAGCACAGCTTTTTTTTTTTTCGTCTTCTTCTGCTTACTTCTTGGTTTAATTTCTCACAGTTTTCTGGAGACATTTGGTTCAGTCGTTCCATCAAGAAATTTAGCTGCAGTTTCAAGTCAAAGTTCTCTTTTTTTAAATTATCAATGATCTATTTTTTTTTTTGGGTCAGTAAAAAGATTATATGTGCTTGTAAATAAATAAAAATAATAACTTTACCTTCTCCTGACTTCTGAGAGACTTAATGGCAACGGCCTTTCTTTTTCTTGAGCCACTTTGACTTGATTCGCCATTGGTTGAGACAGTTGGTGAGTTGGTCCCGCCCAGCAAGGAGACATCGGACATGGATAATTGGTCGTCGATTGTGTTGTTCATACTTGATGTGTATAATGATAAAGATGGAGTAAAACATCCATATATATATACTTTATTGTGTACATAAGCAAATTCATGTTCGAATTGTGGGTAACTTTTTTTTTGTTTATGGCCACTGAAATTACAGTTACACACATGTGAGTTTGGGGGGGGGGGATTTTTACTCAAAAATATTGCTCTATTTTCACTTGTTGTAAATAGGGTTTTTTTGGAAATGGAATAAAATGATTGAAAGAAAAAACAGCGTCAAAGCTACAATCTATTTTATTCAAAAGAAAAAAAAACTAAGGGAGCATCCGCCATGCTTTCTACGATTGTTTACCTTATTTTTTTGTTTACGAATCTTATGATTATTATGTAATGTGATTATTTATGGGAAAGTTTATTTTGTTAATTGGGGGTGGATACTAGAATCTCTTTCTGTTTCTAGCTGCAATCATTCGATGATATAATTCTCGATCAAATTTAATAAGGAATCAATGTCAAAATTTAAATAGTAATAGATAATCATAAGAGGCATACGAAAAAAAAAAAAAAAAAAAAAAAAAGTCTAATATTTGGTGGGGCCTCCTAGAGCATCAATCACGGCCTGACATTGACTCGTCGTACTTCCCACTAAACGATGGGCAAGCGAAATGTCTATTTGCTCCCATTTCTCCTCTATCACAGCCCTCAAACCTTTCACGTTTTTTTACTTTAGATCTTCTTTCAGAAATCTGATGTTCTAAGGCCCACCCAGAGATGCTCAACTGGGTTTAAGTCTAGACTTTGGGCAGGCCAGTACTCAAACCCCGCAATCTGATGGGTCTGTTTTCATCACCGTGCGTAAACCCTAGTATGGCACGAAGCCCCGTCTTCTTGTAGGATAAAGTCTTTATCCTCCTTTTTTTTTTTAGGAAATTCCTTGAACCAGGCATAAAAATCATGATCCAAAGTATTCGTATAATCCTCTTGATTTATCGTGTCATTAATTACGGTTAAAAGGCTGAATTATACTTTGTAAAAGTACCCCCAGATCATTACACCACCTCCACTCCACTTTATTGTTGGAATAAGATTTCTTTTTTATAATTTTTGTTCTCAGTACGTTTCTTTTAAAACGTCACTCCACTGATGAAAACTCTATTGGTTTTTTTTTCTCCTTGGTAATGAACGGTTCTTACCAGTAATAGATTAAACTTCCAATCTATCTCTCAAAAAGAAAAATGCCTTAAAATTTATTTAGGAGTGTATATTGGGTATTGCCTTTTTTTTCTTCTTCTTATCAAATGATGAATTCGGGGGTATTTATATGAGACAAGTATGGCATCTTATGTATGACATATGTTGGCCCTATTTTTTTTTAAGTTAAAAGGGAACAGGTCAAATTGGTTATCACCCTGTATTCAAATTTGGCGTTTGCATGAAATGTTAACTATTGATGTACCACAAGAACTCCTCTTTTGTATAAACGACCAAATTAAGCATTTAATAAAACAATATCTTAAACATTGTCATGCAGACAACGGATATTACAGCTTTCTTATATATCTTTTGGATAAGAACTTTCACCTGATTAAAACCATTTCCTATTACCTAGGTAGCTTATATTCCATTTTCATATCCGTACCAAAATAAATAAAGTCCCGACCAATATATATAAACAACAACAACAAAAAGTTTTATCTTTGTCGATCATTTGGTGGCGTGTTTCACATTTATATACAGCATTTATATATAGTGGGATGGCATATTTATATAAGAAGTCTTTGATAGGAACACATATATAGTAAAGACCGTATGTATTAACTCTGATTTGAAGATTGTATCAATAGCTACACGTAATTTATGTATTATGGTTGTCTCTTCTTTTTTTTTTTTTTTGCGCAGTAATCAGTGGTAAATATAAACCATATCTAATCATATGCATTGTTTTGTTTATAATATTTAACAGTACTATCGTGAAGAACTTGATCCCTTCAAGCAGTAGATAAATCTTTCTCTCCCGAACACACCTTCATCTTTTAAATAAAAGACACTTTCCTGAATACTGTTCTTTTTTTTTTACTGAGACTTTAGTAGAGCAAGCCTTTAAATTATTTTCAAATGATTCAAACGCTCATGTTCCACAAAAACAATTGATTTCGTAATTATTCGGGACTTGCATCATAGAAAGTGTAAAAGCTACAAGAAATTAGGGAGATTCTTTCTTTTTTTTCTTCAAAAAAAAATTAAAATGAGGAAAAAACATACCATGGAAGAGTGTAAGATAGCGCAAAAAAAGGGTGGGGGGCTAACATGTAAATGATGCTGATAAAGGATAAATCCTTTTTAGATATTGCTTTACAAAGGGTACTTAAGCCAGAATTAGGGCTTTTCTTTCAAAACTTTGACAGAGACATCCGGCTTATGTATTATCGGTTACGAGAAACCTTTAATCATGATCGTGCCAAAATCGAGATGGCTCTTATTATTGCTAATGCGTGGGATAAAGGATTTAGCAAGTACGGGTGATAAAAAAAAATTTTATTATAACTTTACTAAATTATTGATTATAAAAAAGGGAAATTGTCTTATCGTATCTTGGCAAAGCTCTGAATCAATATGCTGAAATGGTAACCTTAATAAACTCTTGTTTTCATCCCATATTATCCATAACTAATACAAAATTGATGGACAGACGTCTAAAGAAATAGCTGCTATATCATTACTCCTCACCAACATGGATATTAAAATGGATACTCATAGTCAAGACTATAACAATAGCAAATAAAAAAAAAGTCGTGGATTTCTTAAATATGAACCTTTTACCATTGTCTATCCATTGTCGTTTTGTTATTTTTAATAAATCAATGATAAATATTCAAAGGCAAATTCTTTTTTTTTTAAATTTTTTTTTCCAAAGTGTTCTTAAAGACATTTTGTGCATATATCCTTCATGTGATATCGTATTAGAATGGATTGACCTGGTTGCTGTCTTAAAAAACGCCGAAGGGTGTTTATAAGGGTGTGTCACCCTGTGGCAACCATATGAAGTAAAAATACAATCTGGTATACCACGCTTTAAAACACTGTAGCCATTACATAGTCATTCTTTGTAAAATCATATTCAGTCGATAGATAAGTCTCATATTTCATTAGAAGAAGGATGATTTTTAATCACCATGATGGCGTACTATCTCTGTCAGTCACGGATTCAAAACAAACTTGCCTCATCACCTAAAGTAACCATTAATAAGAACAAGTATATCCATGAATAAAATGCAATAGCAGATTCATTCTTCAAGTGTCGAAACTACAAAAGAGAGACATATGCTCTAGATCTTGACAGCATACCTTTTTTTTTTTTTTTTGTATGAACTATTGACAGCATACCATTGTAGTAGGTCTTGCATAAATCCACATATTGAGACTCCGTTTCAACCAATCAATCCCGCATCTCATGGCAAACCGAGGGATCAAGGTTAGCACTACTTTTTTGAAAGAGGGGAACATCAGCCCAAGTACGAAAAAAAAATTAGACAGGTCTTTAAATAAAAAAGGATCAACAGCCATCGTATAAAAAAAAAAATCGAAGAGGTCCTTCTAAATAAGGAAAGATCAACAGCCATCGTGTAAAAAACATCGGTCCAATTTTTTTTACGGATATTGTCGGTCTAACTTTTTAACAACACACGGTTTTTGAAAAAGCTATAGATGTCCAATGGAATCGCCAAAAGAGAATTTGAAAATGCATTATTTCTGTAATAAGCTTAACAGCAACCAAAGCGAATAAATGATGCTTCCGTTGGTTTTCTTACAAATAATTCGTGAAATGTATTTTTCAGATGTATTCAGTCGCCAATTATAAGCCCGAGAAAATGATTTAATCAAATGGATAGACCTGTTCTATCTTAAATGTTGTCACAAACCTGTTAAATTAAGTATATCCTGATTCCAGCATTATAATCAACCACAATTGAATTAATAAAAAAAACCTTTGTTTTCTTTCTTCTTTTAAACTAATCACTTTCAATTTTTTATTATTAAATGAATAGATTAAAAGCAAACGACCTTATTACAGTCTTCTCAAATATATCTTCTATCAAGGATAAACTCCAGTGTATTCTTGTATGTAAAAAATGGTACAAGCTTATGACCGAAAACTATCTATACAAGCAGCTTAATTTTTGCGACAACAACAACTTTAACAAGGCTCTTGATCTATTTGACAGAAAACCAAAATTTGGGAACCATGTTGAAAGTCTTACTATCCAAAGCTGCGAAATTGATATTGTAACTATGTTTTTGTTGTCAAGACAGTTCCCCAATACAAAGCACTTATACTGGACGGAAGATATTCGGACAACAGAAGAAAGAATTAAAAATGATGATATATCAATCAAGAATCCCCCTCATCCACTCATTTATCGGCGTGAACTTAGAAAATGGAACCAGCTGAAAACTATCAATATCAGAATGGAAAGACTTCCTTTTTTGACAATGTTGCTTGAATCGTCGTCACTAAACAGTTTGACTACTGTCGAAATTTCCTTTGCGTCATTGCATGTAGACAATTATTTTGGCAGCCAAACAACAATAAAACTCCGTCCAATTGTTAAATCTCTCATCGACAACATTAAAAACGCTCCTTCTCTTGACCGTTTAGTTATGATATGTCCTGTTTTAGATTTATCTGATATGGAGGAGCTACATGCTAATACAACCAAATTAAAGACATTACACTTAAACTATATTGCTATTTCTGGTGGTTCCACGGACAATTGGTTGATCAGCACAGACAATGAGTCGATTTTAGACAACAATGGCAAGGTAGTTACATCGAATACAGCAAACACAGTTGCAGAGCTCTCCATAGTTTTCTATCATGACATTTCAGGAATACATGACTTACAGAATGATTTAAAAGATACAATGACAAAATGGCTCGTCTATATAGGGTGCAAATATAATGGTGCTGCAATCAATCTAAAAGGATTTGGAAACCAATACTTGTCTGAAATAAGCGAATTTCATAAACCACTTCTTACTATGATTAAAAAAGAGTTAAATACCACAGAATACCATGCTTTTCTTCACCCCATTACAATACAAATGATGGATGCACTAGATGCCAGAGAATTTGAACTAAAAACATTATATCTTTATACAAATACGTTAACATCTCTTCGAATGCAGTTGAACATTGTAAAAGTGTCAAGACAAGCAAAAACTATATGTCACTTGAAGATTAATTCAAAGAGTGGTGTCATTGGCAAGCACAGCTCAATTTTAGATTCCATCGTTTTTGGGTTATCTTTACATTTTGAATCTTTGTACAATTTGGATATCACCTGTACTATTTTTCAGAGTACACTTATCAAATTGCTTCAAAAGCTACCTTCACTTCAAGTCTTATCTTTGGATTCCGTCCATTTTAATGGAGAAGAAAACGTAGCCATGGTTTCTATCATCAGAAGTAAAATCCAAAAGTTGTATCTCACTTTGAATTGCGAAATAAATTCAACCATGCAACAGCTGAATCAAGTCATGGAGTTTGTGATTCAGTCATGTCCTCTACTCGTTGAATTTTCTTTAAGCGGAAGTATACTACTATCCGAAATTAGGAGTTTAAGACTATGTTTCTTTTATCATGAAGATTTGAAGACGATCGAAATTAATATCAAAGGAGTTCACTACTATGTTTTTTCATGGGAAGACGGGAAGCAAGGTCATCAATGGAAAGATTACAATGAACTAGCAGAGAAGTGGGATCCGACCTGGAAAAAATTGCATGTTGATATAGCGTGGAGAAACAAAGATGCCCAACTCATCTTGGCAAAGGCACCAGTAGTAGAAAACTAAAGAACTTTCAATTTTCCGGAATAAAGCTATTTTTTTTTTTTTACTTGCAAACATTGGTTGTGTGCTCATTTTTTTTTTCTTTATGTGATTAATGATGTGCATAAGCGTCACAGCCAAGTATATAAATGGGGATGTCTACAATTAAGTGTTTTTAAATTTCTAGCTTTATTCTTCTGTGATCGTTGCAAATGGTCCTTTGGTATGAGCGCTATTGTATAGGTTACACGGTATAACACCATTGTTAATGTCACAGCCACTTCTTTTTGGTAAAAACCAAGACTAACTTTATAATACACGACGACATAAAACTTTACCGTCTTCGGGCCCTTTCTTTTTAACACCATGTGTTTGGCTTAGCTATATTATTTAGTTTTGTTCAACGTGATACAAACCTCTCTTTTCTAGGTGATTCCCTGAATCTTGATTGTACCCTTAAATTATGTACAACTTCCCGAAAGTTCAAAATTATCATTCAAGCAATTTACTTCCAGTAGTATCACTAAAGTAATCTTTCTTTAGTAAAGTTGTGCTATTCATAGGTATATACGCACAGTATATTAAAAGAAAGTGATGAAATATATGTTATTTATTAATTTGATAAAAGGGGGAAAAGAAATATCTAAAAATATCTAAAAATGTCTGAATTGACAGAAGTAAACAAAACTATTCTTTGCTGTTGTAGAAGGGATAATCTGTATATCCTTCGGCTCCATTAGTATAGAATGTGCTTCGATCATATTGATTTAACTCCCATCCATTTTGCAAACGGGCTGGAAGATCAGGGTTGGCAATAAACGCACGACCAAATGAAATCAAGTTACCGGTCTTTTCAGCATAGGCAAGGGCATAATCACGTGTGGTCGAAAAGCCAGAGGCTGCAATAAAAGGACCCTGCCAAATATCGCGGTAAGGTTGAAGTGAATCCTTAAAAACCGTATTTGTATCTCCCACAAAGTTTCCACGAGGTTCAACAAAATGAAGGTAAGCTAATTGAGGATGGTTTTTTTGAAGTTGTTGTGTAATATAACTCCAAGTCTCCAAGGTCGTGTCATCCTGCATATCATGAAATTCACTATCAGGCGAAAATCGAATAGCCGTACGCTCTTCTCCCACAGCATCCACAAGTGCATCTATCAACTCGAGTACAAACCGACTACGATTCTCGATTGATCCACCATATCTATCTGTACGCTTGTTGCTATTTTTATTGATGAATTGATCGGGAAGAAATCCACTTGCGGAATGCACTTCAATACCATCAAATCCAGCTTCCTTCACCGCGTTCAAAGCTGCTTGTCGGTACTGCTCAATAATTTCTTTAATTTCATGAATCTCCAGTGCACGAGGGACTTCATATTCTTTAAGCACCAAAGGTGTACCCGTGATAGGAATGTCTGAGGCAGAAACAATTTGTTCTCCATTGGGATTCAGGGTCTTGGATCCTACACGACCTAAATGCCAGAGTTGAAGAAAAATACTGGCCTTGTTTTTATGAACAGCCGAGGTCACTTTTTTCCAACCTTCAATTTGTTTGCGGTTATAGATACCAGGTACGTTGAGATAGCCACCCGCAAGACGATCGATAAATGTAGCTTCAGCAATCAAGAGTCCACCTTCACTCGCTCTTTGTTGATAGTATTCTTCCATAAGTTTGGTGGGCACGGCTTCAGCAGTTGCTCTGAAACGAGTTAAAGGACTAAGAACAACACGATGTTTAAGTAAGTTGTTACCAACTTTGATGGGGGTAAAGAGATTTTGAGGGCTCATATTTGTTTTAGTTTTAGAAGTGGTAGTAATTTTTAAAGAAATTAATAAATTAAGAAAAAAATAATAAGGGAAAGATGCTTTTTTTCTTTTTCTTTTTATACATAATTACTATGAATAGATGAATAATCAAAAGAAATGAAATGAATAATACAAACCAAAGTAACTGTAATACATAACCGGTAATCTTTCTATGTGATCACCCCGTCGCAGCAAACTGTGAAACACTAAAAACCACCAGCTGATCCCATTTTCCCTTTGTCTTGAGTGAGTACTTTTTTATAGAATTCCCTAATTTAGGTCGTTCTGAGGATTACAGTGCTTCCACCCTCAATTTACCGAATGTTTGAAAAGTCCGACCACTTTTTTGAAAAAGATTGGCCAGGCTAAATTGACCAAAAAAAGGACTCTTTTACCCAAATGTTTGAGGCTAATTTGACCATCTCTTCGAAAATAAATTAACCAACTTCTTGCAAATAAATTGACCAATGTTTTGGTCGAATTGATTACAAAGGCTCTTTATTGAAGTATTTAGAAAAACAACTGACAGAACACTGGATACAATTTATGTTTAAAGACGTCTGAATAAAAAAAACGTGGGTCAGTCTATCTGTAAAAATAAAATAATATGAAATAGTCATTTCAATTCTTACTTCTTTGTTGATATTCCTGTATCATAATTCTTTTGAGGGTACAATAATGCCTTGGCAATTGCTGACAGTAACCGCCTATCAGGCTGCAGCCATTCCAGGCCTGAGCTTGTTCTCCTTATCCTGTGAATTCCTTCTTACTATTGATTTTAATCTTCACCCAGTACTATTCTTTAATAAGCACATAGCCTCTTTTGTTCAAGATTCCACAACAAAAGAAGAGCGATGGATAGGACTATTATTCATGATAATGAAAACCCTTTATTTAATTTTTTTTCTGCAATGGAAATAGAATCGGCTACTTAAATACAATCTTTTTATTAAGCTATTCAAGTTGATGTAAGATGGCATCAAAACATGCTACTGTTTCATACTAGTATGGACCAAGATATACCATGAGTATTTTAATGAAAGGAGGTCTCTTGGAGCCTGTATCACTCTAGAAGAATAATTGCTTCTTGGCTAATTGATTCGACAGATGGCCCACTAAATTCAACGAGCCCAAGGTTTTCTTTTACTAGTTGCTTTTGCACCTGTTGTGGTGTAAGAATGTCATCCTATATAAAAAAGTTTGAGTACCTATAAACCTTCATATTTGCGATTGCAGTATACATACAAACAAAGTTGCTAAAAGTTCAAGATACTGAACAAAACAAAGCCGATCATTCCAGTTCGTTGGTAATTTAGCAGACCTTTTTTCAATAAACTTCCAGTGATTTTTGTCATACAGAGACATCTCACTCAGAGTGACTTGAGTCCTAATTATTTGCAATGAATAAACCTTGAGCATTTTAAATGTTTTCAAGGAGGCATTTTTATAATGAGCAACTTCTTTTTTCAAAGCAGATGCACTACATTCAAGGATTTTTAGCGAGTCTTCAATGGTATGCGTTGTATCTTCTTTTATAGCACCACTAAAATATGTTTAAGTAAGAATGAAGATACTGTAGATCAAATTTGATAATACTACCTTGACGCTTCCACGATTATAAGTTCCATATTGTTTTGAGTTTTCATAATACCAAGGGCATCAATAAACTTGTTGGAAGGGGCAGCACGAAGATCATAGTCATAGTATTTAAGATTCAGACAGCTTGAGGCTAAAAAGGGGGTTTCACACCTACGAAGAAAAAAACATCAATACAGAAGTTACCTTCTTCTCTATCTCTCCTTTTTTTTTCTTACCATTTGAATTCAATGAATCCAATAATTTTTGTCAAAGCCATTAAAGATGGAATAAAATTCTCAACAAAGTGAGTTCTTTCATGATTTTGTTTAAACTCAGGCACAGTTCGACAGACTAAGTGAAATGAGCAAAGACTATATTTGATGACTTCTAAAAATGCTTCTGATTGAGGCGTTAAAATGTGACCAGGTTTGAAAGACCAAAGCATTTGGTTATATGTATCAAAAGGCTCATCGCCCAACAAAGAGCCCAAGTAGCCGACCAAATTTAGCGATCGGAGTGATTTGTTTGACTTTTGTTCGTTTTCGCATGCTTGGTATTCACTTTTAGTCAAAGGATTGGTTGAGGAAAAAGAAGTACCAAAGTGAAATACTTTTTTCAATGTGTCAAGGTGGGTTTTTCGCAATTTAGGCTTGTGCGAACTCTCGGTTTCACTAGTTGGTGTAGCGAAGCAGTATTGGTTCTTGCCTTCAGTTAGACGTAGCTCACACTACATTATATACTTGAAAGGGTTAATGAAAGTATGAAATGATATGGAATAATTTGCCAACTGACATTGTCATTCAAATTGTTTTGAAAAGCTGCTAAAGTGTCTGTAACAGGAATGTCGCGTTCAGTGTTTGTCTAAAGACACTAAGATTTAGGCTTATCATCAATCATTTGTAATATAAAAAGGCCTTACCCAATTGGTATCTACACTTCTTAAATCTTCCGTTTGATAATCCTAAATATAATTCTTATTGATACTTTGGGAGGTGTCAACATCGTCTGATTTTCGTTTTTTTCCTGGCTAAAAAAATAATTGAACAAAAAGATCGCTTGTATTTCTGTTCTTATATACTTACTATACTACTGTCGACAACAGAAATGCTTGAAGTCGAAAAATTTACTAATCCATTGTTGTTAAACGTATCGGAAACCTTAATGAAACCAGCTAGCTCGTTGGGAGCAGAGACAGAGTCAGAATTAGGCGTAGACGCGGATGCAGATGCAACGTTTGAACCATTATCTTCTTGATTTTTCTGGGTATTATTATGTGTCTCTGTGGTATTTTCATGATTTTCACTTTCTACTTGTTCCTCAGCATCACTATCAGACTGTTGTTGGCCATAATGTTTATAAAAACTTAGATTCAGGAGTTTCTACAGTGCATCTATTTTATAATGAACAATTTTTGGCTCCGATTTTTCAAAAAAAAAGGAAAACGCTATCTCCTCGATGAATTTGACATGTATCAAAAATCTGGCTCTATTATCTTCTTTATTAGAGAGTTCTTCATAAACTAATAGAGCCCGATTTTTTTCTTTCCACACAAAATTTTTTACAGATGGCAAAACAAAATTTGCCATTTACAGTGGCGAGACCCAAAGATGTCCGGGAGGTGATTTACAGTGCAAAAATTCATAAAAATCTATCAGATATATCCCGGTTAAACGTTTTCCCGGGATAAATTAGATTCCTCTGTTAGAAAATATGAAAATCACCAGTGTAAAAAACGGACCTTTTAGTTCTGAAAATGTCCGTTTTAACGAAAATTGTTCATTATAAAATAGATGCACTGTAATTGAAAAATAAAATATAGTCAGAGAAGAACTATCAAGCCAAAAATAAATTTACATTGATATCATTAAGAGGTGCTGTCTGATACTTCTTCATTGATGTTTGTGTTTGGCCAACTGTGACTATATCTTTTTTTATACATGATAAAAGCTCAAAAAAAGAGCCAAAAGATATGCTTGAATCATAAAGGGAAATGGCTTCTATTAGATTCCATTTTCTTCCAGGTGTATGATAAAAATAATTAATGCTCATGGTACAGTGATAAAGAAAGCAAAGAAAGCAAAACGCCAAATTTCTTGGCTGCATGATTTTTAGAATGATGATGCAAAGCCAACTTTTTTTTTATAATTGCGTCATCATTTGAAATTTTTGATCCGTTTTTTTTATCTCACTGCCTTAGCTTGGATTGGTTGACGAATGATATGTTTTCTTGTTAGAAAAGTAGAAGGGGTTTTTCTTTTCGTCCCGATTAAGGTTAAAAGTAAAGGAAACTTTACACTACAAACTGGTATCACTGATTTCAAAGATCGACACGTGTTGTCTAACTGTAATGTACCCCCACGGACAGTTTTTTTTTTATATTAACATTTGTACATATTAAATCTATGTTTTTTTTTCTTTTGTGTCATGATCGTGCTACTAAAGCTTTCCTCGACTGAGAATGGCTGATACGTGTGTAGCTTTATAGGCTAAAAAAAAAAAAAAAAAAAAAAAAAGGGGTGATGAAAAAAAAAAAAAGATAACTATTGTAGTATGTAATTATTTTTTTGGGTTTTATTCTATTTACAAAAAAAAGAGAGGGTAGTGTATTCACAAGAAGAGAGCGAAAAAGACAAAAAAAAAAAAAAAAGATTAATTATTAAAGGCATCTCTCCAAGATTTCAAATTATGAGGCACGCGTTTCCAAGTAGTAGGTTTGAGGATACTCACACCTTCTAAAGGATCATATTGTTTGCGATCCTCCATCTCAATCGTATGACTATATATATAAAAAAAGGGTTTAGCATGACGCACCCCCACTTTCACTTATACAACCAAAAAAAAAAAACTTACGCAATGATTTCTTCACGTCCAGAATCTAAATCAACTTCTTCTAAAGGAACCAGTTTTGTCTTCATGATGACCTTATAGCCCACGAACAAGATGACAACGACGGGTACACCAATGTAACAGGCTATGATATCAGCAGCTACCAAAGGTCTTGCCATCCAGGTATCGTAACCCTGACCTACCAACACAAATGAACAAATACCGAAGGCGAAGATGGGACCGATAGGGAACAAGCGTGCCTTGAAGGGCAAATCTTCGACCTTGTATCCTTGAGCCACATAAGCCTTTCTGAAGCGATAATGCGAGGCGGCGATACCAAGCCAAGCAATGAAACCTGCGATACCCGAGATGGATAAGAGCCAGTTATAGACTACGCCGTTACCAAAGAGGGAAGTCAAAAAGGCCAACATACCAATGATGGCGGTAGCCAACACACAGTAGATGGGGATACCGTTCTTTGTGACTTTAGTGAAGAATTTAGGAGCCTTGTTCTCAAGTGCGAGATCGTAGAGGGTACGACTGGAGGCGTAGAGACCGGAATTACCGGCAGATAAGACGGTGGTTAAGATAACGGCGTTCATGAAATGAGCAGCGGCGGATAAGCCTGCCTTTTGAAAGACCAGGGTGAAAGGCGAGATGGAGATATCAGAGACATCGCTCTTTAACAAGAGTGGGTCATCATAGGGGATGATTAAACCAATGATAAAGATGGCAAGAATATAAAAGAGAAGGATACGCCAAAAGACTTGTTTGATGGCTTTGGGAACGTTTTTGCGAGGGTTTTCGGATTCACCTGCAGCGACACCGATGAGTTCTGTACCTTGGAAAGAGAAACCGGCTGTTAAGAAAGTGCTGAGGACACCGATGCCTTGGACACCACCGTACTTGAAAGTCTCAATACCGTAATTGACACCACCCAACACACCGGTATCGACGAGGATACCGAGAATAATGAAGATGATGACAACAAGTACTTTGATAAGAGCAAACCAATATTCAGCTTCACCATAGCCTTTGACCGAGAACAAGTTGAGAGAAAGGATCAAGATTAAAAAGATAATGGACCAAACGTAACTAGGGAAATTAGGTAACCAAAATTCCATCACCATGGCACCTGCAGTCTAATCAGAGATTCGCGGTGTGAGGTTACACATACGTACATTTTCATTCCTTTTTTTTTTTTTCTCTCTTACCAATTCAACTGCTACAGTGACAGCCCAGTTGTACCAATAATTCCAGCCAAGAGCAAAACCAAGAGCGGGATCAATAAATCTACCAGCGTAATTATTGAAACTACCCGAGATGGGCAAATAGGTAGCCTATGGGTAAAGAACAAAAGTGAATACACACAGGGTAATATGAGAAAATAGACAGTATTTTAATGTTTTACCATTTCACCCAAACATTCCATCATAAAGAAAACCATTAAACCAATGAGACCGTAGGCAATCAAAGCACCACCGGGACCCGCGTTAGCGATGGAAGCACCAGAAGCCAAAAAGAGACCTGTACCGATGGTTCCGCCCAGCGAAATCATGGTCAACTATGATATCTAGGTTAGTGGATCGCCTGTGTGTGTGTGTGGGGGGGGGAAATAGATGTGTATTTACATGTCTGGCTTTCAAGGCTCTCTTTAAGCGAGGTTTTTCAAGCTCTGTATTAGAGAGTAGTGATCCGGGGGGTGTAGATCGAGAATACGAACGAGACAAATCTTCAGCGAATTCAGTATGATAATGATTATTTTTAGCTTGATCCATAGATTGGAGTTCCACTTTGTCACTCTTTCTGACCCTCATACGGTCTTTGGATGAAGATGATTCATCACCCGTGTTTCCACCTGTCATTGTTTTTTTTTATTTATTTTTGATTTAGTTTGGGAAAAGAAGAAGAAACTTAAAAAAAAATAAAGTTTTGAAACCCGTGCGAAATATTTACTTTACACAAAAAAAAAAAAAAATTTCAAAAAATTCAAATAATGCTCCTAATAAGGTGCGTTTTAAGTAGATGTAGATTATCGTAAACTCCGCTTATGACCATAATAAAAAAAAAAAAAAAAAAAATTATTGTTTATTGTTAGCAGTTTCCAGATTTTGAAAAATGCGAGCTCTTGCTTCTTCATAGGCAGTTTTTCTTTCTTCAAACGTCATATTTTTTCTACTTTCTTTAGATGCATCTTCCGTGTTGGAATTACGCGAGGAAGGACTGGATCCTTCTGAACGACGCATGATTTTAAATTGTGGAGGTGTCTCTTCGTTCTTATGATTCGATTCTTCAGTCGCATGAGGGTCACCGTTTTGGCTGGAAGCGGCTGTTGTTGTTGCTGTTGCTGATGATAATGGTGATGATTCAGTTTCATCATGCTCGTCCAAACGAACATCAGGCAATCGAACCTTGGGCCTACAAAAAAAAAAAAAAAATTAAAACAAGCAAAATTAGAACAAGTGTATATGTGCGTGTGTGTAATTTTTTTTTTTTTTTTTCCCGTACAGCTCTGTAATAAATGTCTTGCAAACATAAACAGCTTTTCTCATGGCATCATGATAATGATTTAACTTGTAATAAGGAGCCAATTTATGAACTATTAAGCGTTGATAAGAATTCATACCAGGCAAGTCTAGGCGAAGTTTCCTAAGAATAATATAAAAGATGGGGGGCAAATTTAAATAAAAGCGTGTTTCCGTCTCATGTTTGTTTCTTATGGGCCTTACTGTTCATCCTTGATGAATGCTTCTATTTCCAATTCTAATTTTAACAAGAATAAACGTTGTTGAGGCTTTCTCAACAAGTCAATGATGAATTCGTCGGGTTCAGTGGGCACGACGGGGTCAGAGAACTGTTGTAAGCTAGGTGGTTGTGCGGGTACAAACGTTTGAAATGTATATTGTGGTTGTTGTTGGGGTTGATACAATTGCTGCTGTTGTTGCTGTAATTGGTAATAATTATTAATTATTGGTTCGCCTGTTGATGATGCTGTATTGTATGTGGAAGCCAAGGTATGGCTACCATTGTTAGGATAAAATGTGTTGAAGGTGGGATTATCAGAATAAGGATTACTTATTCTAGGCCTCTGTTGTTGCTGGTATTGCTGTTGTTGTTGTGGGTGGTAATGGGGTTGTTCATCTCGGCTATTATTATTGGACATTGAACTATGTATAAAATTAGTTTAACGTGTTCATCTACATGTAATTATCTTGTCATTAATATGTTCAAGATAATGTATTTATTCATTTTATTTAAGGTTACCCTACTTATCAAAACTGCTGTATTTATGACTTTTTTTTATAAATGTACGGAATCAATTTTTCAAAAAGGGGGGGGGGGTGGGGATATTAATTTTTCAACATTCATAGTGCCGTTCAAAAAAAAAAAAAAAAAAAAAATAGTTTACAAGCCACTATTTCAACCTCCCTTCGCCCCTAAAAAAAAGGGGGGGGGGAAGAGACCGTCGGCATATTTTTTTTCCTCTCTTATTTTATATCACTAATAAAAAGAAAAAATGACTACAAATAACAAGACAGTAAAGCAATGGGTTCCACTTGAAGCAAACCCTGAGGTAAGCTCCACTGTAAATAAACACCTCTTTCTGTAAACTTGACTAAAATACGTGACTAGGTTTGGAACGAGGTAAGAGAAAAAGAAAATGAAAAAAAAACGCGTTATTATTGCATATAAACGGCTCTTGTTTTATTCATTACAATATAGGTTGCTCATCAATGTGGACTTGATGAAAAGTGGAATTATGTTGACGTCTTTGGTTTTGACCCTGAACTCTTGGCCATGATTCCTCAACCCGTACAAGCCATTATCTTCTTGTTTCCTATTACCGAAGCCTATGAAAAGTTCAAGGACGAAGAGGAAGCTCACTTGAGAATGCGTGAACAAAGTATTAGTCCCGATGTTGTCTTTTTCAAACAAACCATTTCAAACGCCTGTGGTATGATTGCCTTGTTACACTCTGTTGCAAGTAGCGATGACGAAATTGTGGGTAAATATCCTTTTTTTTTTTTAGGAGCCTTTTCCTTTCTTAGTAACACCCCCATCCTCCTCTACCAAATGTAGGTCCGGGTTTGTTTAGCGATATTATTGAAAAGGCAAAGACAATGTCGATAGATGAACGTGTAGAGTTGCTAGAAAATAGTGAGGAATTGGCCTCAGTTCATGCAAATGCTGCTGCACATGGACAAACTGCCCCACCTCCCGATCTCTCGGTTCCTATTGACCTTCACTTTATCTGCTTTGTTGAGGTTGATCAACATCTTTATGAATTGGACGGTAGAAAGGCCTTTCCTATTAATCATGGAAAATGTGAACATTTAGTCGAGGTATGTCATTTGAGTTTGTATGGATAGTGTGGTCAATTTAAAAAAAAAACTAATAAAATATTTCTAGTCTGCGGCAAAAGTCATGAAGGAATATATGGCTAGAGATCCTGAAGAGACGAATTTCAGTGCTATTGCTCTTTGTAAAACAGAAGAATAAAAAAAAATCTCTGCCCAGCATGAAATATATATCGCGGTCTTTTTTTTTTTTTTCTGCGATCGTTTTGTGTAACGACGAGTGCCATTTTGTTGAAGCGTCTTTTACAATTTCATGGAGTTTACTATTGCGTTATCAAAAGAGGTTGTTACTTGATTCTCTTATTAAAACGGTTGTGTTAAAATTACGATAGCATTCTTTTCAATCACGTCGCATATTACTTTTAACAATTTATCTGCCACTAACAACTTTTTTTTTCTTATTTTACAATCACTTTCAATGATTTAACTTGGGTCATAAACGATTATTCTACTACAGCAAAACGTAAGATAACTGCCTAATTTTGGGCATGGAAGACTCCAACATGTTTGCGCACAGACAAACCCAAGGTTTTCTTCATAGAGTCAATAGAGTGGCTCACTGAGAAATGCATGAATTTAATAGGTTAGGCGCCCACTTGATATACTTTTTTTTTTCTATCTCCAACTACATGCTTTATCTACTTTTTTGTAGCATTGCTGAACAGAGCGTCTTTTTTCGCAAAAAGATTGACTCTGGACGTCGCCAAAAAAAAAAGAGAAAAAAAACGGATGCTACAGTTACATCATTGAAGAGTTCAGCAGCAGTAAAAGGTTGGAACAATTGGTGATGAAGATAGTCTTACGCATGTTGAAGATCTGACCTAATAAAACAGCTTGACAGGACAAAAAGTTAAGTAAGTGCTCATAGATCTAAGACGTTCGGAATTTATTTTATATTCTATGAACAAGTAAGATTTATCCGAAGACTAACGAATCACAAGATATTGGCAAATTAAACAAGAATATTGAAGATACTCAACATACATTACTTATTCCTTTTTTTTTTTTTTCAGATGTAAAACTGAAGCCTGTTCAGTTAACGGTAAAAAGAAGGCTCTTTAAAAGGGATACAGCGGCAGTTTTGAATTCACGTTTGATATTAATCATTCATTGAGAAAAGATAAGGCCAAAAGACTGAAAAGATTTATCAGAACAAACTAATAAGCGGGGAAAACACATACGAGGGTTTCGCTATAATTATCGTTCACTAGTTGTAAATCTTGCAGGTAATACATCTCTTCAAAAACTTGTGCTCTTTTACGGAATTACCGTGTCTAACTAGCTAAGCAGAGTATCTGAATTTTATTCTTCGAAACTGTTACAAAGACTATAAAAGCTCTAGCACCTATTCATCGACAGTAAAGTGCTGTGTGTTAATTCAATGTTTTCATCAATGATTTATATCTTTATTTGACAATTGCCAATAAGACATGGTTCGCTAAAAAAAAACGACTGCCGACACAATATTTTTTCGTGCGTATGTTTTAGCTTTTTAAAATAATTTATATGTAGGTAGTGGTAGATAAAAGCGACAAATACTATAATAATGGGGTGGTCCTACTCAATTATAAATTACTCACACTACATGATTGCACAGAGAATTAAATTACAGAACACCCTCCGTTTCTGGATAAGGGAGTATGGTTAGTAAAATATCCGTATTACCTACCATTCATACTATCTATCCGAGTGTTCATTATGATCGCGCAAGTTACAAATTTAAAATTTGCTTAGATACGACAATAGATATTAAATCACATCCTATAAGTCAATGGGCAACTTTTTGATTTGGTTACGCGATAGCGTTTTACACAACCTTTTTTTTTTTTTTATAAAGAATCACGTCATTTTTATTTTTATTTTTCTTGGCTCCTAGGAGTGTGTATAATCAGAGTGATGGCGACAAGATCACACTTGAGTTGAAATTCTCACATGTGTGTAAAGTATGGCAGAGATGGATAATAAAACGTACGTTTATTCTGTCTAGCGATATAGTCACAGATCATGCGTTATACGTTGTAAGACTCTCGCGTGTACATTGAATTTAAGAAGGGGTAAAAAAAAAAAGAAGAGAGGCATAACAATGATTGATTTTTGGGGGGGGGGAGAGATATAAAAATTCATCCGGGGGGTGTGCACACAATGAAAAGAGTACAGAGGTTTGTCTCACGTCAAAACTAGTTCGAAAATCTCTCTAGCCCACCCCCCTCATGCGATTATCAGTGATGGGTAACACAATTCTGTGTTTAAATGAAATAAATATCAGATCCTTTTTTATTGTGACACACGGAAAAACACATACGAGTGACAAAAAAAAAAAAAATAGTGGTTCAAGTCGCGACTCGTTGATAGCATTCATTTAAATAGGATTGATTATTAAATTGAATTCATTAAGAACATGATTGGAGTTTAGTAACAAAGGGAAAATACAAAAAAGTTCGCTTATGATCTATTCAAAGTAGTTTTATATGACATGTGTAAAAAAAAAAAAAACTTTTTTGCATGTTCGCTTAGAAGAGCGCGCCATTTCACGACTTATCACAAGTTGTATCACTGGACTGAACTCCAGCTGAAAAAAAAATTACCTGATTTTCTATTTTCCCCAATCTTAGATCGTCCTTTCTTTTTGGGCGATAATAAAAAAAGTAACCGGGGAACACAAATCAGATAAATCTTTAGAGAGCACAATTACCGGAGGAGGAGGAGGAGGAGCTTTTCTTAAAGGGGTGTTACAATGGGAATAAAACTAGAATCACGAAGAAATCAAAGAGGAGATTCGTTTTGTCTCCAGCGTCGAATCAAACCATTTATTGAAGTGATACTAAATGATAAAGACGGCCGCGGCGGGGGGAGAAGCAATACCCAAAGACCTTTTTTTTTTTTTTTTTTTTTTAGCGTTTGCTCTTAGTAAGGGATGACCCCGGTATATCCCTTTTTTTTTATTTATTTATTGTTTACTAAAGCGTAACCTATTATTTTGAACACAGTGAAAGAAGAAAAAAAAAAACTTCTGTTCCGGGCAAGATATTATGCAAAGTTACGATAAATAATGGCATGTTATATCATTCTTTACATTTGACAATGGAAAAAAAAAGGAGAGCCTACTAGAGATAACTTTTTTTTTTCATGTGTACGGGGACCCAAAAAGTGCAATTCCGTTTAATAAAAGTGTACATGACCCGATAAAAAAAAAAAAAAAAAATTGACTCTGGAACTACTTTTGTATAATACTACTAGAAACGGGGAATGGATTTTTTTGATTTAGATCTGGAAAATGATTGGCTTTAGGCGATGTTTTAAAATGGATTTTGAGGGAGGACAAAGCAAACCACTCTTATCAGATGGAATCCCAAAAAAGATCAATAATTCCTAATCTTGGCCATTTTTGATAATATTTATACAAATATTGATCGCCCATAAAAAAATAAAAATTTTATACGTGTCAAAAACTAAATCAATGATCCCCCAACTCCTAGATCATGATGTATGCAACACGTTTGTTTATAAAACAACAATGCTGTATACCTTATTTTCAGTTATTTTTTTTTCTCATCTTGAGCAAGGTTTCTTATTGGATTGCCCATTACCCCCAAAAGGACGGGCGGGGAAATGTAAATTGATCATTTTTTTTTTTTTTTTTAGGTTGTGAGATTCGGAGTGAGACATGTGGAAATATATACATTTTGTATGCATTTAATATATAAAAAGAGAGAGAGAGAGATAAAAGTGCAAGCTATTTATTGTATTTTTTGTTTCAGAGACAGAAAGAAATAAATTCATTTCCAGTGAATGCATCATTTGGGGGGGGGGGGTTTGGTCCCTTGTTACATGTGATGGAAAGATATCTTTTTTTTTTTTCACCCGACAACGGATCTTTAAAATCAAATAAAATCTGATAAATTTTTTTTTAGGCGGTGTCATACAGATGCCATAAAATGAGATTAGAAAGAGAAAGCCCAGATTGACAAAATTAAGGTACCCGTGTCAGCGGTTACTTAATTGTTTCTCTCATTCTGTTGGAACAGATCTTCAAAAAAATACATCCCGCTTCCACCTTGCAGCTCCCATATAAATAGGGCATTCGAATTTGATCAAAAAAAGATTGAATCTATTTTTTTTTTTCTTCAGACCTTCTTCTTTATCAGATCTTTTTATTATATCATATTACAATAATGCGTTTCTCTACTGTCATCCCATCTGTTCTTTTGGTTGCTTTCTTAGCTATCACTCATGTTGTTGCCGATTCACAAGTCAAGAACAATGTTGCCGTAAGTTATATTTGGCAGTTTGTCTAAATCATCATGATATTAACATTTTACTTTACATATAGTTGACTAGCGATAATGTTGAAGCTGAAATTATGTACCAATACTTTGAAAAGCGTGAAGGTGCTGAAGACAATACCAAAAATGGTACCACCATCTACAACTTGCGTAAGCCTGAAACCACCACTGAGACTACCACTGAGACTACAGCCAGCACCGGTAGTTCTTACCATGGTGGCGGTGATGCCACTACAGGAACCAGTGATAAGGCTGCCACAAAGGCTAAGGCTGCTGGTAGTTTTGCTACTATTCCTATCTTTCTCAAAGGTGATCTCTTCTATCTTGGTATTGCTGTTACTCTCTTCCTCTGGGGTACAGGAAAGGTCTTGGATGTCAAGATGGAGCGTCAAGAAAAGTATGCTGAAAGTCAAATCCACAGCATCTAATAAGCGTATCTCCTTATCAATCGCCCTTCTTCTATACATAATACCCTCATTCAACTCGCTTTTTTTTCGAAAGATTAATAGCATCTTTTTATATATATCTTTTACATTACATTACACTTTACTACATTTATACAAACAAAAAACCCCCATTTTAGTCAAACCAAAAAAACCCCCCCACCCCAACTCTTATTTTTCTTTTTCTTTATCAGCTTACTTTTAACACTCTTATTATATAATCCTCAACTTACAAAATAATCTTAAAAAAAAAACAAAAAGAAGAATGGTTAGATACCAATCCTTTTTTTTTTTAAATTTGCTTAATAAAACTATGTACTGTGTACATTTCAATAACATTTACATCTCTTTTTTAAAATTATAAGGTTCACGTTACCTGGAGTTTTGTTATCTTTATTCGGAACAATGAACCGCTCGTTTAACAACAGTTCTTATTGCATTATCTCAACGAAGGGGAAGGGATCATTTGATTCTACGGGATGTTATTTTTTTTTAATATATCATATAGCCGGGGGGGGGAGGTTGCACCAAGTTTTTTTTTTTTTTCATCCTCCATTATTCTTTCAGCGGGAAAAAATATAGCTTGAATGACAGCTAACCCATCAAAATTCATATATTTGTTTATATTTACCCAACAAAAAAAAAAAAACTTTTATGCAGTGATGATCTCATTTTGGTTAAATACGTGTCATTTACTTTTATGGCTTTACAAGTTGTGATACATGGTATCAATTTACTGCTCTATATAAGGTCTCTTATGATAGGCGCTTGTGCTTTCTTCTGTCTAAATTTGACTATTGGCAAATGATTCAATGTACATTTTTGACGTGACAATGTGTTTGACTCAGGGAAGCAAGAGGGTTTTTTTTTTTTTTATACAGTCGTGGCAATCAATAATTAACTTGGTAAAAAAAAACAACACGTCAAATATACTTATAAAAAGTCGCGTTGAATAAAAATAGCAAAACATACACAACCCGGCCTCCATAAGACTTTAAACCCCTCTCCTTTCCCCTTCTTCCCTTCTACCAAAAGTACAGTCACTATGTCATAGTTTCGTGACTATACTAGATAAATTAATCGTAGTAAACAATAAAAGAGGGGGGGTTGTTTATTCCTCCAACAATTGTATAAATACCTATTAGGTACAACGCGTTACTCATGGACTACCATAAATTATAGAGGCTATAAATGAATGAGAATTTTACTACTTATGCTAAAATGATAATAAATTTTTTTATATAAATAAATAATTGAGAGAGAGGGGGGGGGGGTTGTACAAAGGCGAGGTCTGATTAGCCCTCTTCAGAGTAGAAAGGATAATCAGTATAGCCCACGAAATCATGGTTATCGTAAAAAGTTTTTCTGTTATACTTGTTCAATTCCCAACCATGTTGCAGACGTTTGACAAGATCAGGGTTAGCAATAAATGCACGACCAAAGGCAATCAAGTCACCCGTCTTTTCGGAGAGATCGATCGCATGTTGAGGGGTATGGGAGAACCCACTGGCTGTGATAAAGGGACCCTTCCAGATACGACGATAAGGTGTAAGTGTGTCCACGGTGGAGACAGCCGTATCACTATGTATATTCGCGCGGGACTCAATGAAATGGAGATAGGCCAAGTGAGGATGCTTCTTTTGAATTTCAGTCGTCAAGTAACTCCATGTGTCTACCACGGTATCATCTTGCATACCTTGAAATTCACCACCAGGAGAAAAACGCATGGCCACACGTTGAGGACCCAGGGCCTCCACAACAGCATCTAGTACCTGGAGAGAAAAACGCGCACGATTGGGGATTGAGCCACCATAGATATCTGTGCGATGGTTGCTACCGCTATTGATGAATTGATCTAGAAGGTAACCATTGGCGCTATGAATTTCGACACCATCAAACCCTGCTCCGATGGCGTTTAAAGCAGCTTGACGGTACTGACCCACGATAACATGAATTTCTTCAATAAGGAGGGGACGAGGTACTTCATAGTCTTGACCGGCGATACTTTTGCCTTCAATGGAAATGGCAGAAGCAGAGACGGTTTGCTCTCTATTTGGGTTAAGAGACATGGAGCCGGCTCGACCGATATGCCAGAGTTGTAGAAAGATGGAACCTTTCTTGTTGTGAACGGCAGAGGTGATTTTTTTCCAGGCATTAATTTGGTCTTTATTGTAGATACCTGGGGCTTGTTTGTAACCACCTGCGAGACGGTCTATGAAGGTGGCTTCGGTGATTAAGAGACCACCTTCTGTGGTTCTTTGAGTATAGTATTCCGTCATCAGATCCGTTGGGATGGCATCCAGTGTGGCTCTAAAGCGTGTCAAGGGAGCAAGAACAACACGATGTTGAAGAGAAACGTGACCAATTTGGATGGGTGAGAAAATTGTTTGTTTTTTGCTCATTGTCATAAAATTTAGGGTTGAGAGTGGGGGGGATGACAGGGAAATTATTATTTTTTCATTTATAAGAATTTTTGTCTCTTTTGAAATATCCCCCCCCAATCGAACCCGATCTATACGGGAATTTAATAAGAAGATGAAATTTAATCTATGTATGAATTAGATAACCAGCGGTACTCTTATCCGAGCGTATCCGCTTTGCTTTGATTAAGTTTGACACATGAACTGTAAAAATTGAATAAAGGTTTTTTTTTTTTAGGTTGAGGATAAATGTTTTTTTTTTTTTTCGATTCCCAATGTGTAGCTTAAATACATTAAGATTTGAGCATTCCCAGCTAAAAAAAATAAAATGACTTTATATCGCACAGCAAATCATCGTAATGTCTGCCGGATAATTAAGCGGACCGCCCTGTTTGTACTCCTCCCCGATTGTTTGTTTATGGCTGCATGACCGCCGACTATTTAAAAAAAAAAAGTTGGATTCTGGAAGCTGTTTCCATAGAAAGGAAAATGTTAATTATGTTTTAACAAAGAAATGTCTTTGAGAAAGTTACAAGCAGTGGGTACCAATCGAACTATTTGTATGTGTGGAGAGAGAAAACGCCCTCATTTTTTTGACATTTTGATTTTTTTTTTTGTAGCCAATGAAATCGTACCATAGTTCAGTCACGCAGTGAGAAAGGGCACCTTCATAAAATGAAAACTTTTTTTTTTTATGGTTATCGCGTTTTTTTTTTTTTCGCGTGAATAAATAATGGCTAAAGTGAAAAATCAAGAAGAATTACGGAAACCAAAGTTTCAACAGACAAAGTAAAAAAAAAAAAAAGGGGGATACTTTCAAAGATGGTTGACAAGTTATTAGATTATGCTTTGGTCCTGTGGTGACGAAAAAGGTGTCAGCGGATTATGCAAAAAAGTTGGAGGAATCCATTCAAGATTTAAACATTAGTAAAAAGGATCAACTGGGCCATGACGATCCCTGTCAACATTGCAGTGTAAGAGTTTTTTTTGCTGGTGAAAAGAAAAAAAAAAATAACACGCCATGTCCATTAGAAATCAACAAAACGAGTGAAATGTACAGCATTAAAGAGAGGTACAGAGGAAGAGTGTGGCCTGAGTTACTGTACAAAATGCATTAGTGAAAAGGTAGACGAGAGTGTGGAATGGATTAAAAGTAACAAGAATGAACAGTTTGTTCATGGGAATGGTGATGTGATTCAACATGGCAAGTCTAAATGGAGGTGGGCATGTTTAGTGTGTAGAGGTTTATGCGACTGCAAGTAAGTGAGTGTGAGATTGGGTCCCCCCCCTTGTCTTGTTTTTTCTCTCTCTCTAATTTTTATTTTTATTTAATAGAAAGTGTTTAGGCTCAACGTAAGTTTTTTTTTTTTTCTATCTTGAAAACAATGTATTATATAAACATGAATACTGAAAAAAAGAGTTTAATGATTTAAAAAAAAATATATATATAGAAAACGACTTTCATTTAATATCGAACCAACCATCAACAAAAGGAAAACAGTGCTAGACATCGAACCTCCAGAATTGACACCGATCCCACTTTTATATTCCGAAGAAGAGATATGGATCCGATTACAAATTCGAGAATTTATTTTTAGATTTGGCGATGTGTATGGATTTGAAAATCGACTCTTCACTAGTTTACAAAACGTGCAAGGAGATTGGCGTATCAAAAAGTTGGGAGCTTACACTGTCTGGCAATGTTTGACCATCCTCTACAACTCCTCTCTTTACGAAAATGAGGAATCCATACCTCAGTTAGCGAAAAACATCTTGAATAGTTGGATAACAGATAAAAGACTGGATAATCTCTATTGTGATAAAGAAGAAAAACATGCTGCATTATTACAAATTCTGAATACAGAAGGTATGACGGGAAGGAGATGGCAGGATATGGCGGAATTATTGGCATTGGCTCAAGTAAAAGATATTCCCATACCTACAACAAGTGATCTCAAGAAAAAAGACGCAGATAGAATGGATACAGACGACGATGAGGAGGAGGAGGAGAATGATGAAGTGAGTACCAAGATTGCAAGATATCAGAAATGTACAAATCGTAGTCTAGTGTCTGTGGCGGACGAATTAAAGATGATCAACATGTTATTGGAGTTACTCTTGTATGATATTCAAATACGACAATCATTGATTGCTGCTGGACAAAAAGCAATGAGCAAAGAATTAAGAGACGAAGAATCCGAATTCAAAAAGTATCAAAAAGAATGGACGCAAGAAAATAACAAGCACTTATTAAATAGAACGACCTTGTCAATGCGAGTGAATCAGTTGAAATCGACCAAGGGGAAGGACAAGGAATTCGATGAAGCGCAGATGTCTTTGGATGCATTAGAGACGCTCATTCGAGACGAGAATCAAAACCTATCTAAAAAGAAATTAGAGTTAATTATTCATACGCACAAGGCAGAAAAGAGAAAGAGATGTTTAGGGCATGATATGCTTGGTAATGAATATTGGGCATTTAGTGATACGTTGGATCACTTGAACCATGCAACTGATTACAGGAACAGTGAACCTTACTGGGCTTATGGGATTATTATCATTGGCCCTGGATTTAAAAAGGACAAGGAACAATGGTGGTTCATCAAGGGCAAATCAGATATGAAATTACTCAAAGATTGGATCACGAACGAATCCAAGAAACTTGCAAATGACGATCTAAAAAGAATTGCGGCAGGAATCAATGATCGCATAAATTATCTCGTCTCATTAGAAACAGTTGTTTATGGTGAAGGGTTCTTTCAATAAATTCAACAAAAAAAGTCTATTGTTTAAATGCATGATAATAAACTTTTTGGTTGAAATCAGTTTGATTCTAATTTTAGAGCCCATGAAAGAGGGAGATTTTCATTTTATAATGATTTATTTCTAGTTGGACTGCCCATTTTTTTTTTTTTTTAACTTGCACAAATAGCTTCTCTTCCTCCTATCTATATATATATATATATATATTCTTCTGTGTAAGTTCATGGGCCCTAAAGAAAGTAAATGACGAAGGTGTCATGCAATAATTACAAGTGAGTGTAAAAAAGGTATGCATGAATACAGTTTCTTTGTCTGTATGAGATAGTGTAATAACCCCCCCCCCTCCCCTTTCCCTCCCCCCCCCCCCCTTTTTTTTTAGTCTTCTACATGTCTTTCACTCTCTCTCTCTCTCTCTCTCTCACACACACACACACTCACTCGCTCTCTTTCATATCTCCTTCACTCCTACTATATATATATATAATTCAACTCCTGCTTTGTAAATATTCATTATAATGCTTTTTCTTTTCTCCTTTTTATTATATAAATATATATCTACATTTTGACACTTTTATACTTTATTTTTATAATCCTGTTGCTTCCCTCTTTTCTCTCTCTCTCTCTTTCCCTTTCTTCTCTCTCTCTTTTTTTTTTTTTTATTTTTATTTTTAATTGTTATAGTATATCAATATATATATAAAATAATAATATGCAGTCTACCATGCCTTCTTTTGCGCCCGACACGCCACAGCCTTACTTCTATCCACCGACCATACCAGAGAATCATCGATCCAATCCAAATTCTCGTCGAACGTCTACCGCCACAACGAATAACAACACTTCTCCCAGTCGATCTTCTCGCTCGATGCGAGACCGAAGACGTAGTTCGGGAGCCATTTCAACGCATTCTTCACAGAAACCGAAAAAATGTATTGGAGATTATGTTGTTGGTAAAACACTTGGCAAAGGTGCTTCAGGTAATTTCGAGGAACCAGCAGTAAAGCAGCAGCAAAAAAAAAGAAAAAAGAAAAAAATTAACTTTTTTATCCCTCTCCCCCCGCCCCTTTTTTTTTTTTAAAAAAAAAAAAATATAGGCCGAGTCAAGTTGGGTGTTCATAGACATACAGGAGAACAAGTTGCTATAAAAATTATTAGTAAAGCTCATTTAGCCGCTAATCCAGCGATTGAAAAAGCCGTACGACGTGAAATTGCAATTATGAAACTTATTCACCATCCTAATGTCATGTCTTTGATTGATGTCATTGATGATCCAGCTTCTTCCGACTTGTAAAGTATACTTTTTTTTTTCTTTCTTCTCCCTAAGTTCTCCTCTTGTGTCTTTTTTTCTTTCTCTCTCCTTTTTGAAGAGAAAAAAAGACAGACATTAGAAAGAGAGGACACTCCTTTTTTCTATCTTTATGGGGGAAAAAAAGTTATTTTGTTTAGCTAAAATGGTTTTTTTTGGTATTTTTTTATAGATATCTTATTTTAGAGTATGTTGAAGGTGGAGAACTATTTGAATATCTTGTGAGTAAAGGACGCCTTGGTGAAGCGGAAGCTCGACATCATTTCCAGCAAATCATTTTAGGTTTAGATTATTGTCACCATCATTTAATTTGTCATCGTGATTTGAAGCCAGAAAACTTGTTATTGAATTCAAGAAATAGTATCAAGATTGCTGATTTTGGTATGGCTTCGCTTCAACCTTTAGGTTCCATGCTCGAGACAAGTTGCGGGTAAGAAAAAAAGAAAATTCATGCAAAAATGTTTTTTTTGTTGATTTGTTTTTGTTTATTTTAGATCTCCACATTATGCAAGTCCTGAAATTGTTGCTGTAAGTTACACACAAAAAGTCTATCACTTTTTTTTTGCAGGTGTACTAAAAGATTATTCATGCTGTAGGGTATGCCTTACAATGGTTCGTCCTGTGATATTTGGTCATGTGGTGTAATTCTTTATGCTTTATTGACCGGACATCTTCCATTTGATGATGAGAATATTCGACAATTATTAAAAAAGGTCAAGTCGGGTAAATACGTTATGCCAGACAATATATCTCGTTCAGCTCAAGATCTTATCCGACGTATCTTGGTCGTTGATCCTTCTAGAAGATTGAATGTAAAAAAAAAAAAATTCTAATTAGATTTTCAGAGAGAGAGAGAGAGAGTTATTTATATACAAAAAGGAGGAGAGCTACTAAAAAAAAAAATATTTGTATAGATGCAACAAATCATGGCCCATCCATGGTTTTGTGAAACCGAACCCATCAATATGACGGTGTTACCTGTCCCACCTACAGAAAAAGAGATCGGCCAACCTGTAGCTGATGCATCCGAGATCGATGATCGTATCTTGGAAACCATCAAGTTCTTATGGGGAGAGACAAGTAATGATACGGTTATCAACGCATTGGTTCAAAAAGAGTAAAGTATCTAATAATAGAAAGCAAAAAATAATCATAATAATGACACTTTTTCTTATTATTGTAGACATAATATGCAGAAAGTAGTCTATGTTTTACTGCAGCAACATGCTGAAAGGTATTGGCAGGCGGATCACGACGATGAAAGTGAAGATGATACGGAAGATACATATTCAGGTATAAAATTGCACTCACCCCCCCTCCTCTTTATTATAATTACCTCCAAAAAAAAAAAAGTGTGTGTGTGTGTATGTGAAAGGAGATGCTAAAATACGAAAAAAAACTCCATAGATGCTCCTCGTCGTCGTTACCGCACCATTGGACACCGAACGGAGAGAGATAGAAGATGTTTATCGATGGTAGATACCAATACAGTCACCTCAGCATCCTCTAAAAAGAGTCCTGCTGCTGCAGCAGCAGCAGTTGGAAATCGACCCGTTGCTCCTTGGATGCCTTCTGATTCTATGCCATCCTCACCCACTTTATCCAATCGAAATGATGTCTTACGTCGTAACTCGGCCGCTACAGTGAAAGCTGAAAGATCACCTGCCTTTGATGATTTACCAGCCAATCCACCTTTACCGAACAATGAAAACATGTCTGAGGAAAAACGGTCCAAGATGAAGAAGAGTGAGACATTTTATGCTCGATTTGTCAAGAATGTTTTGACATCAGGTCGCAGACAAAGCAAAGATACAAGGTACACACATAAAAAAAAAAAATAGAAGGCACCTCCCCCTCCTCCTCCCTCTGTATTATAACTAACCTGTGTATGCACTTATATAAAAAAAAAAAAAAAATTGATGCAGGAATACTGCAGAACAACCTCCTTTTGGTACACCCACAAGTGAGACAGGTACAACCGCTCCTCAGTCAACAAGTAAGCCTATTGCAGCCACGCTCGTTGGCACACTTCGACGCAAGAACCCCTTCCAACGTGCACCTATCAATACGACGGATTTTGCCATCTCACCCAGTTCGATGAACGAGGAACCCGTCTCACCTGTGGTCCCGCCCAAATCTACGCTTCGTCCGACCAGCAATATTTTACAGCGAAATAAGATTGATCCTGCGGATGAAGAGGACGAAGAAATTGAGATGGTGGTGGAAAATCATCGTAAATCCAATAAGTCTGCTACCTTAAGTTCCAAGCGACTCTCACTTCGATTACCCAATGCTTTCCGTACCAGTAGTCATAAGGAGGGTGATACTGTCAGCTCGAAAAAATTTGGGTTCACATTGGGGTCGAATTCTCGTAAGCAAAGAAAGCAGCTGGACCTGTCACTTTTCGAGACAGAGCAGCAAATGAAGGCTGAAGAGCAGGAGGAGATGCCTCAGATCGATTCTCGTCTGGTACCACCACCAATTTTATGTGATGGTAGTACTTTAAGCAGTAGTAGTAGTAGTACATGTTCGAGTACTCATAGTAGTTATTATTCACCTGTAGTCAGCAACAATAAAGGTATGCCGCCTACGTTCAAGACGGTGATGCACAAGTCATCGAATCCCAATGTATTTGCATCGGGTACACCTCGTAGACCCAGTCAAGCTTCGTTCAAGTCCATTGACCGTCGTGGTAGTAACATTAGTAGCTCTACGTTGGGTCAACAACAACAGCAACAACAGAATCGACCCGCTACACCCAGTTTGCTTTCGAATAGTTCGACCATTAACTCTCCTGTTATATCCCATCATGGCAATATCCCATCGCAGCCTGCTAAATCGTCTTGGTTAAGCAACTTGTTTATCTTTAAACAACCCAAGGTGTGTTCGCTTGTTGTTTATAGTACGCATACGGCTGGTATTCTCAGATCCTTGCATCGCTTGATGAATACAGTAAGTAGTGATTCATTTGAAAATATATAAAAAAAAAAAAAAAAAAACTAGAAAAGCTAAAAAAAATGGGGATAGGCAACAGAAGCACGGTTTTACGAGAAGCCTGACCGTACAGGTGTGATTCGTTATAAGGCTGAAATCAAGACAAAGCCCACGGATGGTAAAAACTGATAGATTGATATATACAAAGGGAAAAAAATAACTTTTTTGAGACTCAACCTTTTTTTTTTAATGTAGGATCCAAAGTACGTCAAGTGAAATGCCGAATTGATTTAATCATGTCTGATTTGGACCCACAAAGTTGTGTAGTTCAATTTACACAACAACAAGGTGATGGAGTACTTTTGAACACGACAGTTCAACAGCTTCATGAAGCTATTTTAAAAGAATATCCTTGTCCTTCCAATATTATTCTTTCTTCAGATTCGTATAAGGAAATGAATTCGGAAATGACTTCGGGTACTTTGGTTGAAGAATATTAGTGTCCCCCTTTCCTTTTGATATAATAAATACTTAATACTTACTACTACTTAATTCATAATAATAATAATAATAAAAAACCCCTTCCCCTTCAATGAAAACACGCAGGAAATTTTTATATAAAAAAAAAAAAAAAAAAAAAAAAAAAAGCGCTTTTTTTATGAGTTGGTATTGTTCAGTCGAAGGTGAATTATATCTATGTTTGGCACGCCTAATTCAGTCTAATATATAGAAAAAAAAAGTTTAAGAAAAAAAAGGAAAATAAACTAGAATAAGATGAGCTTTTTTTACCCTGCTACTGCCACTACTGGTTTGAGAGGAAATATCTTCTTTAGGCGCTGATTTATTTGTAGTTGCACAATTAAAGAAACCACAGCCCTACAAAAAAAAAAATGATATTTAATGGTCCTCCTCCCTTTTCTTCCCTCCCTTTTTCCAACTTTACATCTGACCAGATAGATTTACATTCCCAACAAAAACTGAATCCACACAAGGTACACTCTACCTTATTACATCCTTCATCGCGGTTAATCATGATGGAACAGCTGGGACAGTTACGACTAATTGTGACAGATATTAAAAAAAAAAAAAAAAAAACGGTCAAAAAGGAAGGGAATTGTACCTGTTTTCTAATTTCCATTTTAGGGTTTGTACAAAATCATTGTTTATTTGTTGTTGTTCATTTTGCATGATGAGTTGTTTCATATTTTGTTCGCATGTCAAATTAAAATGAGCATCTTCATGGCCACACTGTAAACAGAATGTTTTTTCACAGGTCATACTAATCTGTTTTGTTAGATCCGTTATATAACAATGTTTTAAAACCTTACCAATTCATGTTTGAAAAGAAGGAGATATGATCAAACTGTAATTTACGCCATGTATCTGGTCTCATCTCCAACTGCAAAATCTCTTGGGATATTCTCTTTGCTAAATCAGATTGATCCAACATACTGCAGGTTTGAATAAGTCTGGATATCAGTTGATGGTGGATATCCGGTAAAGTTGAATTCTTCCACTCTGATTTTTCAAAGAGGTTTTGGATATAATATGGATAGGCTGTATTCATCACTGTCTGATCTGTCTTGCTGTAAAACTCACTGATCAGTCCAGAGATGGATTTCGATCGACTCGTCCTGTATATATACAAATTAAAATAAATAAAATTGTGGCATGTGTGTGCGTATATAAATAATACCCTTCACAATAAGAATGACCGCTAACAAAATCACATGGGATAGCTTCTGTTTCACAATGTGGACAACACCTAGAAAAACTTCGATAGGGTCTATTAAACTTGATATATAACTCCACAATAGAACTCGGTACGAATTTAGTCCATTCGGATTGCGGAATGAAGACTCTACACACGGGACACCTGATTTTCGTCACACTCAGCCCCCAAGACGATTTCACTACTTCGGATACGTACCTTTTTTTTTTTTTTTTTTTTTTTTGTATGTGAATTTTTTTATGTGTATTTCTTTTTTCTTTATACACAACTTACTTTTGAAAGCAATCTAAACAGAACTGGTCTCTACAGTAATCAAGACATAAATCCAATTTTGATTCAAAGCAAATGGAACATCTTTCTAACCATTGCTGCATTTCATCTCCATCGTCCTCGTTATCATGATCGTCCTGTTGTTGTTGCTGTTGGTGTCTTCTGACATGGATGTTGTCTCCATGAGAAACACCAGTAAAGATATTTTTCAGATGTGCCAGTCGTTCCTGTTGTTTTAACGCCACTAATTTTGAAGTAAAAGTGACGACGGACACCAGACATTGGAGGAATAGGTATAAGGGGAATAAAAACAGAAATAAAAAGGTGATGGAGAGTGGGTGTCTTGAGTAACTTTTAATCATGGAGATGGGTGTGGATATAAAGATGCGGTATAAATAATCAATAAATACAATCACGAGTAGTTGAATCAAGTCCTTGGAATCGTTCATCATGTAAGCTTTGGACGTTGTATTATCCATAACAACAAAAAAAAGGTATCAGTTCAAGAATAAAAAGGGGAAAAAAAAGGGGGGAAAAGAACAAATGTTATCATTGTTGTTACAGTTGGGATTTGTCTACAGGTCCAAAAAAAAAAAACCTAAAATAAAAAATAAAACCCACCCAATTAGTCACTTGCTCAATTGGTCATTGGCTTAAACTTTATTTTAGTTGTTGTTGATTAAAAACAAACATTCGCTTCCCTAATAATAATAAAAAAGGGGGTGGGTGTACATCCAATGGCCGAGGAAGTATGCTATATATAATCCATACTCTTTCTCTCTCTTTCTCTCTACCTTTTGTATCATTCGTAGTATAAAAAAAGGTGAAAGTACATACGGGCAGACATTTCAGCTGCTGCTGCTCCCCCCACACTCCCTTTTTTGACAATTTATCTTGATTCAACTTTACAGCCCATACTGTACGGAAAAGGTCAACCATCTGTTTTTATACAGTGAAGTGGTGGTTTGAATCTGACATTATAAATCTACTTTACTTGATCCCTCTAATCACTTTTTTTTTCATTGTTTCTTCTAATTTGTAATGTTTTATGAAATGATGGAAAAGAGAGGGATCGATACATTGACTGCTGCTAATTTTAAAAAAAAAAAAAAAAATTCGAAATTTTGTTAAAACCACTAGAATTAAGCAATATAATTCACTGGAAGGTATCGACAGCAAAAGGTTTGAAATTCAGATAGAGTTACACTATTTTCATGCATTATTCGCACACTCTAAGAAAAGAATTTCTTAGTTTTAGAAAAAATATTGCTCGGTGTGTGCGAATTATATTTAAAAGACATTTTGACATGCTCCAGTGATTCTAGTATTCAGAGTTTCGTCCCAACAGTTTCTCTCGCATCAGTTTACTTTGAAAAACATACCGAAACTGATCAATAGGGGTGATTTCTGGGGAATAAGGTCGTAGATACACACACCCATAACCCACGGCTTTCGGTAAACTTTCTAATATTATCCGATGTGTGTATAAGCGCATTATCCATGATAATATAATGCCCTTTAAATTCCTCATGACGATCCGTCACATCGATAGTGCTGGCAATAAAGTTGAAGTAATGTCCCGTAACTGTACCAATACGTTTCTGCATTTTACTACCACCAACCGTCTTTCGTTTCTTAGAAGCTACAGAATATGGTACCCTTATCTTAACATTGACAATGCCGTACGGGGATATAGCACCCAAAATTGTCGTAGTCTTCGCTCGTGTTAGTGGTTGGATAACCTCGGCTCGTGTGTCTTTTTAAGACCAAGCCTTTGTTTGCTTCAAATTGATGTGGAAGGTGGACTTTGATGAATACACAATTGCTATTGTGATACATGTCGGTTTGAATCCATCTTGTAACCCAGTCAAATCTTTTCTCACTGCTTACGAACGAGTTTCTTTCTTTCGATTGAAGGTGTTCTTTTTAAATGGCAAAGCACCTTTCTTCGTCATGAAGTTGTAAACAGTTGTTTTGGTTACTTTTATATCACTAAACTGGCTGGTAAGACTTTCTATTGCCTGATCCAAAGTTACAGAAGGGTGTATGATAAACGTTTCTTCCAGATGCTTTTTATGCTCTTCATTCAATAAAGCAGGCCTACCAACTTTCTTTTAAGTTTTTTTTTTTCATTTCCAATCCATCCCATGATTCAACAATCAAATATTAGTCTTTTTTTTTTTTTTTTTTTTTTTTTTTTTTTTTTTTTTTTTTTTTTTTTTTTTTTTTTTTTTTTTTTTTTTTTTTTTTTTTTTTTTCAACCAGTCTTAGGCGGTTCTATGGGCAATACCTAGCTACTTTTCTGCTTTACCTGCAGTCAGGCCTTCTTCATAAACCAGGTAGGAAAAAATGACCCTTGACATCGTCTCCATGTTTCTTGTAATAAGAAACTGGTCCTGATGCAGCAGCAGCAACTATCTTGTTGGCTTTAATTGATACCTCGGGCTTTTAAAGAGGTTTAAAATCCATGTAACTATCGAAGTCAATAGTGCCAGCGAGTGGGTATCCATCCACATCTACTTCCATTTCAACAGGTTTATTTCCTTGCTCATCCATAGCATTTCCATGTATATCTTCTTGATAGATACAAAGGTCTTTTGTGTTATATTGATTTTCTAAAAGTGTGCGAAATTCATAAGTTAAAGTGAGCAAAAAATAAAGGGAATTGTTATTTTCACCCCCCTCTTTTCTTATTTTCACCCCCTTGGCCTTTTTTGACCTATGAAACTGCGGATTTGATTTCACTTAAATTTTGACATTTTGGCGGGACTGCTCTGTCAAAGCATTAATAAATTGTACCTTTTTACTTTCATCCCAATCCCGTTACGTTTATCTGAACTTTTTATTGTTTCAATGTCTTTATCAAACGAAAACACCTCTCACCTTTCTGACGATGATTTTCAGGAGCCCCTTCCCTTTCGAACCAGAAGAAATTTTGAAAGCGTCAACGATGTAGATGATCTTAACGATGATCTCGACAATGATCTCGACGAAGATCTCGAGGACGAAACCTTGGACGTGTCGTCTACTTCTGCCCCTTCTCAACTTGAGTTTAGCTCTAGCGAAACTCTCGAAAAGTGTGTGATCGATCATTGCAAAGAAAACGGCTACCTTGTTTCTTTGGGGCCGTTCTCGTTACTACTCCGATCGTCGCCTTAAGTCTTTGGGAGTTCAAGTGCGATCGCGGTGGAAAAAACAGCAGTAAGTCTACCGGTAAAAGACTTTCGAAGACAAGACGCACCGATTGCACTTTCAAGTGGGTGGTCGGTTCCAGTTGGAGAAAAGAGCAGGGTATTTATACTGCAAAATTCATCCTGCACTTAAACCATAGTGGACATCATCATGAGTCTGCCAATTCTCTCGCTGGCCATTCCATTGCAAGCTAGATTGCAGAGAATCACATGAAGGTGATCAAGGATATGACGATTGCTAATAGCTCTCCCCCAAGATATCTTGATTTACCTTTGCCAAAAATTTCCTGGTGATTATTTCAGACCTAGTACGGTTTACAATGCCAAACAGAAGATTCGTGAAGAGTATTTAGATGGTCGCTCTCCTTTGCAAGCTCTCTTGGATCAGTTCTCTGAAGCCGACTCTGGATTTATTTACGCGTACAACTCGAATGAGGACGGTACCATCAAAAACCTTTTTTTTTTTTTGCGCACTCTCATTCCTTGGAAATGGTTGAGCGTTTCCCTCAAGTGCTTTTGATGGATTGCACGTACAAAACCAACAAATTTGGTATGCCATTGTCGCACGTTGTTGGCATTGATTGCTTCAATAAGACATTTTTTGTGTGCGGTGTTTTTTTTTGAAAGACGAAACCCAAGCCAATTATGAGTGGGCGGTTTCAACATTACGAATGAAGTTACGGTGCTATGTAGAGCCATTCGATCCTAGCATTATTGCTATTGACCGTGATTTGGTATGAAAAGGTGCTTTAGAGACAATTTTTGATTCCAGCACAATTCTTATCTGCCGTTGGCATATCAACAAGAACGTGTTGGCCAAATGCAAAAAGTATTTTTTTAACAGATGATGACTGGAACGAGTTTATGGTCAGATGGAATCGATGTATGAACAGTTTCAATGAAGAAGAATGGGAGAGAAACTGGAGTGTACTGAGAGATAATTACGGGTTGAACGCAAGATACCTCCCACTGTTTGCGTATCTTGAATCAACATGGTTGCCGTTGAAAGAGCATTTTGCTAACCCTTGGGTCAACAAGCACCTCCACCTTGGCGCCATCAATACCTCCAGGGTTGAAGGTGCTCATAACAAGTTGAAGCGAAGACTCAAGGTATCAACTAGTCATTTAGACAAGGTGGCAAACTTGGTGAAGAGTACAGTTGAAGTCGATGCCAGCGAATTTAAATCTCGTTTGGAGGACCAAAAAATCAAGGTTATCACCGAGGTTGAAAAACGAAGTATGATGACAAGAGTTATAAGAAGAGTGTCCTTATAGGCTTTGACCGAAGCTCTTGAACAAGTCAAAAAAATGGAGAATTCTGCATTGCAACCTCTGTTGGACTGTACGAATACATACACGGTGACAACTGGCATTCCATGCGTACACAGGATCAAAGCCCTTCACGAGCAACGCCAAGTTCTTCAAGTTGATAATTTTCATCAACAATTGAGACTTGGAGCATTCTCCTAGCATTGAGCAGTTGGAAGAATTGGATCCAGAAAAGCAATTTGGACTTGCTGCATACCCGTTTTAGAAACGCAGCTCGTTACGAACAAGAGGAAATGGTATCGCGTCTTTTTGACCTGGTTCATTCGCCGTTGGTACCTATAGAGCCACGAAACGATGCCAGGTCAAGAAAAAGACCTACCGGTTCTACTGCGAGAAGAAATGACACTTCGTCAAACAGAAGAAATCCCTCCGCTTTTGAACATGCTGAAAGAAGAACAAGGCTTTGTGGAACTTGTAGACAGCCCGGGACATGACACAAGACAATGTTCCCAAAGAGTCATGTCCCAAGCTACTCGCTCATCTCAACAATCTCAGCAACAGCAACAAACACAATAACCATCTTGATCGCCTATTCTTATTTTTTTCTTTCAACTTTATTTTTTATCTTTTATTTTTTCTATCACATAAAAAATCTCAATCGTAATTTTTCTAAAAATTTCTTGTGTGTAATAGGCCAAAAAAAAAATCGAGGGGGTGAAAATAAGAAAAGAGGGGGTGAAAATAACAATTCCCTTTTTTAAACACCGTGGCGCCCATAGCAACCTGAGAAACATTGATCCGCTTAATATCTTCGGCATTATAGATGTATACTAACTTTGCTTTCATTCTAAAGCCTAGTCGGGGGATGGTGGCAGCAATAACAGAGCTTTCAGAACGTTGTTGCACGTTTTTTATACTTTGGTTCTTCCGAGTGGATTATTTTTTATCAGTTTTTTTTTTGAAATTCCCTACTGACGAATGTATACAAACCCGTGATATGTTAATAGACTTGTTATCACTCATTTATTTTCTTGGATTGAGAAAAACTTAAACATTTATAATGAAAGCGACATGTTTTATTTAAGCTTCCATTTATAAATTGTTGATGACTCTGGCGGATATTATAACGAAGAAACGCTCTTACAAGACAACAAAGCGATCGTACATCAAAAGTGTTTTTCAATCGCGCTTGATGGATATAACGTATGAATTATACTGCGTGAAGTGGTTACTTATCGATTACACAACAAGTATAATAATGTTACCATACTTACTTTTTTTTTTCATTTCAAATATGCTGAGAAAGTATTGTCCAAAAGTCAGCCCGTTGCCGAATCAACGGACACTATATCTAGCAGTGTTTCGCGTGCGATCATCATTGGCCGTTTCGCTACTGACTCAGAACTATACTTGACTTTTTATACTTTACAAAGATTGTTGAATACATGCAAACTCTCAAGTTTGCCGTCAGTCTAGAATGGACGATGGGGAAGGCTGTGTTGATGACCACAGTCTTACCAGATGCATTCTTCTTTACAAAGTATACTTTTCTTGTCTTTGGTTGTTGCGATTTAGGAGGAATAATTCAAAAAAGTTAAAGTTAGTTATTTAGAACACAATAAGTATAATAATGTTACCATACTTACTTTTTTTTTCATTTCAAATATGCTGAGAAAGTATTGTCCAAAAGTCAGCCCGTTGCCGAATCAACGGACACTATATCTAGCAGTGTTTCGCGTGCGATCATCATTGGCCGTTTCGCTACTGACTCAGAACTATACTTGACTTTTTATACTTTACAAAGATTGTTGAATACATGCAAACTCTCAAGTTTGCCGTCAGTCTAGAATGGACGATGGGGAAGGCTGTGTTGATGACCACAGTCTTACCAAATGCAATCATCTCTGTAAAGTATACTTTTCTTGTCTTTGGTTGCTGCGATTTAGGAGGAATAATTCAGAAAAGTTAAAGTTAGTTATTTAGAACACAATAAGTATAATAATGTTACCATACTTACTTTTTTTTTCATTTCAAATATGCTGAGAAAGTATTGTCCAAAAGTCAGCCCGTTGCCGAATCAACGGACACTATATCTAGCAGTGTTTCGCGTGCGATCATCATTGGCCGTTTCGCTACTGACTCAGAACTATACTTGACTTTTTATACTTTACAAAGATTGTTGAATACATGCAAACTCTCAAGTTTGCCGTCAGTCTAGAATGGACGATGGGGAAGGCTGTGTTGATGACCACAGTCTCACCAAATGCAATCATCTCTGTAAAGTATACTTTTCTTGTCTTTGGTTGTTGCGATTTAGGAGGAATAATTCAAAAAAGTTAAAGTTAGTTATTTAGAACACAATAAGTATAATATTGTTACCATACTTACTTTTTTTTCATTTCAAATATGCTGAGAAAGTATTGTCCAAAAGTCAGCCCGTTGCCGAATCAACGGACACTATATCTAGCAGTGTTTCGCGTGCGATCATCATTGGCCGTTTCGCTACTGACTCAGAACTATACTTGACTTTTTATACTTTACAAAGATTGTTGAATACATGCAAACTCTCAAGTTTGCCGTCAGTCTAGAATGGACGATGGGGAAGGCTGTGTTGATGACCACAGTCTCACCAAATGCAATCATCTCTGTAAAGTATACTTTTCTTGTCTTTGGTTGTTGCGATTTAGGAGGAATAATTCAAAAAAGTTAAAGTTAGTTATTTAGAACACAATAAGTATAATATTGTTACCATACTTACTTTTTTTTCATTTCAAATATGCTGAGAAAGTATTGTCCAAAAGTCAGCCCGTTGCCGAATCAACGGACACTATATCTAGCAGTGTTTCGCGTGCGATCATCATTGGCCGTTTCGCTACTGACTCAGAACTATACTTGACTTTTTATACTTTACAAAGATTGTTGAATACATGCAAACTCTCAAGTTTGCCGTCAGTCTAGAATGGACGATGGGGAAGGCTGTGTTGATGACCACAGTCTCACCAAATGCAATCATCTCTGTAAAGTATACTTTTCTTGTCTTTGGTTGTTGCGATTTAGGAGGAATAATTCAAAAAAGTTAAAGTTAGTTATTTAGAACACAATAAGTATAATATTGTTACCATACTTACTTTTTTTTCATTTCAAATATGCTGAGAAAGTATTGTCCAAAAGTCAGCCCGTTGCCGAATCAACGGACACTATATCTAGCAGTGTTTCGCGTGCGATCATCATTGGCCGTTTCGCTACTGACTCAGAACTATACTTGACTTTTTATACTTTACAAAGATTGTTGAATACATGCAAACTCTCAAGTTTGCCGTCAGTCTAGAATGGACGATGGGGAAGGCTGTGTTGATGACCACAGTCTTACCAAATGTAATCATCTCTGTAAAGTAACGTATTTTTTTTTATGAAAGAGACTAGATCTTTATTGTTAAACGTATTATTTTAGTGGTGACGCAATTTAATACTCGAAAGTTTTTACCAAGCCAGAAATTCGATGCGGAATACAATACATGTCTGGGGGACATCCGCTAAATTTAGTTGTCGGGAACACCCGAAGACCGCAACGTCGCCAGACTGGTGCGCTGGAAGTTTTTCGACAAGTGAAACCTTTTAAGCAAAACTGTTAGTATAAAGCTTAAAAGTACGTATTTCTGATATCTCATACTTGTTTGAATTATTATTGCTTCTTCGGAACGGTGGCAAAGTTAGGCCGTCTTCAGAAACAAGATGACAGAAACCAATCAAAGCAATATTCATGGCGCCGTTTTGGTCTCTATTAATTGTGGAAGAACGAGAGGACAATCTTCTGGGACAGATCTCGTTTGTGCAGGTCACGGCACCTTTAATCCTTTTTCTTCCATGGTCTCCTACCCGTATTATTTGTTTTGTTGTAGGCTCAAAGCAAGAACTACAGTTAACTGTTGACTTGTACTCATCTACAATAAATGTTTCGTCTTTTTCAACACATTTAAGCCTTTTCAAAACTGGATCTAAGCTTCTTCGTGCATGTCCTCGAATGTATGTCCCATTTCTAGACCAATCCCCCACAAAAGTCAGTACTGAGCCTTCTCTTACATCTAATACATGGCTTTTAAACATGCCAGATCTGTATCTGCTGCAATTCTTCTTATGATAACGCTTAGTCCTTATCTTTCTTGTCACACGTTTCCTCTCCAGAGAAATTGGTTTTTCCGTCTTTCCCTCTTTTTGTCTTTTCTCTCTTTTTATTCTATGATTTGTAGCTAAAGCAGCTGCATTCACCTTGCTTGCGGTATGTACGTATGAATAATCACAAACTTGGCTGTGTTGGATATCTGACACTTCATTTTCAAGCATATAAAATCTATTTATCGATTCGAAGAGAGTACCTGCTTTTACACAATTGATCGAGGCTGTTGTTACAATACCGGGATCTATTCCTTGTACGAGCACTCTATCCTTCTTTAGTCTTTCTCTCAGCTCGTTTGAAACTACTAATCGTGATTTGGGCTTTACGGAAATAGATTGACTGTGTAACATTTTGTTTAAAGTATACAATTTCTGTCCGCTGGCTTTAATCGAAGAATTTAATCGTTTCATTCGCTTGTAGATGTTATTGCACACCAATCGTTGTTTTTTTAAGTCTTGGTAAAGGTAATCATCCCAGACCTTATGTCGTTCTTGAGCACGAAAATATCTTCCTAAATCCATTCTTTTTGACTCTTCTGGTTGAAGTTGTTTAGATAACTCTGCGTACTCTTTTTTTTCGGATTTCATGTGTCCGTATAGATCATTAATCTCTGACACAATATCGTTTTTATTCTTGAAGAGTTCAGATTTTTGATCCTCCGTTTGGTCCTCGGGCATCTCATCATGTCTACTTTTTGTTTCCGTTTCTTTCTTTTGAACTTTTTCACCAAGAAACTTCAGGTCATATTGGTTTGTGTAATTGAACGAATATCTGGGCTTCAGGTTTTGCTCTCGAAGAATGCGATTTATAGCACCCCAATCAAAAAAGTTTTCAAAGAGCGAACTTTTAGCTTCATCACTTTCCAAATCGGCATAAGACGTGAAAATCGCATCCTGTTCATCAAACATGTTATACTCTTTACAAAACAACAGGTACAGTGTTATAGAGTTGACAGTAACAGAGAGATTCTGGTTATGATCTTTTGACGGGGACATTCGCACTTCACGAAACTTGGTTTTGTTGCCCGAAAAACGAACAAGTACATTACGAAGATGACGTATCTTGTAACATGATAAAAATGATGCATCTTCATCTCGTTTTAAGGTGATACGGCGAAGAGTATTTATAATAGCTGCACATAGCGACAATGCTTCTTCAGGTATTGATTCCTGTTTGTCCTTGTACAATTGATTTTTCACGTAGTTAGGATTTACATTACCGTTTATGGTTTCAGAACCACTGAGCATCATTACAACGGAGACAAGAGCATTAATTTCCTTCGATGATAAATCCCTTTCAACAACTTCTTGAGGGACTGTCATCATTTCAGCACCAGCGACTAAGTCCTCCTCATCAGCATTACTATCAAACCCATCACCATCCTTATCTTCATCCACGCTAACACGATTGTCTACTATAAATTGGAACAGAACTATATTTAGTGGGGCAAACCAAAACTAGTATTTTGAGGCAGAGCATACCTTCATCTTCCAAATCGCTGCCAGTGGTTTTGTTAATAACGTAATATGTCGAATCAAAAATGGCCTTGATGAATCTCGTTATGCACGGAAGTTTTCTGTCTTTACCCCTTTGATACTTTATAAGCACTTCAAAGAGAGTCTCCATTTTTTGTTTTAAAAGCCCCTTGCTCAACTTGGTTCCTTTAGCCTTTGAGACTTTTTTAGTATCCCTATTGTGCTTTTTTCTAGAGCCGAAAAACCGCTTCTTTGCAAGATTTATTCTAAGCAGCAAAGTCACCACCACTCTTAGATCTTGCTTGTAGAATTCGTTTGACCACATGTTCTCAAAATTTGTGTGGAATTGTTTACAAGCGCTAGCAAGAGCAGGTGTAGTAGTGAAATTGAAAGCATCGGCCTCATTCATATTGGCATTGATTGCATCTAGAAAACTGAAGATATGTCAGCAAAGTGGCCTCACAAAGATGCAATGAAATACGTACGAGTTATTTTTTTTATCGACAAATTTTTTGCCTATACATTTTGACATTATTGTCCAAAAACCGGCATATGAAAACAAATCTGCTTCTTCCAGTGATTTTAAAGTTATATTTGACAAAAGAGCAATATCTTGTTCACCTTTTCCAATGTTTTGATTATTAAAATCAATGTCATCCAATTTAAAAATATCATAGGTAGTGGCCGAATTGTCTTGTCCAACTTTTCCAGAAAACAAAATTTCAATCAGCGTTTCAATAGCTTTAGAAAGACCTGCTATTGATTTTCTGCATGTTGTTTGTAACATATCGAGCCTTTCACTTAGAATGTCATAGTCGAATTTACTATTGATTACTGACTTGAGTGTTTTTCCCACTGTTCTGTAACCCGTGTCTTTTTTTTTCTTTTCTTCTTCAGTATTGGCTGCTTTGATCATTACTTTTTCTTCAGTGCTTTCTTGATCACTGATATTTCTGCTGGATGATTGATTATTAACATTATTATTGGTGTTGTGTTCAACTCTTTCCAAGAAATCATTGGCCAAATAATGAATATTGATCAAATTTTGCTCTTTAAAATGTTGAATCTTGTTGTATAGCCACTTGGCCGATTTTGGTATATCGCCTCCAGACATACCTTCAACTTCATTGTTATGTAGCATAAGCTCAATTTTTTGTTTTACAAGTGACACTACTCCAGTAGGAAGCTGTTTCTTGGATAATGTTGCGCCAAATCGTTTTAACAAAGAACTTTCACCACTGCTACTACTCGCGGTATTACTGTTCTTGATAAGAAATTGCCTCCACTTCTTATCATACATAGATTGAACTTCTTCTTTTAGCAGATTAACAATCATTTCATCTAGTTTCGTTCCAAGCTTATGTCTATCTTTTTTTGCTTTCTTTTCCCCTGCTTCTCTTTTAATTGCCACCTTCCTTGGGCTATTTTGGTTTTGTACTTGCAATCCTGTTGGGTTGGGCACAGGTGTCTTGGTAGATTTGAGAAAGAAGTAGGTGGTCTCATGAATATAAGAATCCTTGTGCTGCAAGATATAAAAGCAAGGTATCTGGTTTGATTGGTCGGTATTGGAAGGATGGATTATTACGGCTTTTGATCTTGTGGAAAAAAGCATTATCCTACAACGGTATAGCTGACAAATAGCATACAACAGAAGACGTCCTTTTACATTGATACTAACTGAGGCGTAAGCATTGGAATGCATTGAAACAACTTTTGCATTGGGTGAGTTCAAAAGATTGCAGATGTAACGACTGTTCAAATAGTGGGGCTTGATACCATTATTGTCAGTTAGTTTTGTCTTGCAGATTTTCACACCGTAACTTTTTAGGCATGAATTCATTTTGACTATACTTTCATGGAAAGATGTTTGGAAAACTTTATAAACCTCCTCAAATCTTGCCTCAAGTTCTTTATTTTCATAGGAAGGCAGTTTAATCTCACTGCTGTTTTTATCTGCCCAAGTAAAAGTCAAAAGTCCTTGTGGAAAACCATCATCTAAAGAAACATAAATTATAAATAAGTCTTACTATAATCACCGGTTAGATAAATCAAACAAACCAACCTTGAGTAGTTAAACCACTATCCTGGACATTAAAACCCACTGTTCTTTCCCCTATTCATAAAAATAACCAATGTTAATTGTAGGCTTCTAATAAAAGTTCACGCAAGGAGCTTACGTAAGGACTGTTTTCGCCTTTGCTCATCATCATCCTTATCAGGTTCTATTTTTCTTTTCATAGTTCAAGACGTATTGAATGGCTTGAGAAGGGGAAAAAGAAGTAAAAGAAGATATTGTTTATCACAAGTGGTTCCCATTTGTCAAATGTAGGTTAATGTCGTGACTTCGTTATGTCAATTTTGATTGCTAAAGTTAAACATAGATAAATGATTATTCTTTTTACCCAGATTGAAAGTATAAAGCAAGGCGACTGAAAGTGATGTATAGGGATCATAAGTTTATAAGATGGTAGACGGGATGCTGCATCAGTAACGTATGTGTATAGAATTATACATTTAATGTCAATAGCATGACAGCTATAATTAACAACCCAGTGATTTTCATATGATTACACTGTAGGTAACAGTTATTATTTGACATGCTCATATTTATTACAGCATAATTATATATTTAGATCAATACTATTGCTAGCGGTTATACCGTTCAATACATGTCTTTCAAATTGGCTAATCAGGTTCATACTTAGTGATCGGAGAGATACTAAATCGTAAAGCTATTGGCTACTTTTCAAAATCAGGGCCAATACAATTGAAAGTTAGTGATCGGAGTGCCCCCAGACTTGTTAGCCAGGCCAGAAATTCTTGGGCACTTTCTTCATTTTATCCAACCAGATTTCAGTAAAATATATAAAGTTCAATCTCAACCCAATCAACTCTTGTAAATTTCATAATATGTTATTTTTTTTGCATGAAATAATTCATAGCCACATATTCAGAATTAATCTTTAAATCATTTAGTTTCAAAAAAAAATTAATGACGCTAAACCAATATCTACATGCTCGGGGGGTTCGTTATTTGGACCTGGCATCACTAAAAAAAAAAATTGATCAACGTTAAGACTGTCTCATATGGAACGAATGGCTTGTTCCCCTAAATCAGCCTGAATAAGTCAGAAAGATCCAAGGGGGGTCGTTGTCTCATATCTGGAGAAATGACCTACCCAAAGATAATCTGACATAGATTCTCCTTTTTAGATAAAGATGTGAGAAAAAACAAATGGACACAATTTTCATGCTGAATCGTCTGAATAAATATCAAGCAAAAAAAGATGTTGTTACACACACACCTCGTATATGGAAAATATAAAATGATATCTTGAAACTCAGATGTCTCGCAAATATGCTACGTGTGCCGTTTTTTTTTTTTAACTCGGCGTGTATGAACCATCATCATCGCTATGACAAGTCCATCTTTTAAATCTGCCGATAAAATCACATCGACAGATAAGTTTTATCCATAAACGAAACATGAAGGTATTAATCGTGAAAAAATAGATTCCCTTCCCCCCCACTGTACAAAACAAATCCTACCCGACTATATCGCTCCACTGATTGAAAACAGACATAAACAATTACGTTGATGCACATAATCTGGTGACAAAGAGAGTATGGTCCAAACACCCCTCGAAATAGCCCCTCCCCCCCCCCCATTGCTTCTCCACACCTTAATACCCTCAATCCAACGGTTTGCGCAGAAAAATGCTGTATAAAAAAAAACTTATCGTCAATACGGTTAGGAAAATGTGTGACAATGATGACAAGAAAATGGGACATTATCTTACCAGCAGCACAATCATGTAATGCAATTTTAAAAAAAAAACTGAATAATAGAACAGGCAGTAGTTCTTTCTTACTTATGTTGGCTCGACAGTTCCCTACTATATTCAGGATCATAACGACCCTTCAACACACAATCTTCTCTTTCCCACCAATAAGGTTTCCACAGTGGATGATTTGATAAAAAAAGGCTTAATACATGGCTAAACATCGTCTTTCCCGGCTATACACCAAAGAACGAATGAATGAATGGAACTACAGAGAGAAAAAAAAAGATTTAATGATAACCTTCATTCCCATTGGATCAACTGTCCTAAAAAAAAATTACCGTCCCCAGAGCAATGCAAATTCTCTTTTTCCTCTATATGAAGGGTCCATTCTACCGTCGTCACTAAAACTAAAGGCTGGTACATACGTGTTATTAAAAAAAGATGAAATGAGATGCTCCACAGAGACTACGTACCATTAGAACTGAAAAAAGTTAATCCCATCGATGAAAAGCGCCAGTAAAGATAATTTGAATATAAAGTGAGTGAAAGAAATTCGCACCCATTAAAAGGGTCGAGTCAAAAACTATAGACACTACCTCGTAAAAATTGGGTAAAGGTTATGATGAACGAGAGCTTGACGCAGCCTTGAATTCTCGGATCCCGGAATAATTGGAAAATGTCCAGAACTCCATATTTTCTTCATTACGTTTGACATGTCATATCGTCTAAAGTTCATAGGATGATCGATTTATATTTTCCAAAAAATCTGCTTCACTGTCATTACATTCTATTACTGGAATGCAGATAGATAATGACCAGGTTTTGACTTGCTTGGGAGGTTTCTATTTTAAGTAAAGGCCCAAACATTATGGATGATGAAACAATTTAATCATTCTGACATAAGCTCACTTGTTTATCAGCCTACAAATAAAGATGGTTCACACACTTTTTTTTTTCTTTTTCTTTTTTCTCCTTAACATATTTCTTCTATCGTTTATGAAAGTAATTGATAACGTAAAAAGGTTAGTAAGTAATGACTCTTGTTTCTTTTAAAAGACGCTAAATCGAAAGAAAAAAAAAGAAATATTGCGCTATTGCGGTTGCCGCTAGTCTTTGCTATAGGAGGGATGACCTCCTATAGCAGGGTTCTTGAGTTTTTGGAAACTCTGGGGTTGTGAATGGCTGTGAGTACACTGTAAATAGTGTTATTTATACTGGCTTGCTGGCCTTAGCCAGAATTTCTGTAAGTGGTATAAGAAGAATACGGAAGTCTAGACATTTCCGAAACAATTCGCGAAATACTGTCATTCATACAAAGTTATACAGGTCTATTCGACAAACAACGGGTGAATGACCTTGGCAAATGGTTGAAAGCCACCAAGATACAACTGGTGGATTCACCTATCAAAAGAATATACCTTAATAAAAAGGATAAGAGACAAATAAGGAATATATTTGTTATGAAAGATGAATACTTGGGTAAGTTTTATTTCAAATTGTAGAAAGCCAGCTTTTTAATTATTGGGTTTTATTACAGCCGGTACTTTAAAAAACGTGGTCTCCTATCTTGATGAATACCAAACGTATATCAAAAGCTTGAAGAAGGACAGCCACAGTATCATTGGTTACGCTCGTAAGTCTAGAGGGAAAGAGAGCCAAGAGACTAGAATTAAACTGCTGGAACTCATGACAAAGTGCCTCAAAGAAAGATCGCTTGTCGATTGTGTGTATGTCTCGTATTCAAGTAATGCAGGCGACAAAATTCAGGCAAGAGACAAGAAGCAAGGGGTGGGACTCGAAAAAGGCAATACACAGGGTAAAAATAACTAGTTCAAGAAAATATTTAAAATTATAACCACCTGCTATTAGACATGTTGAGATATTTAAAGAACAACGAAAAGGTGTGCCTTGTTGTAATAGATTTCGCCGGACTATCTACAAATACTGATGACTTACAACAGTTCGTAAGGTAAAAATAAATTAATAAAATAAAACAACGAAGTATAAACAACATTCTAACGTTTAGTATTAGTGAGAATGAAAGCCTTAAGAAGATCATCGTGGACACCTTGCCATTCAACAACAAAGTAACCGATAGTTTTAAGAAAGGTTAGTAATTGACTCTTTGTTTCTTTCAAAAGACATTAAATCGAAAAAAAAAAAGATATATTGCGCTATTGCGGTTGCCGCTAGTCTTTGCTGTAGGAGGGTGACCTGCTATAGCAGGGTTCTTGAGTTTTTGGAGACTCTGGGGTTGTGAATGGCTGTGAGTACACTGTAAATAGTGTTATTTATACTGGCTTGCTGGCCTTAGCCAGATTTTTTGTAAGTGGTATAAAAAGAATACGGAAGTCTAGACATTTCCGAAACAATTCGCGAAATACTGTCATTCATACAAAGTTATACAGGTCTATTCGACAAACAACAGGTGAATGACCTTGGCAAATGGTTGAAAGCCACCAAGATACAACTGGTGGACTCTCCAATTAAGAGAGTATACCTTAATAAAAAGGATAAAAGACAAGTAAGAAATTTATATGTTCTGAAGGATGAATACTTGGGTAAGTTTTATTTCAACTTGTAGAAAGCCAGCATATTAATTATTGGGTTTTATTACAGCGGATACTCTAAAAAATGTGATGTCGTATCTTGATGATTACCAAGGTTTTATTGAAAGCTTAAAGAAGGATGGCTACAATATTATTGGTTATGCAAGAAAATCAAGAGGAAAAGAGACAGAAGCTACCCGCTTAAAATTATTGCAGCTTATGTCAAACTGTTTGAAGGACAGGTCGCTTGTCGATCGTGTATTTGTCTCCTACTCAAGCAATGCAGGTGACAGAATCCATGTAAGAGACAAGAATCAAGACAAAAAACTAGAAAATGGCAACACCAAAGGTAAAAATAACTAGTTCAAGAAAATATTTAGAATCATAACCGCTTACTATTAGACATGTTGACGTATTTGAAGAATAACGAAAAGGTGTGCCTGGTAGTAATAGATTTCGCTGGACTTTCCACGAATACTGATGATTTACAACAGTCTGTAAGGTAAAAATAAATTAATAAAATACAAGAAAGAAGTATAAACAACATTCTAACGTTTAGTATTAGTGACCATGAGAGCCTCCAGAAAATCATTGTTGATACTTTGCCATTCAATAACAGGGTATTCATATTCGACCGGCCAAAACTTTTAGCTGAGCTTCAAACTTTAAAGGCATTTGAATGCAGAAACAGGCCTCTGCGCCTGTTTTTTTACGTCTGTGAATATGCCTGATTTCTAGTATGTGAAGGCTGAAACATGTAGATGATTAAATAAATAATTAAATCATCCTGACATAAGCCAGCTCTTGTTTATCAGTTTATAAATAAATAAAAAAAAAACTCGTTCACACGATCTTCTGATTAAATAAAAAAATTGAATCATCCTGACATAAGCCAGCTCTTGTTTATCAGTCTACAAATAAAAACCATTCAAACATTTTTTCCTTCCTTTCTTCTCTTCATTTTATTATTATGCTGTATAAAACCATCTTCTTTAGAAAGAAATATTGAATATTGGGAAAAGGTTAGTTAATAAAAACTCTTGTTTTTTATAAAAACGCTAAAATATTACCTTTTTTTTTTTTGAAAAAAAAGGATAGACTCCCATTTTTTATTATCACGGCTAAAGCTAGACTTCTCTATATGATGAAAACTTTCCCATTACCCGTTGTAGGCATTGTAAGGCTGCATCTTACATTACCAACCACGGTGGGTCAGAATATAGAGTGGTAAGCCTTGGCTAAGGCTACACTTCTCGATATGATGAAGATTTTCCCATTACCCGTTGTAGGAATTGTAAGCCTGTATCTTACAATACCGACTACGGTGGGTCAGAATATCGGGTAGTAAGCCGGCTTAAGATATCCACTGATGGCCTCAAAATATGTAAGAAAAGAATGAATCACGTGAATCTAAAAAGTACGTAGAAAAAATTTACAAAATTACGTGGGTGTAGACATTCTCTAAAAAACCAGTGTTTTCCAAGATTGGCTTAAAGTAGCCGCTGGCCTCAGTCCGCAGTATGACTATTTTAACTTTGCCGATGTGGTCATGAAAGACAAAGCAACAACAGGGTCTCTATACATATCCTTGATGAACGATACCCTACAAAATGCTCCAAGGAAAAAGAAGTCAGGGATCATTAATGCCATTGTCTTATTCAATGTAAGAATGAATATTATCTTTTTATTATGAGGAGGTAGATTTGATGACCTTTAAACTTTTTTTTATTTCTTTTCTTTTTTAGAAAAAAAAACAGCAAGGATTCGCGTTTTTACTCAGCGTACGAAGAATACTGGAGAGTGAGAAACCAGGAAGAAATAAGCCAAACTGCAAAAAGAATAGAAAAACGTGAACATGAATCGTTAGAGCATATTAGCTGGCAATGTCTTCGACTCTATTGTAAAGTCCTTAAAGCGTGTGCGTGTTTAATCATATGTTTTAAAAACATTCAATGAACACTTTTTTACGAACAATATGTCGTGAAGGAATCTCCTGTAAATATGATATATTAAATTATCAAATCTTTAATTATGGAAGCAGAGACATTGCGCATAGAATAGTTAATCAGGTATATAGACAATCAATACTTATGCGTAGATCAACTTTCTAATCTAGGTGTCAACTTCCAGATATTAAAACATGTACTGAGAAACATCAAAGTTTTCTCCAGTGTCAACCTGATAATAGGCAGTGTAACCTAAGCTGCTAGAAGTCCCAAGACAGAAAGCAACACTTGAAGGTCAACATTTGTCATCCCCGGTTACTCTTCTCTTGTCATCGTTAAACCAGGCAAACCAGGACTTTTATACTTACAGAACCATCATTAAAAGATTCCATCTACCCGAAAATGAAATATTTGACATTGTAACTCACGCCGACTTAAACTTTGTTGAGACAATTTCATGCTAACACATTCAAGCTTAAAAGCCTGCTTTAAACACTCTGAATTGCTCATGGTAATCATTTGGCTAGAAACTGCACCGTAACTAAAGCTACAACACAGCATAATCAAAAAAAAAAAAAAAAGTCTCGGCAGAAACGAGCTTGATCAATGAAGACCAGGTTACTTCGCCTAAAGACTAAAATTTGACTACGGACATGGGCAATCATTTGTAAGTACCAATTTTTGTTTAAAATTTTTTTTATTGATATCTTCGGTATACAGCTTGAACCTAAATCAAAGCCCCTCCAATTCTCTGATACAACCGACACTTGAACGAGCCGCTGCAATTCACACGTCTATAGCTTTACTGAACAACTTGCTTTTATCAGTAAATGACAAATAAATTTCGACTGGTAAGTTAGTAAACGTTTTGCGGTATGAAACTGGTTGTTAATGTATTTTCTCCTAGGATTGAGATAGAAACTCTTTTAACTCAAAGTACGAAGTGGGATGGCGTTGGCTTCCGGGCAGGATCTGACCAAAAAATAGGTTTTTGCCTAGTTGAGTTTTCAATCTTCTTCTCTTGTTCTAGCTGCCTCTGTTGATGTTAGCAACCACCGTGCGGCATTTCCACGATGGGTGATTGCATCACGGATTGTCCACGTGTCTTCGCACGGTCTATTTGCGAAATCGAGACTGATATATGTCAGAGCCAGCTTTTTTTTTGGGGTGCAATTTTTCTTAATTCCTCCAGAGAAAGGAATAATCGATTTTACTGCATACACCAATGCAGTAAAAAGTCATTTCATTAGGTTTCATGGTAAGCTATTTACTCTTTAAGATGTCGTATACATAAGTAAACTGAATTGTTCCGAATATCTAGCCATGAAACTTTATTTTGAGTTGGTTTTTCTCTTTGAAAACCGTCTTATTCGAAGAACACACGCAACAGTCAAATTACCAACTACTCCTTCTGAGTTGAAAGTTTTCTTTAACCAAACACAGTCACTTTTTACTTGGAAGAAATCCCTGACTGATACCATCAATAATGTATAGTTTCCATTTACTTTAATATTCGCTTCCTATACAAACATACACACATAAATACATAATTTATTTTTCTATATTCGTACACAATAGTAAAAATAGATTTTTTGTATTCGCAACTCATAAAAAAAATGCATCAACCCCCATCTTATGATGCCTACAACTGTACTTAGACCAACAAGTTATAGGAATCGCTTTTCTTTTTGTAGTGGATGGGAAAGTCTTATTGAGTGTATTGTCTTATCCATACTATTTCTAAGTGCTACACCTTTTTTTAGAATGCATTCTCAGGTCAAAGGAGAGTAATTTACTTTAACTTTAAAGTTCGCAGTAATACCCAAGGTGTTATATGTGTATGTCTCCTCCATGTGAAGCTGAAAGTATTCATTTCATTATCGTTTTCTTATAGATATGATCAATGTTATATCCTCCTCTAAGCGACTCAAAGTGAAATAATAGTTACTTTTTTTTTTTAATTTAGTGGTACGGCCTTTTAAATAGTGAGAGTAGTCATGCCAAAAAAAAAAAAAATCTACACATGAATCAAGATCCAACTTGATAGTTTGGACGTATAAAATGCACACATAAACATCACTTTTTTTTTTGGGATGCCATAAAATTTATTTTTACCATGCATGGTTGGTGATTAATTCATGCTTTTCGCCAATAACAAAGGGTAAACTAGCTTTTTGATAGTAGTCTGGATAGAGTTCAATATTATCAATGACGGTATCCAACAAGTGAGCTTGACCAGAGACCACACCGGGTGCATCTGCAAAAGAAACCGCTGTGATATGTACATGGAAATGGTAATAGGAAGGTTGGTAATGAATGAATAAACGTAATTGATTTGATTCTAAGCCTGCCTTTTCCTTGACAAGTTGATAACAGGTGTCTCTCAAGGTTTTCAAGAAAGCGAGATGAGTTGCATTCAGTGATCGAAGGGATAGTATTTTACTCTGCATCGAAATAGCCACCCAGTACAACGTCTCACTCTGTCCATCCCATTTCATATCCGGTAAAACAACAAATCCAGTCTCGGGGTCCTTATCATGATAAATCACTCGATCTGCCTCGGCAGTTCCATCCAAAATGTTGTCTACCCACTGTGTACGCTTTTTGGGAATACGTTGAATATAAGGTAAAGTGATGCTTTGATAGAGCGCAGGCGTTTCAATCACCATCACACGTGCTTGAGCCTCGTACTTGGCAATATGGACATCGGTGGCAGGGAAAATGGTTTTGACGCGTGTATCTAATACATTGTATTTCATGGCGGTCATACACCAGCCGTAAATATTATTTTCAACCACGTCGTCCATCGTACCGACCGAACTTGTTAATTGAGGAATGACGGATTCATCGTATTGTGTCTTTTCAAAGGAAACAATGCAATCTTGTCCTTCCACTTGTCCCAGGATATAAACTAACTTTCCCCTCGTGTCGTTGGAAAGAACCCTTTCAAATTGAAATTTAGACAGAATCTCTTGAATGCTCGACATGGTGAAGAAAGGTGAAAGTTTTACCAAAAAAAAAAAAAAAAGGAGTGACATTAAATCTCAGCGCGCTGCTTTTGATCATACATACTATTCTTACTTTTCCAAGATGATGACAACGGCGGGGGTTACTCATATTTGAGTCAATATCTGTGATTTAGTTGCCTTTATTCAAAAAGAATGAAAATCTTAAATGGTTTAAATTCAAAACAAGTTATTTTATTTTGAGTAGCATAGCAACCTATACTTTTCTCTCTGCACGGGCCCAAAACAAATGACGTGTTTTTTTTATTTCCCCCAGAACGTAGCACTTTATTTGTAACACATGATTCATGCTATATTGGATCACAAACTATTCTATCGATCCCAAAAGCATAAAAGGTCCTGTTTACTTTTTTTTTTTTGCGTGTTAAAACGAACGACTTGATGAATGAGGGGGATTTTCTGCTAACTTTTTTTCGTCTTCTCTGGAAGGAGTCTAACTAACCAGCAGATTTTTTGTGTAAGTTGTACCCGACCTGTCCAGTTGTTTCTTGAAACAGACCTTCTTCAAAAAGATTTGAATGGCGGCGTCCATCGTGGCCCTTCCCTGTTTCTTGGGACCTTCAAAACCTCTTTCTTCAAAGAGCTTATAAGATCGTTTTAGTCTCAAGGCAGCATTTGTTGATTTGGCTAATGAGGGAGGGAAACGTGTGATGTGTTCAAAGAATTCAGAATGACAGATGTACGATTCACTCCTATTAATTCATACTTATTAAACTACCTGTTTATTTCAAGAGTGTCAAACAGGGAGTACTAAGATCAGGATAGAGATGAGAATTCAAGATCTATGCAAGGAGATAGTATCGAATTAAAGCTCTATGAGACTCTCCAGTATAAAGATCTATTACACTCTTTTTTTTAAAAAAAATTATGAATGCATGCAATGCATTGGACAATAAAGATGGGAATTTGTCAAATATGTATGATTCGAGACATGTGTCATCAAGAAGGGGCTGGGGGATGTGGGAAAATAAGAATATAATATGCTAATTGCATCATTTTTTTTTCACTTACGGCTTGAGACAATTACGTTTAAATAAGGTTTTTAAGACGGGTACGTTTTAGCAGGGAAATTAAAGTACCGGATGGCCCAATAATGATCAGCAGTTTCTTCCCCGTGGCCGTTAATACATGTCCGGATCTTTTTTTCATCATACTTTGGTCATTATTTGAAACACCCAAAAAGAATCAAAAACCCGGGGGGACTATTTTTTTTTGTTGTTTAAACCTCTTTTTTTTATCACTGCTAAAAAAAAAATACAAATGTCAGGTCAAGTTACGTACGCATGTAACTGTCTTAATGTAAAATTACATCTTGCCAATAAATATGATTTGGACAGTCACCAGGTAGACAGGAGCACTACTTATGATCCAATGGTATCTGGCTGGCACTTTCAATTAGGTATATCAGGAGTCATGGTGGTAAGATCCCATAATTAAAAAAAAACAAGGGCCTCACCCCCTCGATTATTTATATGAACAAAAAAAAAAAAATAGGAATATCCAAGCCTCGTTTCTCAAAGACATGAATCCGACCGTGTCATTATGAGCTGTCTTAATTGTGATTCGGGCGATATATACTCTGTCAAAAAACCTATTGACAGCCAACAAACGGATGACAAAGTCACGATTTATAAAGGAACCATTGTAAATAACAGAATACACACATGCACTCATTTCAAAAAAAAAAAAAGAAACTTCAATCTAAAAAAAAAAAATAGTTTGGTAGAGATATTCTAAAATTGCAGCACGGAACTGATTATTCCGAAGCATTCCGTGTTGTCTTGAATCCAAATTTAACAACCAGTCATGTATCACTAGAGAAAGCAGGCTAGTGACACCCTTTTTTCATTTAGTGTTATTATTGTACGCTAAATGTTCCTTTTGTAGACACCACTCTCAGTTTGGCATTGCGGACTCAACAAAAGAAAATTAAACAGGTGCTGAAAAGTACACTGGATGACTTGAAAGAGGCCACCGATAAAAGAATTCAAGCGTACAGAAAAGAGCAAGAGTTGCTTCTGGCCCGAGAGAAGGAGAAGATTAGGTACGAAAGCGCTACACTCTGGCAAACCATCAAGGAGAACAGTCAGTCAAAACAAAAAGAGGTGGATCCTGATCAGCTTAATTTCAATGGCATGTCCATGACCGATTCCCGTCCTGCCTTCCAACTGCACAGCACTGAAACGCATATTCATGATCCTGTCTTTGACAAGGATTATATTCAGCAAAGAAGAAGATCTTCTGTGTTCACCCGAGATTTATTTGGGGAATCCAAGCCTCATTGGGCCTATCATCGAAGGACAAGTCATGTACCGGACGAAAGTTGGGCTCCTCATAGTCTAGGGAAAGATGCATCGGATGAGTTGCCTCCGTTTCAAAGACGATCATCCTTTATTCCTCAACAACATTTGCACCCACTTGCTGCTGCATCAACGCACAAGGAAGAGATAAACATGACATTGCGGGAAGGAGAAACGCATGGAGAAGATATGTTTGCATTGGATGAAGATATAGCTCATCCACCTCGAAAGAAGTCTTTTAAATATCTCGATCTATTTGACGAGGAAAATGAATTGAACGGTATAACAAACAAATACAAACAAACATTAATTTCTTGACTAAAAACTTTGATAAAAAATTTTAATAATAGCAAGTCAATTTACAGCAAATGACCCTTCTTCTTCTTCTCCTCCTGCGGCATCATCAGTCAAGGATGAAATAAGTCAAAACAGACATGTACATCCCTCGTCTTGTTTGATAGATTCTACATATTTTAAAGAAAGACGTCCCTCATTTGTTGGGTTCGATTATGCACAAGTGGATAGAGAAACATCATCTCAACTTCCGCCATTGGATATGACAAGGAGGAAATCTAGTGTTACTGTCACATCGAATCATGTAACATCAAATAACGATAAGCCAAATACCCATAACAACGATGATGATAGGAAAGATGAGGGTCCCATGATTCCTCCTCATTTATTTGCAGCAAATACAGTTACAGATGAAACGGAAGCCATATTTGGATCCGTACCGCGCAATAGTATTAGAAATAGGCCTATAGACTAATACATGTATATAATAAAAATAATAATAATAATAAAAACTTGGTTTTTATAAATAAAAAGGAGCAAAAGAAACTCTTGTTATTATAAGGGGAGGGGGGGTGGGGCGGGGGCAAAAGGGAAGGGAAAAAAAGTATATGTAGTGGTAGGGTAAAATAGTTAATAAAAGTAGAAGTAATAGTAAGTAATATAGTAAGTAATAAGAAAGAGAAGGAGTGATATATATATATAGAAGAGAGAGAAAGAAAGAGAGAGAGAGAGAGAGAGAGAGAAAGTTACATCAGAACACAACCACAGCAACCACCTGAACCATTATCTGACATTTCAAAATTATCTCTTTGACCTCCTTTTGATCTACCTTCTTGTTCTTTATTCATACGACGAATTTCCCGTACAACCTCATAAAAAGTATCGTCGACTCTGATACGTTGCTTTGCTGATGTTTCACTAAACGGACATCCGAAACTTTTGGCCAGGTCTCTGCCTTCTTGATTCGTCACTTGTCGATCTCCCTCTAAATCACACTTGTTTCCCACAAGTACCATGGGAAAAGAATCGCGGTCTTTGACACGTCGAATTTGTTGATAGAATGTATTTACTTCTTCAAATGATAGACGAGAAGTAATCGAATAAACCAAAACAAAGCCTTCACCATTTCGCATGTATTGTTCTCTCATGGCACTAATAAATAAAATTCATAGTCAGTAAGCCAAAAAGAAAGAAAAAAAGGGGGGAGAGAGAGAGAAGGGAGAAAGGGGGGAGTTGTTTCCCTGTTTGTGTGTGTGTGTGTGTGTGTGTGTGTGCGTGTGTACCTATATTCTTCTTGACCTGCTGTATCTAAAACATCCAATAAAGCGGTTTCATCATCAATAACGCATTGTTTACGGTAAGAATCTAATAAACCAAACAAAATTAATAAGCTTGTTACTGTTACTGGGTAAATGTTTAAATACCTTCAATCGTTGGATCGTATTCGTCAACGAAATGAGACTGAATGAACTGAATGGTCAGTGCAGATTTACCAACACCTAATTGAAGAAAGAAAATAGAATTAACATCTCATCATTGTCGTTAGGACTATTTATTTAGTTACCACCACCACCGACAATAACAATTTTGTACCTGAAAAAAAAAAAAAAAAAAAAAAAAAAAAAAAAAGTAGACAGGTTAATATTTAATAGGAAAAGAGCAGTAATGAAATAATGCGTTACTCTCTGAGAAATGAAGCTTTGGACATGATGTTTATTCAAAATAAAAGAGAGAGGAAAGGAAAGAAAAAAAGAAAAAATAAATAAAAAGGCTAAAATAAAAGAGAGAGAGAGAGAGAGTCTGTAACACGCTGCATGAGATTAGTTTCCCTTATTGGGGTCTGTAACAAAAAAAAAGAGTATTCTCTATTATTGCATATGATGGCTTGTTTTTTAACTTGGTTCTCCTGCATTGTATTTTGATATACGTTTTCTTATTTCATGTATAAATAGATGTTGATCAGTGTTTACCCAAAAAAAATCATATATATCTTGTCCTCTCCTATTTCATCCTTTTTTTTCCCTTGTGTAATACTACCCCTATTTAACTTGTGATTCAGAAGAGCCAAAAAAAAAAAAAACTTATTCTAATCTACAGTACGACAAACGCCAATCCCGCAAACTCAAAATACACCTTTTTTTTATGTAATATATACTTTATTCTTTAAAATATATACGATATCCCAAAAAAAAAAGAAGATTTAGAAAAGATCAGCGTTAGCGGGGAACTCAAAGACAACATCCTTGCCAGTGAGCTTCTTGTAGATAGCAGAGAAAGAATCAATCTTGTACTCGAGAGAAGTAGCATCCTTGGCATCGAGGAAGACCTTGAGGGTCTTGGAACCATCAACCTTTTGACGGAGTCTCTTACCAATGATCTCGGTGGGGAAAACGAGATCGTCCAAAATAGCATCATGGACAGCGGTCAAAGTACGAGATCTAGGACGAGGTTGCTTACCAGTGTTACGACGGGTAGGAACAGCCAAGATACGACGTTGAGCAACAAAGACAACATGACGGTCAGAGAACTTCTTTTCGAGTTCACGAGTAAGTCTAATTCATGTGATTTTTAGTTTTTTTTTGTTTTGTCCCACTCATGCACTACTACTACTACTACTACTACTACTTACTGTTGTTGAACCTTGTTGAAGCTCTTGACCAAAGGAACGGGAACAAAGATGACAATAGCCTTCTTACCGGCACCAAGCTCGATCTACAATAGAGTGTCAATTGTATTGTTTCCATGTGTCATTAAAAACCATAGTTACCTCCTTGGCAGCAGTAATGTACAATTGCTTGAGTTCGGGAATGTTGGATTGTAAATCAACGAGAGCTTGAGCAATGGAGAGTTCAGTCTCGTCAGCAGGAGCGGCACCATTGGCCTTTTGAATCTTGTGCGAAGCCATTGTCGTCTGATAACTTTTATTTTGGTAAGATGAGAGGTTAGTATCTAATTCTCATCCATTCGATAAAAAAGCGTCCTAATTTCCATCCATCCATCCCCTTCCCTCCCTTCCCATCCATCCCTTCTAACTTGAATCATCTGGGATACATACGTTTTAAGGACCCGGAAAAAGAGAAAGCACTTGATGTTTGCTTTGCTTGACACTCATTTTCTGTAATTCCCGTCTCCCCCCCGCGCCCGCCACCCTCCACACCACACACAGCACACACACACCATGAACCCAACTTCTTCCAACCACCCCACTTGCCGCGGTCGGAACTTTAATTCAATTTTTTTTTTATTTTTTTTTTCTCTCTCTTTTCCACCTTGGCAAAGCAACAAACCTTTCACTTATTGTTCAGCATTAAGACTATCTTTTTTTTTTTTAAATTTCGACCGTACGAATTAAAAAAGAAAAAACTTTCTCCCTTCTTACTCACTGAAACAAAAGATAAATTAACATGGCCGCCGCTGCACGTTCTGCTGAAGTTCAAGAATTATGTCAAACTATTGATTATTCTGTCAAACATCCTCTTCAAAACACTTGGACTTTATGGTTCGATAACCCAGGAAAGAAGGCCAGTGCTCAATCATGGGCTGACAACTTGAAGGAGATTATTAACATTGATACTGTTGAGGATTTCTGGAGGTAAGCCCAAAAGAGAGATCAGAAGAAAAGAGAAAAAAAAAATTTAAAACATGTTTGATTAGTGCTTTCAACAACATTGCCAAGGTCAACCATCTTGGCCCTAGCTCCAACTACCACCTTTTCAAGCAAGGTATTCGTCCTGAATGGGAGGACGAGTCTAATGCTGAAGGAGGAAAGTTTGGTATTCAATTCCCTAAGAACAAGGCTGGTGAGGCTATTAACGACTATTGGATGTATCTCGTAAGTTTAATTGAAAAAAAAAAAATTTTTTTTTTCTGATCGATCACAATTTAGCTTTTGGCTGTCATTGGTGAACAATTGGCTTCTGATGAAGAGATTTGTGGTGCTGTTATTTCTGTTCGTAAGTCTTTCTACAGAATTGCCTTGTGGGTAAAGACTTCTGATGATGAGGAAAAGATTGAAAAGATCAGGTACAGTCCATTTGAAGTTTTTTTTAAAAAGAAGTGTAGTTTTTTAACAGGTCAAAATAATAATAAAAAAAAATCCCTTTTTTCAACAAAAAAAAAAAAAAAAAAAATACTAGTCAACAACTCAGAGAAGTGCTTAACCTTGCCGAGGATATTCCTATCGAATTCACTGCTCATGGTGAATCTCCTGCCAAGGTCGCTGCTGCTTTGGCTGCTGCCTCTCTTGAAGAGAACGCTGCCACTGAGGCTGAAACCGAGACTGAGGTCAAGTCTGAAGAGGAAGTTACCAAGACTGAAGCTTAAACATTGCCCCCCCTTCCCGACACACACGCACACCCTCCTGCTTTTTTTTTCAAATACATTGATATAAAATAAAAGATAAAAAAAAAAAGATTAAAGTTATGATAGATTTTCAACAAATACTTGTTATGTTTGACATTTTTCAATGTATTGGGTGTAAAGAGCGTGCGGGATTATAAAAATGGCCTTTGCTACGTCACGCTTTTTGGTGTGTGAAAGTTATTCAAAAATCTTTCTGCGCCTCTTTTTTTTTTTATATATACACATCTTTTTATCAGACAAACGACAGAAACAATGGGAGACGGTAAGCATCTGCATTGTGCCCTTTTTTTAAAAAAATGAAAAAAATAAAATATTTACATTCATGGTTTAGATATTGATAATGAGATCAAGGCAGCACAAGCCAAACGTGCCATTATTACTGACAAGGATATTAGTAAAGCTATTCTTGACAATGAAAAGCATGCGAGTATGACTGGTGTCTCTTACGACACTGATCTTTACACGACCGATAAGTTTGCTGGCTATTCCACCTCTTTAGCTGTGAATGACGAAGAAGACGATGACGATGAAGTGTACCAAGAAACCAAACGTAAATTAAATTCATACACAGCATCCAAAGACATCTTGAATGAAGCAACGGAAGGTGCCGATGCTCACGATCCTTTTGCGGACACCATGCGTGAACGTACTATTGCCGGAAGACAAGATGAATACCAACAACGTCGATTTAACCGTATGCTTTCACCCAGTCGAAAAGATGCTTTTACAGAAGGTGGGGACAACGATGCCGAATCTCGTTCTTATTCGGAAGTCGCTCGACAAGCCGAGTTAGAAAGAGAGGAACAACGTGTATTAGCCATCATTGCACAAAAGAAGAAAGAGGAAGCAGAAACAGGTGTTCGTGCTCAAACAGTGGAAGATACACCTACCACGAGAAAGAAGAGAAGATGGGATGTAGCTACACCTGTATCTCAAAATATGGATGCTACTCCTGTTGGTGCTCCAAAGCGATCGAGATGGGATGCTACTCCTGCTCGTGTCGATCCTAATGCTACTCCCGTTCGTCCTTCTTCGGAATGGGATGTAGAGGCTACACCTAAAGGTACAACAAAGCGTTCTCGTTGGGACGCTACTCCTGTTGCTGGTATGGATGCTGTGATGTCCACTCCAGTAGGTGGTATGGGAATGATGACACCTAACCCAAACATGACACCCGAAGCCACCAATGCCCTGCGTTGGGAACGTGAATTGGACTCTCGTAACAGACCTCTTTCGGATGAAGAATTAGATGGTATGTTTCCTGCTACAGGCTACAAGATCCTCGATCCTCCCGCCGGTTATGAACCTATTCGTACACCTGCGCGTAAATTAACCGCTACACCTACACCGATGGGTGATACTGGTTTTGTCATGCATGATGAACAACGTCAAGTGGTTGCCTTGGATTTACCTTCTGAAATTCCCGGTGTAGGTTCCTTGCCCTTCTTTAAAGAAGAAGACATGCAACATTTTGGTAAACTTTTGGACGAAAAGGACGAAGGTGCCATGTCTATGGACGAATTAAAGGAAAGAAAGATTATGCGATTATTGTTAAAGATCAAGAATGGTACACCTCCCATGCGTAAAGGTGCACTTCGTCATATAACGGATAAGGCTCGTGATTTTGGACCAGGACCTTTATTCAACCAAATCTTGCCTTTATTGATGTCGCCCACATTGGAAGACCAAGAACGTCACTTGTTGGTCAAGGTGATTGATCGTATTCTTTATAAATTGGATGATCTTGTTCGACCTTTTGTTCACAAGATCTTGGTGGTTATTGAACCGCTCTTGATTGATGAAGATTATTATGCTCGTGTGGAAGGTCGTGAAATTATCTCGAATTTATCCAAAGCTGCTGGTCTTCCTACCATGATTACTACCATGCGTCCTGATATTGATCATCCCGATGAATATGTTCGTAACACCACCGCTCGAGCATTCTCTGTCGTTGCTTCTGCTCTTGGTATCCCAGCTCTTTTACCCTTCTTAAAGGCTGTATGTCGATCCAAGAAATCATGGCAGGCTCGTCATACCGGTATCAAGATTGTGCAACAAATTGCCATTCTTTTGGGTTGTGCTGTTTTACCCCATTTGAAGAACCTGGTAGAAGCCATTGGTCATGGTTTAGAGGATGAGCAACAAAAGGTGCGTACAATTACTGCCTTGGCGATTGCAGCTTTAGCTGAAGCTGCTGCACCTTACGGTATTGAATCCTTTGATTCTGTTCTTAAGCCTCTTTGGACTGGTATTCGTAAACATCGTGGTAAAGGACTTGCTGCGTTTTTAAAGGCGATTGGTTATATCATTCCCTTGATGGATGATGAATATGCCAACTACTATACAAAGGAGGTGATGGTGATTTTGATCCGTGAGTTCCAATCTCCTGATGAAGAGATGAAGAAGATTGTGTTGAAGGTGGTGAAGCAATGTGCTGCAACGGATGGTGTTCAACCCAGTTATATCAAGGAGGAAATTCTGCCTGAATTCTTCAAGCACTTTTGGGTTCGTCGTATGGCGCTTGATCGTCGTAACTATAAACAGGTGGTGGAGACTACAGTTGAATTAGCAAACAAGGTGGGTGTGTCCGAGATTGTCAGTCGTATTGTAAATGATTTGAAGGATGAAAGTGAACCTTATCGTAAGATGGTGATGGAAACGATTGAAAAGGTAGTTTCGAATTTGGGTGCGGCTGATATCGACCCCCGTTTAGAAGAACTCTTGATTGATGGTATCCTTTATGCCTTCCAAGAACAAACGATTGAAGATATTGTGATGTTGAATGGTTTTGGTACGGTAGTGAATGCCTTGGGTATGCGTATTAAGCCTTACTTGCAACAAATCTGTTATACCATCTTGTGGCGATTGAATAACAAGTCTGCCAAGGTACGTCAACAAGCAGCCGACTTAATTTCGAGAATTGCTGTGGTCATGAAGAGTTGTGGTGAAGAAAAATTGATGAGTCAGTTGGGTCAAATTCTTTACGAATATCTTGGTGAGGAATACCCCGAGGTGTTGGGTTCCATCTTGGGTGCCCTGAAGAGTATTGTGAATGTGATTGGTATGGCGAGTATGACGCCTCCTATTAAGGATCTCTTGCCTCGTTTAACACCCATTTTACGTAATCGACATGAAAAGGTACAAGAAAATTGTATTGATTTAGTCGGTCGTATTGCAGATCGTGGTGCTGAATATGTATCTGCTCGTGAATGGATGCGTGTTTGCTTCGAATTGCTGGATCTCTTGAAGGCTCATAAGAAGGGTATTCGTCGTGCCTCTGTCAATACTTTTGGTTACATTGCCAAGGCTATTGGACCTCAAGATGTATTGGCCACCTTGTTAAATAACTTGAAGGTGCAAGAACGTCAAAACCGTGTATGTACTACAGTCGCTATTGCGATTGTAGCTGAAACGTGTGCTCCTTTCACTGTTTTACCGGCTCTCATGAACGAATACAGAGTGCCTGAATTAAATGTGCAGAATGGTGTGTTAAAGTCACTATCGTTTATCTTTGAATATGTTGGAGAAATGGGTAAAGATTATATTAATGCGGTTGCACCACTTTTGGAAGATGCTTTGATGGATCGAGATCTTGTGCACAGACAAACAGCATGTACGACGATCAAGCATATGGCATTAGGTGTGGTTGGACTTGGTTGTGAAGATCCTCTCCGTCACTTACTGAATTACATCTGGCCTAATATTTTTGAGACCAGTCCTCATGTGATTAATGCTGTGATGGAAGCGATTGAAGGTCTTCGCGTTGCACTAGGACCTGCTACCATTCTTCAATACACATTGCAAGGTTTATTCCATCCCGCAAGAAAAGTGCGTGAGGTCTATTGGAAGATCTACAATACATTATATATCGGCAGTCAAGATGCTTTAGTACCTTTTTATCCCAGGTTAGAAGACGATGAACGTAATCACTATCAACGTACTGAATTGGATTATGTCCTCTAAGAAAAAAAAACCCCTTACAACCAAATTACGCATCAATCATCATATTATAAATAAAATAAAACAAACACACACGCACACACATAAAAAAAAAGATGATTGTAATTTTATTTTTTATTGTATTTTTTATTTTTTTGTTTTTTAAAAAAAGGCATGGAGGGGGTGGGGAGGATTTGTTTGAAAATCTAAGTTTAACGATCAACTTCACCAAAGACAATATCCTAGTAATGAAAAAAAAAAAAAATTAATCTATGGGTTCTTATAAAAATGAGTGTGTTGAAACTTACCATGGTACCGATAATGGTAACCATATCAGGAAGTAAATGGTTACGAGACATGAAATCAGCACCTTGAAGATGTGCGAAACCAGGAGCTCTGTTTAAAGAAAAAAGTTCAATAAGTGGTGTTTTTGGGACAAGTTTTAAAAAGAAAATTGCTTATGATGTTTTACCTGATCTTGCATCTGTAAGGTCTGTTAGAACCATCAGAAACCAAAAAGACACCGAATTCACCCTTGGGGGCTTCAACGACGGTATAGGTTTCACCAGCAGGGACAGAGAAACCTTCTGAATAGAACTTGAAATGATGGATTAAAGCCTCCATATCTTCCTTCATGGCAGCACGAGGAGGAGGGGTGACCTTCCAATCATCGGTCTTGATGGGACCTTCAGGCATTTGGTTGACACATTGATGGATGATACGAATGGATTGACGCATTTCTTCCATACGACAGAGGTAACGATCGAAACAGTCACCGTTTTGACCGATAGGGACATCGAACTCGACCTTATCATAAGCATCATAAGGGTTGGTCTTACGGAGATCCCACTTGATACCAGAACCACGAACGAGGACACCGGAGAAACCCCAGTCCTCAGCTTCTTGCTTGGTGACGATACCAATATCACGAGTACGGATCTGCCAGATACGGTTACCGGTCAAGAGTTCCTCAATCTCATCGATACGATCGCCGAATTGTTCAGACCAATCATGGATATCGGCCAAGAGACCAAGAGGGATATCAAGGGAGACACCACCGGGACGAACGTAGGCAGCGTGAAGACGGGCACCGGAACAACGTTCGTAGAACTCCATCAACTTTTCACGCTCCTCGAACATCCAAAGCAAAGGGGTTAAAGCACCAACATCCATAGCATGGGTCATGACAGCCATGATATGGTTTAAGACACGGGTGATTTCACCAAACATGGTACGAATATACTTGGCACGTTCAGGTACCTCAATGTTCAAAAGTTTCTCGACAGCCAAGGAATAGGCTTGTTCGTTGGTCATGATGGAAACGTAATCGAGACGATCAAAATAAGGTAAAGCTTGAAGATATGTCTTGTATTCAATCAACTTTTCGGTACCACGATGCAATAAACCGATATGAGGATCAGCACGTACAATCTCTTCACCGTTTAATTCAAGAATAAGACGTAACACACCATGAGCAGCAGGATGCTGAGGTCCAAAATTGACAGTGAAGTTACGCATTCTGCTTTCATCCTCATCCACAACAACTAGAAGAGATTCACGGAATTTAAGTTAAAAAAATAAAAGGTAAGTTTTCTCTTTTCCTCTGGCAACTTACCACCGAATTCGGTATCTTCAGTGATGGTGGTGATGGGGATATCACCAGCAAATCCTTGATTGGCAGCAGTGGCCATGGTGCGGAAAGGTTGGTATGCCTTCAAAGGCATAGCACGAGGTCTAAGCATGGAGGTGCGAGTGGTGGCGGTAGCTGCATTGACGAGTCGACGTGCCCACATTCTGGTAGCAAACGACATTATTAATTGAACTGGGTTTTTTGTTATAATTGAATGAAGAGTGGGGAGTAAGAAAAAAAAAAAAAAAAAAAGTTCGTCTCTACTTTTTATCCAAAAAAAAAGGTGGGGTGGCGTACTGTTTATCGATTGGGTTGGTGATGGGTTAAAAAAACATGTTTAGTCTTTTCTTTTTTTTTTTTACGATCATTGTGTAAAAAATGTCAAATTCTATTTACCTTTTTTTTCTTTGGTAAAATGTGAAAAAAAAAAAATAGGATATTTCCTCTCCCACCAATGTTTTCAAAAGCGTGGGGGGACGACAGGGCAAAAAAAAAAAAAAAATCAATTTTTGAGGGTCCGTTTGATTTTGTTTGACGTCACAAATCACGTGACCCATTTTGACAGCTTCCCCCCACCTTTTTAAGGCTCTTCTTAGAAGGCTTCATAAGTTGTCATGAATCTATAGAAGCATATAGAGCCAAGTGCTGTGTGTGACGAATTCTGACTTTTAAAAACAGATAAAAAACCATACAAGATCAGGCTTTCCATCACTAATTAGATAACTCAGTTTGTTTTGAAAAACGAACTCAACATCTTTGAATCAGCAACACTATTTTCTGCTGCTTAATGTCCCAGATATAGGATTCGGTTTAACCAGAAAGTTGGTTACAGGTTGTATTTACAATCCAGACTGTTTTTAAAGATGATGGGGTCATAATAAATGTTGAGATGAACAGGCTAAATCAGTACAATCATCCATGGATTTCCATGTTACATCAACATTTATCATTGGTTCTTCTCGACTTCTGTTCCTTACCAATGACCTTTGATCATTATCATCATCAGATAGTACAGCATTATACAATCCCTATGACAACCCTCATAGTTGTTATTGATCTAAATATTTCAATTTATCAGTGTACAACATTTACAGAAATACCAAGACATTATTTGTTTGCATTTATCATTTGATGGCTTGGGTTGATGTAGCTCACATAATGGGGTCTGTGTGTGTGTGTGTGTGTGTGTGCTAATGAATGGATATCTGATGATTCATTCTAAAGTGCTATTCGACTCAATTGAACAGAATGACATATGGTGTGGGGAGAATAATTTGAAAATGAACTTGATATATGCAAACTAAAGAAGACAATAGAAAAGTCTGTATGATACCATGATGATGTTCAAGCAGACTACGCACATCATGTGTAAAGTATGGTATAAACAGGTTTATTGCTTTTCTGTTCTGCAGTGACTGGCGAATATACACCCCCTTTATATCACAGAATGTACACCTTATTTTCTGCGTGTATGTGGGTTTTTTTGCAGGTAAAGAGAGAAAAGACGTTTTAGGAAATGTCATCGAATGGAACACAAACTAGCAGAAAATCACAACTTAAATTTTGTTACTCCATTCACAAATAAAAGCTTATATTTAGGGTTAAGAAAACAACGTGAGTCATTTGATTTATAACAAATATACTTCATTCGTCGTCATAATTACACAATCCGTCTATATTATACAGGTAAAAGCACGAGGGGGACGGCCATTCTGTATTTTTAATATTGGAAGGGGCGGGGGTAAAGTTGGAAGCTAGCTAGCTTGCTTTTATTTACTAATGCTATCACCCAAGGGGAATGTCTCAGAAGAGTCATGAAAAAGCAAATTATTCCCATTTGACTTCTTTATGGGGAAGGAAGCTTTTTTTTTGATAATTTGGTATGTCAGGATTACCCTTGATCAGGCTAATGTTAGACTATTTTCGATTTAAACTTACACAACTAAAGAAAATGAACCCCACATGGCCTACTGTTTTAGAAGCAAGGAGATGTGTGCACCTAATAAATAATTTGCAGGAGTAGGAGCATTAAAAGCGACTATTTTTGTGATACATTAAAAAAAAGTATCAATTACAACAATTACATCATTTTTTTTCCCTTTTGTGTATGTAAACAAAATTTCGCCCACCACCAAAAGTGTCTAAACTAGGACCCTTTGTCATATTGCCTTTTTTCTTTTGGGGATTCAGGGTGTTAAAGAAGTATACAGAAGAAAAAATATAAAAAATAATGAAGCAGGTGACACCACAATTCGGTGTGATGGTATTGTATTTACTGAGTCCGCTAACAAAGTAGACAAATTTGCTGGATTTCTTTGAGTACGCGCTTTATGTCAAATTCCAGGTTTCGGTCTTTTCACCCGATGACCTGTGCCGAAAAAGTTGCAAGAAGAAATAAAGCACTGTCCAAGTACCCATTCTTTAGTTTGTTGAAATTTCTCACCAACATTAGAGAGGGTCGGTAGAGTCGTAAATTTATAATTTATTAATAGTTAAGAAAATGAAAAATAATAAGACAATGGTTGCCTTGACTCCCCCCCCCCAGCATATTTTGTGTCAGATGTACCTATTAAAAAAACTGCTTTTTTTTTATTGTTATGCTTGCTTCATATTAGGATGAATCATGATTCTCGAGGGAGATAAGCAATCTACCTAGAAAGGAATAGGGGGGAAATCATAGCAGATCTTTTTATGTTAAAATGATGTAAAACGCTTGCTGCTGCTGAATACAAGGGTAGAAAAAAAAATCGTAGCTCCGAACCGGACACCCATTTTTTTTTTGTGGGTGAATTTATCATTTATACGTCAGAGAGATAAGTAATCAACATAGAAGCACCTTTTCTTCATATGCAAAATTAAAATGAATGAGTGGGCATTTCACAACATTATCGATGTACGTGACATGAATTCCGATATGTACTTTCCTATGCGTTATGTAACTGATTTCATCTCCCCCAAGTGCAGTCTGCTTTTTTTCTTTTGGTGGGATTATGCAATATTCATTTTTTGGGGGTATTTAAATGTTTCTGTTTCCCTTTTTTTTTTTTTCTTGTTTCTTCTTCTTTACATACATATTTTTTTTTTTTTTGTAATTGCCAATGCCACCTTATTCATACCCAAGTTTTGAAGAGATTGAAGCCAAAGAATGGGCATCAAATACGGTAGAAACTATTCTTACGGATATAACACCTGTATCATTTCAATCTGATTTCTGCGACAAACCCAAGAAATTAAATATTCTGATAAATGACATTGTTTTCCGAAAGGATAGAGAGGACAATCCACTGAGACGGTCATTCTCATTTCTCGAAGAAAACTTATTTTCCCCCAACAACAATGACGAGAAGGAGGGACAAAAGAATGCTCGAAGATCACAGAGCACAATCTTGCCAAGTACCAGTTATGCAAATAGCGGTAATAGTAGGACCGCGGCCGTCATCACACAATCGGCGCCAACATCACCAACAAACAAACTGTCGTCTCAACCTTCCTTTTCTAGCCGTATCCGTGATACTTGGCACATGGATCGTGCATCTAATAATATAAAAAATACAACTGACATATTTGATCATAAAAAGTCGGCCAAGGAATTAAAAGCAATCAATGTATGGAAATCCACTCTTGCTCAATACAATGCCCAGACTCCTTCTACATTGGATATCAAGGTAAAACTATTAATTTTATTTATTTTGCTTGGTCTGAATTACTCATCTTTTTTTTTTGCAGTCTAAACCATATTCGAAAAGATCAGTTCAGCTATCAAAGTTCATCATGACTGAGCTTTTGACGACCGAGGAAACGTATTTAAATCATCTCATGACAATCAAAAACGTAAGCTATTAAAATGTAGATTTCATACCGATGTCTAATAATTTGAAATGGGATAGTTTTATATGGACCCATTACAGGCAGCCGCCCAAAAGAAATCATCCCTCGTCAATCAAAAGGACATTGAGATCATTTTTGCATTTATACCACAACTTATCATTTTATCAACGTCTCTTGTACAAAGATTACATGAAACAATTGCTTTACATGACGAGAACGAACATAACGATGCGTACATTGGAAAGGTGTTCTGTGGTTTAGAATCTTTTTTTGATATATACATTGCATACACAGTTAATTTTGCCAAATCTAAGAAGCACCTATCAAAAGCCAGTTCTAGTATTGTTTATAGACAGCTTGTTCAAGTATGTTTTTAGTGTAGGAAGTAGATGATTTAATATAAAACTAAGCATTTCATTTCTTTTTAGGATACTATGCGAAAGAAGACAACAAATAGAATGATTTTATCTGATTACATGATTGCGCCAATTCAAAGAATCACGCGTTATTGCCTTTTATTAAAAGGTATGCCCGGCTTAACAATTTTTTTTTTTCTTTATTGTGTAAATAACATGTTTTTTAAAAATAGATCTTCAGAAATATTCTAGTCCATGCAACCCGGATCACGTTTATTTAGAAAAGACATTAAAATGTCTCTCTGCACTTGCATTTGCCATGAATTCTGTTCAGTAAGAAATCCTATTGTTTCTTATTTAACCTCCCCTTTCCCCTTTCATTTGTAAATATTTTTGTCACTTATTATCCCACTTATACATACATTATTCCCCCTCTTATAAAAAAAATATACATAAATAAATATATTTTTACTGCATCAACCTTTTTTAGCTGTGTCATGTGCTTATTGAGCTGTATTTCTCATTAACACACTAAGCCCACCCCTCCCTCTCCTTTCTTTTTTGTATTGCGTTATACGTAATATGGAACACCAAACACTATTACACCAGGATAGTTATAAGCACAATTTCGTCATTGAAGAAAAGATCAAGTCCATCGTCTCCCTCGACTCTGCCATTAGTGCAATTTCCACCTCAAAGGATGTCCGCAATCCCATACGTATTGACCTAGACCATGCTCATTCATATATTTATCTTCCTGGGGAAATTATCAGTGGTATCCTTTTTATACTTGTATCAGTAGCAGAATAAGAATTTAATCCTGTGTTTCACCAATAGGGTTTGTTACTGTTGAGCCTTGTTCTCGTAAGAATCGAGGAAGAGTAGATATCCAGTTATCTTGCTCTTTTCGCGTCTTATCCGATGATCTCCACAAGGTGACAAAGAAACGTTCAATATTCAAAGTCATGATTAATCCTATTTGGATACCTGAAAATGAATATCAATCAAGATTTTCGTTAACGATACCACCCGACCTTCCAGCTTATAATGTGAATGATGAGGTAACACTTATTTACTTAGATGCATTAGTTTTACTAAGCTCTCTTTTTGCATGCGTGTAGTCTATCAATGGGAGAATCGAATACAAGTTAAAGGCCACTTATGAAATAGCAGCTGATATGCCCTTAGTATTATACCCAAAAACCTCTGTGCTAATTCTAATTAGTGCAAAGATATCAACAACGGATCCAATTTACACCGTTCCAATACATAGTCGCAAGGAAATCTCCATTAGTATCCCACGAGATGTTGTGCTTAAAAATAAGAAACTTCGAAAGGGGGAAAAAGGGATAGTTTCAGCCAAATTTAGCCTAAGAACTTGTTGCTTTTTACCGGGTCAGAGTATCCCTTTTACGCTTGGCATACAGCATATGGCACCTGTCAAACAAATACAGGGTATACAGATTTTGTTGGAAAGAATCACTACATTGCAGGGAGAAAGTGGGAATTCAATCGATACCACCGTCATTGACAAATTGATTTTACCACTCGTCTGTGATTTGGATGATTACTCTGCTTATATTACAGATCAAGTATTGCATGTCCCTAATAATATATCACCTACAAGTCATACCAAAGGACAAGAAATAGTGATGCCGTTTAGTATTCAATATAGCTTAAAAGTATTGATCAATATGGATATGCATAATTTCTTGGAGGATATTCCGCTTCGCAAAAGAGACAGAGCTTACAGTATGATGACGAAGATCATTGGAAGTTTAGAACAGGATGGTGGTGGACCTGCATTTTTTTACGGGACCACCATTGAGTTGAATTTGCCTGTGGTGATAGGAACCACTTCATCATCCACATTAAAACAGGCTTCCTCGCTCACGCCTGTAACATTACCAAATCGTCTCATGATGGTCAATTCCCCTGATGATTATCATCCTTTATCATCCGTCCCGGTTCGTCAACAGGGTCTTAGTAATATTAGTCGTCGTTTATGCAGTGATCCAACTTTTGATAGAACAAATCTTATTCAGCAACAACACCAATTTTTATCGACTGCGTCATTATTTGATCAAGGGGAACAAGTGATGGGGAGACCGCCTTCTGCTCCACCACTTGTTGATTTTCAAGATCTCACTAGTCCTCCACCTTATCTACAATAAGGTGTCTTTCTTCTTCTCTACCTTTTTATTAAATTTATAATATATACATACAAACTCATTTAGAAGAGGATGGGGGGACAGTCTTTATTTTTATTTTATTATGATCAATGATTTTGTTTTGATTTATCTGCAAAATTCTGGTTATTATTACTGCTTCCTTGAACGATCCGCATGGCTATTTTCCTCGCATCTTCTACAACGCCGGTCATTTTCATCCCCACAACCTGCAGAGCGAGTTCCATCAGTGCACGATCTGTTTCTATCAGATAAGTAAAGACCATGATATCATTTTTATGATTTGTGGGTGGTGCATCCCGAAAAGAAACGACCACAGGTCCGGGTTGAGAAGCCGGTGGTAATGTGCAGATCAAGGTATTGGGTGACCAATATTGAATGTTTGTAGCGGGTGTATCACCAAACATGATGGTCAATCCCGGTCTAAAGCCCGTGCCTAGAATCGTGATTTCGATGCCTCCACTGGCAGGTGCTTCACTGGGGATGAGACGCTTCATGATAGGAGGAGGAGGAGGGGGTGAGTATGCAGTAGGCACAGTGGATGTCAACATGTTTCTAAAGACGGATTTCATGCTGTCATCGGCCGACGCAGTAGAAGATGCTGATGACTGAAGACCAAAATGTTGGTCCTCTGTTTTCACAACAGCAGCATTATTGTTATTGTTGTTGTTATTGCCGAATTGAAATGACTTGATCCAATTTAAGGCAGGTATACTACTCCCTTCCATAGCCGATGGTGGAAGTGGAGTCAGTGGTGTAAACGAGGCTTCATTTTCTGACGTGCGGCGTCTTTTTAATCCAGTTTTTAGTTTATTGGATTTGTGATCGTCTGTGATCATGATGGGCGGTGATATGCCTTCTGCCACTTTTTTCCCGGTATAATCCAACATTTCGAAATAAATACAAAAACCCAGTCTTTCATTATGGTGTCGACAGTAACATGTAATACGGGTAGGCAAGATCGTATCACCTGCATTAAAGTCCACTACTTCGGCACAATTAAATAATAAGATCCTTTCCTCGTCGGATGCTAAAGAATTCTCGTCTTCCGTTTCCTCACACTCATCCTTGTTTGTTTTGGTTTCTTTTCTTCTCTGGGATCTCTTGCGCTTTTTTTAAAGATGATTAGCCATAGAAATATATGTAAATAATAATAATAATAATAATAAAAAAATTACAGTAAACATTTACTTCTCTTTGAATACATCCCATACATGTTAGCACTTTTTTCGATGGATCACTTGCACATAAAACTCTAGCCTGTAAATAAAGGGTCTTTTCAAGACTTCCCGGTGATCCATGATCTGCGCTTGTATTTCGACCCTGACCCGACTTTTTTCCTTTTTCCTTTGTTACCATGTTTTCAGGTAATTTCAGATGAGACCACCATTGAGCCTTGTCACCTCCATCTGTTACTAATTGGATGCAAAGTTTGATTTGTGTTTCTACGCGTGATTTTGCACCTGATTGAGGTACGCCTAGTACCCTGATTTGTAATCTAGAAAAGGAATATTAGAAGCTTCTTCTCATATGAATTCAACACCTATTTTCAAAAAAGTTTTTTTTTTTTTTTTACCCTGTACTTGAGTGATTAAACTGTTGTTTGAATTGCATCATTGGGTCGTAGTCCATAGAAGCAGATGTGATGGGTGAGCCTAGAGGAGAATCCGAGGTCCCATTGTTCCTTAATAAATGCTAGTAACTTAGTGCGATTCTTTCGAAAAAAGAATAAAGATAAGGTAGTGGAACTTACAGAGAGCTTAAGAATGGTACAGGATGATTTGAAAGATATTCAGAAAAACTTCGAGCGATATTTGGAAATGTTGGAAATATGTTATTGTGTGTCACATTGGAAATAAACTATATTTATGCATTTTTTTTTTTTTGTGTGGAGTAAAAGGGTTAGTTAATGAAACAAAAAAATAAGGTTATAAGATAATTTACGTTATTTAGACCGGTCCAAAAAGAAGGTGGCTGCTCACCGACCGAAGTCGTGATGGCAGCTTGGAAAGATTCCATATTGGAAGCAATAGATTGTGCAAGTGTAGAAGTTGAATCACCTACATTCATTCTAGATTGGTTACTGCTGCTTTCACCATTTTCCTTTAAAAATTGATCAGCAAAAGCGTTATTCCCATTTGTCTGTGGTTGCTGCATAAAAAATAACGGGTTTTCTGCCGAAAGTTGCCCAAGACTATAGAAAAAACTTTGGTCGACTAACTGAGGTGGTGGTGGCGTAGCGAAGTCCTTTTGCAAAGGTAATCTACTATTTTCATTCATACCAACTGAGTTATCCGTAGTGTTTCCAGCTGATTCGTCAGTGGACAAGGCGGGTAGATCTTCATTAGACATATTCTTTGACATTGTAATTTTTTTTTTTTTTTCTTTCTGTTTTCGTAATTTTTTTTTTTCGGGTATGTATTTCGAAGAAAAAGCACAAAGGCGTCGGAGGGACAAACAAAACCATTTCGCTCCCAGTTTAGCCAATTAAAGTATTTTAAGCAGAACATCACGCGTGTCCAAGCAAAAAACGTATTGGATATAAAACTCAGATTATAGTGCAGAAGCTTACAAAGAGAAATTATTAAATAGGACGGGGATATAGAAATAACTATTAGCCTATGAACGAAAAAATCAATAAAAATCAACATGGTACGATGTCTTGGACATTTTTAGTAACAGTGAAAACCCATTGGATTTCATTATACAGTAATATTTAATTTAATTTTCAGTTTAAGTTTAAGAGTTTATTCGCCATGTTTCTTCGTAAAACATGCTGACGTTACGTAAAGTGATCGACGTTTTTTTTTTCTGCCATTTTTACAAATCGGAAGAACTTTAAAAAAGATGATACATGTCAAAATGGAAAACTATTAAAACAGCGAGGAGATAACAGTCATCATGTGGAAGACACCCATTTTTGAATTGATTTGACCTTCCTCGAGTCTAATAGACTGTAAACTATCTTGGTTGCATCATAATGTTGAATTCGGGACACTAGGATAAGCCAAGATAACGGTTCCGTACTAGGATAGGTATTCTCCATGCATAATCCCTTTTTTTTTTGACGGGCCGAGGCTGGGCCTATACGCACAGAGCCCAAGGTGTATTAAAAAAATTGTAAGCGGGAGGTTAATTGATTTTCCAAAAATTATCAATCACTCTTTATTTTATTTAGCCAGACTTGGCACACTTCAGGCTGCAAAAGACCAGTAATTGCACGAGACTATAATCATAACAAATCAAATTATTTATTTTTATACCGGTAAAACGCCATAAATCTAAGTTTATATAATCAGGTTTACTTTTGAATATTGGATCTATCGATTTTTTTTTTTTAACCAAAACAAATGACATTTTTGCTGGAAGAACTTTTGTATGGTATAAACGGCGTCTTAACGGCTAGATGTAACACTATACAAAGGTACCACAAACCTAATCAGAAAACATGTATTTTACAAGTTGATCGTGCCATAGAGATTTAGGCTAATCTACCGGGAAAGACGGAATCTAAAATATTTTATTTATTTAAATAGCTGTCAATCAGAGCCTATTTTTTTTTCTTCATTTAACTCTATTACTTTAAATACAAAACAAAAAAATGTCAGATACAATCTCTCTCATTGTAGCCCTGAAAGGTTGCGATAACATTGAAACTGAGGGTCACATCATTCGTGTCGGTAATGGTGCCAATACTGATACTGTTCGTACCTTAGCCGCCGAAAAGCTTGGTTTAGGTGTCGCTTTGGTGGACATTATTCTTGAAACTACATCAGGCGAGGTCTTGACTGAAATCGAACGTGTCAAATCTCAACAAGTTGTCATTATTAATCTCAAGGAACAAATTAAGGATATTCCCGGTCCCACTAAGTTACCCATGGTTGGTAACCTTTACGACATGTTGCCTGATTTGTAAGTGCAAACATCTCTTATCATAACCCTATTCTTTTTTTGTTGATTTATTAATCATATATATCATCTATAATAGAAATGCTGGTTGGGCCAAGCAATTCAAGAATTACGGTAAAATTGCCACTGTCAGTATCTTGGGTACAGAGATTGTCGGTACCAACGATCCTGCTATTGCTGAATTGTTCGTCAAGGAATCTGAGTACTTCACCAAGCAAATCGGAACATCCTTGAAGGAAATTAAAGACTTTGCTGGTAATGGCTTATTCACTTCAAACAGTGAATCCGATGAATGGAAGTTGGCCCATAAGATCTTGATGCCCGCATTCAGTCCTCGTGCTATCAAGGTAAAAAAAAAAAAAAAATTACTCAAATGAAGAAAATTTTAAGTCTAACCCTTTTATTAACTTATTAGGCCTATCAACCTGAAATGGGTATAATTGCTCAAGAAACCATGGATGTTCTTGGTGAATACTCTCCTGATGATAAAGTTGAAATTCTTGAATGGTGTACTAAATTGACTTTCGAGACTATCGGTCGTATCGGTTTCGGTTACTCTTTTGACTTGATGGATCGTAACAAGCCTAATCATCCCTTCATTGATGCCATGGGTTATGCTCTTGGTAGCAGTCTGAACCGTTTTGCTCGCCCTACATTTATGAAGAACATGCCACTCGAATCTAACCGCAAGTGGCAGCAAGGCAACAATCTGATGCACTCTATCGTCGAAGGTGTTATTGCCGAACGTAAAGCCAGTGAATTTGCCAAGAATTCCGAAAAAGATCTTTTGGGTTTCATGTTGAATGCTCGTGACGAACACAACTTGGGTCTCAGTGATGAGAATATTCGTGATCAAGTTGTTACCTTCTTGATTGCCGGCCATGATACTACTGCAAATACCTTAGCTTGGGCTCTTTATGAACTCTCTAGACACCCTGAAATACAGGCCAAGATACTCCAAGAAATTGCTAATGTCGGTATCACATCTGATGTCTTACCTACTGTTGAACAAGTCAGTAATCTCAAGTATATTCATAAAGTCTTGAAAGAAACTCTTCGTCTCCATGCTCCTTTAAGAGTTATCACCAAGTATTGTAAGAAGGACTGTGTTGTCCCCGGTGGTTACCTCGTTAAGGCCAATACTAATGCTACTGTTTCCGTTCTCAACATGCATATGAATCCTGAAATCTATAAGAATCCTGCCCAATTCGACCCCGAACGTTTTACTCCTGAGGAAGAGCAAAAGAGATCTCTCTATGCTTGGTTGCCTTTCAGTACTGGACCCAGAGCTTGTATCGGTATGGCCTTTGCTTTACAAGAAGCCAAGACTGTTCTTGCCATGTGGCTTCACCGTTTCGAATTCAAGTATGATGGACCTGATGTTCTCTACGATCCAAATCAACCTACTACTAAGCCTCTTGATATGTTCATGACTATTCATCCTCGTACCAACTTCCCCGAGAAATCCGAAGAAGCCCTTGATCTCACTGAAGTACCCACTGAAAAGATCGGTATGCCCGTATTAAACCATGGTGTTTCAACTCTTGGAAGTATTGAATTGCCCAAGATTACTTTCCTCTTTGGTACTCAAACCGGTTCTGCTCAAGATTACTCCAACCAATTGTCTGCCCAAGCTAAACGTTTTGGTTTCAAAGATATTGCTTTCAGCTCTATGGATCATTGGAAGGTTATCCAATCTGGTACTTACGAAAAGTCATCTGAAAAGAAGAAGAACGAGTTGGTTGTTATCTGTACTGCTACTTACAATGGTCAACCTCCTGATTCTGCCGAAAACTTTAACAAGTTCTTGGACGTCAACATGCAAGCTGGTAATGAGAACTTACTTGACGGTATTGACTTTGCTGTATTTGGTCTTGGTAACAGAAACTGGAGAACATATCAAGCTTTCCCTCTCAAGGTTGATTCCTCTTTGGAAGCTCTCGGAGCCAACCGTTTCTTCGCTCCTGGTACTGGTGATGCTGATAAGGATATGGATGGTGACTTCAATCAATGGTGTGCCTATTTCTGGACTCATACACTTGGCAAATTTGGTGTTGCTGCATCTTCAAGCAAGTCTGTTGTTCCTACCGCTACTTTATCTGCCGAAGATTCCGATTTAAGCACTGCCAAGATTGACTTTATCTCCCCATCGGACAAGGTCAAGTGGGAAGCTGCCAACAATAACAAGAACGGTGACTATAATGCAAAGTTGCTTGTGAACCGCGAACTTCAAAAGGAGGGTTCTGATCGTAGTACTCGTCACATTGAAATTGATATCTCTCAACTCGAATCTGCTAGCTCTGTCCAGGGCCAACTCTACGATGCTGGTGATCATATTGAAATCATGCCTGAAAACAATGTTCAAGAAGCAGAGCGTATTGCTTTAGGTTTCGGTCTTGTTCTCGATTCTGTATTTGAAGTTGATGCCTCATCTGCCGATAGCCTCTCCCCTCGCTCTATGGCTGCTGTTATCAAGGGACCTTGTACTGTTCGTAACGCTTTGGTCTACTATGCCGATCTGATGTCCCCTCCCTCTCGTCGTATGTTGAGTTATTTTGCAGCCCAACTTCACGCTACTGCTCCTGAAACCGCCAAGGTATTTGATAGTTTGACTATGCCTGACGAAAACAACAAGGATCAATATCCTTCCTTCATCAAAAAGCACAGAACTTTGCTCGACCTTCAATTAGCCTTCCCTCAAGTCAGCCGCATTGATCTCGGTCAGTTCTTAGCAGCTGTTAGTGTTATGCAACCTAGACGTTACTCTATTGCTTCTTCCCCTCTTGTCTTCCCCAAGCATGCTCATATTTCCGTCGGTGTTGTTGATGATATTGTTGGAGATAAGCATTATGCCGGTCTTGCATCCTCTTACTTAAAGAGACTCCAAGGAGAAAACATGTCTGGTATCCGTGCTAGTCTCAAGTCATCCAAGAGTTCTTTCAGTATGCCTGAAGATATCACCAAGCCTTTGATCATGATTGCAGCTGGTACTGGTGTTGCACCTTTCCGTGGTTTCCTTCAAGAAAGAGCTTTCCAAAAGAAGAACGGTCAAGAAGTCGGACCCTGTACCTTGTTCTTTGGTTGTCGTAACCCCGAAAAGGATTTCATCTATAGCGATGAGCTTGAAGAATATGTTAACTCTGGTGTTCTTGTCAGCAAGCATATTGCCTTCTCTCGTATGAATCCTCCTGCTTCTCAAAAGTATGTTCAACATGCCTTGTTGGCCAACGCTGGTGAAGTCTGGTCTTTGTTGTTGAATGGTGGAGGCGCCAATGGAGGTGCTGTTTATATTTGTGGTAGTGGTGTGATGAGTCGTGATGTTTACTCTGCTTTCCAAGTCTGCGCCAAGAGTTTCGGTGAAGCTCAAAATAACGAAGAAGCAGATGAGTTCCTTCAAAAACTTGTGGATGAGAAGAACTTCTTGCAAGATGTTTGGGGTTAAAAAAAAAGTAGTTATTGAGCTATCATTTGTATATTTATCATTTCATTATCATCTTTCTTTTTTCTTGAATAAAATTTTCTTTCCATTTTTATTTTTTATTTTTTATTTTTTGGCAAATCTGCATAAAGAGCTTTTTTTTAAAGGATAATGGTTAACAGTAATCTTAGTTTGCCTCTCTTTATTATTTTCTTATCATAGATTTATACAATAAAAAAAATTAAAATATTACGGGATGATGAATGTCTGGTTTTTTATGAATATATTATACTAGTGCTTACGCCCATGTATCCTCATTATATCTTCTCTTCGCCACAAGTTCAGAAATATAATCTTGGGACGCTTCTTTGGAGTTAGTAGCTCCGAAATCTCGAGCCATCTTCTCAAAGACTTTGCGTACATCACGACTCATGTTTCCAGCACCGCATACATAAACAGAAGCAGGCAAGTCTGTCTCATTTCCGGTTAATAGTTTCCAAATATCTGCCGCTTGATTTGAAATCGCATGTTGCACGTACTTTTGAGGCTCCTCGGGATTGTAGCGAGAATATACCAAATTTAAATTGGAGATGACTTTTTTATCTACGAACTCCTCCAACTCCTCCTTATAGATATAGTCCTGCTCGGGGTGACGGCAACCAAAGAAAACGGTACAAGGAGCGGCTTCATGGTTTAAAGATCTTTCTTGGAGGAAACCCATAAATGGTGCAAGGCCAGTACCGGCAGCAATTAAGATCAAAGGAATCTTGGCATTCTGAGGAAGGCTGAATGTGTTCTTGGATGACTTGAAAGAGGCAGTTATACGAGAATTGATATCCAGTGTTGAGAGGTAAGTTGATGTTAATCCGGGATATAATTTGCCGTTGATAGAATCTTTCACAAGTCCAACAGCAATAGAAACAGTATCGTGTTTAACGGAAGGTGACGAGGCAACAGAGTAACGTCGAGGCTGGATCACAGTCAGGGCTGCAAGCAGTTGACCAAGCTCAAGCTGATTGATTTGGGGGAAGCCTTGTTGAAGATCCAGCAAAGTACGGTATCTTGCAATAAAAGAAGGATATTGATCTTCGCTATCAGTCATAGGCACAATTACTTTTTCAAAGGCTGCGACAGTCTCGGGTGACAATTTCTGTAATTGAGTGGCAAAAATTCCCAACATACTACGAGATGGTGGTGAAAGAAGATCGGCATAATAAGTCAAGGCATTTCTAACTGTGCAAGGTCCTTTGATAGTTCTAGCAATAGAACGAGAAGACATCTTTTCTAGGTATTCTGAATCTATTTCAAAAACCAAGTCTAAATCCAAACCAAATCCAGAAGCGAATTCTTTTACAAGATCAGCATTGTTTGCAGGTATAATTTCAAGATGGTCACCTGGTTGATAGAGATATTGAGGACTGAGACCAGAAACTTGGGATACGTCAATTTCAATATGACTCGTGCTTCTATCCGAGTTTGTTTTGTTATGGAGTTCACGACGAGCCAAAATGGTTGCATTGGCAGTAGTGTATTTGTTTTGTTTGGCAAAAGTCAACTTTTCAATATCGTTATCTCCAACAAGATTCAATTTAACATTAATATCAGTTTCATTTAAGACTGGCATAGAAGAGATAATTGGGTTGGTAGGACCAGACGTAGCCAAGCTGAAGTATTGTAAACAGCGAACCCAGAAATGAGTGGCCCACTCTTGAAACTGTGAATCCATATCACCATCAGCAGCATCACCTTGACCAGCAACAAAGAATCGTTCAGCACCGAGCTCCTCCAAAGTGGAGTCAATTTTTTTGGGGAAAGATTGGTATGTGGTCCAATGTTTATTACCGCAGCCAAACACTGTATATAGCAAACCGTTTAATGATTGAGTGTCACCTTGTTCGATACATGTATCAAGGAAAAGATCGAAATTCTCGGCTGAATCCGGAGGCATACCACTATTAAATTTTTGAGAAATTGTTAATATTTATATGTGTTGATACGTTTTGTCAATTCTTACTTGTATGTAGCAGTGCAAATAATCACTAACTCTCTCGACGATAATCTGTCACTAGGACCGTTATATTTTCCTTCACGTAAAACTTTCCATTTATCTATTTGACAAAGTGTAATGTCTTTAAATCCAAAGCTCTTTGCTTGATTAGAAAGCTGATCTGCGTAGTCTTGACAGGTTCCGGTTTGAGTGCCGTACAAGAAAGTGATTGAGGGCAGCTCCACTGATATATTCTTTTCAGTAGAAAATTTGGGGATCATATCAGCTACCGGCGTAGAAACAGAAGCTGGTTTATTATTTGAGACTGAGTCCCCGCTATTTGTAGGTTCAGGCATATTTGTTCGAGGATGAATATTGGCAAAGAATCCAAAAGGACGTGTTGTAGGGCTATTGATGTCTCTGTGAATTGGTGGACCCTCTAGTATAAGTTAAATAATGAGATTTTTTTTATGCATATAATTGGATGTAAAAAAATACCGTATACAAAATCGAATCTTTGGAGTAGCATGGAAAGAACTGTCAAGGCCTCCTGATAGGCAAATGCCATTCCGATACAAGATCTAACACCGTTACTGAAAGGTAGCCAGGAGAAACGAGATCTTTTTTGCTCTTCCTCAGGAGTCCAACGCTCGGGATCACATTTGAAAGGGTCGGGATAGGTTTCTTCATTCCAGTGTAAAGATCTTGAATTGACTTGACATGTGCTTCCCTTTTTCATGAAATATCCACCAGGAAGAATACAGTCTTTAATACAGTATCGAGTAAGAGTTCCGACAGGAGTATACAAACGCAAAATTTCTCTCAAAAACATGCGCATGTATTTCAGCTGTCCTATCTGCTCAGAAGTAGGCAGTTTATCGTGTGTGATACCAGCATTGGCAATTTCTTGTAAGACCTTCTGTTGAATTTCCTTGTTTTGAGAAAGCTCGTACAAACTAAAAGCTAATGTTGCGGAGGTAGTTTCATGACCGGCAATTAAAAAGGTCATTACTTGATCTCTGATGTTTTCATCAGTAAGGCCTAAATTGTGTTCATCGTGGGCATTTAACATAAAGCCGAGAAGATCCTTTTCGCTGTTTTTAGCATCGGGGCTATTTTTTCTCTCTGCAATAACCTTTTCTACTGTATCATGCATTAGCTTGACCTCTCTGTCGAATTTGCGATTTTGTTCCAATGGTAAATGCTTCATAAATCCAGGTTGTTTAAAGCGAATAAAAATTGCCTTAAAGCAGTAGACCATGGCCGAAATAAAAGGATGGGGGGCCGCATTTTTGTCTTTTAAAAGGTTGAAGTCAAACCCAAATCCAATTTTACCAATTGTTTCAAAAGTTATATTTGTTGTCCATTCTAACAATTCGACCTGTTCGTCGGGTAAGAACTGCTCAAGTAACGCAACGGCTTCTTGTGTAATAAGTCCCATCTCAACTTGGTATGCCTAAAAGAGAACATGAATATCGTGTCAAATTATGCCTGTGTAACAAATACCTTAATTGCACGAGTACTGAAAGCTGGCATCAATAGTTTATGAGCCAATTGCCACTCCATGTCTTTTGTGTCGGAAGTGAATAATCCATTCCCTGTGAAAGCCTTGACCTCAACCAAATTTCCACCAACATTCTTTGTAAAAAATTCAGATTCTTTTACAAAAGCTTCGGCTGTAGCTGGATCATTACATCCATAAATGGTTTCGCTGAAAATTCCGGCATTGACTAAATTACCGTGCTTTTTAAATTGTTGCTGAAACCCCTCAACGCTACTCACTGTATTTAATGCGTGCCATTTTTTTTCTATGATTTTTTTTTCAAACTTACATGTCAGGCAATAGTTCATATAGACTTCCTATCAAAGGGAGCTTTCTAGGACCAGGGATAGTAGTTTTAATTCCACCAATGACAGAAATATAAATGACTTGTTGCTTTTGAATCTCTTCCATATCTTTTAACAGAACATTTTCAGCACTGTACATCAAGATATCGTCTAAAGGGACAAATACACCAAGGTTTTTTGAAATCATAGACCGGAATGTTTGGATACTTGTTCCGGTTGAAAAGTGAATAGTTACGCCATCCTCCTCAAAATTGGTTGAATTTTGGAGTACTGCAATTAAAGTCGTTCTTGTTGCCATGTTATATTGAAAGAAAGCAATAAACTGAATAACCTAGAAATATAGTCGTTCCAACGTGTTGTAGAGGAATCTGAATTACCGATTGTTTTTTAATAAATTACTATCTCCGGTATCTTTCTTGACTATAATATAACTTTCCTCGCACGAAAGTATAGTAAAAAAGTAGGACTTAAGGGTAAAAAAGGTTTGTTTTAATTAAGTTACAATTTACCGAAACTTTATATATGTTCCCAGTAGGACATGGTACGACTTATGATTACATTTATCCATATTCAACCAGAAGGGTCACTACCGCCACTCGTTCGATAAACAGTCTTGTTGCATACTTAGGGGGAGAATTGAGCTCCGATTTGGACAAAGTGACCCTTACCACAATATCAGGGACAATTTACAGACACTATTTTATACTGGAAGACTTCCAAAACTTTTTTTCCCTTGATTTTGATTTTAATTTAAACTTCGTTTAAAGCATTTTCCGGTTAAATTGTTATGGCTTCCAAAACGTTCAGACAAAAATTAAGTTAAATTTGACCTTTGTCGAGGGGGGTTGGGGCCACAATAAACTTTTAATATTTTGGCTGAAGATTTTAAGTTAAAATCGACAGAAAATAGAGTTAAAACCTGGTTACACAAATCCAAAAAAGGAGAACATATTCAAATCCCGGTTAAAACTTAAATTTTTGTAGTTTTGGAAGTCTTCCACTCATTAAGACAATCTCACTTTAATTGAAATGACTGAACAAGACATCAACGATAATGAGCTACCCAACTAAGCACTTTTCTTCGAGTTCACTAGTAGTGCTGAAATTATTGGTGGCTTTGAGCAAGCACTTTAAAATGTCACCGCACAATCAGAGGAAAATCCAGGTCATGAACGAGTGTGACTGGGACTCTATTAGTGTTGTGGAGGATGCGGCGGGGGATGATGAGAGTTACCAGACTGACATTCCAGTACAATTCTTCGAGGGGGCTATTGGCAGCAGTGCAGCTGTTGTATGAAGGAGGCCTCTGAAAAGGAGTTTCCTGTGAGTGAAAGACTTCTGATAAGCACTCGACGAAACACGAAATCCAAAGAGTATCGCAAGTCTGGAAATATATCTTTGAGACGCTCAGAAGCGATAAGGTTTACTTAAAATTAGTATGCTAGTATTTTGGAGAATACCGTAACACCAGAAGCAAAGAAAGTACGTATGCATCGAAATAATGGCTGATTTGGTTTGATTAAAGAAGGAGAAATACAAGGCCATGAGGGTGTGTTGAAGAGGCCCAATCATAAGACGGGTAATATTAGATCAAAATGTAAAAAAAAATCGTTCATATAACCGAGTTACGTTTGATGCCCGCTCAATGCTGACTCGAGACAAAAAAAAAAAACTCAGTGCGAGCTTTCTTCGAAATGGAGCAAGATCGAAAAGTCCGTGATATATATATTCAAAAATGTTAAAGCGCTATTTATGTATTAAAGTAGTAATTGTTATAATGTGGGTGGTTGATATTAAGAATAAAAGGGTCATTCTATCCTAAAATAGAAGGGGCATAAGCGGCAAAAGAAAATAATAAACCAGCACCCAGACCAGCTACGGGTAAAGTTAAGATCCAACTAAAGAAACACCAAGCAAGCATCTTCCAGTTTACAGCGCTCATTTTGCCGTTACATAACCCAACAGCAGCAGTAGCACCAGTGATACAATGAGTGGTAGAAACAGGAAGTCCGAGTTTTGTGCATGTCAAGACTGTTAAAGCTGCACCTAACTCAGCAGAAAAACCACGAGTAGGTGTGAATAGTGTGATATTGTTACCAAGAACACGCATAATCTTGTAGCCATAAGTAGCAAGACCCACATCAATAGCAAAGCCACCGTAAGCAAGAATCCAAAGAGGAACAGGTACCTTGTTGGTAAGATCAACCTCAGCTGTTTTCCAGATCTGATAAACGGATGATAATGGACCGACTGCATTAGAAACATCGTTTGACCTATTATTTTTTTTAGAAAATATACAGAGTTTAGTAAAGAGATCAATAATATGTTAGTCACACAACTTACCCATGGGCAAATGAAGCCATACAGGCAGTGATAACTTGAAGGAAAGAGAACATATATTCGACATCACTATCATATATTTCAGCGGCATCATGAACAGACTTGACGTGTGAGTTACCCAAATTACGAACATCTTTTCTAACACCATGTAAAAGGACATTAAGAATCTTGTCTTTAATACTTATAACTTTAGGGGACTCGTCGATTTCACTTGTTTGAACAACACCATCCTCCTTAGTATCAGTGGGAAATTCCTTGTTGTCAGAAGAGCCAGAGCTAATAGTTTCAGAATGAATCGCAACATCAGTTTCAGGCATAGTTGTTTTAGAGAGACGAGGACCAACGAATGGAATAACAAAAATATGATACCATTTGAGCTCTTCACGACCAACAACTCGTCTTTTTAACCAAGGGCAAAAAAAGAAAATAGCAAATAAGGCAAAAAATGCGCCAATACCAAAGGCAATACCAACGATTGCACCGACAGACATTTTTGATGCTTTAGTACCGGGAGCTCCTTTGTAGATAAGATAGAAGGCTTCAATAGCAGTCGTAAAAAAGAAATAAGCAGGAATGATACGAAGGGCCCACTTGATACTATCTTTACGACGGAGGATACCATACTTTGTGATGGAGTATATGATAGCAGATATAATACCAGCCAAAATCGGAGACAAAAACCACGAGCAAATAATCTGACCGACACCTTTCCAGCCCCAGTTAATAGAGTTGCCACCAAAAGCAGCAATACCAACACCAATAACAGCACCCACAATCGAATGAGTAGTAGAAACAGGCCAACCTCGTGAAGTAGCAAAAATTACCCAGAAAGCAGAGCCTGTAAGAGCACAAGTCATACATAACATAAGAAGTTCGGGAGTCTCAGCAAATCTTGAGACTGACAAGATACCACCCTTGATGGTGTCTGCGGTATTTGCACCGAGTAAAAAAGCACCTAAAAATTCGGTAAAGCAAGCAACAATACAAGCTTGGCCTAATGATAAAGAGCCAGAAGCAACAGATGTAGCAAAAGAGTTTGCAACGTCATTAGCACCAATACCATAGGCATCCATAAATGCAACAGCAGTTGTCAAACCGAACATCCACGTATAATCAAAAGGGTTCATCATTTTTCGAGATATCAATAATGTGAACTGTTTTGTATAGCTTAAATTATAAAATCAAAGAGGGAATAGTATATAGATATTAAGAAAAGTTGTTTGAATGGATACTTAAATTTTTATTTATACTGATCCAGCAAGTTGCATTAAAGTAGAATGGCAAATGGTCCTACCTGTGAAATTCGCCAATCAAACTAGATCTTCAATCCACGCTTGGTTTAAAAGTCAGTTCTGTCACCACTTTGAAAATCGAGATGGTATTTTTTTTTTCATAGAATCCTTGGATTGTACTGCTCTTCTATTACGTTGTGTACTTTTGCGTTTTTACAAAAATACAGATAAAAGTATATACTCACATATAGTTAATTTAATCATGCATGGTATGATTCTACATTATGGTTCGCTGTTTTTTTTTTGAAAACTGAAAACACTACTAGAATACCCAAATCAAAAAAATAATTTGTTTTGACCATTAAAAACCCAAGTAGAGTATCGAAAGTTACAAAAACTAAAAACTATGTATGTACATTACTTGCTTCCATGTAAAAAAAAAACCATAACAGCTGTTATTTGATCTAAGTTAAATCCAAAAATGAGGGTGTTACACGTTACTTTCTCGGAACTGAGTAACACCACAAATAACATGGAGTTGCCTTATAGTGCTTTATTCTGGGAAATCAATCAGTAACATTACTACTACGTAGCACACTAGCTTCACTTTTCAGCCTATCATTTAACCATTTACACCTTTTGCTTCCGTCAAATCAAGCATATGGTCAGTCTGTGTCATGACAGAAATTTAAATAGAGCGAAACGACAAGGTAGAATCAGTGAACATCACTTGGATGCTCGCTAGCAAATTCTATATAAAAGCTGGTATATTAAATAAATATGAAAACAATTGAACTTATGATGCTTGACCTAACTGAGAATAAATATACTTGGTATTGTCCTAATCTTTTTTGCACGTGTGGTCAAGCTATGATGTTTATTAGTCTTAAACAATAATAAAAATAAAACAATCTGATTAGGAAATTTTATAACATGTGATAACTTGAAAACTGTAGATTTCTATTTTATGTGACTTTTTCAAGTGTCACCTCAAAACAAAGTATAGTAATTGTGATTATCAGGAAGAAAATAATAAATGGGAAATGATTTTTTATTTTCTAAAGTATGAACTTGGGTAACGTGTTTGAATATGATGTCAATTGGTTGGGTTATAAAATCCTACAGATTCCCAACGATTCAAGAATTTACTAAACAAGTTTGAATCCAGAATTGGTGAATCAGCAATAATAGGTGTGAGGTTACGGGTTTTTGTGGTTTCCCAAACTGGCATTTCAAAAGCCTCCTGGAAGTTTGCTTCGTAAAAACTCATTAATTTGTAAGCAGGGTTGGTATCGTGCTTGGATAATTCTTTGACCCAATCAGCAGGAGAAATGACATCAAATTTCATACCAGCACTTTTCATAGACTGAAGTACATTGTTCCAACTAATATGTTGAGGATTCACAATGTGATAGATAGATTGAGCCTTGTCAGCAGGGAAGTAGGCAGTGCGAAGCATGATATCAACGATAGAAGCAGCAGCGTAATCAACAGTGATCCAATCAATAGTCGTATCCAGACCGGGCATTTTATGCATAATAGATCCACCACCAATGAACATTAAAGGGTATTGTTCAGAGATGTTCCACACACCATTACTAGAATCGCCGCACACTTGACCAAGACGCTCCGTGTAACAAGGAAAGTTCTTTTCGCTAGTCAAATAGTTGAGTAGGATTTCGACTACAAACTTGGAGTGAGCATAACCCATTGGCATACAGACATGGGAATCTAGAGGTAGTGGCTCCTCCGGGATGTTAGAGCCATAGGCAGCACTAGCAGAGATACTTGAGACAAAATGGACATGCATTGGATTGACTGGTCGGTGGGCAAATTTCAACAGGTTGTAGAATGGAGTGATACATTCCTTGTCATAATGATCAACAGGCATATTAAAATCCAAAAGCCAAGCACAATGTTGAACAATCGTGATTTTGTTTTTGAGTTGATGATATTTTTCTTCGCCAAAACCAAGAAAAGGTTCACCAAAACGCATAGGCAGTACCTCAACACGATCAGTATTCAAAAGACTAGTATCAAGAGAACGGGACTCAAAGGCGTTCAACAAACGATCCCATAATTGCTCTTGTTTACCACGAATAACAGCATATACCTTCTTGACCGAGGAATCCTTTAACAAATCGCGTAACATAAAAGAACCGAGAGAGCCTGTAACACCAGTTAACAAAATCACTTTATCCGTGTCCCTATTATAGGTATTGGTAGCGACGGGGAAATCAGTCTTGGCCTTCTTAAGATACTCAATTGCTAATTCTTGAGTTTGTTGATACCGTTTTTCCATTTGCTCTGTTGGGTCTTCTTGCTGGTTATTCATAAGGGCTTCACACATAGAGGATACGCTCGGATGCTGGAACAAAAAATTCTGAGGTACATCGTCAAAGTATTCAGCAATTCGATTACGAAGTTGAATGGATGAAAGTGAGTTAAGGCCGTGATCAAATACGGATTGATCGTGGTCATGGAATGTAGATTTAGAGATGTCAAGAACCTCAGAAGCACAGGTAATAATGAAGCTTCTAACTTCTTCAGCGTTCCATGTAGATGTATCGGTGTTCGATGTATCGCGAGAAGGACCTTCAAGGAAATTTTTGTAAAGCTTTTCTACTAAATCTTGATGAGCAGATTCCGCTTTTTTACGCATAACAGTTCCTTTGTCAGTGGAAGGCAAAGTTTGATTGAGCGGGAGAATTTTGACCATTTGAGGGAGAATGACACTATGGCCCGGACAATCCTTGTTAGCTTCTTTGACTGCATCTTGAACATCTGAAATAATGTCTTCAGGACTGGAATTAATAGCGAAATCCATGTCGACCTGAATTAAAGCAGCAGTACATTGACGTCCTTGACCAATAACAGCGACCTGTTTGACAGTAGGGTGTTGACGAATAGTAGCTTCCATTGGAACAGGATTAGTTTTCTCGCCGTTCTCCATAATTAAGGTGTCATCGCGGCGACCTAAGTAGTCATAGAAACCGGGAAAATTAGGGTTTTCCTTAAAGAGATCATTGGTATTAAAACCACCGTCGGGACGATTAGATACGCCAGTAGCCAAGGAAGGGGAGTCACCACGAATGTACAGATGCTTAACAGAAGGGTCTGATTCGTCGTTTACTTCAAATACAGCATAATATTCACCAAATGGGTCTTTCTGATAAGGCGCAAGACTACCCCAATTTTTGCTGACGGGATTAAATTCAGAAGACATAACAGCACCAATTTCAGTAGTACCATAAACATCACGAACATTCAAACCATGAGCATGAAGCCATTCTCCTGCTTCATGTTTGAGGGGAGCACCGCCATAAATGGCTATTTTGAGTCGATTAACGGCAGAGAAATCGTTCTTTTCTTTGAGGTAAGGGATCATTTGTTCGAAAATGAGTGGAGGAGCGCATATAGCAGTACATCTGTTGGCCTTAAGAGCAAAATTAATTTCTGCTTGAGAAGCGGGAAGCTTTTCCAAATAGGCAACTTTTCCACCAACTGTAGCCATGGTAAATATAGCAAAAAAACCAAAAATATGAAAACTACAGTAGTTTTTATTGTTAGTATCGTTTCATATGCTGAATAATATAGTCGTTAAGAACTTACAGAGGACCGCAAGAAAGAAAACAGTCAGTATCGTCAAGACTGTCTAAACCTTCTTTATCGTTGATATTAAAATGGGTAAGATTGATCATGTTGAACAGATATCGGTTGCTGAGATAAATTGGCTTGGGAAAAGCAGTTGATCCGGAACTATGAATAATCAACGCACTTTTTTCGATGTCGCTATCAGAGAAAGTGGTGTTGAGTAGTTTTTGATGGTCAGGATTGAGAGGTTCTTTACTTAAAGTATTGATGTCAAGTGGTTCTAAGACGATGAGCTTCACACCCGGTACTTGAGCAGAAACTGATTTGGCAATATTTTCATACTTTACATTGGCAATCAGCAACTTGGATTTTGTCTTCTCTAATAAACTAACATCGGCAGCTTCAGAGTTACGAGGTGAGATGGCCATCATCGTGACACGCAGTTTCATCATAGCCAACATGACAATTAAATAGTTCACGCCGTGATCACTGATGAAGGAAAGGACTTCAGTGTTTTGAGCATCCTTTGCCCATTTGCACGCTAAATTGGTAGCCATACAATTGACTTGAGAGTAAGATAAATCCTTAAAGCTTCCATTGTGGTAGTAGCTTGCGAATGGCTTGTCAGCATGAATCTTGCTTTGTATGTTCATAAAGTTGGTGAAAGCCTTGAAATGATTAGGAACAGACAGACCATTGGAAAAGCTGATAGAGGGATTTAATTCTAAATTGTCCATTTTTTACTGTATTGAAACGTTGTGTAGAAAAAAAAAAAAAGATTATGAATTAAGTGATGCTTATATACATATTCATCCAGGGAAGTATGATGCTTTCTGTTGCAATCTCCGAAATAAATTCACCTAATTTGGGTAAATTAGGGGGTTCGGTTAAATATTCTATTCTTTGAACTGTTAAAAATTTAAGGCAATCTTTTGATCTTTGAACAAGTCAAACAAAAGATTAAGTTCTTGCATGAGATTCTGTATTCGGTTATATCTAGAATTATTCTTTCGTCTATATTACACTTATAAGCAGAATTTCGGCTAAACTATTAGGTATGTGATCTATTTCATGTTCAATGTTACATTTTTTCATAGATTAGCATAAAAATATTGTAATTTCAATGACACCTGTATGTTTATTTATGCATATTTTTTTTCATACGAAAGCTTGTCCGGTAAATCAATTCAATACATGCAGTTATAAATAAGCCTATGGCTGAAACTTACCCCAGTTTCATTTTTCTTTTATTGAAAGCAAATTTCATCTAGATCAATTACCTATAGTTTGATATCCTGTATACAATCACCGATTTGCTATTACGTACGCGAATTTTAATTAAATTATTAGATTATAGATTCGCCTTGGTACTAACCGGATAATATAATAAGACATGCTTCGTTGGACATTACATATACTCCTATTTTGTACATTTAAACCATCATCGTGTTCGATCAAGCATGACGTAGCATATTGGACATCTATTCTATGAAGATGCGTGCTGATAAAACGAAAACATGCTTATTTAAACACTTACAAACAGTCATTTATTGATAAAATTGCAATGCAAGTTAATTGCTTGTTTAAATCCGAATCAAGAGTCATTTCAGCCATTGAGGACTGCACGATTTAATACTTGTTATTTCCGGTGTTGAGAACTAAGGTAGTACATTTTATGTAATAAGTTCAGACGGTCTAAAGATAGTTTTTAGACCAACTTATCAATGAGCGATTTATAAGGCACATTTAATTTGACAAAATAGAGAATTGCTATATTTAATTACAAACTAGTAGTAGAGGGCTTCAAGAGAAGAGAATGTACTTTCAAATGGGTAGATGTTGGCTTATCTTCTATGAGAGTGATAGTAAAAAAGACGGAATTGTAAGTTGAACTTTTATTACATCACTTTCTTTAGATGACTTTTATGTTACGACGACCCTTTATAGTCTCCATAAAGAAAATACTCATTAACAGTGGTATAAATAAATGGAATGCCGCCTTGGCATCATTATGGAATCGTCTCAAAGAAAACTTAAATTTCAGGATTAATCATTCAACACTACGAAGAAAAATACTTCTGCCTAAAATTGAAAATATTACATCTTTTCGGCTTACATAAAAAGATTTAATTTCGTTTTGGTGGTGATGTGTTTGTATACTTTCTTTCGGTCAGGTGGAACACTACTCTGATAGAAAATTTATCTAGAGGTAGACTCTATGCCAATGTATATGAGTTTCGCGTTTTGTACTAAGCTTTTTTAAAAAGAAGGCCAAAAAAAATCGAATCGGAGCCGCAATGAGAAACAATCCAATTTTGGAAGAATCAATTGACAACTCTTGTGAATAATGCATCTCTAAATATTATGCGTAAAGATGCGGATGATAGTTTTCTTCTGCATTTCACGAGAATGTCCGGTAAAAGCATTTAGCCCTTTAGCGTTTTTGCAAGAAGCCATGGCCAGTTGGAGGAAAACACCCTCCGATCAAAAGTCAAATATTACATTTACTATTTTAGGAGAATTCTAATTTCATCACTGATTATAATTCTGTATAATAACCCGAACTAAATGAACTACAAACCACTTAAAATAGCTGCTAATAGATGATTTTATAATGTTTTATGGGGAAGGAGGAATTTAATACATGGGGATGGAATGAATTGATTATTAATCAAACTTTGAATACAGCCATGCTTGCACGACGCTCATTGACTTGAATACCGACTAGAGAAGCAATTACGCGGGACACATCCGTTAATGAAACTACGCCAGTGGCTTGATGCTTTTCGTCTGTGACCCAAACTCGATGTGATTTTGTAGCAAGCAATTTAGCAATGGTAAAACCCAATGAAGTACCTTTGTGTACATCAAACACAGGTAAACGATCTTGTCCGTCGGTAATCCCTTGCTGTGTTCTAATATGACTCACAAACTGAAAACATGTCTTCCACAGCAATCGATGGTTATTACCCTTCATGATATGCTGTATTTAAATATTTAGTATCATGATTATAAAAATTAAATGCAGCACATCAATATTCACCTTAACGTCTGTCATACTAATATTTCCCAAGACATTTCTATCCCCTCGAAGCACTGCAACAGAGGAGACGCCATGTGTACTCATCAAAGAAAGTGCATCCAAAACACTAGAGTCAGCGTCTACGCCTATGACTGGCTCATCACCAAGTTTCAATTGGCCAATCTAAATTGATAAACAGAAACCTGTTATTTCTCTAAATCACTTGACCACACACACACACGCATTTTTTAACTTACAGTTTTACTCATAGCCTTATCTAATTCGGGGAATTGCTTTCTGTTTTCATATAGGTATCTTACCACGGTCGATTGTGATAAAATTCCTTCGATCTCACCATCAGGTTTTAATATATTGACTAGTGTATTGGTCAGTATGATCCTCCTTTTGAGTTTTGTAGACAGACTTACCCCTGTGAGTACCACAAGCAAATATTTCGACTGCTGATATCAATGTAGCTTCTTGTAAAATGGAATAAAATGGGTTTTTTCGTGACAAATCTGTGTGTAACGTGAGTTATTTATAAATGTATGTTAATAACCCTATATCATCTTACCGCTTGCCATGCGAACGGGAACCTTTTGACCTTGTAATGCTCTACGGACAATATCCTTTACTTCAAACGATTCGAGATCAACTGGGTCATTACAATCTTTAGGCCCGGGTCTACGATGCAAAACTAAAAGTATATAGGCGATCACGTCTCCATAATCAAACATGCCAACATAATGGCCCTTTTCACCCTCTACATAAACTGGCGCAGATGAAATATTGTTGTCAACCAATATTTGGCAAGCTTCTTCGACTGAAACACTGCCATTACTACGTATACTATTAGAAAGAAAGAAAAATATTGCAATCATATATGAAAACCTACATTTGTATGACATTTTGGTTTTGGATTAGACTGGAAGCTTGAATCATTGTCCAGTCCTTGATATCTGTTGTAACACCTTCTCTGTGAATCATTTTTGTTTTTTAAAAATATTATTTTGAAGAAGAAAGAAAGATGATAAAAAATTAGAACCTTGGGAATTACAATTATACCCCAGGCTCCAAAGGAAACGTCCGATTTGATGCATAAAAAAGCCTTCTCATTGGCTAATACAGAGATGAGCCCATTTATTTTTTTGTGGATAACAATCTCCGCTCCATAGCCCTTTCAAACTGTGGACAAAGCTTGAAAGCAATAAAGTGCAGCGTATACAATAGCTCACCTGTACTTGATAATACACAAATTTCAACATGTGTGTTAGTCTGTATTGACACTAAAAGATGTAAATTAATTTTTTTTTGGGTAATATAGACCAGAATTTGTGACCGACCCCAATATCATAAGTCTTGTGCCCATGTTCTGGATTAATCTTCTTTATCTCGAGGACATGGACAAAGTCACGCCATTCTATATAATTGGGATGCAAAAGATCTTTCCGGTGCATGATAATAAGCTTGATCGGATGCGCTCTCACCGGCATAGATGCATCGACAGTTGACAAGAACAGAAGGGGTTCAAACTAGCCACACCCCCCAAAGGCTAATGATGATTTTTTTAACTAAATCGCAATGGTATAAAAAACCTGATTCTGTCTGACCCCCCAACTTTGTAGTCCCCCATCATCAACTAAATTTCAGTCTATTTTCAGACAAATTATCTTTAATTGTACAAATCTGACAATCGACGCGTTACGATCGTTGACGAAAGGTTCAATACACGATGCAAAAAAAAAAAGGCTTCCCCTATTTTCACTGTCATTGTCATTATGTCTTTCTTTACAGTTGGCAGCATCCAGTCCGATTTGTCAATTAAGTCTATCAATAACGTTAAATCGGTACTCACACTAGTATCCGTGCTGCAAGCTTTGATCCCCCCACCTCTCCCCCCATGTATCCATCGACCCATCAAATATTTAAATAGAAAAATGCTGATTTTATCAACATTATAAAGGCCATGTATTCATGAATAAGCAAAGAGACATGGGGGGTGAAGAAAATAAAGGGTTTTAATTAATCGATGGATTATTTGATGATGATAATAAACATTAATGAATTTTATTTCTTTCCTAAACAATGGCTGTGATATAAATAGCATTATATACCAACTTTCTGGACCCGTCCTCCCCCAACCCCCAATACAGGTTGAAATATAAGCTGGCAAATAAGTTATCCCATTCTGTAGCAATCGAAATCTAATGTATGTTTTCTGATACCCAAGAAACATATATTTCAAGGATAACGTGGTAAATGAATGCGTAAGGTAATAGCGATGTCATTTTAATATCTTGAAATTTGTATGTAATCCGAAATCTTGATGTGTAAACCAAAGGCTATTTATCAGTATGGTAATATTTTCAATTGATGTAGATCATAAAGTATACGTTTTACTCAAATATTTTATTCCTTGTAGCAACTGGGTACGCTATAGAATATTTACTGGATGTATTCCCCCCCCCCCCTCCCCCAAGACCCCCAAAGTTATACTAGACACTGGAAAACAATGCCCCCCACCAAGCCTGGTGTGCCGGATATCGAGGATTAGTGATATAAAAATAACCATTATATTCAGGTCCCCCAATATCGATAAAATGATATATACTCCTCAAATCCAACCAACAATCAGATATTATATTAGCACTCCCCCCACTCCCCCAAGACCCCCAAAAAAATCAGATATCGTAAAAATTACCCCCCAACAGGTGCAAAACTGACAGACACGCAGAAACAAAATGTTTCCCCTGAAGTATTGATTGCAACATGCACCTCCGTTACTTTTCAATATCGAAAAGTAAGCCCAATTTTTACGATTCACCAAACTTGAGATTAAAAAACCCTGAAAGTCCCCCAATTCAAAATGTGCATGTTTTGATATCGTGTTTTTAAAGATCTTGTTTCGATGTTCAGGTTTGGCTTATTTAACTACTGACAGGTAGCATTTCAAATATTTTTCATGATGTAATATGTTGATAAATGTTCTAGTAGTAATTACTACAAGTTTTATTGCAATAGATATAGTGAATTGTTGAAAAAGACACTCTATTGTCATATTCGATTTGGAGACCCCCAAGACGCTCGGTCAGTCCTTAGAAAATAAATATGCAGGAGAGTCATTATATTTTCCATCATCATCAAGATCCAAGTAAAAGTCGTATCAGATCTTGTGTGTTTAAATAAAACAACAACAACAAAAATTACATTACGCTAAAGCCCAGAATCAGCGCTATTCAATGATGTAATTTTTTTGACAAAATCATAAGTAATATGTATAAGAAACTGCAATGAAAGGTGGGCTGAAATTATAAAAAATACCATGGGGGGTGCACCCAAATCCAAAATTATATATAAAGGAAGGACTTTTTTTAAAAAAAAAAGATACCCATCAAATAATAAAATAACAACTTTGAGTACACATTAATATGAACTCATCTATTAAATCATCCACATCATACATTTCATTAAAGATGAACAAATCTAGCTCATTCTTAAAAAAGATGGTTAAAACCAACAAGCCATCTGTTAAGTTGACATCAGCACAAAAGGAAGCAGCACTTCCATTTGTGCAACCCACCAAAAAATCAAAGGTAAAAACCACAAGTCAACAAATCATGTGATCAATTATTAATCTTAAATTTTAGTCTTTAAAGCAATTTTTCAAAAAGATCACTTCTAAATCTTTATCCACAGCCGAAACACAAAAGACACAATACAAGCTCACATTCATTCCTATCACTAAAAACAACGAAACTGTCAGCGAATCCACTGAAATTGTCTTATACGATATCGAAACTAGCTCAACCACAACAACCGATATTACCGAACCAGCACAACGTATTTGGGATCAAGATACCACAGTCTACAGCAGCTTAGATAAAGTTGTTGAATGGATTGGTAATGGTAAAGAATCCAGCAACTCCATTCTTCAATCATACATGTCTTTATTCGACTTCAAAGACTTGAAACTTGAACAAGCTTTCCGCAACTTATGTTCAAAGCTCTACCTTAAAGGTGAAACACAACAAATCGATCGTGTCTTACTTCAATTCTCTGCTCGCTACTTCGAGTGCAACCCTAAATGCATCTTTGGTGCTGTCGATGTTGTCCATGCTATTGTATATTCTCTTTTACTTTTAAATACTGATCTTCATGTTGCTCAAGGTGACTACAAGAAAATGACCCAATCTGCATTTATCAAGAATACGATGAGTGCTATCTCTTCTGGTACTCCTGCATATATCTGCAGCAGTCCTTCATCACAATCATTTGATTGGACCCCTCTTCAACGCATCCCAAGCAGTACCAGTGAAATCTCTAATGAATCTTCTTCTTATACCCGTTCTGTTGATTCTACTATTCCTCGCAACTTGTCAAGCTTGTCTATTGGCTCTAAGACTTGGGAAATGGAACTCAAGCAAGTTCTCAAGCAAATGTATTCTAGTATTCGTCACTGCCAAATTACCAACCCTTCTTCTCCCCCTACTTCTATTCACACCAACAGCAGCCGTGTTAGTGCCTTCAAACGTAGTGTTGGCTCTATTATCAAGAAGAAAGCTGTCTCTGATAACGAAGACTCTGTAACTATTAAATCTGTAAGATCATCTGTCTCCTCTTCTATGCAAACCACAAATGCTCCTTACTATAAGGAAGGCTCAGTTATTCGTAAGCATCTTTTAGCTGCCAAGGACCAAAAAGCCAGTCACCGTGAATGGAAGCAATGTTTCATGGTCATTGAACGTAGCCAAATCACCATGTACAAGACTTGCTCTACTTCTGATGCTCAAATCATTGAGTCTATTGACCTCAAGCATTCTCTTGCTACTGCTCTTCCTTCTGGTTATAGCAGCCAGCGCCAACACGCTTTCACCATTGAGCAATCCAATGGTTCAGTTCACGTGTTCCAAACTGTTTCTGCCCAACAAGTTGAAGAGTGGGTTTCCATTTGCAACTACTGGGCTGCTCGTGAATCTAAGGAGCCTTTAGTTGGTGGTATCAGCTCTATGGAATATGGATGGGGCCAATGTTTAGAAAATATGTCCTCTACTATGATCCATGAATGGCAATCACCTGCTTCCCCTTATATCAGCAGTGTCTTGGAAGAGTCAGCTCAATATGAAGTCCTCCGCAACTATGTCTATGAATTAACTATGCAATTGGATCAACATCGTGATATCAAGTCTAAAATGATCTCTCACTTCACTGGTTCCAAATCTTATGCTAAAGCTATGAACAACTGGGAAAACAAGTCTCACTATCTCTTACGTGAGATTATCAAGTACCAAAACTACTGTAATTCTATTGAAAAGTCTCTTTCTTTATAAGCCTCTCTCCCCTAATCTGGCATAATTTGTATTTATAAACCCTGTATCTATATTTGTATTTTCTGTATAAAAATAAAAATCAAACACCACTGTATTGTATCATATAAAAACTTGTCTTTCTCCTTTTCTTTTCATTTTTTTTTTTTTTTTGTCCTTTAAATTCATCTTTTCTTCAGTACATGCTTTCTATAAATATTAGCCCATGCTTTAATCGAAACGGTTTTCCACCCTCACACACACAAATTATTTTTCAGGGGTAAACGTTTTTATTTTGGCCGTTGGTAGTTAAATTACAGATGCAAATATAAAAATAAAATAAAAGGCTTATGTTAAATTCCAATAAACAAACGATTACTTTCATCTCATTTTATAACTGAGCGTCTGTATCACTTGTTGACGGATTCTCTTTAGCTGACAAATTAAGAACTGTTTATGATTAATAAACATCAGAATTGGAAAAATGACATAATCGTATCTATAAAAAGTTTTTTACAAAGGCACAAGATGTCGATTGAACACAGCATTCTATAATGTCACTTTTTTGCTGCCCAATTTTTTTGTGAAAAAAAAGGGGGGGGGGAAGGGGAGTGGGAGATGTTTACCGCATTACGGTAAAAGATATTGTTTCGCTATTAGTGAAACGTTTATATTTTAGTATGCATTAACTGTATTCAGTTTTCTCAAATACAATATTGTAAATTGGGAGAATCCCGTTGCTGGTGAAACAGTGTAAGACTCCATTGAGTTTAGACCTTTATTCTTTTAGGAAGAAAAACAGCCCCATGACATAGAAGATTCTCTTTGTCGGTCTTTTATGCAGTAAAAGGAAATTTCCCCAAAGATTATTATGTACCTTTTTTTGGTGTGGTACATAACCTTATTGTAGTAGCTACGTTATTTGGATCTTCTCTCTTATATAAAACGTGTGTAGAATCTATTTATAATACAAAAGGCTCATAAACGTTACATGTTTTGTATTTGTGAAAAATTTAATGCACAGTTATAATAGTATTTATCTATCCAGTAAGAGTGATCCCGTGTCTTTTCCTCTGCTATCACCTGGTATACGCAGCAATAAATAATAAAAAAAATTATCGAGAAATAATGGAAAATACATTCTGATGTCTGAACAATAAAGTTTTTTTTGTTACATTTGTTATTATAGCAACAACAATCGATTGTTATATACCGTTTCATCTAAAGTGAGCATCACAACACCTAACCGAATTTTGTGGCAAAGTTAGCTGAAACGGACTCTTTTTATTTTGTCCTACATGGCACTGTACAATTCAAGTGAATGACCTTTTGCCCTATTTTAAGCCATGGTTACACTTTTTTAAAAACTGGTCCGCGCGTTTAAATCCGTAAAAAGAGACCTTTTTTTTTTTCCTTTTCTTTTCTTCTCTCTTTACATTTCTTTAAACAATAAAAAAGATTTATGAATTCAGCAAGCGATCTACAACAGCATCTGGGTCACAACAATAGAAGTAACTCTCGATTAGCCAATCCAACCGCTTACCATATGCAGCAAATGCGATACAAGGAATCAATAGGAATTGATCCTTCCCAAATGATGGACGGTACAAGTTTATTGTTTGTTCATCAGCAGCAACAGCAACAGCAGCAAGAATCGCCAAATTTATCCGACTTGGATTACTCAGAGCTTGCAAATTCGTCTCCCATGACAGGGGAATTATCGGCTCGGTACCGCACAAATGAAGGAGATTACAATTTTGATCAAGCCATCAAACAACAACAACATGCTTATGCTATACAAATGAAAAGATCCTCTACTGAAGTAGAAACTTCTGCTGGGCTAGTGGGTCACTCTCAGCAATACAATAATAACAAATTTAATGGACAACCTCAAGGTTATTATTCTAATTCGTTTGAGAATAATGATAATGGGAATCGGCTAAAACAATTTGCTGGAAGTGCCCCATCAAATATGGGGTACCATGGCGGCCTGTATTCCTCCTTTGCCGGATCTGATGACATGATGTCTGTTGCTGCATCTCAGTCGACACAATATACTGGCACAACTAAAAATTATCAAAAAGATAATGATAGCGAAATCATGGATGATAACTATCCTGAAGATTATTCAAATCAAGCAAAGTAAGGCAAAAACTCGAAAAACATTATTGTGGAGTACTTACTCTTTTTTGTTAGTATGCAAGCCATCATGGAAAAAAGGCGTAGGAGAAGAGAGTCTCATAATGCAGGTAAACGCATTTATTTGTATAGAATAAACAAAATATACTAAATTTCTTGTTAAATAATAGTGGAAAGAAGAAGACGGGACAATATCAATGATAGAATTCAGGAACTCGGCACACTTCTGCCCGATTCCGTTGACGATGGGGTAAATCGATTGAATAAAGGCACTATACTACGCAAGAGTGTTGACCAAATAAAGAAATTACAGAATGATGTAGCCCAACATAAACAAAGAGTTCGAGAGTTAGAAATGGTTTTACAACAACATGTTCGGCAAAACAACAATATTCAACATTTGTAATTATACCTTATATCTTTCATATCTTTCTTGTGTATTATAAATATCTTTCTCTCTTTCTGTATACTTCTTCACACATATACTTTAGATACACTTTATGTATTCTCTCTCTTTCTCTTTTTTTTTTCATACAATAAATACTTAATGCCAATACTTTATTTGTTTGTTTACTTGGCCCTGTGAGAAAAGTTCATGTAATCCAAAACCTTATTTGCACAGGCCTCGTATTAAGAATAGGTGGAATTGATTTGTGGAGCTGAATGCTTCGGCACTCATGATAGAGACATAACGTTCCCTTCATTATGCACACAAATTACAATTAATCAAGCACTTAGATAACCCTGATAACACTCAAAAAACAGTCCGGGCTCCCATAAAAAAAGGGAGGGGGGGGAACATAAGAACAAAGCTGCCAAAAAAAATGTACAACCATCCCGAATTAAGTATGATCATTGTCAGTGCCCTTTTCTTCGTATACGTAAATCTTATATCACGAGTCGTAAAAATGATCCTTCCTATAGTTGAACTGACAGTGCGATGTGGAGCAAACATGATGTCATATGGGTGCATGATCGCATTACCTCCTATATACCGGATCGGTTACCATGACCTTTCTTTTTTTTTTCTGCTACACCTATTTTATATATACCGTAAATTCCCTGTACATGTGTAACTTTGCTAGTTACATGGTCACCTTACTAATTGATCTACTTACAGTCCCGATTGTTAAACGGCGGTCTTTATGATAGTTAGAAACACTTTACAGGGTTTGTTTCAATCTATTGCCTTTATAAATAGCGTCTCGTAGTGAAATTGCCGAAAAATCTTCGTCTCATAAATGCTGCTGTATGTATTTTATAAAATTGGATACAAGTTTTCAAACATTGGTGTCGCTGTCAAAAATAGCCCATTTATCTCAGCTATTTTTGTTTTCACCGCAGCTGAAGAAGCCACTTATCATCCTCGGGTACCGGATTAAGTCTAGATTCACAGGGATATGGACGTTGCTATTAATAAAGAGGGCTATATTCTCTTGATGCTTTCTGCATAATTGAATATAATATATGTGCCATATAAATAGAAGGAAATCCCATGTTCTAATCAGGTTCGTAATTTTTCCATCTTCTACCATTTTCTACTTTCGTTTGTCGTCAAGGTCTGTTCGATGGTACTATGATGCGACTTAATACAAGGTATGCTGATTATTATGGGCACTCGGCCATGCCCTGTTTCCAAAGTAGATGTGAAGGTATGCTAATCCCTTTCTGTCACAAAAAAGAAAGTAACTATAAATTTTTATCCAGTTACCTTCACATGCATTTAATAATAGCTAATAATCTCGGCCATGGCTTAAATTTAAACGAAATTAAACATGGGCACGGTAAACTGTTGCTGAATATTTGGGGACGAGATTTTGGGAAGAGAGTTTATATTTTTCTAAAATAGTATTAGACATTTTGCTTAAAAACCTTGAGAACGATAGCCTTTATCCTTTTTTTTTTTTTTGGAATTTAACTACAAGAGACTTTTTTGTATTATGGTTAAATTGGATAAGCCAAAGTCATACAGGGCATGTTTTTAATGTAAGCAAACAATTTAGTTTCCAGTGTTTGTAGGACCCTCTAGTAGGTTTTAAGTGCATTTTTGGTTTATACTACTTCTAATAAACACAACTAGTCCCTTCAAAGTAAGCGTCTTCTCCATAGGTACTCAGATTACTTCATATGCACTTATTAAGCTTAATGCCTCTCCAAACAGAATCTGTTTAGTAGTGTTTGAATTTTTTTTTTTTCGTCCCGAACAAATTATTGTGCTCTTATGCTTCGAAATGTCATTAATGCTTTGGCCACTGAAGATGTCAACAATAAAGACAGGTAAAATAAAAAACAATACTGAATAAATTATCAGACTGTACACACTGTATTTATTTTATTATTTTAATCTGAATCATCAAAGACAATCTTGTTGTTTGATGGGCCACCCTTTCCACTCAATGCCTTAGACATGATCTCTTCTTGAATACGCTTAGCTTCCCAAGATGGATGCACAGGCTCTGAAGGAGCATTGCTGACAGCGGAAGCAGCAGGTCTTGGTGTAGGTTTCTTTTTGGGTCTGTAATCGGGATTTGCGAGACGTTTCTCTTCACGCTTTTTGAATTCAGCGGCGATATGATTTGCTTCACGACCGTACTTTTCCTCCCATTGCTTTCTTCTTTGTTTTTGACCGACTCTGTTGGGTTTCTTTTCACCTTCGTAAATCTTTGCGAAATTCTCATCATCATTTTCATCATCCATGTCACCCAAGGTTTCCACAAACTCTGAAGTACCTGCTTTTTGCTTTGTTGCTTTTGCTGTGACTTTAGGTTTTTTGTTTAATTTATCCTTTTCAGCTTCCTCTGCCTTTCTCTTCTTCTTCTCCTCCATGGCCTTTTTCTTTAATTCGTTGGCTTTTCTCTTTTGGATCTTGTCACTGTCGCCCAAAATGATGCTTTGGAAAGAAGACATTGTCTTTGCGATTTCGGCAATGACAGGCTTTTGAGATATTAATCTGGATTCAATGTTTTGTGTAATTTGATCCGCTTTTTCAATAGGCTTGATAGATGATTCAATCAAGTCCTTAACGAGTTCTTCGTTTTTGAGTGTAGAATTCTTTAAGAGTTTGTTTTTGATGGTTTTTTCGATAAGTGCGTCAAGGTCGAGCTTATTTATAATCTTCAATTCGTTTTCGTATTGTTCAATCTCTGCAGCTGTCACTTTTTTCTTGGGCTTCTTTTCTTCCACCTTCTTTGTTTCGTTGTCCTCCTCTGTTTGATCCTGCTCCTTCATCTCGACATCTTCCTCGCTAGTCTCGGGTTCCTTTTCTTCATCGATCTTTTCCTCTGAGTTGCTCCTGTTCGTTTAATAGAATGGTTAATAATCTAAAAAGGCACGCTTTCCCATCTAATCCTAGGGAAACTTACTCTTCTAATAATTTGCGAGCAGATTTGATCTTTTTGGTTTGTTTTTGAACTTCAAATTGTTTGCCCTTCTTTAATGCGGCCTTGATATCTTTACGAGCTTGATGCTATTCGTTTAAGACGTGAGTTCCCAATAGCTGAAAAAATAAAAAAGTAAGAAAGAGTATCTTACCAACTTTGACTCGAGCTTCAATTTTCTAGCGGTATAAAGCTCGTTTTTTAAGGAAGTCTGGTCCAACTGTGGGTCTTCGGCGCTATGAATCTTGTGATATTTTGCTCTGGAAGCAGCAATGATGGCAGTCTTCATGTGTGTTGTCTCTCCAACCTATAATGTTTGAGAAGTTCAGGCAAAAGAAGAAAGATCGATGTTTTTTTTTAAAAAAAAAAAAAACTTACTTGAGCGGCAAGATAGTTAATCTTCCATGTCAAGTTTTCTTTAGGTCCAGTTTTTTTGTCAGACTATCAATAGAATTTTTGTAAGTATTTGACATGTTGTTTCATGTCACTCCAGACTGACCATTATGCTTATGTATACAACAACTTTTATTGCAAGAAAAAAAAAAAAAAAAAAGGAGGGTTGGGAAATGAAAAAAGAGAATAAGCCACCGTCGCACATTTAATCAGTCTGCATTTCTTGCGGTACTTCTTGTGGATCTTCTTGTGGGGATAATTGGGCCTTGAATAAGCACCTTATATTCTGTGTCTTCTCGACGTTTTCTCGCTTTCCTTGGACGCTTTGATGGCGGTTCAAAGATATCTTCATCTGAGCCCTCTTCAACATAATCGCTCATACATGAAATCTGATCTTCATTGTCTTCACTATTATGTATCACTTCTTCCTCTTCGTTGTTACTAAGTATCACTTCCTCCTCTTCTTCTTCAGTGGTATATACATCATCCTCATCGAGAAAGGCTGGCTTTTTTGATAGTCTGGGTCTTCCTCTTTTCCGTCTTGATTCTGGATCTCCCGGTGAGGCCGCTGACTTTGGTTTCCTACCTCGTTTTTGCCTTGGTTTAGAAACGGCTTCTTCCCTCCTTAAATTTCTCTCCCTCCTCCTTTGAGCTTTACGTTCCATCCATGCTTCCTTTGCTAATCGCTTCTTTGCTTTGGCTTCAGCGGCTTCTTTTTTCTTTTCTTCTTTAACACGAATCCTTTCCTCTCTATCTTTCTCCCTTTGTATCGCCTTGACATGTGTGGCATACGCTCTCAGCATATGATTATCAGTACGTCCTGGAAAGAAGCCGGCAATCTGTGACCATTTTGGACCGATCTCTTCTACCAAAGACACCAATTGTTTCATCTCATCATCTGTAAGCTTAGTCCTCACTAAAGCAGGTGTCATGATATTACAATAACGCTCACGACACTGCATGTCTGTTCTTCCGGGTAATAAACGCTGTATTTTTGTCCAATTTCCTTGGCCGTAAAGTTGTACTGCACGTTCCAAAATCTCTGATTCCTCCGTGGTCCATTTTGAGCGATTGATGGCTGGATTGATAGATTTGGTCCATCTTTGTAAACACTGTTGACCTGTTCTGCCTTCCATAACGGAGGCGATTAATTGCCAATTACAGTCGCCGTAAGTTTTGATGGCAGCACCTAATTTAGTGTCATCTTCTTCAGTCCATTTCAGGGACTTGGTAGACTCGTGGTGTTTAGCAGCCATGTAATGAGAAAAACACTGAGAGATCGTACGATTTGTGTTCAATTCTCTAGCGATACGTTCCCATTGACCGTTCAAACCGATTTCCTCCACAAGTTGTGCCAGGCGTTCAGATTCTTGTTTAGACCACGGCTTTTTGTTGATGATTGGATGTTCTTGGGTGGTCCATTGAATTAAGGATTCGATTTTAGTTCTTGTCAATACCTTTATAAAGAAATTAATAAATGATGATAAATAAATTAAAATAAAATCATGCATACATGAATTTTACTAATTCGATCCCAGTCAAGGCGGTCGACAGGAAAGACCTCTAGTTCCTGATTAGGAATCTTATCTACTTCCCAGACACGCCAATCTTCATTGCTAATGTAAAAGGATAAGTATACTAAAAAGAAATGGGTAATGAATAAACTTTACTTCTTGACAAAATCGTAGGCAATGGTTCGTCTTGCCTCTGAATGAATTCCACTGATCAATCGTAATCTTTCCGCTCTTGACCCTATGGAATAAGCCCAATTAATAAAAGAAAAATCGTCTCTCTTTATGTAAGCAAGAAAACATACATGCTTTTTTAGTTTGTCTCATTTCACAATCGGCTTCATTCTCGTCGTCGTCGTCTTCCTCCTCTTCTTCTGCAGCTGTTTCCTCGTACTCGTCTTCTTCGTCTTCGTCTTCCACGTCTTCTTCTTCTTGTTCTGGAGGTGAAGTGACAGGAGTCTTTGGAATCAAGTCGGATTCGTCAAAGTAATTGATTTCGTCATCGTAAGGTCTATGAATAAAAAGTCTTTGACCGAACCTGCTTTCGGCATTAGCGGTTTGTCTTATATGCACCTAACAAGTTAATAAGTTTAATGTGTTCCCCCATGCAAGTAATTAACAAAACAAAAACAAAAAAAAAATTACATACAATGGCCGTGTCATTTTTAGCAAGGAGTTTGTCTATGAATTCAATATTTTCTTGAACTTTTTTTTGCATGGTTTTATTGAGACTGAGGGCATGGGTAATGCTATCGTAGTCCTTTTGGAAACGTTCAGCGTGAGTTTCTTCGGAATCGAGTTGGTGAAGTTCAATTAGTGCGTCCAAGACACCTTGCAAATCTCCGTCGGCTTCAAGCGGAAGAAGATCGTCTTCGTTAGTTTGGAGTATTGGATCGTCTTTGTTGGTTTGGAGTGAGAAAGCATCAGCTCCGTTTGTTGTGATTGGGTATAGATCTCCATATTCTGAAGTTTGAAGGTGAAATGGATCTGACATGATCTTGAACTTATAAAAAACAGTGACACCCCCTTTTTTTTTTTTTTTTTTTTACCAACTGGGTTGCTAAATAAAAAAATAAAAAAAACAAAGCCACACACGTTTTTTTTTTTTTTTTGCATGATTTTTCAAATAATTTTTTTTTATTGTTTACAAACGTCGATAAATTTAATTTTGACGTCGCTTACTTTAATATACAACGTTTGACTGTAGCGATAAAAGACGCGACCTACTTGACCGTAGTCCAAGCAGGTTGGCCACTTGATCTTTGCAAACGCGTCCTTGTAAATAGCCCTCTCCCTTTCGATGAGACCATTCTCTGGTAAATTCAACAGGCTATGCTTGAATGTCTCGACTTGATGAATGAATTTGAGCACATCCGCTTGCTGCTGTTGAATCTCACAGAGAAATCCGATTACATGGCCAACATCTTCACATAATTCATGTAAAGCACTGAACCAGTCGTATTCTTCTTGCAAATAAGCGTCGCCCCATTGTTGGTAATTGAGCTCATTGCTTTCCACCAAGATACGTCTTCGTCGGTAATATTTACCCTTGTCTCCATGTTGCATAAAATAGCTGCAGATCTTGTTGTAATCTGTCAACGTAAATTGGGCAAACTCGTGCTTGAGCTCATTTAATCCCTCAACCCGGATACTCGCATTGCTGAACGGACACCAAAGTGTATCCACCAGGCCAAATCCAAATAAACGACCACGAAATGATCGAAGCCAAATCATGGCATTTTCAATCTCTTCCTTCAATTGTTGCTTACTGTTAAATTTGTCCAGGATAGAGATACTGTCGAGCATATCTCGTTTAAACACCTGGAGCTGACCGAAAGCAGAATGGACCATTGTGTTCTTCAGCTTTTCAAACGCATCCAAATCGTCGTCGGAGCAAGACTTCATATCATCGGCAGTGTCATTGACCAAGGTTTGCAGGTCATTGTAAGTGACAGCAGACACCTTTTCTTGGATAAGGCAAAGATACTTCAATGTCTTTTGAGCGTGTTGGGAGAGATGTTCATCCGTCAAGGAAACGCTATCAAGCATATCTGCTCCTTCCTCAATCGCGCTCTTAATACGACTGACGGTATCCCATACAGTCTTGACATGTATGTAACCCTTTTTCAATTGACCACATTGTTGGATGAGTGTTGCCAATTGTGATTTGCAGATTTCATCTTGTTGAAAGAGACGGGACAAGCAGTGAACTAAGTGAAGGTTGGTGGAAACCCAATGGTCCAACGTATCCAAATCCTCTCTTGTAATGACTGGAAGTTGTCCGAGAGACACGAAGCATGCGTGTGCTTTGTCAATGCAAGTGGCAACAAATTGGGACAATTGAGTAAATAAAAACTCAGTCTCCAACTTGAGCAAGCAGTCTTGCATCGCATTGCAGTGTGTAACCAAGGAATTTAAGGCTTCTTGGACTTGTGGCGCGGGAGTCGATCTGTAATGACACAAGGCAATTTCGATCTTGGTCTTGACGCTGTTAAAATCAGACTTGAATTGTTGGACGCTATCCAAGTCTGTTTCGACAAAGGAGGGTGCACGCATGTCATACCAGGACATATCAAAGGATTTAAATTCATCTTGTCCATAAATGGAGGTGGAGGTGGCTGTGGTGGAGGCATCCCAAGAAGAGAAGGAGCTGCTGGAAGTGAGAGTGGAGCAGGTGGGTGACATCAGGGTTGGCTCGTTGGGGTAGCTGAAATAAACTTCTGCCTGTAAGTGACTGATGTGTTCCAAGGCAGAATTAATGACTCGTTGGTCTTGGTTTGTTGTTTTCGTTGTTGTTGTTGTTGTGGTGGTGGTGGTACAAATTAATTTAGTGGGAGCTTCTGTCAAGCAACTCTCTGTGGATGAAATAGCAGTTAAGATGAATTGGGCGGTGAGTCCATTGTCAGAAACTCGGATCGCGTTTGTCAAGAGGACGACGAACTCTTCGCGGATGGGCAATCTGAGTCTAGATAAAGTCAAGACAGCTATAGCGTCGGCGAAAGAATAAGTGTCGAATAACACGTGGAACCGACTTGGTCTGTGCTCTGTCAAAAGTTCGATCAAGACCGCTTTTGGTGATTCTGAAATCAATTCGGGCATTCCCTTGATGTCCTTTGTCCATTGTCGAATCGTTTCCATTGCCTCTTGTACGCGTGTGGGTGTTGCGGAAGCAATCATACTTTCGGCTTGGGTGTAATCATTAGTCATGGTCGATAGATAAATTGTCTGGTCTGCTGAAAACAAGAAGAAGAAAATAAAAAATAGGGTACGTTACTAAATGCGCGAGTGTGAGAAAAATAAAAGTAAAGAAAAACCCTTAAGAAAATAGAAAAAAAAAAAGAGGTTGGGCGATCTTTTTATATCTTTTCGGGTGACGGGGATTTAAATTAAAACAATTAGGGGGAAAATCAGCAAAAATTGATAGTGAGGAGATGTGGGAAAAAAAGTCAATTCTCTCCTTTTCCCTCAAAGCAAAACAAATAGTAATTAACATTGAAAAAACTCTAATGAGAAGAAAAATAGACGGTAACACAATATACATAGCATATCTTTTTTTTTTTTTTTGATTTCCATCACTTCATTTTTGTTGCTCTTCATAAAATCAATGGGTGGTGACTGAATTATTGTTTATTTTTTATTGGCACGTGAATAACGGCTACCGGAAGCAGGAAGTGTCTTCGTTCAGGTTAGAAAAAACTCCCCTTACATTGTCAGAGTCAACTAATGCGGTGTCACTGACATTTCCATTGCAAAAAGCTTAATTACAGCAACCACCATGTTGAAGGTTGAAATGAGTTGCCATGTTGAACTGCGCAGTAAAAAAAAAGAGAACAAAAAAGTGTATACAGGCACTCTTTGGGTGAAAGCAAATCATTTCTTCTCTGTTCTTTTTCTGTGTTGACAGTATACATTTCGATTTAACAGGATTTAATCAAACAAAGCACAATCCAAGTATGTCCTCAGCTAGTCTTCAAATATCTGCCTGAAAATACAATAAGTTGAGCGCGATCGGAAGGAATGGCAAATGTGTGGTCATAGATATGGAATGGATCTGTAACCGAGATATGGAATGAAATTTGTAACCGAGATTTTGGATTATTCTAAAGAAAATTAAGAATATTAACAGCTTGGTAGCAACACCAAGTTTGTCGAATAGCTGCTGATTATTCGAAACAAAAGCTATCAACTAGCAACATATTATACATGTGTTCATCACTGTTAAGGGGTATTCTGCTCGGGCATGTTGGTATTTGGCTGTGATGGCCAGGAACTATAAAATTTATTGGCAATTGTAATTGCCTTCAAGCTAAATTATAAATAAGATCATGTTTCTTTTTTTTTCCTGTGCATGACATGACCTTAAACGGGCTGTGTTTTGTTACTCTTTTGCTCAAAGTCAATGATATGAAAATGTGAATAATCGACAGTGGGCTATCCTATCCCCTTTAATATCGCCAACCACATTTTTTAATTTCTTCCAAACAAAAATGAGTTATTCAAAAACGAATGGTTAACGGCTTCTTTTTAATTGTTTTCTTTTTATCTATTTGCTTGTTGAAAACGATGATATTAATTTTTGACGAACACCAAGAATGGAAGTTCGATGGTGATTGTAGCAAGTATTGTTTTTTGTCTTCTTTTAATAGAAAGGGTGAGCTTGGTCTTTTCATCTTTGTCAGTATACAATTGTCATTGTATAATCATTACAATGCCACACTTTGGATATAATAATCGGAACTATCCGAAAGCACCTCTGTGGCGTATAAACAAAGCACAAATTAACATCGCTGCTAGCACTTTTATAGACAACACAGAAACGTAATAACAAAAAGGAAGAGATGGGCGCGTCCATAATTTGTGCATGAGCCGGTGTAAGGGGCTGATAACAAAAACAAAAATTATAAACACATACGCCTTTTAATTACAAGATCGCTCCTTTTTAATAAACACCCCTTTCCAAACAAAATAGTATATGTTATTAAATTATTGACGTAATTGACATAAAAAGAACAATGAAAACCCTGGGCGCATCCTTATTTATACATTACGCGTCTATACATCATAAAGTACAGGAAGCTTTAAAGATGTGAAAGCAAGTCTGTTTTAATTTTTATATTCTTCGTATTAATTATGAATGCAGTGTCGCATTGTATTATTGACATTTAAAAAAATAATAATCATGCAGGTTAGCCCTTACAATATGTGCAGCCATACATGACAGGGGCAATTTTGGGATGAATTTTAAGTCTGTGCAACGTTATAACGCCGGAACACTAAAAACTGCTTGGACAGTTTAAAGGCACTCCATTTATTTATCATCCCTGGTTTTGATGATTTAAATAAGCGTTTTTTTTTTTTTTTTGGACCACTCACTGATAGTTGATCAGTCTCTCCTGTTTGAAAAGACGTAGTTATTTTTATAGAAAGTCCCCCCCTCTTTTTAATTCAAAGGAAATGATAAATAATAATCAATGGTCATCGTCGTTTAATTTTTAGTCAAGACGTTTCGATTGCTGATATTGAATATAAAGAGGCACCTGGTCTGGTAGGTTAAAGATGAAAGTAAAAAAAATACTAAAAAAAAGTTAGGTAGCTCAGTTAATCTGCTGATACTTTTAACTTTGGCGCCTTAAGAGAAATAGATGGATGCCCAAAATAACAATGGTAGTCGTCGCAAGATAAATAAAGGTCATGAGATAAATGAGGTAATAAGATAAATGAGGTAGTAAGATAAATGAGGTAGTAAGATAAATGAGGTCGTAGGATAAATGAGTTAGTAAATCAATTATTCTAGCCATAGTCCTAAACTTACAGTATAATATTGTTGCTACAAGGTATGTAATTTTTTTGTTTTTTTTTTGTTCGCAAATTTAATATCATTGCTTATATCAATGCAACAGAATTCTTTAAAAATGATAACAAATTTCATTAGTAAATCATTGGAGCAGTGTATTGATCTACAAGGAAAAAAAGAAGATCATAACTAAATATAAAGCCCTTGTTAAAGTCCCAATAAAGATAAGGAGCAAAACATGAAAATATTTGGATAGATGATCAAGTGAAGCCTAGCTAGCTTTTCTTCAATAAATAAAAAAAGTAATCGGAATTTAGAGAACAGACAAGTTGAGGAGTTTTTTTTTTTTTCTGTGCCTGCAAAGCATCCCAATTCAGGTACCAGGGCCAAAGATCAAAGTAATTTGACAACCAGAGTTAAGACTGCTCGTAAACTTGTTAATACAGAAGATTGCCTTGACTTTACCAAGCACTATGGAAACGGAATATAGGTCATACTGCTTGTTATAATCATGACGCGTATCAGTTAAGGGTCATCTCTCGTAGGGTGGGTTCAGCTTCGACCTATTTCAATGTGTGCTATAATAAAATAAAATCCAGTCGGGGTACAAATTGCAAAGGATCTTTTTTCTTAATGACGAATTTTTCTTTTCCTTCTTTTAATTTAATAATCGTTTTGTTAATTAACTAGTACATGAGACGAAGTTTGGACGATCTAAAGGTAAAACTCAGAAAGAGTTGCCTTGGGAGACTAAAGGCTAGCGTGAGGACCAGATCGCAAATAGTTTTTAAGATTAAAGCAGTTCTAGAACTGGCAGGATAGAATCGCGAACATGAATTTGGGGCAATTGTTGCATGCAAGAAAGAAACAGACAAATACCAGTCTAATGAGCTGCCAGACTTGCTGTAGAATAATTTACAAAACAAAGTAGGGCATTTTTATACGAAGACAAAAAGAAGAAATTCGATTTTGTAACGAAGGGAAAACACAGAGCGCGACCTAAAGAGCCAAAGACTTGGAAATGAGGCACAACTCTAATTCATATGAAACTATGCAAGAGAATCATATACCGTCAAATTCATTTTCGATAGAATTAATGCTAAAGGAGGACAATAGAAAAGGGACACTGTTAAACGCTGTTATTATAGATATGCTCGATATAGTTTTGGGATTTAATGAGGTGGCAGAGGTGGTCTGGAAATTTGAAAAATGCGAAAGACTTAAGAAGGGAGATGCGACTAGTGTCATCATGGGGATAAACTGCAACAATCGACTTACATACAGTTGGGTGGAATTGGACTTTAGCATTATTACAGTATATAAAAGTAATCCCGGCCTTTGAAAGCTCTTATTTGAGGATGTGATGTAGGCCCAATTTTTAAAAGATGAGATCATCCGGTTAGTTCGATTTCGGGAACGAGTACCAAACAAGTGGTGAATAAGGATTTTATGTCTGCAAATATCTCCCGACCTCCTTACGTATTTCAAGGTGTTGAAAATATGCACAAGGGCACTCGAGATCACATTTATATTATCACTATACATACAGGAGTTTTGGGAAGTAAAAAAAAAAAAAAAAAAAAAAAAAAAAAAAAAAAAAAAAAAAAGTCTTGAAAGACAAGTTCGCTGCCTTTCCCTATAAAAAAAAAGAGACCCATTTCGCTTAAGCGCTCAAACTACAATTAGGTATCCTTTCATAAATTCACAACAACATATGCTACTATTCTTTTAATTTCAATTCTTCAATACACGTGAGTATGTCACGCGTTACTCTCTCCGTTTTTACATCTCATAAATTGACCAACTCGACTACCGGTCTCCCAGCAAGTCTTTCAAGACATTTTGATATTTTTCTTTGAGATAAAGTTTTCATAAACTTTATTTCTTTAGCAGTTAGCGAACTTTGTGGCACTGGCCTAATGACTTTAATTTCTACTGATTCCTCCATTGGTGTTATTGTTTCATCCTTATCCTCAAGTATGCTGTCGTCGTATTTTCTTTGAAAGTTAATCAATACATTAATTAGCATATTTGAAAGATTTGCTGTTTTCTGGCAGTTCATCTTTAAGGAAGTCTTTGATTTTTTAAAACTGGTTTTCAGAAGCAGAACATATTGTCGCCAAAGCATTCAACTGGCACTTGCTGGTACTAACATGATTTTCTGTTTCAGTTTTAGCGATTTTGTATAAGTCAATAATCGTCACATCATCGTAAAGATTCAAAGCCATGATGCTTCTTTGTCGAATTCTGGAGAAGTACTGTATTGCAACAATGAAATCCATGTGGGCAGAACTTTCGTTGCTTAAGGCAGGACAGTCTGACCACAACCATTTACAGTGTAGCCTCTGCTATTTACAGTCATCCCATTAACTGGGTGTCTAAACTCCGTGAACCCAACCTATGAGGTCACCATTCTATTTATCAAACACTAGCCGTAGCTCGTGATATTGCAAGAATTGCAACGTAGTTGAAATAGTGATTATCACAAGTATAAAATACGAAACAGAAAAAACGAACTTCATTAGTAAATAGAATAAAACTTGATATTTATACCAGGATCGCAGCCTTAACTAAAGAAATTCAAATATAATTGTAATATCCGATGTCTAAGAGACAATAATTTCAATCAAATATAAGATAATCCTTTATTAAATGCTTAATTTGCTCTTGTATATATATTATATGTTCATGTTTGTTAAGTCGGTGATTCGTATTTGTTGTATCGGTGATTCTTATATGTTCCGTATTTACATTAGAGTAGTTGCTATTATGGTGAGATAGTCTTGTGATACACCACCTTTATTAATGTTATGGAGAGAAAGTCATCGCAAAAGGGTGGACGCTTTTTATATCGAACCATCTGAGAGACTGGATCTGATTAAGAATAGGCAGTGGCTAATTTTTGTTTTCTGAAACAAGGCAATTAGAACTACATGGTATTAAACCAACCAAAATTTTGTCTTACTGATTGACCCGAATTACTAAGTGAAAATCTCTCAGTAGAAGCTGATACTTCAGTAACAGATTGAAGAGAGTCACAACAACTATTAATAATATGATTCCCAATGTATAATCAGTAACAAGATTATATAGTCAGTATGAGAGTACTATACGAATATTTTAGTTTAACCATCTTTGTGGTAAACGGGATTGGTTTACACAGAAAAATAAAAAGAATAAAAATAAAAACAGGGAATAAGTTAAATATCCAGTGTGGTTTTATTCCAGGTTAAAGGTTAAAAATAAACTAAAGGAAAACTATCTATCTAGAAATTTTCCTATTTATATGAATTGTTAGATGGTAATGATTTATAATTGTGATAAGCTGTTACTATGCTTATCACTATATTATGCTTGAGAAACTATATTCTGTGTATGTTACACAGAAAAACGGCTGTCTATCTTTTATTATTACAGCAGGTATATTTGGGTTTGAAGATACTTTGTGAGGTAACATAGAGTTTTATTTTTCTATTTTCTTATTATAGAAATTCTGTCCCTGTCTATGACTAATGGTAGAATGGTGATAAGGATATTTTACTGTTATATGCTTATCTGAAATGGTATTATGTATTTTATTGGTTGTATGCTTTGTTATGCAATTGTGTATATTTATTATTGGCTGTAGCCGTAATTATTTATGTAGTTTACGTAGTTATATATTATGTGTTTTACCACAATCTTGAAGGTCATTGGAGCAAATATGACACTCGCGTATAATTTATCGTCTTATTTTCAAGGTTTCCTCCCTATAGACTTTATTTACCGATTCGAAGGAACAACTTCAGGTTCGAAAGCAAAAACAACTGATGTTTCTATGTCCAGAAGCTATTCTATGTAAGAGAATACTTGTCAGAAAGGGACAGGTACCAAGAAAAATCGTAAAAGGCCATAGTCACGTGATTTGATTACGTAAGCATTGCACATTGTTAATTAGTACAAATAAAAATTACTAAAAAGTCTTCGATAGTATAGTGGTGAGTATCCCCGCCTGTCACGCGGGAGACCTGGGTTCAATTCCCAGTCGGAGAGATTTATTTTTGCTTTGAATGGGGTGCATGTAGCTTGTTGTGCGTTGGAATGATTTTTTTTTTTTTTTGTCAGGAGACTAATAGTAAATAACCCAAGATAGTGATACAGTCTGGTTAGCGATTATTGGTGTATTATTGAATACAATTTTTGATTAAGTATGCAGTTCCAATAATGTGCACGTTATGTATAAATAACTGATAAATTCTTAGTTATGAGATCAAAAGATGAATTATTGTATTTTATGTCTAATTATTGAGCGATCGGAATAGTACACCAATTTTCCTGTAAGACTGAATATGGTAGCTTATTAATATAATTTATCCAGCTGCATATTTATCTATCGCTCGGTTTTTAGGACCGTACTTAAACCAACCCAAAGCGATTACCAAAGTAGGCGGCGAGTCCTTTGATTTAATTAATGGCTTTCTTTTTTATTACAGAAGTACGGGCCGGGTCTGTACAATAGAGTGTGCCTTAAAAGACCTTTAAAAAATTATACTTTGCCATTTTTCTTTTCTTTTTGATACGGGGATGGCTTAAATTGATAGCTTTTGCGAGAATATTTTCATTCCATTTCTCACCATACCATTTAAAATATTTGATTGGAGATCCAACACCGGTGCCTCAATTTCCAATAAACATAAGTATCTTTTTCTTTTCTTTAGCAGCTGATTCTGTAATAAGCATGGCTTTGATGAACTTGCAAATAGGTTTGATATTCATATACGACTAATATAGAAGTCTTTATGGGGGCTATCTTAAAACGCTAATATCTCAACTTCCTGAAAAGTGAGTCCAAAAGTTCTTCGTTCCATATGATCTCTTAGTATCCTACATATCCCCTTTTAAAAAATTGACATTTCCCTCCAAAAACTTAAATGTATGCATTTACTTTATTTAAAAAATAAAGTTGAACACAATCAATCACGTCAGATTTTCCCTGAAAGCGATTATAGTTGACCTAGTTAAGCGGAGTTGACATTTTTTTTTGGTGCCTCTTGGCTTCGCCTCATAACAAATTCTCATGATCTTTTTTCTTCGTTTTTTTATTATTTTCTGCTCAGAGGACTAACTTATATATACAGACTATGAACCCATATGGACACAGAGTAAGAAGCAAGTTTGGCACTTTGAAAAATAAAATAAAGAAGGGGTTAACTGATTTACAGAATGCAGGAAGGATTTCCTTCGACACCGCAGCAGCAGCAACAACAGGGTTATTATCCTAATAACCAATATCGCCAATCTTCACAGTACAATTTTAACGCACAACCACCAGTTAACAGCAATCCGTTTTCACCTATACAAAGGAGTAATACATTTTGTAAGGATATTTTGTTAAATAAAAGGGCATCTGCTGCTGAGCTCTTTTTTTTTTTCTTGGCTCATCAGGTGTTATTATCATGCTACTGAACTAATCATTGCATACAGCTATAGCAGATAGAAGAGAGAATTATCTGTGGGATTTATTTTTAAGGGTCGATACTGACCGGTCTGGATCAATTTCAGTTTATGAACTCCAAACGGCACTTGTGAATGGAGATTGGAGTCCCTTTAACATTGAGACGGTTCGCATGATGGTTGGCATATTTGACACTGGTAATTGCATGATGGGGGAATTAAAAAATGCGTAATTTAACAGAGCAATGATAGATAATAATGGAACAATTGATTTTGGGGAGTTTCGAGGTTTATGGAAATATGTTGAAGATTGGAGCCGTTGCTTCAAAAAGTTTGACCAAGATAACTCGGGTAGTATAGATTGCTATGAAATGAGTCATGCGTTGCGAACATTTGGTTATAATGTGAGTGATAGATTTATAGGCATCTTAATTCAAACGTTTGATAAATATGGTTTGTACAATGAAGGATGGGGGGAAGAAAACTTTCTCATATTTTTACATATTAGGAAATGGTGATATTACTTTTGATAATTTTGTACAAGCTTGTGTTACATTATCAACGTTAACAAAGGCATTCAGATCAAGAGATTACGAGACTAGAGGATCAATTATTGTAAATTATGAAGATGTAAGTGGAAAGAATAAGGAAAGAAAAATAATGGGATGATAAAATAAAATTGTACATAAATGTAATATAATGTTAATTGACGCTGATATTTTTGTTATTGTGATCATTAGTTCTTGACACTGGTCATAAGTAGCAGACCTGACATGAAGGGGAGTTAAATGTGGAAACAATAATAAACAAACAAATGTATATACAGTATTACGTAATCAAATTGGTGGATAATAGGAAATAGTGACCTGGTATGACAATGATGATAACATTTAGTAATACTGATTTCGGGATCGTGCAAATCTGTTAAAAAAAAAAAGATGTCCACTGATGTTATGCATACTGGATACACATGATATATAATACAAAAGCTATAAAAGCAATAAGCAAAGACCCACATTATATTCGTTTTCTCTTCTTTTTGATGTGTTTAATAACGCAAATACTATGTTGTGGTTTTTAATTGTTTCTTTTTGAGGGTTATCCCTTTTTATTTTGATGAATGCATTTATTTGTTTTCAAAGCTGATCATGTCATATTGCACAAATTGTTAAATGTTATGCCGAAAGTTATAGGAACAATATATTTTGGGTGACAGTTCTAGCCCACCGGTCACCCAACTAGCTGTTGTTGCAATCCAGATTTTTATGGTGTACCTTTAGTGAGGTCAATTTTATTTACAATTAATTTCGGATTTTGTCCTTTTGTTCTCGGTTTTAAAGGAGTTTATTGGATCACTATAAAAGAGCATGTACATAAGCGATTCTCTCTTCAGACAAGATTTGCTATTTTATTCTCTATATCAACGCCATTTGATGAGACTTAATTAGCTGATTTATTTACAATTTTTATATCTTTCTTTCAAGATCACTAAGCAAAGTGAGCGACTGTTTTGAATTTAAATCTATGGATAACTCGATGTAATATAATTGGAGAGAAGGGCGTGTGTACTTTTTAGCTGCTTACAGATGAGAGTATAGATAAAATAAACTAGATTTAGCCATACGGCTAGTTAAATTGATGATGATGGTAATTCTTTATCATTGAAAGGCTTGTGGGAAAAACATACCATTACGTATACTGTGTTACCATCTAAAAACTATTTTAAATCTGTAATCACTTGCTTGAATATTGTTGGGAGTTGTTAGATACATTGGGATCAGTTTAAACATAAAAAGTGACTGAGCCATGAAATAAATTGCCTTACCCCCCCTGAATTGCAATTAAACTTTATTATGGGATAGATCCGTGATACAGAGGCGATTCGTCTTTTTTTTTCTTGATCACATTGTTTTATTTATAACGAAAAATATTCTATAGTTGTTAAAAGGTCAATATGTCATTTTTAAAAAGAAGGAAAAGCTAAGTGTAACGAAGAGATCAATTATTTATGGGATTAACCAAAAGCAAAGTTACACCTGGCTTAACTTTTGTGTGTCATCTGAGCCTATTAGAAATAAGAAAGATTCTAAGACCGTTTAATTTTTTTTATTTTTTATAAAAACCCTTTTACCTTTTCTTCTTTTCATCATTATTATAAAAATGAAGGGCGCCAAAACACCAGGAGAACGTAGAAAGAAGATCCATGACAAATTTAGTCAGCATATGAGTGTGCTTCGTATCGACAGTCTTAGAAAACCACGATATAGTAATGCTGGCCAAAGTGCAGAGCCTAAAGAAACAACTCCTATTTTTGATAGTCCACCAAAACAGAATCTACAGTATCGGTCTCAGCATTCACATAGCTCACAGGATATGTTATGTTTCGAGAGTTTAGTAGCGATGACACCCCCTTCACTCTTTATTCCATTGCAAGCAAGTCCTACGATGCGACTGCCAGTGCAAACGCCATACAGCATAAGTCCATTGACACCGATGCAGGGTCAAATTTCATCCGGTAATACTGATCAAGCAAATAATTTTTCTCTTAATAATTTAACAACGAACTTTACGGCGCCTCTCCAGACAGAGAATCTACAACGCCAGCAAAACGTTTTCGATTTGAGTAGTTTTTTTGATGAGTCCTTTTTCAATCCTGTTCCTAACACAACAAACAATCTGGTGGCACCAAGCCCTCCTCCTCCCTTACAGGTGGATATGACACAGCAAAACGTCGTACCACCATCAACACGTTCGTACGATATGCCATCCAGACCAAATCCCCCTTCTTTTATTGATGGTCCTCAATATTTCCAAGCCAGTGAAGATTTTTCAGCCTGTTTCGGAAAAGCCGATGCCGACAATTCGAAATTCATTACATTGGATGAGCTTAAAGTTTTTTTACAAAATAAAGACGGTAGCAGTTTCAACGATGCAACGGCAATGACGATCATGAATATGTTTGATAAAAGTAAGTGTTACATGTCTTTTTTATTTATGTGTGAAAAAAAAAAGCTTTTATTGACATGCATTATTTACAAGACAAGGATTACATGATTGATGCAGATGAGTTTCCTGACATGCTTGCATACATCAGTAACTGGTACAGCTGCTTCATTTTTTTGGATTCAGATAACTCCGGCACGATTAATTTTCTGGAGATGCATACGGCCATTACTTGTCTTGGACTTGCTGGACTCAGTTATGATTTCACAGCCAGCTTGCTAGAAAAATATGTCTGTGCTGGTAGTCATGAGATTCGTTTCGACAACTTTATTCTTGCATGTGTTACTCTTTGTCGATTCAATGAGGCGTATAAGTTTTTGGAGAGGCAATTTGGCACCCCTGGTCGTCTTCCACAGAAACTGGAACAGGTAAAAAAAAATGAACTGAATGATGACATTGACCGGAATAACTAAACATCTTTTTTTTTTTTTTACTTAGTTCCTTTCACTTTCCATTTAACGTTTTTCTTCTTTTTTTCTTTTTTTTTCTGGCTGTTTTTTTCACTCCATATAAAGATCGAGCAAATAAAGTTTTACTTGTACACCGTGTATTTCTTAGGGCTAAGCCTTCGCTTTTAAAAAAACAAAAATAAAGAAAACAATCCATTACTTAGACGCTATTTCAGTGCTTCATGGGATTAAGTTTTCGCGAGATGTTTTACAAAAAAAGCTGAGCTCGTTTTTCATAGGAAAAAGTAAATAAAAAGGGAAGAATGTTCAGTCATTAAGTGCGTTTATCCTATAAATACACACATGAGCTATCAAAAGTCCGCTGATACGCAGCAGCAGGACTAAAGCCCTAGGTTACATCATATTGATTGGGCAACTAAACAGACCAGATTTTTTTTTTTTTATATTTTTATTTTTATTTTCCTTGGCAAACAATTTTTTCTCTCTTTTTTCTTCTTTTTTAAACTAAAAAATAAAATAAAATATGGCATACAATCAGCAATACGGTTATAATCAACAAACTCCTCAAACTGGATATCAACAAACCGGTTACCAACAAGGTGGATATCACGCTCCCCCACCTGGAACTCCTCAACAAGGTTATCAGCCTCCTCCCGGAGGATATAGACCTCAACCTCCCCCACAACAGCAACAGCAACAAGGCTATCCTCCTTCTCAAAACTATGGTAAGCATGCCGAAAGAAAAAAAAAGTAATAATAAAAAAAAAAAAGACTCATGATCAAAAAATAGGAAGACCAGTTCCCCCTCGTCCACAAGGTCCTCCCCCAGGAAGCGATCCTCAACTTTGGAACTGGTTTACTGCGGTCGATACCGATCGTTCAGGTCAGCTCTCTGTTGATGAACTTCAACGCGCTTTAGTCAATGGTGATTGGAGTCCCTTCAATATCGAGACTGTCCGCACAATGGTGAACATGTTTGATAAAGGTAAAAAAAAAAAAAAGCATCAGCTCAGCCGGTTAAATGGGATATATATATATAATAACAACCCGAGTTAGATAATAGTGGTACTATCGATTTTAATGAATTTGCTGGATTATGGAAGTATATTGAAGACTGGAAGAGATGTTTCCAAACGTTTGACGCCGATAACTCTGGAAATATCGATCATATCGAGATGAGCAACGCATTAAAAACCTTTGGTTACAATTTATCAGATCAATTTATTCGTGTTTTAGTACAAAAATTCGATAAATATGGTAAGGCAGCAAATATTTTGTATATAAAAAGAACAGACAATGAATAACTTACTCATTAGGTCATTCAACAGGCAAAGGAAACATTACCTTTGATAATTTTGTTCAAGCATGTGTTACTGTTAAAACGCTTACAGATTCTTTCAGACAATTCGACACGGATAATGATGGTTGGATTCAAATCAACTACGAACAGGTAAGTTTAAATATACTACTTTGTGATAATCTATGCTAATAAAACGTAACTTTAGTTCTTGGAATTGGTTATTCGTCAACGTTAAAATCGTTTAAACTTCGTCCCATTATTGTGTATATAAACAATTATACTTTATTAGTCCACTCAGACAAAAACCTTTACTCTTTTTTTTTAACTTTTTACTTTTTATATTACATATCCCCCCCCCCCTTTTTTTTTTTTCTTCTCTACTTCTCTCTCAAATACAACCTATGAATAAAGCTTATTTTTTTTTGTCCGAGTAAATATTTTTAAAAAGTGAGTTTTTCTCTCGAGTTCCATTATAATTGAACCCACGTTCTCGTGACCCGCGAAAACCTATGGTGTGACCTGTTTCGATGGGGTCTCAATCTTCAGAAAAAATTTTCGCGGCTCCTCAAAAAATTAAAAAGTATAAAAGGAGGCAACAAAATCGGTAAAAAAGATGTTTTTTCTTTAATCAAAAATAGAAGAATGCAGCCATGATGGAACGTTTTGTCATTTATTTGGCCTCAGCGTTTCATTGCCAGGAATCTTTCGATTTCATCGCATACAAGATAGAACTGTCTTCCTGACCCTTTGGGGTTGAAACGGTGCCTTTGTCATTAGTTTGATTTATGGGGTTTCGTGCCGACTGGAGACTAAATTTTTTAATTTTTTATTATTGAAAGAAAAACGAAAAAAAAAATATTATCATTTTGAATGCTAAGCCTCTCTCATGAGCAAGGGTGACATTTTAACCCTGCTAAATACGAGCATGTATCACCCGCTTCCATATGCATCGTTTCTCCGCTGAGTCAACCCGATTTTCTCCACTTTAAGCTTGTATTACACATTTTATAAAACCAATCTACCCTTAGAACTATTCGTTTTATATGATGTGAGTTGTAAAACATTGACGGTGAAACACAAGGATATGATTTCAAGTAAAAAAAAAAAAAAAGAAAGAAAGAGAAACCTTCCCTTCACATATACATTTACAAATAACTCTTCTCTGAATTTCTTGAGAAAAAGTACGTTGTGATGGAAGTGATTCAAGTACAACCAAGAGATTTCTATCTCCACTATGTTTACGTACCAACCCAAGGGTCTACCATTCGATGGACTTTTGCGACAAGAAAAAACCATATTGCATTTGGACTTTATCGTCGACTAAACCATACACAGTTGTCGTCATCCACCTTAAACTCACAACAACGTTCGTCGGGCAGTTTTGTTTCGAACCCCTTAAAACATAAGGGTAAAATAAATTAAAGAGAGAAATGCATACGTTATATCTCCCATTCATTGACGAAATTCATTAGAAACTGAGCACAGCATCATACTGAATACCGCGTTACGACCGAGATCTAAATCAGCTGCTTCAGAGAAACTAAGTGACAAGAATGAATGGGTAGAACTCTTACCGATTGAGCATACCAATTCTGCAAAGAAGAAAATTGAGGGTCAATACACGGTGAAAGAACCGGGAAATTATGTTTTAGTATTTGGTAAAAAAAAAAAATGTCATTTTTTTTGACACGCCGGTTACACAGTACTAACTGTAAACAAAAAGACAATACATTCTCGAAAAACACGCCCAAGATTGTAGCCTTTTCCGTAGCTTTAGTCGATTCTCAAACGGAAGAAGCGTTAGAGCAACCAAAAGAGATCATGTCGGGTTGGCTTTTGAAGAAACGGCGTAAGAAGTTACAAGGGTGGGCTAAACGATGGTTTCAACTTTCGAAGACAGGCATCCTATCTTATTCTGAGAATCCAGAGAGTGTGAGGTGTGGATCGATCCAAGTCCTTCTGGCTACCATCTCCTTAAACCCTTCGCAAAGGTTGATTCACATTGACTCGGGGTCGAGTTTATTCCATTTAAGATGTGCGACGGATAAAGAATTTGAAGATTGGACTACGGCACTGAAGGGCTTCAGAGACAGAGAATATCCACAGCTTTTGGAGCAGATAAAAATCGAGACAACGAATAATAAGAATGTCATAGAGAAAGAAGATGTAAATGTGATATGGACTCAAATTGACAAGGGGATACACAACGCTGATTTAATTACCCAGCGACTAGAATTATTAAAGAGCAAGGCAGATGCGTATATACAGGAGACTGACGATCAAGCGTTTTCCAATGAAGCAGATGCGGTATTATCCATCGCGAGAGATCAGAAATCATTATGGAACGACATTCAAAACTCCGTGAAACAATATTTAGCAGTAGATATATCTAACCGCGTCCCCATGATAGATAGACACAATTCAAAAATCAAAATTGATGAAAATAATTTTTTATCAGTTGCTGATAATCTTTCACCAGATCCGAATTACGAACAGCTTCCTTATCGTAAATCTATCGCGTCAGAAAAATTTTATGACGCCGAGTCTATTATCTTGTCAAGCGACGATGAAGATTACGGAGATAATGAGAATGTAGAGGATTCCGATGATAGTTTTATATCCACAACGGATGAAGAGGATGAAGGTAAAAGAAGGGGCAGAGCTATAAAGGGCACTGGCTTATTTTTATTTATTTTTAGATACAGAAAATGAAGATGATGCTAATGACAACAAAACTTCGCAACAGAAGCCGATGAAAGAATCAAATATTGTAACTCTGATGTCCAAACCATACAACTTTCATCGTCGTCAAATATTACCTGCACCTGCAGCTAGCAGCGGTGTTTCAGCCTTGTCGATTTTCCGCAAAAACATCGGTAAAGATTTATCTCAGATTGCTTTGCCGGTCAGTATGAATGAACCACTTAGTATGCTTGAAAAGGCATGTGAAGAGTTGGAGTATTCCGAACTACTGGACAGAGCCTCCGAAAAAACCGACAGTTTGGATCGATTGATGTATGTTACAGCATTTGCTATTTCTGCTTATGCATCGTCACAATGGAGAACTGACAGAAAGGTGAAACAATGTTCTTCCTCATTGTGTAATGATTTATATTGAACACCTTCCTCAATTTCTTTTTTTTATTAGCCATTTAATCCAATTTTGACAGAAACTTATGAATGCATTCGACCCGACAAAGGATTTCGATTTATATCCGAAAAAGTATCCCACCATCCATTAATTATTGCCTCTCATGCTGAATCGCATGCCTACAAATACTGGCAATGCACAAAATTGAAGAGTAAATTTTGGGGTAAATCGATGGAGTTTATTGCGGAGGGTACTTTTCATGTACATCTGAATGACAAGGAGCATTATACATTTACCAAACCTTCCAGCTGGATGCGTAACATGATTGCGGGTGACAAGTATCTAGAGCATGTTGGAGAAATGAAGGTGGTAAATCAGACGTCTGGAGAGCATGCTATTGTTACTTTTAAAGAAGGAACAGGTGGTGGCATCTTTAGTGCCCCCAAAGAACGTAATAATGTGACAGCGCTCCTCTATACTGCAGACGGTGAAAGGCAAAAACGAATGGTGGGTAAATGGAGTGAGGCGCTTGCTGAGGATATCGATATGGAAGGGCGCACACTGTCTGTTATTTGGAAAGCCACCATGCCTACTAATCCCGATTTCACCAAAAAATATTACGGATTTTCTCAATTTGCTATAGAATTGAATGAAATTACACCTATTGAAAAGGGAAAATTACCAAAGACCGATTCAAGGCTGAGACCCGATCAGAGGCTTTATGAAGAAGGTAAGGTAGAGGAGGCAGATAACGAAAAATCGAGAATCGAAAAGAAGCAGAGAGAAACAAGAGCTCTACTTGCAGAACAAGGTGTTTCATGGAGTCCCCAATGGTTTATATTGCAGGATACGGCGAATATGCAAGATTCAGATCAAGATTTGAAAGACAATGAAGGCGTTAGTCAAGTATGGCAGTTTGCTGGTCAATATTGGAACGTACGTGGCACGGGTCATTGGCCTGAAAATACACCTGATTTATGGTAAAAAAAAGAAAAAAAGAAAGAAAAAGCACTTCTAGCTTTAGGACACATTAAACACCTTTACAATAATAATAAAAAAAAAAGTTTGTTGCACGTCAACTGGGGGAAATAAAACCTTAAATGTCCTGTCAAATCTTTCTGATGCTTTCTGATTGGATAATTTCAAGAGATGGGCTTTCGAATATAACGCTCATCTCAAAAAGTTTTTTTTTATAATGAGAACACAACAAAACAAGCGATGGGTATTCATGGACTATCCTACTTTATCAAGTCATTTCCCAGTTTGGTAGAAAAAATTGAGTGGAAGCTTGATGCTTCCACGATGGCTGACCACTTTATTATTGACGGCAATGCGTTTGTGTATCATATTGCGTTTGAAAATAGAACCAATTGGACCCATGGCGGTCAATATGCAACGATTGCTGAAGTGGTTCGAGAAACAGTTGAAACATTCAAGAAGGCCGGCATTAGTGTTACCTTTTTATTCGATGGATCGCTTCCAGAGGACAAGACAGACACTCGCATCAAGCGACACAAGTCTTATATCGAACGATCGGTTTCAACGTTTTGGAATCTAAAGCAGATCAATAGTAGCAACAAAAACGTTGAACAACGACATAACGGTATTCAGTACTATGGCGATCTTTACCTTATACCACCCTTGACATTAGAAGTGGTGATCCAGACACTGCGTGAACTGAAAGTGGAGGTAGAAATATGTGAAGACGAAGCGGATGGAAAAGTGGTGGCACTGGCCATTGAAAAGAATGCTTATGTCATCTCTCAAGATTCGGATATGCATATCTATCCTCAGGTAGGAAAAGGATATATCTCATTTGAACTTTTAGATCTCCCCACCAACACGGGAGGAGAAGAACAACAACAGGTGATTACTGCAGGTGTGTTTCACCCAGAAAGATTAGCATCTTTATTAAACTTGTCGCCCACTTTATTACCGTTGTTTGGAACGTTGCTTGGAAACGACTATCTGGATTCCGACTTGGTGAGGTATCCTATCGGCCAATGGTGCAGTGAAAGGGGTGTGCCCATGATGAACAAACAAAATGGTTGGCCTAAAGTGGTTGCAGAGTTTATTAAAAGAAATTGTACAGACGATAAGAATGCGATCAAGAACGTGGTTGGTCAACTGAAACCAATTATTTCTAAAAGCAGCATGAAATTAAGAGAGGAAAAAGCTGCTGGTCTTGAGCATCAAATTATCGAGTCTATTAGTCGATACGATCCCTGCAGTCCACTGCTTCCGGAACCCGGTAAAAAAACGATCGATCAGGCCACAGAAACCATGGATATACTAAAACAGCTTCAACATCATTCGATGGGTTTAAGCAGACAAGTCATGGATGTGATCCAGAACAAGACTTTTTGGACAAGTGTGTTTATAGAAGATATTGAGCGTGAGTTCAGTTGGGATGTCAGTCGATCCTTAAGACAAGGGCTTTATGGTTCTATTATGGCGCTGCTTTCTCGTGAGACAAAAGAGGTTACACCAATTATTGTTCAAGAATATGTGCGCGAGAAGCACCATTTAGAGGTGTTGTCTGTGACTGGAGGAGTTATCACTGATACGAATGCAGCCGCCTCTGAAAAGTTTTACAGATTTCACATCAGTCATGGCAACAAACATCTGGCATCATTTGATCCTATTTTACACCCACTTATTCTATGCTTACGATATATGATCCATCACTGCTCACAATCGATTGCGGATGGAAGACTTTGCAACCACGAGGTAATTGCGATTATTATTGCTACACTTCGATCGCTGGCGCCTACGCTTGGATTTACGCAAGAAGAAGTTCCGATTTCAGCAGCAGGTACACCAGCCCTGAAGAAACGAACGATTCACTTGTCAGCGCAATTCCAGAGTATTATTTACTCTTCGTATCTTTTATCGCAAGTGTTGGATATTGCTGATTATCTTCATTCGCCTAATGTGATTGCCAACATGTATCATGGATTGTACTTTCATCATTATATGGAGGCAGCGCGGTGCGGAGCTAGTATCGGAAAAATGCTTTCTGGTGTTTCACCAAAGTTTTCCGGGCTATTTTGTTCCGTCTACAAATCAGTTATGCTAGATTTAAACAACGACGTGCAAGACATTTATGATTACGACATTGTCACTACAGCGCTGGAAGAATGGACGATTTCGGATAGTAAACCCAAGAGGTTGAATGCGACAGGAAAGTCAAGCTCTAATCGACCAGAAAAGAAGAAGAAATCAAGTAAGAAGCCAAGTGAGAATAGGAGTACAAATGCTTTTAATGTGTTGAGTTTTGGGTGCAATTTTGATGATGAGTAGAAGAAAATAGACTCCTTCAAATGTTCCTTTCCAAAAAAGGCTTTTACATACATATCAATAAAAAGTTTTCTTTTATAGGAGAGAGAAAATAGAATGTTTTCGATAATCGGGGGGGGGGGGAAGGCACTTGTGGAATATGGGGGGTGCTGATAGAATTGGGGGGAGAGAATATGCGATTGGGCTAATGTGTGTGTATGTGGGGGGAGAGCATTTGTTTTATCAAAATCGTGATCCCCCGATATATACTTCAAACAGATCTTCCGATGTCAATTCCATTACATATGCAAATGTTTATATTAACCTTGAACAAAGAAGGACAAAAAAGGTGATACTATTTAAATTCCCGATACATAAGCGCATCACAAGGCCCGGAAGTACCACCCATTTGGTTCCGAAACATGGTTGTCTTTTTCACTGAAAGAAGAGAGGGTTATTCTCTCTCCAGTTGTTCATGACGGGGTATGCGCGCTATATTTCATCTTGTACTTGGCTGGAAAGGGAATAGCCATTTAAGAGAGGATCATCGGATAGAAATCTTTTATTAAATGTTGACCCCCAAAAAGAAGCACCCCCCATTTTTCCAAATAGTTTTTACTAAATCAGGAAAATATAGATTTGGAAAACTAAAATCGAAAATTGGTGAAGATCGGATTTTTGCCAGTGAGTTTTGATCAGTAGTGCAGCTAATAAACTCACCCTTTTCGATTTTGTATAAAAGGCAACCACTTTTTTATAATTTCCCTTTTTTTTTCCAATTACTTCATTACCTTCACTTATATTCTTTACTTCACACTCACAATGACTGACAGATTCAATTTTACACAATCACTTACATGTGTTGCCTGTGGTGACATTTTAGCCGACCCTATTACACTTTCATGTGGATATACCGTTTGCTCTCATTGTTTCCCAGTATCCAGCCCTACTTCCGTCAAAAAATCAGTTTTCCGTTGTCCAGTTCCTCACTGTGAATCAGCAACTCACCTTTTCGGCCCAGAATTATTAGCTGATGTTACAGTTACCGAACTCACCAATATCCTTCGCAAATATTTACCCAACTGTTCTCTTCCACCATCACCTTGCAGTGAAATCGATACCACTTCTAACTCCACAGACTTGATTGCCACATCAGTCATCCCTCTCTTACAATGTCATTCTTGCACATCACCCGTTGTGGATCCCATTACAACACCTTGTGGTCACACTTATTGCAGACTCTGTATCTTACAATCTAAAATCGATACTGACCAATGTAACACTTGTTACCGCCCTCTTCCTAAATTCAGCAACTTATTATCACAAGCCCCCAACCATTTAATATCTCGTCTTGTCAAAGACTTTCAATTATCTGGTCTCTTACCTTGCAACACACGCGAAACTGCTTTATTAGATTCAGTTCACCTTCAACAAAACAACGTGCCTTTATTTATCTCTGGTAAAGTCATCTTACCAGGTCAAAGCTTCAGATTACCTATTTATGCTCCCAACCACTTGCGCATGTTCCGCGACTCTCTTATTCCCTCTAGCAGATACAACGGTCTCTGTTTAGCTGCTGTTCATCGTAGCAGACCTCAAGTTGCACAATTCGGTACTATTCTTCAAATCATTGGTGTTGAGCATCACAACGATGCTATCATTATCGATGTTGTTGGTGTAGATCGTTTCAAGCTCGATACTCATCAAGAAGAGGATGAAACCACACTTGTAGCCAACTTTGAGATTTTACATGAAGCTTCTATTCGCCAACTTAGTATCGAAATCCCCAACTCACCTTCAGCCGATGATCACTTGGGTCTTCAAAAGCAACACGAACAAGTCTCACAATACGCTGTTGATTTAGCCGATACCGTTTTACGCTTCATCCAACATTTAAGCCAACAATCCACCATGCCTGCTGGCGTTCTTCATACCCAAACTGCCGGACTTTTGGGTCCTCTTTGGTTCGAAAGCATGAAGGCACTCCATGGCCCCATGCCATCCAAGCTCAACCCTACTGCTGTTTGCTGGTGGGCAGCAGTTGTCTTGCCAGTTGCTCATACCGACTTATACCTTCTCTTGCGTACGATTCCCATTATTGACCGTCTTGAACTTGTTATTTCATGGATGCAAAACCTTCAATCCCAATGGGAAAGATGTCGTAGCAGTGCTATTCATGCCTTCTCTCAAGTTCCTCAACAATTGTAAAATCATTCCTTGTATACCCTCATTTGTATTACCACATCCCTTTTTTCTAAAATACCCCACATCCCCCCTTCTATACATACAAAACATTTTTTTTCCTCAACCTATTGAACATACTACTATTATCTCCCTTCCTTACTTAATTATTGCTATAAAACGAACAAACTTAAAAATAAATTTTATGCATCATGTACTATATGACTAAAAAAAAAAACTCGTTCTCATCTTTATGTTTCTTTTTTTAATTTTCCATCATCATCGCATATTGTCATAGATCAAGTTCGATCTTGACAATATGAAGGGGGTAAAAGAATTTAAAAAATCTCAAAAACAAGCAAGATTCTACGATTTGAATAACCTCAGCATTTTTTTTTTTTTTTAAAAAAAAAAAGACTCCTTATCAAAAAAGAAGGGAGGGGTTTTTTTTTTTTATTTATTTCATCCCAATAATTTAACATATACATCACGATTGATCATACGATGGGGGTTATTGTTAATGATATCCACATCGATTTTGTGAATGGCATTTTTCATATTGTCGCCAATGATTTCTCCTGTCACCAAGGTGGCTAGTTCTAATACATCGAGATAATCAGGCGTCCCTGCTCCAGACGTTTGTCGATAAAACACTTGTCCTAATCCGATCTCGTTCGTCTCATCTGTCTGTTCTTCCTTCTTTTCTTCTGTTTTTAAAATCGTTGGATCCATAAAGGGTGTGTCCAAGGTCTGATGACTCGTGGCACGACTGTTCATTGTTTTATCCATCAAATTCAATACAACCACTACATCCCTACTGTATTAGTATATTGTATAAAAGAAACCACACGTTTCTATAGTTACCATTCTTATCACGGACAGGGGCACCAATTCTTGAAGCCACAGATGTTTTTTGAATATAGTCTATAACGTTATCCAACTCATCTTGCTCTTTATACAACTTCTTCCAGCGCTTTACATTTTCCTTGATAAGTTTTAAATAAGCTTCCTTGCTCAATGTCTTGTCGAATGCACTATGACTTAATAACGTCTCACTTACGATCCAAGAAAAAAAAGGGTTAGCGTCTCAACTTTATACGCCCTCTCACTTACTATTCTCCGATAAGACACTTACGGACGATTGTCACCAATAGCATAGACGATTTTTACGGTTGCGACGACACTCGCCATTAAAAAGGTAGTGACGGGTATCTGGTTGTGTCTTCGATTCTGAACCGAATGGCCCATAATATATCGAGATCGGTAGGAATCAAAGATGTACTGAGCCATGAAAAATTCGTCTGGCGAGAAAAAGTATTGTCCACAAAAGCGATCGAGATAAAGCGGTATATTAAAGTCAGGAAAAACCAATTTACAGTTGCTTTGATAACATCTGGAAAAGATGAAAGCACGGTTTCTGATGCTGGTTGGTGAAGGAACGTGTCTCATTTGGTTTGTATAATATAAGTTAAAAGAAGCCAGTGTCTCTGGCGGGATGTGATCTTGCATTGCGAGAAAAGGAAGATCACCCGATTGACACCAACGTATCAGATCATTGGGAAGAATGGGGTAGTTGAGGTAGATACAGGCCAAGTAAATAAATACCAATGTGCTTGCAAAGTTGAGTTTGGGCCACTGAATTCTGGAAGAGCCGATTCTTTCGAATTCGATGTCATCCTCCTCCGAGTCATCGTCATCGCGAAACTCTTCGACCAAGACTTCTTCAAATTTCTCCAAAATATCCTTCTGTGCGTCCTTTTGCGTATTGACTGTATCCTTTTCGAGGGCTTCAAACAGGTAGGCTTCGGCCAGTTGAGTTTTTGTATCTGAGAGATACAAGAGCCATAATTCACGCAAGGTGGCTTCCAGTTCGGGCGGGAAGTTAAAGTCGTGTACGAGACACTTTGAGAGCACTTGCAGGGTGTCTTGGACAACGAGAACAAAGTCACTCCTTTGTTGGGCTGGACTGGATTCGAGGCTGAATTTTTCAGCTTTGGGTATGATTTTTCTTCTGGAACCGATGTGGCCCACCTGATCATCCTCTGCTTGTTCTGCCTGGACACCCAGGACTTTATGACCGTATTTACAGACAAGGCCTGAGTCTGAGGATTTTCTAAATTTGTTTGTTTGACAAACAGGACATATACGTTTGGTTTTCATTGACATTGTAAGTTGTTTTTTTTTGTTGAGTTTTTTTTTTGTTGGTTAATATAAATGAGTGTGTGTGTGTGTGTGTGTGTGTGTGTGTGTGTGTGTGTGTTTTGGTTATTCGAAATGCGTGTGTAAGTTGTTTATTTCTTGCCGTCCTTGTCGTCAGAAGTGGTTGTGACAGTATATGAATTCTCGTCCAAGATTTTATCTAATTCGTATTTGAGTTGATCGACCCAAGAAGATTCAATGAATAAATGAGTGTCGTCCAAGTCTTCAATAACAAAATTGCCTCTTTTGTTTAAATTTAATACAATTTGTTTTACGGTGCTATCACACTCTAATAAAACGCCTTTGACTGCCTTTACCATTCAAACTAGAAAGAGAACAATGCTTCTTTTTTACCCTTTTTCCCAATAAAAAATTGTTCTTTCGTACTTTTTTTTTTTGCCCAAACAGAAGTCTGTGACGATGACTGGGCTTCAAAATATCCATCTTCTTAAGAGGTATCCTTTTGCCATTGATTATGTAAAGGTCGTAAGGTAACCATGACAACTCCTGTAAAAAATACGTAATCCATCTAGGAGAGCGTGATCTGTTTTAAGATAGATTGATAGCTCTGACAGAGCTTGTAGAGATGATCGATGCTAATAAAGCTCACACAAGACGGCGGCACGAAAGGAGGAGACCACTTTAACCTGTTTAACACTAACAAAAAAGTCATCACTGCCTGACATCATTTTTTAGGCTTGAATGTAGCTTCTTTGAGTCAACTAGGGGTTATTGACTCTTTTTTAGCAAAATGAATCGGTGCCTTTTTTTAGCTGCTAGTAGTAGATATATTAGCAATTGTTTGGATGGCAGTCTAATTCAATTTGATTTAAGACAGAGAACTATTTATTTTTAAAAATGAGCATTTTATTCATCATTAAACCTCAAAGGAGCATACAGCGTCCTAGCTATACCTATTATGTAATTATCTTTTCAAAGTAGACGACTGCTGTACTCTGGTAGGACTAATAGGAAAAGGTGACCAAGACCAGCAAGATTGGGCTAAAAATAAGAAAAAAAGGAAAACAATCATTGATTTGTATATGTTACAAATGATACCTAAATGTTTGTCTTTATTTGTCTTTATAAAAAAAATGTTTTAGAAAAGTTGGTGAAGAGGATGATTTTTAGCATTCAGTGGTATTAATCGTATTATTTCATGTAAATACACTATAAAATGAACACTGTGGATTTATAAGTGCTCTTTCAGAACAGATATTTCGAGTATTTTAACTTTATTTTTATTTTTCTACAGATGTTTTAGGCTCATAGTGTCGATCAATATGATTTTCCACTGTCATATGCCCTCACAGTCATGTATTGGAGTTTTTTTTTTCTCACGATGGTGAAGATTCTTCCATCTAATCTTTATCGCTAATTCTCAACGAAGGGCCTATCTGCTCAACCTAATCATTCTAGTGGTACACATTTTTTTTAAATATTATCTTTTATCATACTACTAGAATAAGACAATCCAAGCGCTTCTCTATATGAAAAAGATCAAATATTCCATCTCTCGCTTGTCATACATTTGTACCTTTTTTTTTTGCGGGGAAAGAGAAGCACGTCACAAAGTGTACTATTATTGTATGAAATGTGTGTTGTGTTCAACCCAAAAGATTGTTTTTTTTCCCACGACATAATTTGGCAAAAACACGATTTATTCTTTTTTTTTTTCTCCTTTCCTTTCTTTTTTCTTGTAACTGTAAAAAAAAAAAATATGCTTCAGATCCATACACGATTACCTCGAGTGATTTTTTCCATCAAGTCGACGACGACACTTCTTCGTCGTTTTCCCGACTCCGCTATTCGAGGTTATACTACGACCAGTCGAGGTAAAAAAATAAAAATAAAATTGAAAGAGAAGGATGAAACATGGTGGATACTTATTCTTTTACTGTAGGTACGAATCCTTTGTTTGACAAGATTTTGATTGCCAACAGGTAAAAAAAAAAAAGAAAGAAAGAAAGATATGGATTGGGAAGAGTAAACCAAGATTTAACGCTTTTTATTTTCAAAATATAGAGGCGAGATTGCGATTCGAGTCATGCGTACAGCAAAAGAATTGGGTATCAAGACCGTGGCTGTCTATAGTGAGCCTGATGCCAACGCGCAACACGTCAAAATGGTAAGTTTTGATATATATATAAAGAGGGGGAGCTTTTTGACTTAGAGCATGATTTAGGCAGATGAAGCTTATTTAATCGGACCTGCAGCATCAGCCGAAAGTTATCTTTGTATCGACAAAATCATGAATGTGGCCAAAATGACGGGATCTCAAGCGATTCATCCAGGCTATGGCTTTTTATCCGAGAATGCTGATTTTTCAGATATAGTCAAGGCGGCAGATTTAGCCTTCATCGGTCCTTCCGGCAGTGCGATGCGTTCCATGGGTTCAAAGAGGTAACTGAAAAAAAAATAATAAAATAAAAAAATCCCACGCTATTCGGCATACACACACACACTGAATTTGTATTTTTCTCACGCTCCTAATTTTTTTTTTTTTTTCATAACAGTGAGTCCAAGTTTATTATGCAAGATGCAGGTGTTCCTGTTGTTCCTGGTTACCATGGTGAAAATCAAGAGATTGGATTTCTGAAAGAGCAAGCGGAAAAGATTGGTTATCCAGTGTTGATTAAAGCGATCAAGGGAGGAGGAGGTAAAGGCATGCGTATTGTACGAAGCCCTTCTGAGTTTGAAGAGATGTTAGCGTCATCCAAGCGCGAGTCTATCAAGTCATTTGGAGATGATAAGGTGCTGGTAGAAAAATACCTGGTGCGTCCTCGACATGTGGAGGTCCAAGTGTTTGCGGATCAACATGACAATGTAGTGCATTTGTTTGAGCGTGATTGTTCTGTGCAAAGACGTCATCAAAAGGTGATCGAAGAGGCACCTGCGCCCGGTTTGACGGAGGCATTACGTGCTGAGTTAGGAGCAAAAGCAGTAGCTGCTGCTCGTGCGGTAGGCTATGAAAATGCAGGCACCGTGGAGTTTATTATGGACAATGTGGACAAGCAATTTTACTTTATGGAAATGAATACTCGTTTACAAGTCGAGCATCCTGTTACGGAGATGGTGACTGGAACTGATTTGGTGCGTTGGCAATTAGAAGTTGCTGCTGGTAATCCACTTCCCAAGATGCAACATGAATTAGCCTTAAATGGTCATGCCTTTGAAGCTCGTATCTATGCTGAGAACCCATCCAAGTAAGCCAAGAACGGTCATAAGGCAATCCCTCTTCTTTTTATACTCATCGTCTTTTTTTTTTTTTATTTTTAGCCATTTCCTTCCTGATACAGGCCCACTTTTCAGCGTGCGTACACCTTTGGCTAGCCCCAATGTGCGATTAGAAACCGGTTTTGTACAAGGTGATCAAATCAGTGTGCATTACGATCCAATGATTTCCAAATTGATTGTCCATGGAGAGAACCGTAATGATGCGTTGCGACGATTCCGTCGAGCCTTGGAGCAATACCAGGTGGTAGGATTGAATACAAATATTGCGTTTATCAAGACCGTGGCCGAACACCCTGCTTTTATCCAAGGAGAAGTGGAAACTGGGTTTATTGAAGAGTTCCACAAGGATTTGTTTAAGGAGCCTGGAGCTCCTGATGCCACAACGTTGGCATTAGCTGCCAGTGCACTTCGATTAAAGGAAATTGATAACATCAAGAAGTGTTCCCAAGGTTTGTTTGCTTTAAAAAAGAGCTCATCAAGAATAAAAAAGAAAAAAAAGAAAACTTACATGTATGAAATACAGATCCTTATAGCCCTTGGAGTGCTCATCAAGACTCATTCCGTATTAATAATATTAATCACCGCACATTTTCCGTGAATGCAAATGAGCATCCTTATCAAGTGATTGTGTCTACAAATGCTCAAAAGTCACACTTGATTGATATGCAAGTAGTGGATGGTACTACATCTGAGACGATCCAGACTTTTACAGGTGTAGAAAGTCATTTTGATGAAGAAGGCAGTATGGTGTCTTCAATCGATAGCAAGACTATCAAGTCCAATGTTGTTTTGCACGATGACGACATTGTCGTATTTGACGAGGTAAGGAGAAGTAGAACAAAGAAAATACAATAAAGACTAAAATGAATAAAATTATAGTTTGGTCGCACGACGTTCAAGTTACCTACGCCTGTTTATCTTACAGCGGTAGGGGATGGTCATGGAGCGGGATCGGTCAAGACACCTATGCCTTGTAAGATCTCACAAGTGCTTGTCCAGCCTGGTCAAATCATTGAGAAGGGAACAGCCTTGATTATTTTGGAGGCAATGAAGATGGAGCATGTAATTAAAGCACCTGCTGCTGGAACCATTGATCAAGTTCTTTATGCTGTGGGTGATTTGGTTGCTGAGAATAAAAGCTTAGTGACATTTGCAGCGGCAGTAGTAAAAGAATAATAAATTAGAGTTTTTTTACCAAGTGTTACTTGTTAAAGTTTTAAGGAGTAAAAAAAAAAAAGCCTGTTTATGCAACTTTTCGAGTGTCTATAAATACTGATCGTGTCAGCTATACTCTTTTACCTCCCAATTAATCATTAAAAAAAATGTTATCCTCTAGTATTCAAGAAAGCAATTTCAATTCTACCACTTCTAAACATATTGAAACTGTTTTACCTTATGGCAAACATAACAAGGGTTTAGATATTACCAAGACAAAAGAAGATGTAAGTTGATCTCTCTCCCCCTTTTCCCATATCCTCCTATTTCTTTTTTTATTAATTAATAGCACCTCACTATAATTTAGATCTTATTAGAGCCCTTTCATTACCTTTGCTCCAACCCTGGTAAAGATGTACGGGCTAAAATGATTGAAGCGTTTGATGCCTGGTTGCAAGTGCCCAAGGAGGATTTAATTGTGATTACACGTGTGATTGAGATGCTTCACAGTGCCAGTTTATTGTAAGTAGACGCATAAAGTAAATGACTTTTCTTACTCACATGTACACTAGGATTGATGATGTGGAGGATGATTCTGTGCTTCGTCGTGGGTCGCCCGCTGCGCATCATATCTATGGCACACCACAAACAATTAACTGTGCTAATTATGTGTATTTCTTAGCTCTAGCTGAGATCAGCAAATTAAACAAGCCTGCCATGATTACCATTTACACGGAAGAATTAATTAATCTCCACCGCGGACAAGGTAAAAAAAAAAAAAAAAAAAAGAACAATGAAATGAAAGAGGGAGGAACTGACTGTGTGTTACACACTAGGAATGGAACTTTATTGGCGTGACACACTGACTTGTCCTACGGAAGAAGACTTTCTTGAAATGGTCAATGATAGTAAAGTTTGGAATTGATCGACAGTGATGTATGTAATATTAAATGTTTCTTTTTTTTCTGATTGGTTTAGAAACTGGAGGTCTTTTAAGACTGGCTGTCAAGTTAATGCAAGAAGCGAGTCAATCTGAAATGTAAGTTCTGACCAGGAGAGTGTGAAAAGTGAGGCTAGAGTTAACAAGATTGTTTAGTGATTATACCGGCCTAGTCAGTAAGATCGGTATTCATTTCCAAGTGAGAGACGACTACATGAACCTTCAATCCAAGCAGGTAAGACAAACACGAAACAGATGAGAATTTACGTGTATGTAACTTATGTATAATTAGTACGCGGATAACAAGGGCTTCTGTGAGGACTTGACAGAAGGAAAGTTCAGTTTTCCCATTATCCATTCTATCCGAATGGATCCTAGCAACCGACAATTATTAAATATCTTGAAGCAGCGCAGTCAAAGTGTAGAGCTAAAGCAATTCGCGCTGCAATTATTGGCCAAAACGGATACGTTTAATTATTGCCGCCAATTTCTGGAGGTGCTTGAGACAGAGGCAAGACAAGAGATCAGTGCTTTAGGTGGAAATCGTATGTTGGAGAAGATTATGGATGTATTGTCTATTAAAACCGAACAATAAATAAAATTTGCTCTCCCTCCCTCTTTCTTTGCTTAGCATAACATATAAACTCCCTTGAATATTTGGAGACCAAGTAAAAGGGATCTATACATGGTCCAATCGGAAAAAGCATATTATATGACGTTGAAGCGCACTTACAAATAATCAATGATGGTTTTATAGAATGGTCTATAAACGTTTAATAAGCTAGTAACTCTATTTTTATCCTTATTTTTTTTGTACTACGTCGCTGCCAGAAAAAAAAAAATAGCTCTTGTTGTGCAAACCTATTTTGCATGGACGGTTGTTCAGGTTTTAAAAAGAAACCTGACTCTAAATTTCATAAAACCATACAGTAGCTTCGGTAGAGCCCACACGGTAGCCACAGGAGGATAAAAAAGGCGTAGTTGTAGACGCTGTATGGGCACGCACTTTTTCAGAAGAATGATTCAGCAGAAAGGCCATCAATGTCCAAATAAAAAGCGTCAAGATACCCATCTGATCAGCTGGTCTTTTATGGCCCAGTCTCCTAAACTCCAGTTATGATGGCTGTAGTAAAAGTAGGCTTAAGATAGGATAGTTTTGCACAAAAAAAGGTTACAAAAGAAAACAATAGGATCAATCAGAATTCGTGTCAGATTTATTGATGTTAAAAGTTAACTGAAGATTTAAGAAGAGGAAAAATAAACAGTATTTATAATAAATGGAAGGGACGAGGCCGAGGATACTACTCTTAAAAACTTGAGTATGCCATCAATAACAATATCAATATTGGACAATCAGTGCTATGCATAGTCAATAGAGAAATAGTAACGATAACATGTCTTTAAGTTTGGAAGACATATGAAAAAAAGATCGGTGGTATAGTTAGCCACCCATTAAACTATAAGAATCCTACTGAATAAGCGTTAGTTATTGATCAACATCCGAAATTAAAAACGCAATATGCAAAATTAAAAACGCAATGGAATGGGCTATGCCGAAACTGCTCCAAGCCCAGGATTAAATCCGCAAGGAAGGACCCAGTACACCCTTGTAGAAAGCAATGAGATCTAAAGGGCCTCGACATAAGCAAACTATAATTTAGCACCGAAACTGCTCCAAGCCCAGGATTAAATCCGCAAGGAAGGACCCAGTACACCCTTATAGAAAGCAATGAGATCTAAAGGGCCTCGACACAAACAAACTACAATTTAGCACCCATGTGGTCAAAGTGCCGAAACTGCTCCAAGCCCAGGATTAAATCCGCAAGGAAGGACCCAGTACACCCTTAAAGAAAGCAATGAGATCTCAAGGGCCTCGACACAAACAAACTATAATTTAGCACCGAAACTGATCCAAGTCCAGGACATTACATCCGCAAGAAAGGACTCAGTACACCCTTATAGAAAGCAATGAGATCTAAAGGGCCTCGACACAAACTATAGTTCATTACCAACTATCCATCACTTGGGGATCAAGTGCTGAAACTGATCCAAGTCCAGGACATTACATCCGCAAGAAAGGACTCAGTACACCCTTAAAGAAAGCAATGAGATCTAAAGGGCCTCAGACTTGCGTGTTTTGTCGTTTGATATCAAAAACTATCAACACCAAGCAACATACACACCCCTAAGATAAGGCTAAGGTGTAGAATTATACTTATCTTGCAAAGATTTTGAGAATTGTTAAAGGGAAAAAACAATTCACAAAAAAAAAAAAGCAATAAAAAAAAATTATAAAAAAAAGATGACGCAGGAATTTTTCTGTTTAAAAGTCAGATCTTAGGGACAGCCAGTCTTAATGTTGGGATTATGCTACTTTAATAGATACCAAGAGGCCAATATAACTTAATAACTTGAACTAGATACAAATTTATCACAACCAACATAGTTTAAACTAATATACGTGTGTTATTGCTTACTTTCAGCTTCTCGTTTGGACTTTACCTTAATATATCTGCGTAAGATGAGCTCAAAGGCGATAGAACTGTCAAAATAAGTATAAATCGTTTAATATACATTTATTTGTAATTGTTACACTGTTTCTGATTGTATATCCTGGCTGTCCCTAAGAAAAGCGTTTTTTGTTATATAAAATATGACTTACAGCTATCCCGACCAAAATCTGAGAGCGCAAGCTGGAGGTCGCTACATAGAAAATAGCAAAGACTTGCTGTAGCTGCAATACCACAGAAAAGACAATATATCTTTTTCAAACAATGATGCTAATTTTTAGAGTTTTCTTTTTTTTTTTTAAAAAAATAAATAAAAAGCACGACTAACTAATCTTTTTGTAATGTCGTTTACTTTCATACAAAAATGTGGACTATATTTATTTAAAGAGCTGATAAACTGGTTTATGTCAGGATGATATAATTGTCGATTAAATGATTCATTATGTTCTAGTATTTACTTTCAGTAGAAGTATCTGTAAATACAAGTAAAATATATAAATAGTGTTTTTTTGTATTTAAATAAACAGATGAAAATGCGAACAGCCCTATACGGTAATGAAACAACTCATGTTAAGGCAGCTTTACAGCAGCTCAACGTAAATCACGTATATTCAAAGATTTAAGTAAAAAAAACTTGAATTTAAGCATTAGTTTTACACTTCTTGTCACAGCCATATATCTAGCAGGAAGATAGCATTGATTTATCCATTCTTGATGCAGCTATTGAAAGCAGAGTGTGTGCGTTTAGGCCTATAATAAATGTAACTTTGAATCTCAGCAGACAACGAAAAAAAAAAAGAAAGTCGACTAGGCGGGTAAAGATGAGGATGAGGGTCTCCCCTGCTGAGAGAGTTCCAGTCCTGATGATAATTTTTTTAATGTATTTCAAGCAAAATGGGGGGTGAGGTTTCACTATTTCTGTGCAACGTCGGATTTCAAAGGGTTGAAAGTCTATAAACTTTTTAGCACAGTCCATACTATGGGCCCTATGAAATGTAGATCCCCTCCATCCATTTTTGGAAACTTTTTTTTTTATTATTAGCGTTGGGCTCCCGATAGCCTGATATTTTTTTTTTTTTTTATAGTCTGTATATATATTTTTTTTAAACTGCTACATGAGGTGCAAGAAGAAAAAAAAAAGTAATCCGACTTATTTGGAATCACACTCATTTGTTTTTTTTTGTTAGTAGCGGGAAAAAAGACGGTGAGAGTGTGTGTGAGTATCTCCATTGAACAATTATTAATTTGTCTGACTTTGAAATACATATAAAAATAGCAGGGCAAGCTTTTTTTTTTTTCTTTTTTTCCTTTTTCTCTCTCTTCTGTACCTTTTTTTTATTTTTTATTTTATTATTTATTAAAAATGCCTTCCTCGTTTTCAAATATAATTTCAAGGTCAAAGTCAGTGTTCAGTAAATTTGGAGGAAAGAAAGCAACTGAAGACATGGGAGGATTGGGAGCGAGTTGTTTTAAACGAGGCAATCAGTATTTATTTGGCAGACAAGGACACCCCATTGCAGAGAAATTAGCCATTGTCCAGTTTCAGAAATCCGCTAGTTTAGGCTACCACGCGGCTGAAGCTGTGTTGGGTTTCTGTTATGAATTTGGGATGGGTGTCGAAACAGACTTCGTGCGTTCTGAAGAATATTATTTACAGGCAGCCAAGCATGGCGAAGGGTTAGCCATGGCCCGTCTTGCCTTTCTTCGTAAATACGGTCGACCCAACGTCAAAATTGATCGAGCAGAAGCAGAAGAGTGGACAGAGCGAATCAAACACCAACCTGCTGCTATTCAATGGATTATGGATGCTGCCTCTCTCGATCATCATGCAGCTGCACAATATGCTTTAGGTGTATGTTATCATGATGGCATCTCTGTCGAGAAGGACGAGATGGCTGCCTTTCGTTGGTATAAAGCAAGTGCAGATCAAGGCAATCCACGAGGTCAAGGCATTCTTGGTTATTGTTATGGTGAAGGCTTTGGTGTCACCAAGGATGAGATTGAAGCCATGCGCTGGTATCGATTGGCTGCTAAACAGGGTGAGACTGTAGCTATTTACAATATTGGTTATTGTTATGAAGATGGCATTGGTGTCGAAAAGAATCCAACAGAGGCAGTGAAATGGTATGCTTTATCTGCAGAACAAGGTAATGCATTTGCCCAAAATAGTCTTGGCTATTGTTACGAAGATGGTATTGGTATCACCCAAGATTTCATGAAGGCTACTTACTGGTACAAGCTATCCGCCGAGCAAGGTTACCCTTGGGCAGAATGTAATTTGGGTTACTGTTATCAAAATGGCATCGGTATGCCCAAGGACGATACGTTGGGTGCCTTTTATTATCGTAAAGCTGCTTTACAAGGTCATGCGCGAGCCCAGCATAATTTGGGTTTCTGTTGTCAAAACGGGATCGGTGTGACCAAGGATGAAAAGGAAGCCGTCAAATGGTACAAGCGGTCTGCCGAAAGAGGGAATATTTTCGCCTATCACAGCCTGGGATACTGTTATCAAAACGGGATTGGTGTAGAAGTGAATGAACAGGAAGCCGTCTTTTGGTATTTCTTGAGTGCAGAGGAAAATCATGCACCTGGTCAATTATCGCTGGGTTATTGTTATCGTAACGGCATCGGTGTACCCAAGAATGAAAAGGAGGCCGTCAAATGGTTCAAACGTAGTGCTGAACATGGTAATGCACTTGCTCAAAATAGTCTCGGTTTCTGCTTTGAAGAAGGTATCGGTCTCGACAAGGATACAACACGTGCTGTTTATTGGTACCACAAGTCTGCAAAGCAAAACAACCCTTGGGCACAGGTAATACACCCCTCTCTCTTTTTTTAAATATATATATCTTGTATTCCGTACTAACTCTTTTGCATAAATAAAAAGTGCAACCTGGGCTTTTGCTATGCCAACGGGATCGGCGTAGAAAAGGATAATGTAAAGGCCGTTTTATGGTATCGACGAGCTGCAGCACAGAACCATGCACGTGCATTAGATAAATTGGCGTTACATACACAGGAAGGATTGGGAGTGGAAAAGGATCCCGTGGCTGCTTTCGAGCTATTCAAACAAGCGGCCGAAAGCGATCATTTGTCTGCTCAATTTCACTTGGCTAATTGCTTTGAAAAGGGTCTGGGTTGTCCATTGGATCTCACCTTAGCCACACGCTGGTTTGAACGGGCTGCCTTAGGTAAAATACAATACACACACTTTTTTATTAAAGTCTGTATACTAACCCCTATATTTCATTAGCTGGGTGTCGTAACTCACATGAAAGACTTCGTTTGCTAATTGTGCGTGAGTGTTTACTTTCTCCTGGCATCTCCACTGAAGAAGATTTAATCTACGGTGGATTAATTATTGGTCACAGTGCGCCGGCTGCATAATTTACATACATTTTCATTTCTCTCTTTCTCTTCCTTTTAATGATACCACATGCTCTCCCTTTTCTTTTTTAATATTACATAGTTCGTCTCTCTCTCTCTCCTCTGTCACACACACACACACACACACACACACACACACATACAGCATCTTTTTTCTCTCTCTTCATAATAAATAATTCGAAAGTTCAGACGAAACCACTTTTGTTGTTTGAATGAAGCCATGCTGCCAAGAGATAATATTTCGTACTCCGTCTTATATAAAATAGAAAAAACCCTTTTTTGTTTTTCCCCTGCACCCCTCCTTCTTTTTTTTTCTTTCTTTCCATGAGTTACAAACCTGCGCTTCCGGCTTCTCAGTTATACAAAAAGCTCAAGAAAGTAGGCAAAGGAGCTTATGGTTCTGTTTATAAAGGGTAAAGTTTTTTAAAAATTGTGTAGAAGAGGTGGGGGCGGGACATAACCTTTTATATATATAAAATAATAGACTGGATACTCGAACGAATAAAGTGATTGCCATCAAGGTATTGAATCTGGACACGGAAGAAGATGATGTGGATGACATTCAAAAAGAGATTTCACTGTTGTCGCAATTAACGCATGCCAAGTCACAAAATATCACACCGTACTATGGTAGTTTTTTAAACGATGCAAAGCTTTGGATTATTATGGAATATGCCGCTGGTGGCAGTGTGCGAACTATTGTAAGTTTCATCATGTTATTAAAATCATGGATTGTACACTTATAGTGGATATTAGATGAAGGCGGGGAATCTAGAGGAGAGATATATCGCTGTGATTACACGGGAAGTATTATTAGCACTTTCTTATTTGCATAAAAATCAAATCATACACCGAGATATCAAAGGTAAAACACAACACATGGTCACTACTCCCCCCATACTCTCCTATTTTTATATATATATATATATATCTAAAGTTTAAAGTTGATTAGCGGCGAATATATTGTTAACGGGAGAAGGTCATGTGCAATTATGTGATTTCGGTGTAGCTGCAGCCAATTCATTCCGTCGAAGCACCTTTGTCGGCACCCCGTAAGTTCTGCAGAAAAAAAAAAAAAAAAAAAAAAACTAAGATGCAGAGAGGAAATAGGTATTGGATGGCACCCGAGGTCATTCGAGAGGGAGCTTCCTATGATTACAAGGCGGATATATGGTCTTTGGGTATCACTGTTTATGAGATGGCGACGGGAAATCCACCTTTAGCTAATATTGATCCGATGCGTGCTATTTCCGTCATTCCTAAATCCGCACCACCCAAGCTTCCTGACACCTTTTCTCCCGCTATTCGAGAGTTTGTTGAATCCTGTCTTTCTGAGCACGCCATCGAGGTAAAAAAAAAAAAAAAAAAAAAAAAAAAGAGGGATACATAATTAAAAAATGGGGTTGGTAAACTTTGACACATTTTCTTTTTTTTTTTAAAAAAAATGATAGAGGTTGAACGCGGATGAGTTGTTGAAGAGCAAGTTTATAAAGAGTGTGATGAAGGTTCCACGATCTGCTTTACGTGATTTAATTGCACGTTATGAGAAATGGAAAAAGACGCAGGATGCAGCAAAGCGATGTAGTATTATTTCCAACGAGCTCAGTGAAAGGTATGTGTACATACTATGGGAAGGATAATAATTAATATATATAAAAAAAAAAAGTGCTTAATATAAAAACAATTAGTGATGCAGAGTCGTTGGATGAGTTTGATGAGATGGATAATGAAGGTTGGGAATTCGATACGATTAAGGGAAAGACAAGCACAGTGAAGGCAAGTACGGGGTTACATACACCGTTGAACGAGGAAGAGATAAAAGGGTATACACGACCACCTGAATCCCTACCTCTTGTACGTATGTTTATGACGGCAGAACAAAAAGCAGCAGAACAAGTGAGTATGGCGTCCCCGCCTACACCTCTTTCCACACCACCCAATGCCGTTAGCACAGCCACAGCCACAGTGAAAGCAGCACCGCCGGCCACTGCGAGTACGACGATACCGGATATACCACAACGGTCTGATTTTTCGATGGGGGGTGGAGATATACACACAACGGATTTTTTATCGTCGCATTCGAAACGATTGGTGCCGCGTAATTTAACAACGCCGGTATCGAAACTGACACCGATGACCCGTACAGCGTCAGCGGAAAGTGCGGTGAGCAAGACACGAGCGAGATCACATTCTGAGCAACGGGCAGAACCGATGGTGTCATTGACAGTACCAAAACTTGCGTCGTCGTCGCCGTTAGCACGACGTGTACGATCGGCCACGACATTAAGGCCAACGGTAGAAGAAGATGCAGTAGGGAGGGTTGTCAGGGCGACGGAAAAGGAAGGAAAAGATTTGCATCGACGTAGTATTAGTGCGGATAATGGAAAGATGGTGCATAAAGCGGAATGTGAAGGAGAGGAAGGACGATGCAAAGAGAGTGTGGCACCGTTGGATCTGGATAGGTTAAGATCTCCACAACAATTTTATGATGCGATTTGGGCTACATTGGGAGATTTAAATGGGTGGCTTGATACCTTGGATACCTCCCTTCATCATCTTAATCTTTCTCAACAAGGATAATTGGAGGGGAAATGATTCTACTACTATTATTTATTATTAATTAAAAAAAAAAAAAAGAGAAGTTATAGTTTGGGTTCATGGCTACATTGTTGTTGTTGTTGTTGCTGTTGTTGAAATGAAGTGGATAGACTACCATGATCTACAATGGCTCCGTAACCCTTCATACGAATTTTGATGCCAGTTTCTTCAGAAAGTGTATTCTCTGAGGACCGTGTTGTTAGTAACGGGGAATGGATCACCACGTTACGAGATGGGTCACTACGACCCTTTGTACCGACTCTGATCCTCTTGTGTACTAAAAAAAAGAAAATTATGGGTCAAATTAAGAAAGGTTTTTTTTCTTTTTCTTTTTAAATCTTACCGTTGACAAAGACGTCGGTTTCATCGACAATTTCCTCCCCTATTAAACCTTCAATGACATCTTCTAAGGTAATCACACCTAATGGGATTCCCAACGTGTTGGATACGATAGCCATATGACCTACACTGTTTTTTTTAGCCTTTTTCCTTCTTATTTTTTCTTAAAAAAAAAAAAAAAAAAAAAAACGCAAATAGTTTACTTTTGCCTTCTTGAAAAAACTTTAGGATATCGAGACAACTGGTGTCGGGAAAAGTTTGAGGTAAAGGAGCCATGGGAAATTTGTGAACGGGCCATTGGTCATGAGGGTCATAAGCAATGAGGTGTTTGACCAGTAACATGCCGATATAACCCTGTGTGCTGTGTGTGATAGGGATACGCGAGTAGCCGTTGCGTAAAATGGTGTGCACGAGAGATGGATCGAGAATGGTGTGTAAGGTCAGTGTAAAGACATGTGCTATGGGCGTCATGACATCAGTGACGGATGTCTCGCGTAAATCCAACACAGATGCTATAATGTGAACTTCATCCTCTGTGAGTCCTTCTGTGTCATCGTCAGATCGATGAAGCGAGACTAAAGATTTCAAGCCTATTTGGGTGGGGGGTGTTAAAAAAGAGAGAGAAGGGGCGGAAGTTGAAAAAGGGTCAAATACCTGCTTTTTTGTAAATGGTGCCGTGCGTTTCACCTAGAAAGAAATCCAGTGCACATGCTGTTGGGTATGTAATTGGATAAAGCATGTACATGATAACTAACACAATGCTGAAAGGATGGGTGGAAGGTGAGATGACGGGGAGTAAAAAAAAAAAAAAAAAACTTACGCTGAACATTTTGCACCAATCGCCAGTCCATAACGAACACAGATGGCTGCATAAATTTTAACACATTACACAAGAAAAAAAAAAGGGGGGGGGAGTGGTAAGTGCTTACATTGTGGTATAACTCTAATTAAGGGAAACGCTATTGTTAAAGAGAGAGATAAACAAGAACATACAAAGATAAAACTTACTCTCCAAAGATGACGATTAATGCAGTGGATAACAAGACGGCGACATAGCCACCGCCAATCAACGAGTCGAGGACAATGGGTAAGGTTTCATTGACAATGACGTTGGACAAGAGTAAAGTGACAAGTACCCAATATTTTCCTTTGTTTAATAAATCCAATACTCGTTGAGCATTCTTCTTTTCACTTTCGGATCCAGATTCCAACATGACTTGTAAATTGGTTTCATCGAGTCCCATGAGACCTAATGTCAAACCTACGTATATATTTCGTGTTTTAGTTTCATGATTCGTGTATGTGTGTATGTTTATACTTTTTTTTTTTACCGGCAAAGAAACCGCCAGCGAGTACGAGGATAGCTACTATGAGTACTCGACAACAATACATTTCGGTGGTATAAAAAGTCGTCATGGGAGGACTCTGACGTGTTGTTCGTTTGACAAGACTAGCAGCTAATGCACATTGTCTTATTGCATGCAAAGAACGCATCTAAAATATATATATGTATATATATATAAAGAAAGAAAAGAAATGAAACAACAATAACAAAAAAGAATTGGCCGGCTATAAAGTTATTTATTATTAAAGTGTATGAGGATTTTTTTTTTAAGCAGCGTGATTTAGTCGCTTTACTTCATCGGGTGTAAATTTCAACATCATGGTCAAGACCGGTATTAATTGAGCGCGAGTGGATTTGGATTCTAAAAATTTGACAATGACATTACGTAGATATTCTAAATTGATTTCTTCCTCTTCACGCATACTACGGATGGAAGTGACAGATCCAGAGCGTAAGAGTGGAGATTGTTGTTGTTGTTGTTGTTGTTGTTGTTGGGTGGCAAAATTGGATTTAGGCTCAGGAGTAGGGGATTTGGCACGTTCAGATACCATCACGGGCTGCGATGGGACTCTGGAAAGCTTACGGATTTCTTCCTTGAGTGTCTAGCATAAAAAAAAAAAATAAGTTTAATATACAATCATAGTACAATAGTTTCTTTATTACCTTGTTCAAGGTTTTAAGATAGCCTTCCTTCGCTCGAAGGTCTTCTATTTCTTTACTTTGACCTTGTTCTAGTGCTTGTATTTTTTCGTTGCATGATTTTAATTGATCCTGATAAATGAATAAATAAACATGTAAAATCATGGATTATATATGACAAACCTCAAGATCTTTCTTTTCGGTCAACGTTTGTTGGTTTTGAGATAAATCAACTTGCATGGATTTTAATTTCTGTGACAAATCGAGTTTTTCATTTTCTAGAGATTTCAATTGTTTACTTGTTTGATCTTTATCGGATTCTAGGGTTTGAATTTTTTGAGTCAATGATTTTGTTTGAGAAGTGAGGTTTTCAAAGGAGTCGTGAGACTGTTTGAGTTGTTGTTGTAATTGAAGCAATTGATCTGATCTCTCTTTCAAGTCTTGCTCCAGTCTCTTTTTCTGTTCGTGCCATTGTTTTTGTCTTTCATCCGCCGAGTGTTTAGCCTCTTCCACCGCAACGTGAGACTCTTCGAGAGCCGCGATCTTTTCATTGGCCTCTTCGACCAAGCGAAGCGACTCGTTGAGACGGTGTTGTAAATTTTCAGCGTTACTTTGAGAGCTTTCGAATTCGGCTTGTTTGATTTGGAGCTCATCGAACATGCGATTTTTTTCGTCCACGGCTTCTTTGCGTTCGCGTTGGAGGATGTTGATTTCGGACTGAGTGGATTGTAATTTTGCTTGGGAACGTGTAAGTTCTGATTTGGCTTGATCGAGCTCTTGTGAGCGCAAGCTTAATTGATGTTTGAGGTCATCGGTGGTATCTGATTTCTCCTTTTCGAGTTTGAGGATTTGTTTTTTGGTCTTTGTGAGCATGAGAGCGTATTTTTTGGATTTCTCTTCGGATTCTTCAAGCGAGGCATGAGAGGCAGCGAGTTCAACATCGCGTTGATTTAACATGTCCTTGGCCACCTTGAGAGATTCTTCCGCGTCGTTCTTTTTTTGTGTGGCCGTTTTGAGTTTGGCATCGGCTTCGCTTAGTCTTTTCTGAGTGTCTTTTAACTCCTTTTCAGCGTCGGTGAACTTTTTCTCTGCCTCAGTGATCTTCTTTTCCGCTTCAGCGGCCTTTTTCTCAGCCTCAACAACCTTCTTCTCCCCTTCAGCGGCCTTTTTCTCAGCCTCAACAACCTTCTTCTCCCCTTCAGCGGCCTCTTTCTCAGCCTCAACAACCTTCTTCTCCCCTTCAGCGACCTTTTTCTCTGTCTCTTGCAAGGTTTTCTCGGTCGCTTGTAATTTTTTCTCAGCAGCCTGTAACTTATTCTCGATCTCCAATGTGTTTTTCTCGCCTTCTTTTAGTTTTGCTTGGACGTCAGAAAGTTGGGTTGTTAGGTCTTCTTTAGAGGTCGTTGTTTGCTCTAATTGAGATTGTAAATCATCGGCCTGTTTTTTGATTTCAGTGAGTTGAGCTTGTACTTTAGACAGATCCTTTTGTGCGATGTCTCTTTCAAATTCTAACTTTGTGATGAGCTGCTTTAACTCCTCGACTTGCTCCTTTGACTGTGTGGATGAAGCAAGTTGAGCTTGCACTTCAGATAGCTCCTTTTGTGCGATGTCTCTCTCGGATTCCAACTTTGTGATGAGCTGCTTCAACTCCTCTACCTGTTCATTTGACTTTGTGGATGAAGTAAGTTGAGCTTGCACTTCAGATAACTCCTTTTGTGCGGCGTCTTTCTCTGATTCCAACTTTGTGATGAACTTTTTTAATTCCTCTACCTGTTCCTTTGACTCCTTTTGTGCTGTGTCTCTCTCGGATTCCAATTTTGTGGTGAGCTGCTTTAGTTCCTCTACCTGTTCATTCAATTGTGCCGATGAAGCGAGCTTAGCTTGCACTTCAGATAGCTCCTTTTGTGCGTTGTCTCTCTCGGATTCTAACTTTGTGGTGAGCTGCTTTAGTTCTTCTTCCTGTTCTTTCGACTGTGTGGATGAGGCGAGCTGAGATTGTAATTCAGATAACTCCTTTTGTGCACTATCTCTCTCAGACTCCAACTTTTTGGTAAGTTGCTCTAGTTTCTTGATTTTCCCATTAGAATTTTTGGGTGAAACGAGCTTAGCTTGCACTTCAGATAGCTCCTTTTGAGCAGTATCTCTCTCGGATTCCAACTTTTTGGTGAGCTGATTGAGTTTTTCCACCTGTTCGGTTGAATCTTTGGATGAAACAAGTTGGGCTTGTACTGTAGATAACTCATTTTGTGCTGCATCTCTTTCAGACTCCAATTTTTTGGTGAGTTGTTCTAGTTTCTTGATTTTTCCATTTGAGCCTTTAGATGAAGCGAGCTGAGCTTGTACCTCAGACAACTCCTTTTGTGCGGTATCTCTTTCGGATTCTAACTTTTTGGTAAGCTCATTTAGTTTCTCTACCTGTTCATTTGAATCTTTAGATGACGCGAGCTGAGTCTGTACTTCGGACAACTCCTTTTGTGCTGTATCTCGCTCAGTCTCCAGTTTTGTAGCGAGTTGCTTTAGTTCGTCTACCTGTTCATTTTTATCTTTGGATGAAGCTAGTTGAACTTGTATGTCGGATAACTCCTTTTGTGCAGTATCTCGTTCAGTCTCTAACTTTTCAGTAAGTTGCTTTAAAGAGGCGAGTTCATCGGATGCCTGTTGTGTCTGTTTTAATTGAGAGAGCAGGTCGGATTTTTCATGCAACAGGGCCGAGTTTTCATTCGAGAGGTTGTTTAATTGAGCGGATAAATTCTCTGATTGTTCCAGCTGAGCCTTGTACTTGTTTTCGAGCTCCTTGTCTTGCTTGGCTGTGTCAAGCTGTTGTTGTAGTTGATTGATGGTGGAGAGTTGGGAGGCGTTTTCCTCGTTCAGGTGGGAGTGTGACACGAGCCTAGACTCCAAGTCCCGGTTTAGGTCCAAGGTTTGTTGGAGGAGGATCTCGTTTTGTTTGGCGTTTTCTTGAAAGGAGTCGTTTTGGAGCAAGTGTTGTTTAAGTAATTGTTCCGCTTCATGGGCAGCATTCATAAAGTGAATGAGAGACTTTTTGGATTCCTCCTTTTCGAGCAAGAGTTCTTCCACTTGGTTTTTTAAGGTGGCGTTTGATTTGGTGGTTAATTGTTTCTGAAGTGCATCTCGTTCTTTTTCGAGGGTCTTTATTTTCTTGACCAGACCTCGCATGATGTCCTTTTCCTTGTCCATCGTGAAGAAACTGCCAAGCCAGAAATAGAATAAGAGGAAAAGAAGAAGTGGGCTCACTGTAAAAATAATTTTATTTTATTTTAGATGTCAGTCGACACAAAACTGTGGGAGGGGAGGGAGAAAAAATATAATAAAATAAAAAAACGAGGTTTTTTTTTTTAATTCAATCATGGCTGAGACTCAAAACAAGGTCATTTGGTCCTCTCGGTTTACATCAAAATATGAGGAAAATAAATCACGTCTCTGCAGCATACTTGAACCCCTTTCCCTGTGAGAATGACCAGGCGCCTTTTTATTTTTATTGTCAAAAGGGTACAACCTAAAGGAGGTCATATCCACCCCCCACAACAGATCTACGTATCTAGTATCCCAAAGCATTCAAAACGGGTGACATTTTCATGCATTAAAAATATTGAATGTTTATATTAAAAAAAAAAAGTGGTAATAAGAAAGAAGGATAAGGTGATATGGAGGTGAAGCATTTAGCAACGCGATACAGCATATTAATTCAATGTTCTTCTTCAGGATTTTTTCTTTTGCTTGTATTGGTGTGGCAAGGTAAGTCATCGTTTTCATCCAAAATGACAGATGCTGAGGCCCTTTTTATAGTTTCCAATGTATTATTCACAATTTATTTATAGTGTTCAGTGTATCCTTTACAATTTGTGAGGCGTTATAAACTAATTTTAAAGCAGGAGGCAGAAAACGGGGAATTTTAGCCACATTTTAAGGTTACGCGATTTTTTTTTTAGATCTAGTGATCAAGGACGTAAAACCTTTGAAAGTCATCAATAAGGCAGTTAAATCGAACCCTAGAACATAAATCAATAAACCAATAGGTTATACACTTTTTTATTTACTAATCCTTCTTACCACTGATAACGAAGCCAACAATTCTGATTATTTCGTTCATTTTGATCCCATACTGTTGTAAAATCTGAATAGCGAAATTCTTCATTATAATTGGCGATTTGATACCTTGGTTCCTCGGTCCACCATCCGCAGGTCCAATCTCCAAACAGGCAGGCTTTGTGCTACCACAACAGTAAAGGCAAAGATCGACGGTTTTTCTTTCTTCTTGGTATTTACCACCAACAGTTCGAGAGCTATTTCTTTGCATTAACGAATTTTGACTTTCGTTACCACTATATATAAACAGAAAATATTAGAATCGTTGGTTTATTAAAATTAAACCTTATGAATGCATCTGATCATACTGTTTACAAGTTGTTGAGCTTAATCTTTTTGATTTCTTGGTCTATAACGTCCACAATCAGAGAAAACAGAATCGCTTTTCACGAAACGATTTGATCAACTATATTTTAACAAATCTTGTTCTGTACCGGTTAGATTCAAAGCTCTGTTATGTTGATCCATAAAAAGCAAGGTATAGTCAATTACTGCTCGTTTCAACCAAAAAATCTCAGGATCTATAGTAGGATGGGCTGCATTTAAATAAAACTCATCAAAATTATCATTTGTAGAGCAATATAGCAAGTAACAAAAGTGAGAACAACATATTTAAGAATTTATATTATTCTCTATTATGAACTAACCTTTTGATTGCCACTGAGTATCATCGTTGTATTTGCATTACGATTTATGCTTTTTTTTTTGCACTGGCAAGATAAAGTATTGAATACAGATAATATCGTGATAACTGTGAGAAGAAAGACGAGGAGCTTCATCTTACAACTCAACAATCACAATGTATCATATACAGGATCTTTTTGGCACGCATTTTTATTTTTATTTTTGGTATGATTTGAGACAGGTTACAGTGCATCGTTGAAACGGACATTTTCATAAGTTAAAAGTCTGATTTTTACAATGGTGATTTTCATTTTTTTTTTTTTGACAGAGGAATCTAATTTATCGCGGGAAAACCTCCCAGACATCTTTAGGTCTCCCTCACTGTAAATAGCAAATTTTGTTTTGCCATCTGTTAAAAAATTTTGTGTGAAAAGAAAAAAATCGGACTCTATTAGTTTATGAAGCACTCTCTAATAAAGAACATAATAGAGCCGGATTTTTGATACATGTTAAATTCATCGAGGAGATAGCGTTTTTCTTTTCTTTTTCTTTTTTTTTGGAAATCGGAGCCAAAGTTGTTTATTATAAAATAGATGCACTGTACATACTTTTTATTATTATTGGGAATTAAAATAAAAAAATATATTCACAACCTCAACTCCCTCTTTCGGGCTGCATTTTGTCTTTTTATATGGTCTTTTAGTCCATCTACCATGATGCTCAAGGCCTTTTCCCTTCCACTGCTTAGACCGAAAATAGCACTTGAGTAATTAGGGGATCTTGTCTCCAACTTGCTAGCTATTTTGATTAACATTTTAAGATACACTTGACTTTTCTCTTGGTCTTTAATTATTGCCTTCATCTAATTAAAATTTTGTACATATGTTCCGTTCACTAATTGTTCGTATGTGTTAATACGAGTGAAGGAACCCCATAACTCTTCCATCATTGCTTTCGTAACAGCCCGTTTCGAACATAGAATATTAAGCAAAGCCGAGGCAAAATGATAAATGTTATAGGCCTTATGCTTTTGGGATACGTGGTTATGAAAATCAATAGGTATAATAGGTATAAATTTGTTCAGATAGGCGTGAAGGCTGTGGTAGCCCCAATGCTTGTATGAACAGTTCTTCAAAAGAACAAAATTTGCTGCACCAAACAGTCTTACCTGGTCACCATCAGCTCCATACACCGATTATTATCACCTCCAAGCAACCACTGCCACCAAGCGTTGAATCACCACCAAGAATTACCACCTCGAAGCATTGGATCACCATACTGATTTAACAGCCGCTCTGTGTTCATGTACGATTGTTGCGTTGTGGGTACAAGGATTTCGGTCTTATCATCAAACTCGAAACTTCCAAAGGAATGGTATTAAAGTATGAGATATACATTTACCCTCCGATTACTAATAATTCAATCATTCCAAAGTAGATTGATACTTCTTGGAATCCTTTATTTTTGTTCATTTTCTTTTTCAGTTTGCAGACTGGAGAGGTGTGAATTGGAAGTGGATTCTAGAATCTCTGCCTGGTTTTAGCTGCAACCACAATAGTACTAATAGTAGTAAAGCTATATTTTAGGAACGCTTTTCTTATGGGACAGCCAAAATGCACGCAGTCACAATGTAAGATCTGTGATTTGGCTGCCCTTTAGATCTGGAAACAGGAATGATTGATACTTATTTTGATAATTCTAACATCACTCTTTTCTGCCTTTAAGCTCGTTTAATCTTAATCTTACACAGAGGTGTTAAACAAGAAGTTGAAAGTAAGACATAATGCACACATACTAGTTTACCATATGTTGGTTGTATCTAGTTTGAGACGATGCGTTATATTTACCTCTGGATGCCTACTATTAAAAGTATCATAATCCGACAATGCGACTACGGACACCCTGACTGTGCTTAAGAACTCTTTAAATGCTGGAGAAATGCAATATGGAGCGTACAAGTGTGACTGTTCCGCTATGATTTCCCAGAAAAGCAAAAAAAAAAGAGTAAGCATGACGCGTTCCTCTTCTCTCTCTTATTTTTTTTTTTAAAACCGACAAAAAACGAAATGGAACACGGTGATTTAATTGCGTCATTTATACAAACAACCGGTGCACCCGAGTCTCAAGCTCAATTCTATCTCGAGTTGAGTCAATGGAATTTAGAGGTGAGTTTGTCATGGTATAAACATGTCAAAAAAAAAAAAAGAAAAAACTGACAAAGATTATAAGCTTGCGGTTTCCCAATATTTCGATAATGAAGCAGCAGCTGAGCCTATGAGTGAGGAAGTACCGAGAGAGCCTGCACCCACACCCACCACCGCGTCTTCTTCCTCTGCTAGCGCCAATGCTAGAACCCCCACTTTCAACAAAAAACCAGCAGCGTAAGTTCTTTTTTTTTTGTTTTGTTTGTTTGTTTACGTATAAAGAAAAGGGAATGTAAAACTCGCTAGTAGATCTAAAATCCGTACATTAAATGATATTGGTGCAGCCAATGATTCAGATGAAGAACACGAGAATTTGTATGCAGGAGGAGAAAAATCGTAGGTTTTTTTTGTTGTTGTTGTTGTTGTAGATGAAAAAAAAAAAAAAGGAACAAGAACTGATTATTTGTAGTGGTATGGTTGTTCAAGGACCCAACAAGAAGGGAGGAAATAATAATAGTTTAGTGGATGAAATCTTAAAGAAAGCTGCCGAGTAAGAGCCTACATTTTGATCTGCATTTTTAAAAAAAAAAAACTAATGCAAAAAATAATAATAATAGAGGAGGACCTGCTCCTGAGGAAGAACCCGCTGCGAGAGTCAAGAAACCCACGTATTATACTGGTTCTGGATACAGATTAGGCAGTGAAGATGAACCTTCTACTTTAGCTCAACCTTCTTCACCTGTTGCACCTGCTCTTGTCCAAGAAACCGAGCCTGTACGTATCCAATTATAACGAGAGAGAAAAAAAAAATTAAAATTAATTTTTTTTTTTTTTTTTTTGTTGCGTTAGGTGACTCGCCACTTGACATTCTGGCGAAACGGCTTCAGCGTGGATGATGGTCCCTTGTATTTATATACGGATCCTGCCAACCAAGAGATGTTGACGGCTATCAATAGCGGGTAAAGAATTTTTAAAAAAGAGAGAAAATAGATGAGGATGAAAAGAGACTAATGAGATAAAAAAAAAAAAATAGCCGTGCCCCTTTGTCCTTGTTGAATGTCCGTCACGGTCAACCTGTGGAGGTACGTGTTGTGAAACGCCAAGAGGAAGATTACACAGCACCCCCCAAGGCACCACCCAAGCCTTTTGAAGGAACTGGTAATCGTCTTGGCAGTCCTGCAACCTATGTGCCACCTACAACAACCGCAGCTGCGCCAGGTGCTTTCCCTTCTTCTTCCACCTCGGCTGTTCCTCCTACTGTGGATGAATCTCAACCTACCACCAATATTCAAATCCGTCTTGGCAACGGCACAAGGTAAAAAAAAAAAAAAAAAAAAAAAAAAAAAAAAAATGTGTGTGTAAACTAAATATGTGTGGATAGATTGACAGCCAAATTAAACCATACACATACGGTGGGAGATATTCGACACTTTATTGATTCGTAAGTGTGATTGATATATGAAAGAGATAAAATGCTAATGGGAATTGGTATATAGATCTCAAGGCAATGACAGACCTTATATTTTACAAACGACATTTCCCAACAAGGAACTCAAGGATAATGATCAAAGTGTCAAGGATGCAGGATTATTAAATAGTGTTATTGTTCAACGTTACCAATAAAAAAAAAAAGTCACTTTGTTTATGTTTGATGAAATAAAAAATAATTAAAGGCCATTTTTTTATTTGTATATTATGATGACATAAAAAAAAAAATGGGGAGAGTGGGGTGGGATGGGGGGGAATAAGTTAAATATTAATAGAAAAGGACGATAACGTCTCTTGTAGTGATATACAGTGTTATTCATATGTATGTATATAAAAAAGCAAAAGCAAAAAAAAGATGAGTGTGTTCTTTTTTTTCTTTTCTTTTTTTTTTTTTTTTCAAACCAACTGTTTTCTGTGTGTGTGTGTGTATATATGTGTGTGTTCAAGAAGAAAGAGAGAGAAACATAGAGAGAGATAAAATAGAAGTGGATGTTGTCATATGTATTAGTGAGAAGAATTAGTCTTCAAAGTCATGTTCATCATAATCATGCTTGGCGACCAAGTGACGGTTCAGAGCATCACCACGACTAAAGTGAGACTTGCAGTGACGACAAGCAAAGGAGCGTTCATGGCGATGAACGGTAGCCAAATGACGGTCTCTGTCATGACGGCGATCGAAACTCTTGGCACATTGGTTACAGCTGAAATCCTTAACTCGGTTCTTGTCATGCGTCTTGATATGGGTTGTTAAATTATATTTGCGTTTCGACACAAGACCACAAATCTCACACTGGAACTTCTTTTTATCTTTGTTCTGGCGCTTTTTCTTCTGGGGAGCCACTTCTTCTTCAGAAGAGGAAGAGCGCTTTCGCTTGCTGTTCTTGTTGTTGTTGCTGCTACTGCTGCTGGTTGTTGTTGTTTCTTGCTTGGATTCTTGCTTGGATTCTTCCTTTCGGGCTTCTTCATCTTCTTCATCCTCCATGGGTTGGCTGAGAGGAGAATCGGTATAACCAAGCAACTCATCCAAAGAACGATCATCTTCTTCCCGGGTATTCATTTCGTAACTTGAGTCAAAGAAAGACTCTTGGGAACTTGTTAAAGGAGGGAACAAGAAAGTATCCAAGTCTTCTTCTGTAATTGTATTTAATCGCATTGTAGGCGACACGAGTTTAGACTCCGATTTAACCGCAGTAGCAGTAGCAGCCACACCGCCGAAAACGGTCAATGGTGGGGCAGGAATGATGGTGGTGGCAACAGGAGCGGGGAGTTTGGATTTGTCAATGATCAAAAGTGTTTGATCCCCATTGAAGTTTTTGACAGCCATTTGTTCTTGCTTTTGTGATGGTTGCTGATAGAAATCAGGCTTGTCAAGGTAACCAGCAATGAAGATGTCATTGGTGGCTGGCTGTTGGTAATAACCACCTCGATGGAAGGCGGCGAGAGTGGATCTGGCGGCGGCGTTGGTGGTGGTGGTGGAGGAGGAGGTGATGGCGGAGGAGGTGGTGATAGCGGAGGAGGTGGTATAGGTGGAGAAGGTTGGACTCTCCGAGAAAGACGCAAACATCGCATAAGGTGATCTATCACCAATGGGATCCGCAAAAGGGGATGCTGCTTGAGAGGACTCCAAGAAGGGGGTACTCATCAATGGAGATCCCAGATCATTACTGTTATTGCTGTTGCTGAGGAACAGCTGCATATCCTCGTTGTAAGTAAAAGGTGATGCGTATAATCCGCTCATGTTTGATCTACTCTTTATAAAAAAAAAAGGGTAAAGAAAAAAAAAGGAAAAAAAAAAAAAAAAAAAAAGGGAAAAAAAAGTCGAGGTATTTATATCTTTTTTTTTCAGCATAGTTTGTACTCTGTGGGGGAAGATGTGGCAAAGGACTTTTGCTGTGACGCTCTTTTTCTGGTCACCATGGCAACGCTGTGTTTAAAAGAAGCTGGAGTTGGAAATTGATACGTGGCCCTTCCGTTCAGTTTTCGTAAAAGAAGGAGGGGAGTTGATTTCTCTGTATCCAATTACATGCTATAGAAACCTATCGAATGGTGATGATGATGATGTGAAAATAACGAGAAATTGATGATTACAGAGCATATGATTTGATCATGATTTGAAGATGGCTGTCATTAATAAGCACTGAGGGAAAGGGGGGGGGGGTGGGGCAGGAGCAATTTTTTTTTAATAAGAAAATGTCACTGTGTAACATGGCGAAGCCTAATTTCTCCCAATTTTATGAATCATAAGTTCAACTGCTAAAAAAAAATCTGTCATAATTTCCCCCCCCCCCCCTTCCCCCCCTTTTTTTTTCTCTCTCACTGTTGATTCAGGGGAGTTAGCCGGTTAGACGCGCGCGGCATAACGGTCCCGTTTTACCCGATATCCTGTCTACCCAAATACACGGATAAAACCACTTATTGGACTTATTTCAGATCTTCGGAGTTTTTGAACCCTTTTTTTTTTCAGAATAATTAATAATCCTTTTTGGATGACTGATTTCAAGCTTCCATATGAGTCAAAAGCGGAGGTTTGATTTTTTTATGCAGAATTCTAATAAAGAAAAAGAAAAAAAGAATTTATTTTTATTTTTTCCTTTATGGTTGGAGGTACCTGAACGAAAAAAAAAAAAAAAAAAAAAAGAGCTATAGGATTCAAGTTTAATATGTCAGTGTACAAAGGTTTAAACTAAAGGGGTTCAGTCTGACCAGTCAAATGGCACCAACAACCAAAAAAAAAAAAAAAAAAAGCATGCGTATGTCTTTTTTCCTAAAAAGAATCTGCAACGTAAGCTTAAAAGATAGGGGTTATAGAGACTGATCATGGTGACACACATACATTACTATTCGTTACGTATATTTGCCAAAAAAAAAAAAAAAAAAAACGTGGCACTAATAGGCTCACTGGAATTGTAATATCCCATACGCAAAAAAAAAAAAACTTTTTCATTGTTCCTATTGGAAAAGTATGATGGATGAATGAATGGGAAACTTGGGCCTCCCAAAAAAAAAAAAAAAAAAAAAAAAAGGAAGAATGAACAGAGAGAAAACAGTGTTTATTAATGGGGGGAGATGAGAGGATCATGATTTCTTGACAGTGCCGATGCGACTGACGGAGCGAGCGGATGTGGTATTGGAAGGAGGACGAATGGATGAAGGAGAAGAAGTAGCGGTGGGAGGACGTAAACCACTGGGACGATTGGCGGTAGGGCTCATGACTCTCTTTTGTTCTGTGGTGGGTTCATGGTGAAATAAACTATTTCTTGGACCTGGCGTCGGACTCCGCATGCCTATTCTTGAAGGTGTTGCAGAATTTCTCCCTGAATTTAAAGGAGAACCAGGACGATGTATTGACTCTCTGACGGTAGGTATGTGACTTGCCCTTTGTTGAGGGATTCGTTTTGATGTGGAATTGGTAGGTTTAGAGAGTGTGGGGATACGCATAGGTGTACCCGAAGACGAGGATGAGGAGGAAAGGGTTCTCTGTGGTGTGGGTGGAGATGTCGTATGGGATGTTGAAGCTGGTGCTGGGATATGCGATGCACGTTTGGTAATGCGTTTGGTAGATCGGGGAGGAGATTTGGTATTTCTGGTTGTGTAGGATCGACTGGGGGTTGGAATTCCACCTGTTGTGGTGGGAGTAGTAGAAGATGTCGCCGAGTAATTAGAGAGTCTACTCAGTGAACGCGAAGAGGAAGAAGACGATTCCGAAGGATGAATCATCATGGGTGTTAAACCATACTTTGCATATTGCGTGATGGTCGATTGAGAATTTAAGCTATTCTCACTACTAAAACTATCAGACCGTTTCTTGTCTTGTAGCAACGGTCGTCTTACTGTCGTTGCTACCGGTGCTGCTGCTGTATGAGCTACTGCTGCTGCTGTTGGTGGTATCATTGTCTCTGCTGGGTTCCAGTCCAGATCATAGTCAAGGTTGCCTCCACTCAGACTATCCATTTTCCAAAAGTCTTCAGCCGAATCATCTAAATCCAAAGCTGCTAGATCCGGTAAATCTGTCTCATCGTCCATGTCGCCTGTGAAATTCGCATTAATGAGTTCGTCCAAATTCACACTGTCTTCTGAAGCAATGGACCCGGGACGACCTTTCCTTCTGCCTGTTTCTATTGGTATACTGGTACAAGAGAGAGAGAGAGAAAAAAAACACGTAGACCGAATTAATATCTTGACACACAGATAAAGCTCTTTTTTTTTTATTGTTAATTTTTTTTTGATATTTACCTGTTGTTGTCTGCATCCACTATTATGGAGTTTTTGTCAGAAGGGTCTCTGTATGGGTGCAGATTCATTAACCAGCCTTGAACATTATCTGGTTGGTTGGTGACTGATTCCGTGTCTTGCAGTGTGGGTGTCAAAGGTGCTTTATCGCTATACCCGTAGTAACGTAAACTAGGTGATTGTGCCATAGCCGAAAGGGTATATATGTTATATGAAGAGGTTAATAAAAAAAAAGAAGAAAGAAGATAAAGTAACTAACTAGAAATAAATTATTTAGTGAAAAAAAAAAAAGAGGGGGAAACATAACAAAAAAAAAAAATTGGGTTTCGATCTACGTCATCAATTTTATTTTATTTTGGAGGTATATAAAAAAAAAAAAGAGCTGTGAGCAATTTGACATCATTTTATTCTTTAAAAGCGTAATAATGAACACATTAGCTTCATGCGTCCCCATACTTACTAAAAATAAAATAAAATAAAACATGGATTGGGGGAAGGGTCGCTTTATCAAACTTTAAACAGAGAAAAAAAAAAAAAAAAGAGGTCAATGCTCTTTCTCCTTTTGAGCTTTTTTCTCATTGGCCAAATTATTTGGAAATCGAGTTTTTAGTGCTAAAAAAAAAACAAATGGAGCTTCCCGGGAGCTGTTCCTATTCATCCATAAACTCTTTACATTTCATAGTGCCGCCTTAAAAAAAAAAATCTCTTGTTCAATTCGAGACCCCCTCCCATTCTAATAATTCCTATTCCCTATTCCGTTGGTGCCTCAATTCACCCCCTTTCTCTTATGTATAGATGCATAAGAAATAACAATACGAAAAAGATAAGAGAAAACCCCTCTTTTACATTGACAAAAAGCCTTTTTTGGAGGAATCCTTCATATAGCAGTCACACTCTATTAAAAAAAAAAACTTTTGGTGGGATACATTTTTTTTTCTTCTTCCTCTCATACTTGCACTAATCTAGATCTCATGTCTACCAAGAACAAGAAGGGTAATATATTCACATGTGTTGTATATTGAAGCAACCGGGAAAACATAAACTAACTCACCTCTTCTTTATTTCTAGCTGGGCCTACACAGGTAAAAAAAAAAAAAAAAAAAAAAAAAAAAAAAAACTATCCCTGTCAGAAAAAAAAAACTAACATTTTAAATAAAAACAATTAGGCTGAACTGATGGTGCGTACGTGTTCAGAAATTGTAGCCGAGTTAGTGGTTGCAATTGAAGCGGGAAAAGATATCAATTTGAATGGGTTAAAAAACAGAGCCTCTCGTCGAAACAAGTTGCAACATCAACCCAAGCTTGTAGAGATTATTGCGGCTATCCCTGAACAACATAAAGCTGCTTTACTTCCCAAGTTGAAGGCCAAGCCTGTCCGTACAGCCTCAGGTGTAAGTTTACGCATGCGTTAGACCTTTTTTTTTTTGGTAGAGCTTTTTAATCATTTTATTTTATTTTTATTGTAGATTGCGGTTGTTGCTGTCATGTGTAAACCTCATCGTTGTCCTCATATTGCCATGACGGGTAATATCTGTGTGTAAGTTTTTTTTTTCTTTCTTCTTTATTGTATACAATCGACTGACAATGAATGAATAGATATTGCCCTGGTGGACCTGATTCTGATTTTGAGTATTCAACGCAATCGTATACTGGGTATGAGCCCACGTCGATGCGAGCAATTCGTGCGCGCTATGATCCTTATGAGCAATCGCGAGGCCGAGTAGATCAATTGCGTAGTTTGGGACATAATGTGGATAAAGTGGAATACATTTTGATGGGCGGTACCTTCATGTCCTTGTCGGAAGAATACCGTAACTGGTTTATTCAGAATTTGCATGATGCACTCTCGGGACATTCGAGTAATGATTTGGATGAGGCGGTGCGATACTCTCAACAGAGTCAGACCAAATGTATTGGTATCACGATTGAGACGCGACCTGATTACTGTTTAAAGCCTCATTTGAGTCAAATGTTGCGATATGGATGTACGCGATTGGAGGTGGGCGTACAGAGTGTGTATGAAGATGTAGCACGCGATACGAATCGAGGTCATACGGTGAAGGCTGTGACAGAGAGTTTCCAGTTGGCCAAGGATGCAGGATTTAAAGTGGTGGCACATATGATGCCTGATTTACCCAATGTGGGCATGGAGAGAGATATGGAACAATTCAAGGAATACTTTGAAAACCCTGCCTATCGATCGGATGGGTTAAAGATCTATCCTACGCTAGTGATTCGTGGTACGGGATTGTATGAACTTTGGAGAACGAAGCGATACCAAAATTACACGCCGAATGCTCTTGTGGATTTGGTGGCACGTATTTTAGCATTGGTACCTCCTTGGACGCGTGTGTATCGTGTTCAACGTGATATCCCGATGCCTTTAGTCTCATCAGGTGTGGAGCATGGTAATTTACGTGAATTGGCCTTGACGCGTATGAAAGATTTGGGAACCGAGTGTCGAGATGTGCGTACACGTGAAGTAGGTATTACCGAGATTCATCAAAAGATTAAGCCCGATCAAGTCGAGTTGATTCGTCGTGATTATGTGGCGAATGGTGGATGGGAGACCTTCTTGTCGTATGAGGATCCTCAGCAGGATATCTTGGTTGGATTATTGCGATTAAGAAAATGTTCGGCACAGACCTTCCGACCTGAATTGACGAGTGCAGGACCTACCTCCATTGTGAGAGAATTGCATGTGTATGGTTCTGTTGTACCCATGCATGATCGTGACCCTACCAAGTTTCAACATCAGGGTTTCGGTACCTTGTTGATGGAAGAGGCTGAACGTATTGCTAAAGAGGAACATGGTAGTGTCAAATTGAGTGTGATTTCCGGTGTGGGTGTAAGAGATTATTATGCTAAACTTGGTTATACTTTGGACGGTAAGCCTTTTGTTTTTTTTTTGTTTGTCTGTTGATTACTAAACGCTTTCTTATCATAGGTCCTTACATGTCTAAAATGCTGGAGTAAAAAAAAAAAAATAACAAACAAAATTATTAATCTATCCCCCCTCCATAAGAAAGGTCACACTTGTAAATACATATTCAATAAAAAGATATATATAAAAAAAAATATAGATTCTCTTTCTTTTTTCTTCCCGCCATAATAATAATATGCCTACAGAAGAAGAAACGTTTTCTTTTAAGCCAAATAAAATCACAGGCCAGTTTAAACGGCCTTTACCGTTTAAAATGCCAAGTCGTGAAAACGTAAGTGTGTGGGATCACCATAAAAAAAAAAGACTGTGAATTGACGGACTATTAGAAATCTGCACAGGCCATGTCGTCAACTAAGTTTGGGAAGGATCGACAATTACGTTCTTTCAAGGATATTGTTTCCCAAGGACGACAGCAGGCAAGACAATCCTCATCAACACCCAAACCATCTTCAAGTAGTATGTCCTTTTTTTTTTCCCCCATGCATAGACTACACATACTAAATTTAAAATATCATACCTAGAGTCTTCTTCCCAAGAGAAAGTACCTGATGCAGCATCCATTCGAGAATTAAAAGTAATGACAAGCCGGGTAACACAAACATAAGAAAGGACCCTTTTTTATAAATATTTATTCATGCTCAACATTTTATATTCATGCGGGGCAGGTCTCACCTATGCCTACACTTTTTCCAGAGACGACTCAAGCACCTCCTCCTCCCCCTCCTCCTTTACCGAGATGGTCTATGCCATTGCGAGAGACGGCAGCTTTACCCAAACCCCTTGCCGCCACGACAAAATCAAGAACGGTGTCAAGAGAAACGACACCCTATATCAAGAAGGAGCCTGTGACAGATTTGAGCTTAGGGGATAACGAAGACGATGATACGATTCAGGTGATGGCGCATAGTTATAAGAAGCGGCTCGATTTAAAGAATCAAGCGAATGCAGAGGCCAATGCACGTATTGAAAAGTTAGAAACAGAGATGATGAGACAAGGGGAGACAATACGTGAATTGAGAGGGGAGGAGAGGTTGAATGCACGTATTGTAGAGCATACCTTGACGGGTTATCTCCATGACCAAAAGCGGTAAAAAAAGCATTTGTTTTGTGTGTCTATATACTTTTTCATTGCGCTTACTTTTTAAGGTTGTGTTGTCACGGAGTAGATTGGATGTGTTGACACAGGATTCAGAGACGTTTCAATGTATTTTACATAGTTTAAAAAGTTTATTGGAAAGAGCGCAACATGGGCGACATGAATCTGTGGTGGATTATGAGGGGTTGAGTCAGACCGTATGCAAGGACAAGGTAAAGCTACGACAGTTGTTCAGGATGTGTCAAAGTGTCATGCAACGATTGTATGATTTACATACAGTGCAACTGGAGGATTTACACGGACGCCAACAAAAAGTACAAGTAGCTTTATCCGAATTGAAATCTTGGTGGACTTTAGAATATCATCCTCGACTTGGTAAAAAAAAAAAAAAAAAAAAAAAAAAATGTTTTTTTTTTGTATGTATGCTGATATTTTTATATTAATGGTGATAGATCAAGCGAAAAGTACGTTGGGGATGTGTACAGACGTAGTGCAAGAAGTCAATGGAGAGATAAACAAGGTGAGCCAGCATTTCTCTAGGTGTGTGGCCAAATTGAAAGAAAACAAGATGGATGTGGATACAGTCGTTTGTTTATCCAGCGCTACACGATTAAGTTTATTCTCTGTGTATCAACAGTAAGCCTATTTTTTTTTTTGGACAGGGTCTGATTGTCAATTGCTTTTCATTTTTTTTTTTTTTTACTAGGTTTCAACAGATTGATACGGATGTACAAGAATTGGAGGAACAATTCAACTTGCTGAGTGAACAAAATCAATCGCTTATGAATAAAAATGCACTTCTTATCAAGGAAAGAAAGAAAGAAAGTGAAATTACTGAAGAACAGCACGGGAATTCCTCCAGAGAAAGTGCTGGAGAAGATGTCATTATTATTAAAGTAAAAAAAAGAGTCATAAGAGGGGATTTTTTTTTTACAAGAGTGATGGTTTTAACACGTATTTTTTTTTTCTTTTATGAGGAGCACGAGGAATTTTATCATGAAGATCAAGAGTAAGTAAAAAATAATTGAAAAAAAAAAAAAATGACAGTTGAATAGAGATAGAAGCATTTAACTTTTTTTTGGAGAGTAGAGAAAAGATGAAACAAATGCAGCTCAAGGGGTCACTTTTGAAGTTGGAGAATAAAAGATTACAATATGAAAATGAAAAGCTGACATGGGATATTGAACGACGAACATTACTTGAGCAGAAAAGTGTATTATTGCAACAAGTGTAAGTTTTACCTTAAAGAGAGAGGAAGCTGATCACTGATTGCTCTTTTCAAAAAAGGGAACATGGGAGAGATATTTTACCGACGAAAAGCTTTAGTGATAGTCTTGTTCAATATACGACACCTGTAGGTGTTCGACCAGCGAAAAAATTACTCTCATTATCAAGGACTCATAAAAAGCCAATGGAGACCTCGATCAGAGAGACCGATCAAGTATATTCAAAAAAACTAGTTTATTTGTTTTTGATAGTTGCTCTAAAAAAAACATCTCTCTTTTATGAATAGCAATGGGAAATTCCAAAGGATACGAGTAGCTCGGGTAGTAAATACTTTACTCGAAGGTTTGCCTAAATACGACAAGAATTGTTTTATAAAACTTACACTGGGTAAAAAAAAATTTCTTTTATAGAAAAGCACGATCGTTAGTAAATCAAGATGCTACGATACACATGACGGAAGAAATTTCAGAAGAAGAGAAAGAGCAACCCAAGAAACGACGAAAGATCAGAGTATGTTTACACTTCCCTGCATACAAAAAAAAAAAAAAAAAACTGATGTGATTTTTTTATTTATTTATTTATTTAGAAATTGAATGCGCATACAAATGATTTAGAGGATTCAGACGATGCTGATATTCCAAAAAAGGTACGTTACCGAGACTTTTTTTTTTAAATAAAAAGTGGGTACTGAAAAGAAAGAAGATTACTAAGGTGATGGATGCTGTGATTCCCGAGAATGCAAAAAATGTGCATATTTCAACCAAGAAGAAGTAAAAATAAAAGAGCAAACATGAAATGAGGGGGGCATAAATAAATTATATTTGATTTTTTTTTTGGTTTTTTTTTAAAAAAAAAGAGAGTGATGGGGAGGGAGGCATATGAATATATATAAAACAAATAATGAATATTTATACATTATTTATTTTAGTTTAAATTTTCGTTTTGTGAGAGAAGGGAGAAATAAAAATGGGAATAGTAGCATGAGGAAATACAAATATAATTAAAATGAAGATATAAAAAAAAAAATTGGCATAATAATTATAAGTGGTATAAAGAAAGGGGAGGGGTTACAAAAGGAAAAAAGATAAAATAAAAAAAAGGTGGGCATAATATCTGATTAATTTAAAAAAGAAAAAAAAAAAAAAGTTAGATGTTAAATAAAATACAGAGCATAAGACATAGAGTTTTAGCATATAGAATCAATCATGGTGACCCATTCAATCATAGTGGCATTGTCTGGTGCTTGGAAAGTATGTGAATTGTAGAGGGTATCAATTGTGAAGAGAGTTTTGGATTTCTAGAATAATAGAGTTAGTTTATAACAGAAATAACAAACTAGTTTTTTTTTTCTTTACCATTGCTTCAATATTCTTGTCCACTTTATGTACATTTTTAATATGAAGAACATCCACTTCGTTCAATTCATATTGATCTGCGTACAAGAACAAGTAATTTCTGTAATAAAAAAAAAAGAGTTAATCTATCATGCAAATAAAAAAAAAAAAAAAATCCCCACACAAAAAAAAAAAGTTACCCCATCAAAGAACACCAGTACTTGTCCCATGCTTTTCCATCTGCATCATTTCTGCGTGACAAGAAGGCCTTTTTAGATTTACAATCTTCTGAAATAATAATTTGGGAGACTTTAGAAACCCATTTTTGGATACTGGGTTGAACCGGTGGTGCAATTTCAACAAGTGATGTTGCTGTTGTTGTTGTCTTTTTGGTTTGAGACCAAATATTCACAATAGACTGAGCATCCAATGTTGGAGATTCACAAGGAACGGGTTCCACATTACACATACGATCCAGTTGTTCTGCCAAGAACACCGTGTATCGCATGTCATCTACTTGTTGTCGTCGCGTCATCAAGGGTCGATGACGGTGATAGATATCCAAGATATGAGCAGGTAATGGTTGTAAGACGAGGGCCTTCATATTGCTATAGAGGTCGGGTTTACAATGGATAGCGAACAAGCAAGTCACTTGGCTCTTGATTTGGATCGACTTGAGGGAAAAGAAATTTAAAATGACCGAACCTCGTTTATTGGGATTGGCAGAAGCTGATTTCTTTTTAATGTTGGCAGCTTTGCTCTGGTCCTTGATATGAACATACAACTCCTTTTCAAAACGAATGGCTTCACCCGAAGTGGTACGTACGGTCCAGCTCAAGGTCAAGATAACCTTGTGGTTATTGGGCGTAATGGCATTCAAGAGCAGTGTATCGTGAAGAGAACTATCCCAGGCGCCATTCACTGTGATATGACTGGGTGTAGATGTGGAAGAGATCAAATTGAGCGAGAGTTCACCCGTCTGAGGTTGTTCCACCGGTCTGTTTTTACCATCGATTAAACGGATTTGACCAATACGCATATCGGATATTTTCTCGAGTAAAGGCATCACTCTGGTCTCTTCACCTTGATGTTTTAACGAGATGATAACACGACGTTGTTGACCTTGTTGTAAAGAAAATACATCGTTACTAGAAGGTTCGGCATTCGTATTGTTATTATTGCTGCTGTTGTTGCTGTTCGATAGGGATTCAACAGGGACAGGTTTATAATCACCATCGGGTGTGATTTCACAGATTTGAATATGAGCAATGACATCTTGGGTCTTGGTCACAGGAGTCACTTCGGTATCCACAGGGGTAGAGATGGGAGACAAGTTCTCGATGAATTCTTTCTGGGGTTTAGCAAAGACCTCAAAGGCGATAGATTTCGTCTCGATGATTTGAAGGATATCCTGAGTGATGGCCATGGATAAAGTCTGATGGTAATTGAAAACGATGGGTTTTTCCTTTGTATAAGGGACAGGGTCCGAAGCAAATACGCCATCGAGATTATTACCAAAGGTAGATAGACGGAATTGAGCATGGACATGAGAGAATTCTTTGGGGTCCATGACACCTATGAGTTCAATAATGGAGATCTCAAATACAAGTTGTTGTCCTACGTGTAATAAACTTCGTGGATTTTCGTCCTCGCTAGAGACAGAAGATTGACCATCCTCACTGGGGTCGGATCGATAAGGGTGACGTACAGAACGAGCAATAGGAGCAATCAAGACACGTAAAGTACCTCTTAATTGACCCGTGTTATGACAATGGATTGCCAAAGTGCTTTCGACGGGTACTTGCGTAGCTAAATTACGCAAGGGGACGGTAGCAAGACCTGCCAAGACGTAAGAGGGAGGGGTCGTGGTTTCATAGTAAAGATCCTCGCCCTTCATGTGTTTCTTCAGGTCAGAGGCATAATAAGCACCTTGAAGGTATCTGAAGCGAGCCAAGAATTTTTCAACGGACCAGATATAGATGGATTGATGTTTTTGGTCGACGACTTGAATGCCAATGCAAGGTTTAGCAGCCTTCAAGAGATCGATATCGATATTTTTTTGACCTTGTTGAGGGTGTTGATCCCAATGGGAGACGGAGACAGCTGAGGTATTATCATGAATGACAGCAAACTGATAAAAGACTTCCTTTTTCAATTTGGCAGCCATGGCATTGGCTTGACGTAATTGAAGATCGTTGTTCAGGATAGCTTTTGCCATGGCAACGTTACGTTGACGTTTCCAAAAGCTAACGACGTTCAAAGCGAGTTTTCTTTCGTGGGGTGTGAAACTAAGTGGACTTTGGTTGTTCATGTAGGAAATACGGTAAGATAATCGACGTAATCTTGCTTCGTATTTTCGACGATGGTGTTCCATTTGAATTTCTTGTTCGTCTTTGGCTAATAAGATGATGTTATCACCACGTGTACTTGAGGTGGATGAACTGGAAGAGATAGTACTGGAATCAGTAGTATAATCACCATCCAAATCATCCATGAATACAGAGGAAGCGGTAGTTGAATAGGTGCTACGACGTACGGAGGAAGAAGAAGAGGTTCGACGAGAAAGTGTATCGGATGAGGTGGATTGACGTTTACGGATCACACGAACTTTTGCTACATCATCAAATAATTTATCGAGATCTTCATTGGTGAAATTTCCAAAGTTGGAGTCATTGATGTAGGTATTTAACATGGCTTCACGACGAGCAAAATTCCAATCCATCACTTCAGAACCACCCACCGCTGGGGAAAGAAAGCCGTCTTTTTCGGACGAGATAGGGGAAGGAGGGCTTGAATCGACGAGGTCTTGTTGGGTGTTGTCTCGTTCTTTAAGAGCTTCACCGGGGTTATTGAAACGAAAGACGTGGTGGTCACCCAAGATGATACGATAACCGCTCTTTAAACGTTTGGGTTCAGAGATACGCATACCATTGACCATGGTGGTACAATCCAAGCGAGGGAACAAGGTGACGATATCATCTGTATTTTCGAAATAACAATGGTTTTCATTGATATTGGTGCCACTGAGACGAATGGAACCACTGCCGTCATTTCTTTCGATTTCGACGGTGGCAAGTTCGTTCTCGACGACGCCACGATCGACGTGAGTGATACCTGGTTTGATATTGTACATTAAGCATTCGGACATGAGAGGATCTTCGTTGAGGTTAATCAAGTAAGGTATGCCTTTAGGAGTATAAAGACCCACCGCATTCTTTTCAATGGTGATACCTAAATTCTTCAAGGTGGTTTCTCGTTCGATATGAATTTTTTCAGTGTTATTTAGTTTCTCTTCCCAAGTCTGGTTTAGATCTCCCAGTAATTTCTCGGTCATTTGTAACTGGTCTACCATTTCATCTTTGGTTAATTGTGTTGTGTTACCTAAAGCGTCGGTGAATACAACGGTGGATTTGGAAGTAGCTGGGTTGTTGGGAGCAGGTAATGCTAAAGTTTTTGATTTTTGGCTTGCCAGAGGAGGTCGTTTATTTGCAGCGGCTGCAGCTGCTGCGGCTGCTGCGTTACCTTTGACAGGTCGAGCAATGGCTGTGATTTTCTCTACTTCTTCGGGTGCATAAACCATTAAAGCTTGACGTAATGCATCGACTTCGTCTTTTAATTCTCGCATGACCTTGGCGTTGGGATCTTCGTTCACGACAGCCTTTGTCTTGATCTTTTTGGCTTGATCTGCATATCGAAGTGTACTGATAGTTTCGTCATAATCGGCTGGTGAAATAGCGGCAATCATACATGTTTTTGAATTACCACCCAAGGAATCTTTTAATAACCAGGTCAGGACCTTAAAATTTTTTTAAGGTTAGTGAGTAAATGGGGCTGGGATGAAGAAGACAAAAAAAAAAAGGGGGGGGGGAAACTTACGGAATCACGGAAGGGGACATGAACTTCTTTAGGTTTTTTGGAGCCTTTTTTAGGTTCGGGAGCAGAAGCAGCCTCAGCCAAACCAGCAATGACTTTACCGAGTGTAGTTAAAGATTTATTGATGTTGGCACCTTCTTTAAGTCTTTGACCTGTAGCGCCAGTACTATTGGCACGTTCACTACCGGCTAAATCGACAAGACTTTTTTTTTGTTGTTGTTGTTGATGTGGATATTTAGTGATGATAACATTTTTTTTTTTTTAAAAAAATAAAAATTAAGGTACCTGATACGAGCGACTTTCTCAGCGACTAATTTTGTGGCGGGGTCCATAATTTTCTGAGTAACAAAGATAGTAAATACAGCATGAGAACGAGAGGATGTTTCGTTCATGTTGGTGGCAGCGACTGTTCTTGCTTTATTTCCTTCATCCATGAGACGATCGATATCATCGAATGAGTTGACAGCTAAACGAGAAAGATCTTGAACATAAGGACCCAAGACGGGATGTTCTCTTACTTTTAAATTGCTCTTGTTTTGAGGATTTAAAAGATCACGGACTTTTTCGTTATAGATTTCGATATAAGAGACTTCGACTTGAAAATCCAGTGTTGAAGTCTTTTTATCTCTGACTCTGTCAAATAGTTCATAACAAGTTCTGGGAATGATACCTTTATCCTCACCATAACCCATCATGGAGTAGGATTTACCAGAACCAGTTTGACCGTCTGATTATAATTATTAGTAAAAAAAAAAAAAAGTAAACATTGAGGTCACGAGATTAAATATTTACAGGCGAAAATACAGCAATTATAACCATTGAATGCATGATCCAATAACTCTCTTCCCAGATCATTATACACTCTTTCTTGATCTGCATATTCATCATCGTCTTTATCAGCTGACCAGTAAGATTGATCAAACGTAAATGCTTTGGATTCATCCATTGGTTTTTGACCTGGAGTGACTGGTTTGCTAATGATTGTTTTATTGCCTTCCATGCGAATAAGCACAGGTGCTCCTCGAGCCTTTTCTATTGTTATCTGTTATGTCTTTTTTTCTTTCTTTCTCTCTCTCTTTTTTTTTTTACCTCTCGAGTTTAAAGGTCGACAACGGACGACAACCTTAATATTATTTCCGCTCATTGTTGTTGTAAGTTTCTTTTTGTAATGTTGTTAATTCCGTACGAAATGAAAGAGTTTAAAGTTAATGATGATGAACAATAAAAGATGAGCAAGTCGTTAACCAAGTACAATAGTAATATATAAAAAAAAAAAAAAGAAAAAAAAAAAGGGGGGGGGGAGGAAGAAAAAGAAGTAAAAAAAAAGATTTGAATGACAGTTTTTATTTGATAAAATAAGGCTGAGTTTGTTGTTTATTTCAAAATCCACGTGTATTTGTTTGAAAAAAGAGAAAAGGTCCTTTCAAAAAGAAGGTACGTTTTTATTGAATTAAATTTAATGTATTTCCCCCCCCCCCCCCTCTCTCTCCCCCTCTCCCCCCAATTTTGTCATATAATCTATTTAAACGCAAAAAAGGCAAGGAGTGCTTCTATAAATAGAATTAAAATGAGGGCTGCTTTGTTCCCAAATACTACACTTTTGTGCTGCATTTCGAGTTCCCGCTGCTACGCAACCCCCATTGGTCCGTCTTTTTCTTTGTCATGAAAACTACACACGGCTTCTTCTGTATGACATTACCAAAAAAAAAGGGGGGGGGGAGGAGGAGGAGAAAGAGGGTAGAATATACGTCTGACAGAGCAAAAGTTTGTGTTCATTGACGCTTTATATCAAGAAAGTATACATTTCTAATTAGGTTCTTTGTGTCTCATCAGAAGGAAAACTTTCCACATTCTGCAGATCTCTATAAGCACATCCTCCAAAGCCTGACAACAAATCAGCAATTTTTCATGCTTCTTTTTGACTTTACTTTTCAAACTCAGTCGTCAATTGTGATAGAGTGGCGCGCATCTCACTGCTATTTATTTATATCTTGCATACATACATACACAATCCACCAAGCCCTTTTTTTTTCAGTAAATAACCCCCTTAAAAATCATCTTTACCGAGGATCCGGTCCTGTTCTTAAAAATAATAGCCTGGTTTAATAAAAATAATTGTACATATATAAAAAAGAACATTAGAGAGGGATTGAGTCTGGTAAATAACCCTTCTCCACTGCAGCTGCAATGATGTGCTTGGCTTCCACATCAGGTGTAGGAATGATATCAGCGATAATCACTGCCTCTTCTTCGGGATTAGGTTCTTCCAGAATGCTGAGCTGAGATTGAAGCATACTGGGAGGCATGAAATGATTTTTACGACCTTGAATTCTCTGTAATAAAAGTGCCTCACTTCCCTTTAAATAAACAAAGATAACTTGAGCTATATCAGCAGGAATTTCACGCAAGATGTCTCGATAGACTTTCTTGAGCGAAGAGCATGTCACCAGAACAGCACGATTTTTGCATGCAATGTCTAAATCTTGTACAGCCTTGGCCTTTTCTGTCAAGTGAGTACGAATTAACCGAAGCCATGGCCAACGGTCATCATCATCCAATGGATATCCTATTCATATGAAATCAGTCCAAGTGGGCCCTATCGTATCTCTTTTTTTATTTACCTGCGGCCATCTTATCCACGTTGGCTTGAGGATGAACAGAATCACCTTCCAAAAACTCGCAACCGAGAACATGTTGCATGGCTTCAGCTACACTGCTTTTACCACAACCAGCTGTGCCCATCAAAACAAAAATAGGAACAGGTACCATTGTTTATATATAAAAAGAAGAACAAGAGATTCAAAAAAAAAAAAAAAAAGATGTGATTTATTCCCGCTTTTGCAGTGTGACTTTTTGCAGCTTTTCCCGCCCCCCCCCTTTTTGCCCTGAAGGGAAAGAAAACCCCGATTCCCGTAAGGTTTAATCCATCACGTCAAAAAATCCCCGCCAGCTACTAATGTTGCTTCAAACAAATCACTGTAACCACAATGAAGCTCAAAGTGGATTCTTAAGTGTAGATATGTACTATGTTTTGGAGAAAAGGAAACAGGTGAATATGTAGAGAATAATGTCAAGAGAGGCAACTTCATTCGTCTCAAATTTTCCCCCACTTCTTGCTGAAAATTTAAGGACCGTCGAGAATCATTCGCAAGCAAAATATATTTCTTGAGCCTACCACTCACTACTCACACAGAAGTGTCGTGTTCTATACATACGTGTTGTCTCGTTGCATGAAATGTATTCTATTGTATGATACATTTCCACATCTAAGTGATTATTGAAGTTCCAGTGATGTTCTGACTAGTAGTGCTACTGATAGTTAAATCACTGATAAACAATTTTTATAACAGAAAAGATGTATTCTGTAATGAAATGCCGTTCTAATATTCCCGTATTTCTTTCAAGTGAATAAACTAAAGTTTATTGTATAAAATGATTTTATTATTATTATTATTAATGAAGCATATCTACCTTCCTCAGTACTTCGGCCATATCATGTCTAATACAATATTTTTTTCCCTCTTGCTACAAATCCGCATCTCGTTCTTAAATTTCGGTTTGGTTCAATACAGCATCTACAGCGTATTTTCCTGCTTCCAAATACATTTATAATCAAAGACGTACTGAGACATCTAAAGATGTTCATTTGGGGGATATCCATGATATGTGAAAACTCAAGCGGAAGCGAGAAATTGTCAAAGTCTTGAATGATGTGGCTTTAACATTTCCAAGGTTTCCTCAGCAATAAAAGATGTCTCATTCTTGGTCTTCCCTGTGTCTTTACACTTCAAGAAGACGCACCTCTGCAAACAAAGCAAGAATAGTATCCCATCCCTTGGCTAATCCGCTAAACTTCACGATACGCATTTCTTCCAACCGTTGAAATAGCATTATAAACCACTTTGCTTTTCTTCTTATCCACAGGTGATGTAAAGCCTGTGTCGGACTTGTTTTTTAATAGTTCATGGTCGGTTGATTCTGCATTGACTGCTACTTCAGCGACTTCACGACGACGTTAAACGATTTCTTCCATGACAAACGTTTCGATTTAGCCAGGTGATTTATCTTCTTTAATTTCATAATCGACAGCACCTGAAACAGGAATAGGCTGCAGCATGCAAAAAAGTGTCAGTTTATTTTTATACATGTTTCGTCTGTGTGTTGGAGTATTACTGCCTTGACATATTCACAGAACCAAGTTCGACTCTTTTCAAGTCCATCGCCAGGTGGTGCAGTAATATACACCGTGACTTTACGAGGCATTTCCTAGTTTCTTATGTGGTGAGACGATGAAGAGAGATCACAGAGGGAATAGACTTGCACGGCCACCACAAGGTCTGTCAGCGAGGAAAGAAACTCGTTGAGCAAGTCTTGTTCTGGCATCTTGGGCATATTTGTTACTTGAATAGACAATACCTGAAATGCCACCTGTAACACCACCAAAAATCAGTGTATTCTTGGAAGGTACTTTTAATCCAAAAGGCTTGTCTTGTTTATGGGAAGTGTTTCTTCTTTTAAAAAAAGGGCTCATTGTGTCCCTGAAGGGTTGGGGGAGAGTGAAGGGGGATTTTTAAAACTGAAAGTCACACAGGTAAAATGATGGTTTAAAAATAGTATGATTTTATTGAAGCAGTGCTATGTTAAATATAAGCAAGTGTCAATGGCTCCATGATATTTAGGTTTACGTAATAAGGTTTATCAATATAGTTATCAATATGGCCCATACATCCTCTTGATAGTTTGATAGATAAATTATTGCTAATCTGCTCATATTCTACTACAAATGTATTCAGAAAACCATCCGACAAAAGAGGGGAGTATATTTTATGATAAGCATCACGAGTGTCGCCATGCAATAGAGTATACTTTTCCGGAACAGTACTGGTTGAACTTTCTAATCCAAAAACTTCTAATATGGTATCTATGTGTCAGTAGAAGTAGGTCTCGTTAGCACAAATGAAGAAGTACAATAATGGCTACGAACTTGCCTTCTCGTTTATTGATTTGAATTATAAGCCCTTTTGTTGAAACTGGCTTCCCTTTCTGAATAAATACCAAACATCTGCCATCTCTTGTAATCTTATTTTTGATATCACCATCACTGTTTATTCGGGTGAAAGCGATCGAATCTTTTGTAAAAGATGATGAAATCCGCATCCCGTATGTATTGCTTGATACTTGGCACAAAGTTCCGGTGACAAACCTATCAAACATGTAAGGCTTTTTTCCAGATAAAAACTTCTCCAGTAACTGGAAAATAGATTCTCTTAGTACAAATGTCTTTGTATCTTTTTCTTTAATATATACGCCGTCATCAATCGCTTTTTGCATAATCAAGGTGTATACTGTGTGGATCTTTGAACCCTGCCCCAGATTGAACGGATCTCCAAAGACAAAAATATAATTCGGTACAAAGTTTCCAAATAGTTTTTTGTTGGTCAAAGAAGCCACCATATATGTTGTTATACTTTCTATCACTGACATAAAGCCTGCTTCAATAATATTACGAAGAAATATGCTTATACTGCAACCACATTTCGTGCTGATATTTAGTTGTATCTTGGAATCTATGTCCAAATTTGATTTGCTTCTTTCGAACTACCAAGAAGCAATTAGTACACTGAGACCCTAGTTATAAGTATACCAACTTACAAGTTTAACAACGCATGGTTTTAAATTTCGATAAATATTGCTATATATCTCAAATGACTGGAAATCATACTGTGTATCTTCCTCGTCCTTGTGCTTGGTACAATAATCAACTTGGCAATCGATTTGTATGCTTTTCATAATACACTTGCAGAGTGTATCATATACATCATCGATATGTATTATTTCATCCTGTATAATGATGGACGCTGGATCTTCTCCGGTTGATGCCAGTTTGACCACTTGATGCAAACTGAGTTGAATATGCTTTGAAGATATCTGTGCAACAACAAAGTATGATTTCAACCTAAAGTCCAAATGTTGATACTTGTGCTGGATAGCTGGTAGAATTTCTTCACCACGGGTGCAGAATTTTGCTTTTCGAAGTTCGTCGTCCTCCCCGAGTATTCCGCTTGCAAAGAATGATTTTTCCAGATTTTTTATTGAGCCGAATACAGTATCCAATAGCTTTTTATTCAAAGAGACGGCATACCAAATGTTGTTGGCTCTCCAATTTGATCCTACATTACTTTTTAATTTTTCCTCTATTTGCGTGTTGAGACAGTGCAGATATGTGATCATAAAAAAATAAAAGTACCCTGGATGGCATGTAGTAAATGACTCGCTATCCGAAACAGGAAATCCGTCCTTCGACATAAAAAGATCGTCCATGTCAAAGTTTGCCGTAAGCTGTTTAAATAGATTTGGGCTTGAGGAGACAAATAATTTTCTGATTTCCTTTTGCCGATTTTTTTTACTTGATTTTATCCTTCCATCACTGCTTAAAGTTCTTCTCTTCCGCATGTTTTGGAAAGCCTGGTTAAGTAATTTGGGTGTCGAATTCACTAGTATTCTTCTTATCATACTTCGTCTTTTGTAGTTTGAATGAATTTTGAGATAGTCACCAAAAATCTTTTCTAGCCCTAACTTTAGTCTAAACGTGCAATTAGAATTGACAATTTTTTTTTTTTCAAACGGTCTTACCTATTTGATATGCGAAGTATTGGTCTTTGATGTAATTCTGATTGCTTGATGAAATTTTTTAATGGTTGCATATTACTATTAAACCATAAAATAAAACTTAGTCTAGATTTTCTAATAAAGGGTATTCTGCGGCCTATCACCATTACCATTCAATATCATGCTTCTGTCCAATTTGTCTATCTTTATCTAGGTATGTAAAAACAGTCTGGATTTGTGTAGGCGATATGTCTGTTAAGTTTCCAAATAAGTTAGGTCAACACAAAGCCGATAGTACTAAGGAGTCAATTTACCGATATTGATGAAGATAATAGGTTTCAAGCAACTTTTGGGTTCTTCGTTGGGTAATATAATTGGGTTTCTGCGCACGTTAAAGTCTTTTATACGGTAATCGAAAAGCGCTTGAGTTGCATATTGTCGGGAATTACAGTCAAAAAGTTCTAATCTGGGGATATCATCAGCGAGTTCCGCGGATATGTAATACTCTTTTAGTTCCCTGAAATACTTTCTGCATAAACAATTAATTGAAAGGACTATCCCCAGGGCTAAAAATGTTTCCAGGATTCGACTTGTGTAAAAAATGTCCAAGTGCCTGGGTACTGTATTGTTCGTGCCTACAAGAAGTTTATCTACTTCATTTCTAAAGAATTTTTCGGCAGAACCAAAAAAATGTTCAAGTATGTCCTTTAAAGTGATTGATTTATTCGTCCAGCGAGATTTCAAGTATGGCAATGGCTGCTCATCTAAACCAAAAACTATTGTAATCTGGCAAAAAAAAAAAAAGTTTTAATTGTCTTCCCAATTTCCTTTCCATTAACTCTTACTATATCAAATCTGTCATACTTTCGACTGAGTTTTTCAAGCATGTCGTCGATAGATTCTGATGATAACGTAGTATCACAATGCTTTTCCACACATGCTATTAATGACAATCGTAGTTCCTTTAGTCCATACGGGATTACAAAATGAGCTTGCTTCAACAATTGTGGCACCAATCCTCTGTATGCTAATCCGAAAGCAGGGTATTGAGCTGATACCAATTTTAAATCCACGGAGTATGTACCTTGATCATCTATTGTACAAATAACGCACTGTTCACCATACTTCAAGCTATCACCCTCACGAAATAGTCTACGTATATCTATATCATAAAAGTGTAATTCTAACATTGAGAAAAACACCAGCCTGCCCGGACCATCATTTGTGTGGTGAAGACCAGCTTTTGCGAATAGAGGCAGGAACAATCCTTCTCTTATTTTATAATCCCAACTGGTTGGAAGATTCAAAGAATAACAAAAATCCATATTTGCACTATTTAATTCTTGTTTATAATGATCCAGTATTCTTTGTAACAGGTCTATAGCTTCCTCGTACAAGAGCGCGTACAGTGCCGTAGTGTCGAAGGATTGTTGCTTTGATTTTAAATAAATGTCAGCAAGCTCGCTTAAGGTGTTCCGTACATAAATAACGCCTTCTTGAAGCCCTTCCGGATTCTCATTCGCTTCATCAGCCTTGTTACCTCTGGCAATGATATTTCTCGTGGTAGTGTCATATAAAATTGAGGTGCGGTATTCGTGTGTAGAACTTTTTTTAAAAAGGAATCTCTGTCAAAAAAATGCACGTCCAAATTCTGCTGTTTTGATGTCTACTAACCTTTCATCTTTCTTTGTAGGTCTATGAATGGCTATCGCTCTAGAGCTGATGAAGTTATAGCCCAAATCTATACGAAGTAAGCAACGCTGTATTTTTTTTAAAAAAAAAGTCGCTTACCGATAACAACACAATATTTATGCTTGGAATAGTCATAGAGTTCTTCCATCTTTCTTTTACAACAAGATGTTGAAATCGGCGAAAGTACAAATACGAAGAGGCTTAAAAGAGCAAAGAGTTTCACTTGACCAACTTTTTTGTGGCACAACAACCTTGTATGACCATGAAGATAATCATGGGCTAAAGCATGCATTCAAACTTTCTATCTAACACCTACTAACATTGAAGCGCGATATTAGTTTTTGCTAGACTACTCTTCGGTAGAAAAGCCTTTAGTTCCTGGGAAAAGAGACCTTTACGATCCTTCCCCCTTTAAGCATATGGAAACAAATAAAAAAAGACCATATTTTATGTATGTATATTACCCACTTTATTTAACGCAAATTATCATTGGCACATACATTAACTTACCAAAAATACTTGTATCTACTTGAATTAGCATTTCTATTTCCTCATGTCTAATACAATACTTTCTTTCCTTCATGCTATAAATCCGCATCACTTTCTTAAAAATGTCGGTTTGGTTCAATACAGCATCTACAGCGTATTTTCCTGCTTCCAAATACATTTATAATCAAAGACGTACTGAGCCATCTAATGATGCTCATTTGGGGTATATGAAAGATATGTAAAAACTCAAGCAAAAGCGAGAAATCGTCAAATTCTTGAATGATGTGGCTCATAACATTTCGAAGGTTTCCTCTGCAATAACAGATGTCTCATCATTTGGCTTCTCTGTGTACTTACACTTCAAGAAGACGCACCTCTACAAACACAGCAAGAATAGTATCCCATCCCTTGGCTAATCCGCTAAACTTCACGACACGCATTTCTTCCAACCGTTAAAATAGCATTATAAACCACTTTGCTTTTCTTCTTATCCACAGGTGATGTAAAGCTTGTGTTGGACTTATTTTCTAATAATTCATGGTCTGCTGATTCTGCATTGCCTGCTGCTGCTTCGGTGACTTTGCGACGACGTTAAACGATTTCTTCCATGACAGACGTTTCGATTTGGCCAGGTGATTTAGCTTCTTTGATATCGTAATCGACAGCACCTGAAACAGGAATAGCCTGCATCATGCAAAAAAGTGTCAGTTTATTTTTATACATGTTTCGTCTGTGGGTTGGCATATTCACGGAACCGAATTCGACTCTTTTCAAGTCCATCGCCAGGTGGCTCAGTAATATACACCGTGACTTTACGAGGCATTTTTTAGTTTCTTATGTGGTAAGACAATGAAGAGAGTTCAAGGAAAGGAAAGGACTTGCATGGACACCACAAGGTCTGTCAGCGAGGAACGAAATTCGTTGGGCAAGTCTTGTTGGGGCATCTTGGACTTATTTATTTTTGAAGTAGACGAGACCTGCAAAGCCGCCTGTGACACCACTAAAAATCAGTGTATTCTTGGAAGATACTTTTAATCCAAAAGGCATGTCTTGTGGAAGGAAGTGTTTCTAAATTAAAAACGGCGGGATTTTGAAATTGAAGGTCACGCAGGTAAAACGATGGTGATTTATCAGGACTTGTTATTTGGGTTTTTCAAACAGCGTTTATTTTATAAAATTTAAAGAATCAACTAGGAACATGAAAGAATTATTATACAGCGGCTCCACCCCCAAAGTTCGTTTTCCAATTTCATAAATTCGCTTTTGTCGCAGCCCAAAGTTCGCTTCTTGATTGGTCAAAGTTCGTTTTTTGTAAATCACCCAAATTCGCTTTGGTGGCACCCAAAGTTCGTTTTCACGTCAGAAGAGTTCGCTTTTAAAAATTACAGGATTATGAGATAATGTTATGAGAGATAATGTTATGAGAGATAATGTTATGAGAAAAAAAAAATGTTATGAGGAAAAAAAAATGTTATGAGGAAAAAAAAATGTTATGAGAAAATGTAATGAGAAAATGTTATGAGAAAAAAAAATGTTATGAGAAAATGTTATGAGAAAAAAAAATGTTATGAGAAAATGTTATGAGAAAAAAAAATGTTATGAAAAAATGTTATGAGAAAAAAAAAATGTTATGAGGAAAAAAAAATGTTATGAGAAAATGTTATGAGAAAATGTTATGAGAAAAAAAAAATGTTATGAAAAAAAAAGTCACAACATATTATCTCATAACATTATCTCATAACATTTTTTTTTCTCATAACATTTTCTCATAACATTTTTTCTCTATGAATTTAGATGTTAATGCTTTGCGTTGCAAAGATTGCAATGTTGACTTTAAGACTCATTCAGAGTTAAACAATCATAATTACGGCACTCATGTGGATAAAACAAAAGTCTTTATTGGTAATGGTAAGAACTGGACATTTAAATAAAACATGACATTTTTTTTTAAAGAACAAATAGACACCATTATGGAAGTTAGCAAGGTTGATGGCAAATTTAATTGTCCTGAATGCTCAAGCAAGCTCAGTACTCCTACCACATTTAGCGCCCATCTTAAAAAAAAGCATAACGGCCACTGCGAAGCCATTTCAAACAAAACAAAGCGACGAAGCCTCGAAGATAATAACAACGATAATTCTACAACCATATCATTGAAACATCGAAAGTTACGAAGCCTGAATCTAAATTTAGATGAAATTGATTCATCTCGATCTCCAAAAGCTCTTGATAAAAACACTGCTATATTGTTGGCATCTGGTACATCTTTAGGGTCAACTCGTGAAAAAGAGAATTCTATAATGTTGGCAAGAATTGGAAATTTGGAACCAATATCCATAGTGGGTGGAAGTGGTAAAACTTATCATTTTCTAAAATCGTCAGACAGCATAAGTGATGTGCTAACCGATCAACCTTCTGGTTCTTGGACCCTTCCAGCAGCCGATACAACAGTCATACAAAACTCTTCATCCTCAAGCGTTGACAGCCTTCTGGATCATATTATAAATACAAGTCCACTCTATAACCACTTATTTGATCAAAAATACGTGGAGCTTACAATGGAAGTTACAGAGTTAATAAACCAGGATTGGACTTTCTTTCCTCAGCTTAGGTATGTCACCTCGCAAATTTTTGCTGGGGCAATCCTAGTGAATAAGACATCAGCATTACTCTTGAATTGCATAGAATCATATGGAAGATCGAAGACCGTTGATGCACACCATGAGCGCAGAATTGGAACTGCAATGAATACATCCTCTTTTCCCAAAAAACAACCAAATTACGGATGGATTAATATTATTACCACTCACGAAGACGGAGCAACCAAACTAAAAATTGGCACAACGGTCAGTAATCTGTTGGTGACCTCAAGTATACGCATAGACAAAAACTCAATAACAAAGAATATTGTGGAACTAGGACCAACCACCAGTAATTTCACTGCAACACACGATACAAAAATTTATCTCAATATGGAATCATTAAGATTAGGAAAAGTGTTAGCGAAGGATGACTCAACAACCAGTATTGATGTAGGAAATTACTTCTATCAACTTAGACAACTCAGATCAAAATTTCATTGTTTATCCACATATACTTTATGTCGTTCATCCAGTACATTTGCATATGATATTTCCTACAGACCTTACACGATTTGGACCCTATGCGACTATGATTCTTCCCAACAAACAGACTCACAATCTCAATTGCTATCTCAACTGTTTCAAACAATCGCCACTTCAGTTATCAACAATGGCATATTGGCCCAAATCAAACTAGATGTTCTAAATGATCTATGTAGCAAATTGAAAAATGGAGCAATAAAATATACCATCCGTGAATTTATTGATCAACAAGAGAAATCATTTGCAGTCATCAACAATATGAAACTGAACCAATTACTCACAATTTTAGCTGATTCGATGACTACATCTATTAAAAATGCCAACGCAGTGGTGAACAGTAATTTTACAACACTTCAGCGTAAATAATACCCTATATAAGAAATCATCACTACGGTATACCGCTATTATTTTATTGGGTTGTTTCTTTAATGTATTTCATCTTATATCTTTGATTTGCATTGATACGAACAAAAATTGAATTGTAAAAACAAGTTGTAAATATTATATTATCAGTTCAAGGAAATAAAAACCCTGTTAATGAATACTAAATATACTTCACCAAATGTGGTAGCTTCATGACCTTAATAAACTATTCTTGAAATGCATTTGTTGTCCAGTGAATAATGGAATGAAGCTTGAGCTTGATTAAGCCAAATCTGATGGCTTTGTGGTATTTTGACCTGGTAATGTCCACACACCAGTTGGTTGTTCTGCAAGTATATCTTCAATGAGGTCTGGAGAGGCGAGCATGTAATACTTTTTCCCATTTTCTAACGATACTGCTATTGATTTCCAATTTCCAATCTTGCTTAACATTATTATTTTTTCTTGATCAGTTTGTGGAAGATCTAAGGCATTTGACGCAAGTAATACTCCCATGTCATTATCACATCGAGCTGATGTTGAAAATAAAGGACCAGATGAACCAGAATTTGAATCAATTTCATCTAAATTTAGATTCAGGCTTCGTAACTTTCGATGTTTCAATGATATGGTTGTAGAATTATCGTTGTTATTATCTTCGAGGCTTCGTCGCTTTGTTTTGTTTGAAATGGCTTCGCAGTGGCCGTTATGCTTTTTTTTAAGATGGGCGCTAAATGTGGTAGGAGTACTGAGCTTGCTTGAGCATTCAGGACAATTAAATTTGCCATCAACCTTGCTAACTTCCATAATGGTGTCTATTTGTTCTTTAAAAAAAAATGTCATGTTTTATTTAAATGTCCAGTTCTTACCATTACCAATAAAGACTTTTGTTTTATCCACATGAGTGCCGTAATTATGATTGTTTAACTCTGAATGAGTCTTAAAGTCAACATTGCAATCTTTGCAACGCAAAGCATTAACATCTAAATTCATAGAGAAAAAATGTTATGAGAAAATGTTATGAGAAAAAAAAATGTTATGAGATAATGTTATGAGATAATATGTTGTGACTTTTTTTTTCATAACATTTTTTTTTTCTCATAACATTTTCTCATAACATTTTCTCATAACATTTTTTTTTCCTCATAACATTTTTTTTTTCTCATAACATTTTTTCATAACATTTTTTTTTCTCATAACATTTTCTCATAACATTTTTTTTTCTCATAACATTTTCTCATAACATTTTTTTTTCTCATAACATTTTCTCATTACATTTTCTCATAACATTTTTTTTTCCTCATAACATTTTTTTTTCCTCATAACATTTTTTTTTCTCATAACATTATCTCTCATAACATTATCTCTCATAACATTATCTCTCATAACATTATCTCATAATCCTGTAATTTTTAAAAGCGAACTCTTCTGACGTGAAAACGAACTTTGGGTGCCACCAAAGCGAATTTGGGTGATTTACAAAAAACGAACTTTGACCAATCAAGAAGCGAACTTTGGGCTGCGACAAAAGCGAATTTATGAAATTGGAAAACGAACTTTGGGGGTGGAGCCGCTGTATGGACCTAATTGAACATTTATGTGAGGAATGTTACCACTTGTTGGTTGATTAAAAAAAAGGTATAAAACACCAAACAGAACGCTTTACAATGATAGAAATAAAAAAAAAAAGGAAAAAAAAAAAGAATGAGGGATAAAAAAAAAAAAAAAAAGGATTGCGCTTTATAGAAATCATGTCCTGAAGCACAAGCTGTTGATAGCTGAGTTAACAACATAAAAAAAAAAGGGATGAAGTGACGTAACATAAATCAATGCTTTAAAAATAGTATCATTTTATCGAAGCAGTGATATGTTAAATATAAGCAAGTGTTAATGGTTCGATGATATTTAGAGTTTCGTAATAAGGATTATAAATATAGTCATCAATATGGTTTATATATCCTCTTGATACTTTGATAGATAAATTATTGTTAATATGCTCACTTTCTACCACAAATGTTCTGATAAGAGTATCTGACAAAAATTCGCAATAGATTTCATTAATTACACCAGGAGTGTCGCCGTGCAATAGAGCATACTTTTCCGGAACAGTACTGGTTGAACTTTCTAGTTGAAGAATTTCGAATTTTTTACCTGTGTGTAAGTAGAAATGGGTCCCATCAGTACAAATGAAGGAAAAAAAAAATAGTAACAAACTAACCCTGTGATTCATTGGTTTGAATTATAAACCCCTTTGTTGAAACTGGTTTCCCTTTCTGAATAAATACCAAATAACTACCATCTCCTGCAATGCTATTTTTGATATCATCATCACTGTTTATTCTAGTGAAAGGAGTTGACTCGTATGGGAAATTTGCAATTATCCCCATCCCAAATGTTTCGCTTGATACTTGGCACAAAGTTCCAGTGACAAACCTATCAAACATATACGGCTTTCTTTTAGTTACAAGCGGATTCAGTGATTGAAAAATTAATTCTCTTAGTACTAATATCGTAGTGTCTTTTTCTTTAATATATACGCCGTCGTCGATTGACTTTTGCATAATCATGGTGTATGCGATGTAAATCTTTGAACCCTGCCCCAGATTGAACGGATCTCCAAAGACAAAAATATAATTAGGTGCATAGTTTCCGAATAGTCTTTTGTTGGTCAAAGAAGCCACTATATCTGTTGTTATACTTTCTATCACTGACATAAGGCATACTTCAATAATATCACGAAGAGATATGCTTATACTGCAACCACATTTTGTGTTGATATTCAGCTGTAATTTGGAATCCATGTCTAAATTTGATTTGTTTTTTTCGAACTACCAAGAGGCTATTAATACACTGAAACGCTAGTTATAGGTATACCAGCTTACAAGTTCAACAACGTATGGTTTAAGATTTCGATAAATATTACTATATATCTCAAACGACTGGAAATCATACTGTATATCTTCCCCATTCTTGTGCGTGGTACAGTCATTAACTTGACAATTGACTTGTAGACTCTTCATAATACTCGTACAAAGTGTGTCATATACATCATCGATTTGTATCATTTCATCCTGAATAATGATGGACGCTGGATCTTCTCCGGTTGATGCCAGTTTAACCACTTGATGCAAACTGAGTTGAATATGCTTTGAAGATATCTGTGCAACGATAAAGTATGATTTCAACCTAAATTCCAAATGTTGATACTTGTGTTGGATAGCTGGTAAAACTTCTTCACCACGGATGCAGAATTTTGCTTTTCGAAGTTCGTCGTCCTTCCCGAGTATTCCGCTTGCAAAGAAAGATTTTTCCAAATTTTTTATTGGGCCGAATACAGCGTCCAATAGCTTTTTGTCAATCGAGACGGCATACCAAATGTTGTTGGCCCTCCAATTCGATCCTATAGTACTTTCTAATTTTTCCACTATTTGCTTGTCGAGACAATGCAGATATGTGATCATAAAAAAATACAAGTATCCTGGATGGCATGTAGTAAATGACTCGCTATCCGAAGCACACAACTTGTCCTTCGACACAAAAAGATCATCCATTTCAAGGTTTGTCATAAGCTCTTTAAATATGTTTGGGTCTAAGGATACAAATAATTTTCTAATTCTCTTTAGTCGATTTTTACTTGATTTTATCCCTCCATTACTGCTTAAAGTATTCCTCTTCCGCATTTTTTGGAAAGCCCTGCCAAGTAATTTGGGTGCTGGGCTCACTGGTATTCTTTTTTTCGCATTTCTTTTGTAACTTGAGTACAATTGAAGATAGTTACCAAAAATCTTCTCTAAACCTAACTTCAGTCTAAACGCACAATCAGAATTGACATTCATAAGCGTTTCTTTGAGTAGTTTTACCTATTTGATATGTGTAGTACTGGCCTTTGATATATTTCCGATTGCTTGATGAAACTATTCAATGGTTGCATATTACTATTATACGATGAAATAAGACTCAGTTTGTTATAGAAGATATTCTGCCGCCTATAACCATTACCATTCAAAATTTTGCTTCTGTTCAACTTGTCTATCTCTATCTATGTATGTAAAAACAGTCTGAATTTGTGTAAGCGTTATGTCTGTTTGGTTTCAAAATAGGATAGGTTAATACGAAGCCGATACTACTAATGAGTCAATTTACCGATATTGATGAAGATAATAGGCTTTAAGCAACTTTTGGGTTCTTCGTTGGGTAATATAATTGGGTTTCTGCGCACGTTATATTCTTCTATTCGTCTTTCTAAAAGCTGTATAACTGCCATTCTTCTGTCACGATAGGCAAAGGGTCGGATTCCGAGGTAATCATCACCAAGTTCCGCGGATATGTAAGATTCTTTTAGTTCTCCGAAATACTTTTTCGAGAAACAATCAACTGAAAAGAGTAGCCACACAGCAAAAATATTGTTTGGGACTCGACTTGTGTAAAAAATGCCCAATGGCTTGGGCATTATATTGCTCGTGCCTACAAGAAATTTATCTACTTCATTTCTTAAGATTTTTTCGGCAAAACCAGAAAAATGTTCAAGTATGTCACGCATAGTGATTGATCTGTTCTTCCGGCGAGATTTCAAGTCTGGGAATGACTGTCCGAATACAGCCCTACGTAACGTAACCTAGCAAAAAAAAAAAAAAAAAATGTTTTTAGTTGTTTTTCCAATTCCCTATCCATTAACTCTTACAAAATCCGTAAATCCAATATACTTTTGACTGAGTTTTTCAAGCATGTCGTCGATAGATTCTGACGATAACGTAGTATCACAATGCTTTTCCACACATGCTATTAATGACAATCGTAGTTCGTTCAGTCCAAACGGGACTACAATATGAGCTTGTTTCAACAATTGTGGGACCAATTCTCTGTTTGCTAATCTGAAAGCAGGATATTGAGCTGATACCAATTTCAAATCCATGGAGTATGTACCTTGACAATCTATTGTACATATAACGCGCTGATCACCATACTTTAAGTTTCTACCAGAATGATTGTATGTATCTATCTGCATGTACTGAAAACATAACTCTAACATTGAACAAAACACCAGCCTACCCGGACCATCATTTTCATGGAGAAGACCAGCTTTTACAAATAGAGGCAGGAACAATTCTTCTCTTATTTTATAATCCCAACTGGTTGGAAGATTCAAAGAGTAACAAAATTCCATATTTACATCATTCAATTCTTGTTTATAATGATACAGTATTTTTTGTAACAGGTCTATAGCCGCCTCGTAAAAGGCCGCATACAGTGCGGTATTATCGTAAGATTGTTGCTCGTATTTTGAATAAATGTCAGCGAGCTCGCTTAAAATGTTGCGTATATAAATAACGCCTTCTTGAAGCCCTTTCGAATCCTTATTCGCTTCATCAGCCTTGTACCCTATGGCAATGATATTTCTCGTGGTAGTGTCATATAAAATTGAGGCGCGGTATTCGTTTTCAAAGCTTTTTTAATTTATTTATTTTTTAAAAAAAAAGGAATCGTTAAGTAATTATAAAAAAAAAATTGTATATTGTTGATTAACCTTTCATCATTTATTTTAGATTTTTTAATGGCTATCGTTCTAGAGGTGATGATGTCATAGCCCAAATCTATACGAAGTAAGCAACGCCGTAATTTTAAAAAATAAGTCGCTTACCTATAGCCAAACAATATCTATGTCGAGAATAGTCATAGACTTGTTCCATCTTTTTTCTTCTTCAACACGATGTTGAAAGCGACGAAAGCACAAATACGAAGAGGCTTACGAGAATACAATGTTTTGTGTTACTATTTTGTTGTGGCACAACAACCTTGTGTGACCAGAAAGGTAATGATGGGCTAAAGCATGCATTCAAACTTTCTATCTAACACCCACTTACATTGAAGCGCAATATTAGTTTTTGCTAGACTACTCTTCGGTAGAAAAGTCTTTAGTGCCTGGGAAAAGAGAACTTTGCTATCATTCCCCCTTTGAGCATACAGTAAGTCCTCTTTTTTTTTTTTTTTTTTTTTTTTTTTTTTTTGAGCAAACGGTTCACGACATCCGACCAACTGAAGCTTCATGAAGAAGGGGCTGACGGCTACGTCTCAATTTGCTCGAAGCATATTTACACGGCTGTACACAATTGAGTAAGCCCAGCCATATAAATAGATATGGAAAAGTAGTTGATAGGTTTAATGAAGGAAGATGGTTTTCAAAATTGAAAAAGCTCCTTGTCGAACTTGTTTTGACAAGAGAGTTAAATATTGATAATGAACAATTAATGGTCCTTTGCAATGGAATTATATTTTTAAAAGTAAAGGCCATCAACAAAAAATATGGAACAATAAGCTCTTATATTTTACTTCAAATAGTTTTTTTAAGTCTTGAAATTGATCTTTATCTTTTGAAAATTTTTATTATTAAACCGTTACAATGTATATTACTAATGATTTAACATATGATATGTATTTGGATATTCATGCTAGAGATGTACAGTACTGAATCATATTATGAATGGGAATAATAATCCAATAAGGATTTACCATTATTTGACCTAAATAGATAAAGAATTACATTGTGTTTTTACAAAAAGAAAGAGGAATAATACCTTTTCACTCGTTTAGGTGTAGGACGAGAATGACTCATACTTGATCTTTCATTGTCCAACTGGTCCTTCAAAATAGCCTTGACTTCAACTTTACTCAGACACTCATCCACATGCTTGTTGAAATTTGCATTATCTAGAATTAACTGGCGGTTACAAATAGGACACACAAGCATGGGAGGTGCTTCAATAACTGGAGGATTGGTGGGAGGTGTATGTACAGCAATAGTAGAATCATATTCAGGCAACGGAAGTTTTGTAAAATACTTTTTTGTTTATTGGTTAAAAAAAAATGACAAGGGATAGATTGGGAAATAGCTTACCTTGCGAACACTTTCATCTTCTGTACCTCGTTGTTTCATGGAAGAAATGCGAATCCCCATGAGACGAATATTCATGGGAAGTTCCTTGATAAGTAACGGTTTTGCGATACGTTCGATATCCTTGGCCGTCCAAATGGATGATGGAAGTGATTTGGAACGAATTCTTACTTCATACGTGACAAATTTAATCTTGATGCTGATATTCTTACCCATCAACCCTTTCTTTTCTAAATCTTGTTCTAAATGCTGACATAATTCGTGCAATTTTTGAAATAGTTCATCTGGATTGGACATGGCTGCAAAGGTCCTTTATATGTGTGTGTGTGGGGTTATTAAAAAAAACAAAAAAAAATGCATGGGGTGAGGGTAGAATGATTAATTACCTCTCTACGCTCATGCTTTTTCTTTCTACCTCAGCACTAAAGGAGGTAGATCCTAATCCTAGATAATTTCGAAGCATGAATTGAAAACTAATGGGACTCAACAGTTTATACAAGACGGCTCGACGAGCAAAGATATCCCCACATGTATTCACACCAAGTGACTCCAATACTCTCTCTGTTACTCGACCGACACCTGGGATTTGTCGTACTCGCATTTCGCGTACAAAAGCCAAAATGCCTGATTTGCTTTGAATAGGAAGATAGTATTGCCCGTTAGGTTTGTTGATATCGCTGCATACTTTTGATAGAGTTCGGTTACAAGCAATACCTGCACTTGCTGTAAGTTGTGTGCTTTCAAAAATCTCTTGCCGTATTTGTTCCACCAATTGGGATGGTGTCATATCTGTGGTTTTTAGATACTGCACACCAAGACGGTTAATTCCTTTGTGTTTGTATGTGTATGTGTTTGTGTTAGTTTATACCTCTGTCAAATTTAAATAGGCCTGTTACATGCATTAGCAAACAAAAAGAATAAAAGATAGAAACATTAATGGGGGGGGGAGTACCTCATCCAAGCTCATGGGTAGAAAATTAGGATCATATTTCTCAAAGACAGCACGGACTTTGTTTGAAGCTTCGACGTACTTTTGAGGATGTAAGGGTATTAACTTTAACTGCGGACATAATTTCATGGCGATAAATCCAGGCATGGCGCTTCGAACACCAAACTTTCGAGCCAGATAATTACTGGTACATAACATGGTCATATTTCCTACGGCCATAGGAACCTTTTTTAACTCTGGGTCAGCTAATTCTTCTACAGAGGCGTAAAATGCGTCCATATCTACATGACAGATACATTGACTTAGATCACGGCTTTCTTCTAAATCCCGAATCATATTATCTACAATGCGAGTTTCAAAAGAGAGGTCCTGATGTTTAATGAGTTCGTATTTCCCAAGAATCGCATCAATGCGTTTTGTGATTGCTTCATCCCGAACTTTTTCGCGTTCAAAAAAGGCCGATCCCTATTATATTACATAATCAGTATATAAAAAAAATTGGTGTTACAAGTAAAAGAGGTGCCTCTTTTGTCTTACTTTGGAAGCCTCGTAAATGATCTTGTTCACTTGCTCTTTGTCAACACTCTCTAACCCAGCCTATTTCAAGCTGTGTCAGTTTTATATATTTAAACGGGTGCTCTGGTGTACCTTGTGTGTAGAAGGTCCTGCAAGCATATGACGAAAGGAATGTTCGGTGTCAACAACGACTGCGGCATGACCACCTTCTTGGGATAACTTGAATTCTGCTTCATGATCAACTGATTCGTCGTCAAAGAAAAAGTCTTGTTCTTCTTGTATAATTTGTGAAGAAAACTCTTCATGGTCTTGATCACTCATAGTTTTAAAAAGTGTAAAAGAGAGAAAGGAGAGAAATTGACACCCAGTTTTTTTTTTGTTTTAGCTGGCTAGCGGAGTCCCCCTTCCAACAATAATTTTTGTTTATTTTTTTGTTTTGTTTTCCCCCCCTTTCTTTCTTAACCTAATGTTGCGCATTCTTCAAAGCCAAAAACTTTACCAACCCTTCGTTTCGAATAGACACGCGTTACAAAGACGTACATTAGCTTCTATCTCCAACGATTTAGAAAACGCTTACGATGTAGTTATTATTGGTGGTGGTGTAGCAGGTGTCACTCTTGCTTGTTCTCTTGGTAAAACTATATATATGTGTACACCGTACCCCTCCTCCTCTCACACTGACAAAAAATAATCTGTATGCAGCGTCTAGCCCATCCATGCGCCACAACCGTATTGCACTTGTGGAAGCGATGGATTTAACAGGCGTCCGAAACTGGGAACCACAAGCCGATAACTATTCAAACCGTGTTGTTTCTTTGACACCTGGTTCAATGGGATTCTTTGAAAGTAAATAGAGTTAATGCATCTACTAAAATATATATACATGTCTAAAATTTACCTTTTTATAGAGATTGGTGTTACAAAGCATATGGCATTGGATAGAGCAAATGGATATCGCGATATGAGAGTATGGGATGGTGTGACAGGAGCAAAGATTCATTTGGATGCAGCACTTTTAAATGGAAGTGGACACAAGGTCAAGGAAAATACAATTGCATACATGGTAGAGAATTTGAACCTTCAATCAGCCGCATTAAAACGTTTAGATGAATGTCGTGCTCAAGGTTCTCATATCGATTTGATTCAAAAGGTCAAAGTGGCCGAGATTGAGAAAAAGGTTGAAGATACACCACCCAAGGAAGGCCTTGATCTTCATGATTGGCCTACTGTTCACTTGGACAATGGTAGAAAATTAAAGGCTCGTTTACTGGTAAGTTTATTTGATTTTTTTGTTACGTGATGGGAAACAAAGATAGTTTCGTTAAGCTTTTGTTTTAGATTGGTGCAGATGGTATCAATAGTCCTGTTCGTAGTTTCGCAAAGATTGATTCTCTTGGTTGGGATTATGATGCTCAAGGTGTTGTAGCCACATTAAAGCTTGATCCTACACGTCCTAACAACACAGCATGGCAAAGATTCTTACCCACGGGACCTATCGCTATGCTTCCCGTAAGTTTAGAGTATAGTGCAAGAAAATATGTGTTTTTTTTTTAATCATGGGATATTCTTTTAGTTGAGTGAAGGATATGCATCAATGGTTTGGTCCACCAGTCCCAGCACAGCCAAGGCCTTAAAGAATGTTTCATCTACTGATTTCTGTCATTTGGTCAATGCAGCCTACCGCATGTCTCATGTGGATCTCAAATACCTTTACAAACAAATCGATATGAACAGTTTTAAATCTGCATGCGATATTGCTGAGGAATACAATTGGAGAGAGAGTGTGGCCAAAAAATCATTAAACGATCAGGAGATTTTAGACCGAGAATATTCACTTCCTCCTCAAGTCGTGCAAGTACAAGAAAAATCAAGAGCTTCTTTCCCCTTCAAATTGAGAAACTCGGAGAGCTATGTGGCGGATCGTGTGGCACTTGTGGGTGATGCAGCTCATGCAACACATCCCTTGGCTGGTCAGGGTATGAACCAAGGTATTTTGGATGTCGAGTGTCTCGCTCAACTTTTGGAAAGAGGAACAGTGGAAGGACAAGATATTGGAAGTATTCATTTGTTAAGACAGTATGCGTCTGAGAGATACGTGCGTAATATCATGATGATTAGTTCATGTGATAAATTACATCGTTTGTTCTCGACTGATGCTGCTCCTGTTACTTGGGCTCGTTCGCTTGGTTTAAATGCGGTGGATAATGTTGGGTTTTTAAAGGTAACTATTTGTTTTTATGCATTTTTAAATGGTTAGGGTGTTGTTTTTTTTAACTTTTTGTGAATTATAAAAGGCTGAGATCATGAAGTATGCTATGGGTATTGAATACACTGGCGAATTCAGACACTAAACAACATTCCCCCCTCCAAGCAGTTTGTAATTAAATGATCATAAGCTTAAAGCAACCATATTTACTTTTGGTTAACAGCCTTGATAAATTGTATATGTATGTCTCGTCCAGTTATAATGATATGTGTACATATAATATATGCCACCCTCCCACATCCTTTATATATATATATATATATATAAAAAGAATCTATGTCATAGCTTTTATTTAGGTTGTATCTGATTTATCACTTGATGTTTCTGATACAAGTAGCCCATCTCCAATATCAGAAGGTGGATTGACCACACCATCCATACCTGCTTGATCTTTAAATGATTGATAGATTTTACCCCACAAGCGTTCTCCAAAACCTTTCCAAGCTATTGCTGCAAATATAAACTCGATGATGGAAAATATCAATACGAACGTGAATCCAGTCATGATGCGATGGAAATACATATAATAACTATTTCATATAAAAAGATTAAAACCCTTACAAAAAAAAAAGAGAGAGAATGAGTATGCAGTGTTGAAATTACCGAAGTCCATGGAATTTGGCAAGTATCAGTAGCTTGGCATCGTATATTTGAATTCTTGGATCTGAAATGGCGACTTCCACTTGACTCACGGGTTGATTCTAACCACAGTATGAACCTCTTATTCAAAGAAAGAAAAAAAGAGAGACAAATGACATACCTTGATTGCCGTGAACTTATCTATTAGCTTAGTATGAATCACCTGGCTCTCCTCAGACAATCCAATCAAAAGTGGAATGGCTTTTGAGAATACTCTCAAGATTCTTTGCGATCGAGATTGATAGCGTAGAATAGCAGGACGACTTGATCTTAGGATAGTAGAGCCATTCTTGGATTGCAATTGCACATCAATCATGAAATTACCAATTCCAAAATTGATATCAGAGGTAGGCACTTTCAATTCGACTGAAACATCATACTCTTGCTCGTGTCGCAAAGGCTTTTTTTTTATAGCAGAAATGTCAGCTGAGTTTACGATGTTATATAAAAAACACTTACAACCGAGTTACGGACTGCAATATCGACCGTGGCTCGAGGACCTTGTGGAGCGGCATAATGGAACCAGATAGGTTGTACATGTGTAATAGGTGGGATGTATCTGTTGTAAAAGATAATGTAGGCAAACATACTGGTTGCTACAATATAAGATATGGTGATAGCCATGATGGTAGTTTTTACAAAAGTGCGTTGAGCTGTAGGCGCGAAAAATATTTTACAAAAGGGTAGCAGCATGAGTTTGATGGCATTGCCAATAAATACAATAACGGGATTAGGGGGTTGAGGTGGTTGCTCTTCTATTTCAGTGCCTTCTAGCTTCATCTCCTCTTCTTCGTGGCTGTCTTGTTCGTCTGTTGAAGGTACAACATGAAAGTTTTCAGACTAGGTAAAGAAAAGAGTCAGATATGACTGTGGTGGCCTTTTTTTTATATTTTATATGGTATACACTGTCAGCTTCAAATATGCCTTCTGATTCTGAACTGTAATTAGCCATTATGTTTCTTTTTGTTTTTTAAAAAAAAGGAAAGACATAAAACAAACTTGAAAGTTTCATGTCAAAAAAGCTGGGTCATTTGGTCACCAAAAGGAAATGACCAATCAAATTGTAAATGTAAGGTAGATCTGCTGCAAGCCAATCAAATTGCTATTATGCAGGTTTTCTTGCCTACCACCTCGCCTCGGATTGAAGCGAGTGCGGTGTTACGGATACTTATTGGGGAGTGTACAGATTTTTATCAATCAATTGTTTTTACTCGAATGATATCAATATAAAGAGACATACGAGTAAAATACAGGTATGATGTGTTTCTCTTTTAAATATACTGGTAATCCTGTCTTTTTTTTTTTTTTTTTTTTTTTTTTCACAAATGATCCTATTTTACATGAATGTAACCCCACATGTGCTTTATTTCTTTTTAAACACATTTTCCATACAAGTAATTTTTTTTTTATTTAGATAAACCTGTTTTAGTGATACCATTATTTGTTGTTTTGTTTTTTTGGTAACTTAGAATAATAATATTGTGGTCCAAAAGGTTCTTCCCACGATTTACAGAAATGAAAGAGAGAGAGAGAGTGTATGTGTGTGTGCTCTATAAAACAGACAATCCAACAGTTTATAAAAGTGAATCTTGTCATTGGTGATGTTTGACGTTACATCTGTAACTATCTATCCATGTCACAATTGACAATATATTTCAATCAGAGAAATGATTTCCCTCCCAGTGACAACTAAGATTTATTTATTTTATTATCTGTGAGAGAGATGAAGCGGCCGGCGGACGGGTCGGCATTTTGCTCCCCGCTTTTGAAAAGGGGAGAAAATATCCGCACAGATGTGACTGAAAAAGTTAAAGTCAATAATAGATCAAGAAGCACGAAAAGCTCTTGATAAGAATTGCGTGTAAAAATGTGTGTGAGAAGAGAAGAGTTTTGGATTTAAATATGACCTTATAAATTCACTATATGAGGTAATAATTGTTAAGCACGGTCGCGCTTGTTCGGGTGACACTTTTTTTATTTTAATCTCCACAAATGTAATTAAAAGCGGTAGACTTCTCAATTAATTTTTTTTTCTTTCTTTTTTGTATTCAATTACATTTTAAAAATGGTATCTTATATGAAGAAATCCTTAGGCTCTCTTGCAGGCTTTGGCAACCCCGACCTTCTTCCTCCTGCAGAATTACTTGCTGAAATACCACACCATGAAGACGAAGATGTGGACGATTGTACCGGTTGTGCCAATCCCTGTGCAGACCATAAAGCATACCCCTCCAACCTCAAAATCGAGCTTGATTTCCCTATTTTGGGGTCTGTGAAGCCTTACGGACGTCACATCATTATTGCCACAGGATGCTCCGACTGGCCAAAGCACATTGAAGATGACAATGGCACATTTGCTCAAAGTCTTTCGAACGCACAACGCACAAGTCAACCTTGGAAAAATTTAATGACGAATTCATCACTTGTTTCAATCCATTCAACCGTTCCTGATTCATGTGACGTAATGATCTTTCCCGATAATATTATTGTATCCAATGTTACATCTGATAAGGCACAGGATTTTTACGACTTATTTATCGGTACTGCTTTACCCACACAACCCATGGATATTGAATTCATGAATAAGGATGATCGTTTGGGTGAAATGCATATTATCAAAAACCCCTACAAGACCTTGCTGCTTTTATGTTCACATCGAAAGAGAGACAAGCGCTGCGGTGTCACTGCCCCAATTTTAGCCCAAGAGTTTGATCATGTGCTTCGAGAAAAGGACATTAGCGAGCATGAAGCTGCTGTAATTATGGTTAGCCATATTGGAGGTAAACAGATATACATGTACACACCATCACATTTTTTCACTAAACCCGATTGTTTTTCTTTTATAAAAAGGCCATAAAATTGCAGGCAATGTTATTTGTTATACCAACGAAGGTACAAGAGGTGTCTGGTACGGAAGAGTCAAAACTTGCCATTGTCGTCCAATTGTAGAGGAAACCGTCATTAAGGGCAAAATCATCAAAGATATCTACCGTGGTGCTATGGACAACAGTTTTGAAAAACAAACAAAGCGATCCATTTTAAACTGGTAGAACATAAAGAAGAAGAAATTAGATTAGATGTGATCCTGTCATACAAAGACAAAATATACCTTTTTTTTTTTTTCCCTCCCTTTGATGTTATCAGATTGTTTTTTAAGGCACATTATGTAATACCGGATGGGGTTACACCTAAAAAGCAAGTGATGCAATAAAAGACATGATTCAGTGTAGCTATTGTCCTTTTTTTCTTCTTCCTATCCATGTGTTTTGTTATAGGCATGTATTTGCTATACGTCTGTACTTCGTTACAAGGACTAACTGATCAAGTCTACCTGCATGTGAATAATGCAATTGCTCCATCGGCTGAAATTTAAGAAAAGTTTTAAAATAAGCATGTTTCCATTCCAGATGACCTTTTTTTAAAAAAAAGAAATAAGCCGTTGCCTTTAGCGGCTACCAGTCAAGCTTTAAACAGGAATCATGGCTGAAGAGATAGGTATCAGCAAACTGGAAAACACAGTCACCCATGACGTCGGAATCTGGATTGTGTGTGTGTGTTTTTTTTTTCGAGCTCTTGCCTTTTTTTTTTTTTCACCCAGGTCGGCCTGTCACTAACCCCCAGTTACAATTTTTTGAAGCTTTTTTTTAAAAAATGTCCAGCACCATCTTACAGGCACTCCGTCAAAATGGAGCTACTATGCGCAAGTTCAGCGCTTTCACACCTACTTGGATTCGCCCCATGAGCACAGCAGTTGGATCTACACCTGTTGCTCCTGTTACACCTGTTATTCCCACCATGACTAGCAGTGAAGTCCCCATTGTGCCTAACGATGAAGTTGTGAGTCAGTTAGTCAACACACTCATGAGAGACGGAAAGAAAGCCAGAGCACAACGTTTAGTATCCGACAGTATGAAGCACCTTGCAAAGAAAATCGGAGAAGAGACCACTCCTTACAGCGTTTTGTTGGAAGCTATTGAAAGCGCCTCTCCCTTATTGAAATTATCCTCCACCAAAAAGGGATCCAAAGTTGTCCATGTGCCTACAGCATTAAGAGACCGTCAACGTCGCCGTCGTGCTATTGTTTGGATGTTGGATGCCTCAAAGAAGCGCGGAGAGAAATCATTCGAAGAGAGATTTGCAGCAGAGGTGTTTGATGTTTCTCAAGGTATCAGTCCTGTCTTGCAAAAGAAGCAACAGGTTCACAAACAAGCATTAGCAAACCGTGCCAATGCCCAAGTCTCTTATAACACCCAACGATAAATTTATTACTACCATAAAACTCCACAATTCACAAACACACACAAACACATACGCCAACACGAACACCTTTTTTCTTAGAATGTCTACGCGATATCAAATATATACATAGTGTAATAAAAAAAAGTTTTTATTTTAGAAATGGTATATATAGATGGGGAATAGTGTAACCTTGTGATAGAAGATGTGCATTGAGAGATTAACGCTACAAAGTGGGGGGTCTGTTCTTTAGAAATATGTGGGTAAAGTGTAACCTCCACCGGATAGAAAGATGATCAATGCGAGATTAACGCTACAAAGCTACGTTCTAAATCATCAGATCCAGATTGTCCTACTATGACCTTCCCGCCCGATCCATTTCATGTCGGAACCCTTCATCGTAATGAAATACAACACTCTCATCTGATGTAACTCTAATTATTTTCACTGTTATATAAAGAAGGTCAACAGCTAGTTTTTTTTTGGCTTTTTTATTCTTATTATTTACTTTACTAAATAACTCTTATACAAAAATGAAATCTGATGGACCACGTTGCGAGTAAGTGTGCTGTATATATGTATATAAAATGAATTGTATGAACCTTTTGTATCTGATACAACATCATCTTTTTTTTTAAAAAAGTGATTGCGGTGATGACTGCAAATGTACCTCTTGCGATTGCAAATAATGGATTTTTGATCTCACCTCTTGTTTACTGCTAAATGATGATTGTGATACACACAAAACTTGAGTGTATCAGCCGTTCTTCAATTCTATTCTACAACCATAACAAATCTATTTTTAAAATAAAGATAATCTTCTTTGTTTGTTCAAACATTTTTTTTGTCATGTTACTAAAGCCTACAATATCTTTTTTAATATAACATTGCATGATGAATCACTATTCGATTTAGTTATATTTACCAAAGAATTCACCCAATTAAAGTCCAAACTTCATCTAAGCTCTTTAGTAAGGAATCTGAAAGGGCGAGACAATATCTTTATTTACTCCGTCATGTTTCGGTGAAGCCTAAGCAGTATACGTTGGTAAACATCGACCCCGTTGTATACCCTGTGTTGTTGTCAATGAAGTAAGTATCGAACAACTGATCAGTTTGCTTTTTTTTCACATCAAGCTATAATACAATGGCTATTGCTCATAATACAGTCTGTACATGTTTATGGAACCGGTTTTGGAGATGAAAACCGTAATTGAGAATCTCAAGGCAAAGAAACGTATCATTAATATCAATGATTAATTATTTTCATCTAGACGCAGAAAAAACAAATTTTATATAACTACTGCAATAAGACATGTTAGCTCTGTAATGATCCACCCTCCCCCCTTTTTTTTAATGAACCATATCATAAAAGGACGATGAGTGGAGTCACATTTTTCACAGCCTTATACGATTATATCAAAACGTATAATAAATTCGTACTGCTCAAAAATTGATTTCTGATTTTTAAATTCCATGCCTCATGTGCTGAGAGGACATAAAAGGACAAAGTTGTAGTGGGGTGTGGCAAAACTCAATAGACTATAGCCAACGTAACTGGATATGTCCAAGAAGCTATACATACAACTTTTGATTTTAGAATAAGATATAGTTGGTGGGTTGGTAAAACGTATTCTGGTATTAAAGGGCATGCATATAATTTATAAGAAGTAAATTTGTTTATTCGTGTTTAAAAAATAATGGAATTGTTACGATGCGGTGCTACGATTATGCGTTTTTTTTAAGAATAAGTTAAAAATCTATTTCTAAAGAGCAGCTCAAACTTTTAAACATAAAGAACTACACCTCAATAAAAAGCACTAAAATAAATGTGCGAAAAGGAATAAAAAGAAGATACAAAGAAGAGATTATTTTGATCGGCATGGAATAATTGATTGATTAATTAAGATTTATTTATTTTGATGATTGAAATCATCATTTAAAACGATGTTTCTTTAACTGATTCTGGGCTATTATCTTCCTCCTCGTCCTTATGCTCTTCCTCATCGTCATTACTCCAACTGGGAGTATCATCTAAATTAGACTTGCCCGGCCATTGTACCCTTGTACACCATATATCATCCTTGCTGTTTGCATGATCGTTCAAGATGCTATCGATCTTGTTGATATGCTTCTCCATGTTCACAGTTTCAATATCTTCCTTTAATTTGGTAATTGATTCCTACATAAATGTTCAAGTAATTGAGCCTGACGGTATCCTGAATTACATCTGTCGTATATTACCTTCATAGAAAAAAGAAGATTTACCAGCTTTTCTATTCCTCCTGCTTGGACAAGGGCTTTTGTCACCGAGTAAAGAATTGTCACAACCTCTGACATGTATTGCCAAAACAAGGTGAAGCAATACGCAATACATGCCATTTTTTTAAAAAAAAAGCTGATTTGCTTTTATATATCTGTCAACAGATACGTAAATAGCTGCGAATAGACTGTAAATAGCCCTTTTCGGGCCAAGCACTCCAAGGGCTCTTCAATTCCTTGAAGGCAAGATCGACAAGCTTTTTAATGTCACCTGCTTTGACGAGTACTTTGGTGACCGGGTAGAAAATGGTAGAATTCGCTAAAGAGTGCACGGCTAGCAAGTATTATTTGGATAAATTCAAGCTTGTTCTTCTGTCCAAATTGCATCTTAACTCTTTCGTAAACAATTTGAAGTCCGACCCAAAAACCATCAGTATCCCACTAATACAGATCATGGGATTCGACTGCCATGTACTTCATCTTGTTCTAATCAAACCAAGGCAATATATGGTCGTTAAGATTCCGGTCCTTGTATAATCCATGGGTTCCGAGGAAGTGGTTGTGCGAAGACCCATTTTTGCCTGGACCTTGGAGCTTGATAATGAATGGGGGATTGTGTCCCCCCTAAAGTATATAATTAGCACGCGTTGTTGGAATACTGCTTTATCATCACTTCATCGAAAAATGAAGTCTTTTTTTTTTTTTTTTTTTTTTCGCGTAATTTTAATCAATTGTTGGAGAAGACTTACCATTTAAGATCAATTTTGCTATAGCCAAAGACCTCCTCGAAGATATGCGACCAGAATTTGATCTTAAAATCTTCCTCGGAGTACTGGCGCATGTTGCTGGTGTAAAATAGGGAGGGCTTGTTTTGATGTTGGTTGAGGCTGAAACACAAACGGCAATAAATAAAATGACCAATTTTACTTTGTAATAGAATGCGCTTACATGAACCGAACAATTTCTTTTTGGCCTCGCTGAGTGTTACAAATCGAGTTTATTTTTTCAATTTGAGACAGTTTTGACTTGATTGAATCGGATTTCTCGAGGATATGGGAAAACTCCCGCCTTACATAAATTGTCTTGTTGTCTCGGATTGGGGAAAGTGCGCCAAATTCTGTGGTTATGTTAGGTGGCAAATTTTCACACTGTAAAAATTTGCCGTAGTCTAAAGGACCATGCATTAAAGCGACAGCAACCCTATAGCATAAATTCAGTTTTTATATTTCTGACAACATTTTACAAACTACTATGTATTACCACTCATTGCAACCAAATTTTTTTAAAAGGTTTTTTTTTTCCTTTTTTCTTGCTTTTATATATCTGTAAACAGATATATAAATGGCTGAGATCACACTGTAAATAGCCCTTTTTCGGCTCGAGCACCCCCAAGAGCTCTTCAACTTCTTGAAAGCAAGATCAATCCCTCCTGCTTGAACGAGGGCTTTCGTTATCGGGTATGAAATAGTTGCAACCTTAACAACCATATATTGTCTTGGTTTGATCAGGACAAGATTAAGCACATGGCAGTCGAATCCCATGATCTAAATTAGTGGGATACTGATGGATTTTGGGTCGGACTTTAAATTTTTCACTAAAGAGTTAAGATGCAATTTGGAAAGAAGAACAAGCTTCAATTTATCCAAATAATACTTCCTAGCCGTGCACTCTTTAGCGAATTCGGTCATGGCATAGTCAATTGTTGCTGATGTTGTTGTTATTCGAAGATCCATTTTTGCTTGAACCTTGGATCCTGATAACGAGTTGGGGATTGTATCCCCCCTAAAGTATATAATTAGCACGCGTTGTTGGAATACTGCTTTATCATCACTTCATCGAAAAATGACATTTGTTTTTTGCGTAATTTTAATTCAGACATACCACTGAGGACAAGCTTTGTTGTACCCAAATATCTCTTCGAAGAAAGAAGACAATAAATAAATTTTTATAATCTTCGATTTTAGGCCCGAGCTTGCGCCAGTTCAAAAAAGCACGCGCCTACTTTTTGTACTCCAGCACGCGCCTTTTTTTTTAAAAAGTGCATTAAGCGCAGCTCAATCGGCTATAATATTGTAAGTATTCACTCTATATTTTAAATCATAGAAAGACTGCCACTATCAAACTTACATTCGCCGGATAAGTGATTCCGATACGAATCCGTACTGCTGTCAGAACAAGTACTGATTTGAGTGACTCATCTGGAAACCAATGACTTAATTTTCATATTAAAAACAATATTTTGAAAACCACTACTTACTACGCACTTAAACCAATCAATATGTTCTTGTCGCTTTTAAACTTTTGCAACAAGTGCGTTGTTTTTAAATAGCAGGGACCACACTGTAAAAAGCCCTTTGTAGTTCGAAAACTTCAAAGGTTCTTCGAATTCCTTTTCAAACATGACTTAAATTCAGATCAAGAAGAGAAAGAGTTGTTCTTAAAATTTTTTAGGGATGCGTAAGAATTTGATAAACAAGGCGTGACGTATCGATTTCATGCATATGAAACTGAATGACGTATTCTTCATGAGGACTTTCTAAAACTATCGCAGTCATTTTGTGGGTGGTAAAACTAGAATGAGGAATAATTTATACAAGAGGTAATAAGCAATGACACAAGATAGCCATTACTTTTAGCGCAGCTTCAGTTTGAGTAAATTGCTTTGCGTTGGAATCTGTCAATAGTTGTGGAAAAAAGTGGCATGAAACGAGTGTGATAAATTTGTTCAGTTTCGGTTAGGAGCTTGTTTTATGATATCCGAGAAAGTAACAAGATTTTAATGAAGCTATCAGATTTTGAAGGTGTACGATTTCAGTAACATACATGTTTACTTTCACATGTAGCATGACATCGGCTATCACGCTTCAAAAAATTTCTGTGTCTGCAGGTGATAACTTTTAATGGAAATCATGCAATCACAGCTCATCATCGTAGAGTTGTCCGCAATTATATGATTGATAATTAACTAAGGCTGGAAAAAAAAAGAAGAAATGATAAATACACTTCTGCTGCTGCTGTCGCTGTGGACACATTTATAATCATGATATCCAATTTGGCACTGACAGCCTCCGCTTGCATCTCTCTTGTACCACAGCACCGTTCTTCTGGGCCTATTCTTGCCAGAATGATCGATATTGTTGGTGGATTTCGGGACAGGGCACTTTTAACCAGTCGATCAGCTCTTCTTTTTTTTTATGCCTGCGTATGTTGTCTCCGTATGAGTATATGAGGTGATACACAGTAAGCAATTGCATATAGACATGATTTTTTTAAAAAAAAAAAAATTACTGCGATGTTAAGTATTGAAGAGACGCAGGATATTTGAAGCAAACGGTTTTGAATGCTACAGATCTTCTTAATGATACAGTTCTATCATGCTCTCAAGCGATGCACCTAAAACCGTCTATTATTCCGTAATTATGTAAAGATATTTTATTCTACCTGTACCTGTTGTTCTCTCGTTGTTTGATTTGGTAGAACACCTACGCATATGTCATTTATCAATTTTTCATCGTAACTGTAAATGATAGATTTATGAATATCAAGTGAATCAGGAATATGTATAAAAGGTTGGAAATTTATAAACATTGACATCATTAGAAAGTAATTGATGAAAAAGGGCGTGTCACAGGAGAGTACCCGATTATATATTAAGAAAAAAGTGATTGCTAATGGTAAATATGAGCATCCTTGTAACTTCAGATCAATTTTTACAAAGATTAAGCTTTATTGAATATATAAGAATCATATAATGCCTGTTAGTAAGGAGTCAAAAAAAACTATTGAAAACTTTTCCGTCGTAAAAAAAAAAGAAGAGAGGGGGGAACAGACGAGGGGGAGCCGGAGGAGATAGGTTGTTGGTTTAAAGAAAATTATCACATCCGACATATCAAGATGTACAAATCAAAGCTTTTTTTTTTGTTTTGAGCTAATGCATCTATGAATCTGGAAAACTTATGCAAGTATGGTTTCATCTTTTTCATCTGTAGTTTATCCGATGCTTTTGATAAAAAAAAAATCACTCCTTGATCGTAAAATGAAAAAAACTTGATCGATTACGTGTGAAGTAAATTTGCGCGACAGTAACACAGGAATCACCGTGCATTGAGCCGGCTTAAACAAACAAACAAAAATGTTTTTTTGTGAGTGTTTAGGGCCTAGATTTATTATGTTTACCGAGCAATGTGTTAAGAAAAACATGGTGTAATGTAGTAACGCCTATTTTGTTTCATGATTGTATTTCAAATTGTTCACTTACATAAAATTAGAAATCTATAAACAGACAGACAGAATTAAAATGACGGTTTATGACATAGAAATCAAGTGTATGCGTTTTACTTGACGCAACTAGATAAATGAAACATATCTGTGTGTGAGTGTTTGTATGTATATATGTGTGTGTGTACATATTCTAGACAATAGGGATTATTATAGGCGTTTATTCCTTTTGGGAACCAGAATCATGCGATACACAGTCATATCAGTTTGTTTGGACAATTTTCATGAATGAATATTCTGTCATGGAAGGTAATAAAAGTATGTATGTCTGCAATGTATTGAGCCTTATTGCATACATATCATCTAACAAATGGTAAATAGCGAGCGTATACATGTACATATTGTTTAGTCAAGTATTAAATATGACAAAAAAATGATTCATCGAATCGCTTTTATGTATCAGTCTATATTTTTTTTTATATCTGGATACACTGCGTTTATACATGTAGGAGTATTTCTGATGAAACGTATATGAGTGTAATACGGAAACTGTAGTCGAGTGTCATGACCGAATAGCTAGACCCCCGCTTCTTTTTTTTTTTTAATAAAACTAATTTTAACCTGATTACCTAATTGTTATTATGATATAATTCCTACACTACTTTTTTATTTATTTACGGTTTTAGTACAGTCAAAGCCCCGTAGATTTTTGACCTAATTGATTTTAATATCATTATCTAACACCGTTTGTGTTTGCCTCTCTAATTGTACACAATGGCTTGCTCCCGCACATGATGGAAACGACGTCATAAGGAACATATAGGGTGACATAAATATCTATTCCAAAATAAATCATATACAATTTAAGAAGGAAATGGATTATCGTGTGTGTAAATTTATGATAGGTGGAGATGATGACTTTTGTTCATTAAACAGGAAATAAAAAAATCCCTCCTCTTAAAACACTGTTTTGGTCCTATATAAACTTGCAGTCAATGAGGGAGTTGCCACGGATGTAAGACCAATTTATAAAGATCGTTAGTACCTTATTTGGTTTCAAATGAACACTTGAGATCCTACATATAAGCAACTGTATACGCTTTCATTTAACTCGGGCTGTCTTATAGACATTTTGATTTTATACAGACAGAGTAAAAAAGGAATTAGTTATTTAATAATCTTGACACTGTATCCCGGAGAAGAATGGTATGACCCGTTTGGGTGCAAATCTGTCTCCACACCCGAACGCAGACAAAGAAATATACCGTCATTTGAAGAAACAACTAAAGAAACCAAGTGACTTTTCGATTGAGGCTAAGGATTATATCGGTGATATAGTCGCTGCAGCAAGTATATTTTATATCCAATTTTCAGGTTCAATCAACTGATATGTTATTTTTTATTATTCTTAGAGTAATATCGATGAGTTCGAAGAGATTAATGAGACCAAGGCACTCGTAGAAGATAATAAAAAAACATGCCGATTTATCAATGGAACGTAATAGGATAGTTGGTCATTTATTCATTATCTTTGTAATGGATAAAATACGATTCCAAATATAGAATGTCTTGTCGAGATTTGTAGCTGACCACTATAAATATGCGTTTGTGGAAGAGTTTAGAAAACTCAAACTTTATTTGGTACAGCCAAGTGGTAAACAATACTATAAAAAGCCTTTTATTTATTTGTGTTAATCATGTTAATTTTTCACAACTAGACATATATATTCGATTGCGGTCCATGCAATACACAAAGCATGGGATATATAACTTTGTTCAGGGAAAAGAAAATCTTGGTAGGAGAAGATTTTATAAAAAGATTTAAGAGTACAACACTTCATTGTTCAATTTTTTCTTGACCTTGAAGGTACATTCCTGATTCTAAATGATTGAGAAGAAAAATAATAGCAAGTCTTATTTAATTACTTGGTGAGCTGTCTCGAAGAGATAATGAAGGCTATTGCTCTTTTGAAAGCCAGCGGAGGTGTTATGACAGCGAAAACAATAGTCAAGAGGTTCTTTTATCAGACATAATATGCCCAAGAATTTTCAAGTTGTTATAATACTCATGGGCAACACTTTGCAAATGAGCATTTCAAAAGCTCACCTGAAGTGATTATTATTTTTTTTTTTTAAAAAAAAACAAAGTTTGTGTGTTTCTAGTAAATAAAATATGTGAGCTCCAACTTGTTTCTTAAAGCTCAGTTTTTATCTTGAAAAATAGATACTCATGTACTCTCTTGCAACCATCCGCTCATCAATTTGGTCTGCTGTATGAATGGGTGCATTATTCATTACAATATAGTAGCCTTTTGCTCGGGAAAACAATCCAACTCGTCCATGGTTATTTTTAAAAAACTTCATATTTTTTAAAAAATTTCATATAATGACCAGTGCGGGTGCCTTTTGATGTTGACTTTTTCTTTTCAGTAGGTGATTTCCTTTTACGGTTACTAAAGTTAATTTTAATTCGTTTTGAGGAATTCTTTTTGGGGATTTTAAAGTTCCATGGACAAAACAAACTTTGTCGTGTTAGCACCTGTAATATAATGCGGGAAACAGCTCTGCCGGTAAGAGTGTCTGTAACAGCTGGCTTTCCTATCAATGTCTATCCACTAGATGACCTCATGTTAATACTAAACAATTTTTCAGGTAGTCTATATCCGTTGTACTCTACATAATAGCCCAATTCTTACGATCTTGGACTATTTTTTTAGCGGTTGGTTGAGTTGTCAGATTTTTGAAGGAAAGAGTGCATTCAATTTTCAAAAGGTTGTGGACAGTGCTCTTTTTTCACAACCAAGATCCGAGAATGTTTGTATGAAAAAGGTCTATTACATTAATTATTCGTGCTTGCGGTCATTTGTCGTAGAAGTCTAGAAGGTGAAGCTTGTGCTTATCATCTGATGATTGGTTTTTAGTTTACTAACCAAAATTGGTCTGCTTTTCAAAAAAAAATATTCGAGTCTTTTATCCTCATCAATATCAAACGATTGTATCTCTTGTTATGATTGGGTACGTTGGGATACGGCTAAATTGCCCTTTTTAACTGAAAAGGGCGAAATAAAATCATACGTTGTACACATTACATCGTAAATTTATTCAACTCCCGGTGGGAAATCATCATCATCATTTTAAGGTTTTGGGGATTTTTTTTTTTTTTTAAAAAAAAACATGGGCACTGATAAGTTAAAAGAATGGGGGCCCGAGCGCATGTATCACAAAGCTATCATGACGCTCTCTCTCTCTCTCTTTTTTTTATTGTTGAAAGTCTAAATTAGTGTTTCTGTGTAAGGTACAAACTCAATTTGAAGTAATACCAAAAAAAAAAAAAAAAAAAAAGTGATGGGTGACATTTATTTTTATTAAGAAACTAATATTTAGTAAAGCCAGCTTTTCTTCTCATATGAACACCCTTAAATTTAATCAAGACCAATAATGCCATACCGATAATGTTTAAGGAAGCCAAAAGCACAGAGACGTAACCGATGGATAACGCGGATCCCATGATGGGAGATACCATACTCAAGATGGCCGCCATGGTCATTCGAAAGAAATTACAAGCGGCTGTGACCGAAGCTCCTTTTCCGGGAATTGAATCTACCAAGTAGGCAGAACCTGCTGTATATACTATTTCGTTCTTTGTGAGTTTTATCATGGATGAAAATCAATTTTTTGATAGGTGGATCTATTTTACCTTGACTCATGCCAAAGCATAAGATACTAAATCCAATAATAGCGGGCCAGACAGTGAAGCCTGCCATAATACTCCAACCGAATAATAATACACCTAATGGGATTAAAATAAATCCTCCAGGCCTGTCATATGCATATGAGATACAGTTTTTTTTTTTTTTTTTTTTTAGAAAAAAAGAAAGATAAAGTGTCATAAAAGAAAGGGAACTTTACCATGCGTTTAAAGTGAGTCTATCTTCAGCTTTAGATAAACCTCCTCTTTGATTACTTGAACGAATCAACAAGTAATCCGATAGTCTACCGGATACAATAGATCCAAGCACATTTCCAATTCCCGCACCGATAAAGCTAAGGCCTATTTTATCCAAGTTAAAAGAAGACCGAAACCATAACAAAAAAAAAATTACCTGTTTGCCATGAATCAAATCCATAATGTTCATAATAAAGATCAGGTATTAATGTTTCAAGGGTAAACATGGTACCAAAGCAAAAGCCAATTTCAATGGCAACGCAACAAACGAATGCATATTTCAACATCATGAAACTTTTAAAGGGATTAAACCTAGTAGTATTTTCCACTGGTGGTGGTGGTGGCGGAGGAGTGGAGGGTTTAGGCTCTTCTTGATCAAGAACGACTACGGAAGAAAGATCGACCAAGGTGGTTTGACTTTGTAGTTCAGTAAATGTTTGATCCCATTGATGATCCAAGCGATATGTCTCTGGGAAGAAAAAGAATAAAAACAAGAATAAAAGGACACCATAACCTGCGCAGATCCAAAACACGCTACGCCAACCGATGGCTGTTGTTACGCCTCCACCCACAATGGGACCTGCAAAAAAAAACAGATGATGTCTGAGTGCTATATAAAAAAGTTTTTGAGAAGAGCTAGATTTTTTTTTTTACCAACTAAGGGACCGAGAAATTGACCTACGAAAAGAAAACTGAATGCGGAACCACGTTCAGTAATTTGCCAGCAATCCGCCACAGTACCTGCACCCACCGACATGGTGACTTTTTAGGTGAAAAAAAAGGGTTAAGACAGAAGTTTAAGAAGACAGGTAAAAAGCATTGTTTTTTTTTTGGTACCTGATGTTCCGACGGATTGAATACATCGAAAGACGACCAACATCCAAATACTACTTGATAGAGCACAGCCCACAGATGCACCAATAAAGATTAATAATGACACTAAATAAAGAAACCTTTTTTTGATAGAAAAATGAATTTTAGAAAGAAAAGAGAGAGAGGAACCAGAAAAGTACCTTCGAATATGATAATAATCTGACATGGAAGCCCAAAACAATGGCTTTGTTAAATAAATGAATTTGTCAGTTAAAAAAAAAAAAATGAAGTCATATTCTTCATGATTTCACTTACGCCGATACCACCGAATAAGATGAACAAGGAAGATACGAGTGTGATACCTATTTCTGTAGCATTCAAGTCTACACGAATATCGGGAATACCTGGAAACTGTTGTATTATTTTAATATATGATGTCATTTGTAGATTGGGACAAAAGCTTTTTTTTTTATTATTTACGTAGACAGTGGAGCAAAATCCATTCAACGAAGAGCCAGCTGCCAAACAAGCCAAGATCAGACGTTTCTTGTTTTTAGAAAATAAGCGAGGATCGTTGGGTACGGAAGGCTGGAAAGCCATTCTTTGTTGTACAGATGTTTTGAACTTATGGAAAAGACGATGATATGCAAAGGAGCGTTTGTTCTTTTGATGTTGACGAGAGGAGGAGGAAGGGCTTCGTTTGACATGATCGTCGTTGATGAGGAGTGACCGTCTTACGTTTTGTTCTGTGACAGTGTAATTAGTAGAGCTTGTACCTCCTCGATCAATAGGGTCTAACCTAGAATCATCGTCTTCCGGGGATAAGATGAGAATACTTTCCATTGGAGTCTCTTCCTCTTCTTTATTACGCATGATCTTTTTTGTTTTTGGAAAAAGAAGAGAAACGAAATAGAAGGGCTCAAGGCAATTTATAAATATATATATATCTTTTTGCTTGTATTGAATAACAGGTTCGCAATGAGAAATCTATTTTTAATTATCATATTTTATGAAATACATATATACTTGCTATGAACAGGGCGGATGACAAGTAAAATTATGCTTGTCAAAAAAATAAAGAGAGATCTGACAAAAAATGGATTTTTAGACCAATCATGATGCACAGCTGAGGAATTCTCTGTTATTTGTTGCGCATAGATTATAATAAATAGCTTTTCGGTGTTTGTTATTTATATAAAAATAGAACGAATCTATTTATTGCAAACCATCATGTTGCTCTCATAAGACGTGTAAAGATGGTGATGAAAAAAAAAAAAAAAAAAAACTTTGCCAGAGCTATCAACAAGAGAAGCTGAGTATATATATGAAGGATATCATGTGGTGGACGTGCCAAACATAAAATAATAAAAACTGTTCTAGACTTTGTAAATGATAACAGGCTTAGAGTAAAGAATAACAAATTGGGTTTAGGTATAATGTTTACTCTATATCCGAACTTTTTCTTTCTTTCTAACCTAACCCCCTTTTAATTCACGGAGGTGCATATGTTGCTGTTTGAAAAGCAGTATACAGATAAAATATCCACATGGTAACCTTTTTTTTTATTATTATTATTATTGAGAATCCATACAACAATGATTTTTTTATGAATACAGCAGGCTTTTGTTTATTGTTTACAATAGGCGCGGGGTTTTTTTTGCATACTAAAAAAACTAGAATTGATTGTTTCAAGAGGCTTATGTCTGTTTAAATTAGAATTTTTATGTAAAGTAAAAAAAAAAAAAAAAAATAGGTTATTGACGAGAGATATAACAAAAGGGTAAGGTGAGATAGGGTGATTTAGTCTATTGGACTTGAAGTGGTAGATGAGTTTCCATTGGGAGTAAAGAGTCTACTGGTTGGCCTCTTCATGTTCTTTGGAGAATTTGCAGTAGTAGCCGAAGCGGAAGAAGAATCATGCAAGATTTTTTCTAAAGTGGGTTCATTTAAGAAGGTGCCTTCATTTGCAGCCCTTCTTAATAGATTTGTCAGGTGTCTTATCTGCAGGTTCAGTGCAGCCAGTTCTTCTGTCCGTTTCTTTAGCACCTGGGACTGAGCTTCATGAGCCTGTTCCAGTTTAAGTTTGGCATCGGAAGCCATGAGTTCTCTTCTTTTGAAAGTTTGGACTTGTTTTTGTTGAGTGGATTGTAATTCACGAGATTTCTCGAGTTCTGATTTGAGGTTTCTGTGGAGTTGTTTTTTATCGAGTTTGAGGGCTTCTATATCTGCGCGCAGACGACCAATGATACCCTCTGCTTTTGCCTGTGATGTTTGACCCTGCGTGGTGGATTGACGTTGCTTTTTCCGTAATTCCAAATTCTCTGCTACTAATAATTTGAGCTTGACTTCGTATTGGGATCGTACTTCGGAGGCCTGTCTGTTTTCCCGCAGGTGGTGTACAGCGGTAGTTTTACCTGCGATGGGTACAATGGAGGAAGATGATTTCCGGAGTGCAGCGTCGCGTTGAGCTTGCATGTCCAAAAGATGGTCTTTTAGTTCGTTCAATCGAGTTTCGTAATTGGACTTCATTTGAATGAATTGGGCCTGGGCTTTATCGAGTTGACCCACTAATTCCCGTTTTACCAGTAAATCTGCTTGAATTTGGTGTAACATCTTGACAATGTTTTTGCTTTGACGTTTTGTAGACATGTCTTTGGATTTGGAGGAAGTGACAAGGAGAGAGGTTGTTTTGTGTGTGGTGGTTGTCATGGAACTATCGGTGTCGTCCCACATGGAGTCCAATGAGATGGATTTTCGTTTGGAGGAGGTGGCTGATTTGGGAGGAGGTGGAGCATCAGACCAAGACGGTACAGACTAAATGGAATTATTCCTTATGAGTTTTATATATATATATGTATTTATAAAGAGATGAAGACTCACCAAGGCTTCTAATTCATTTTCATCCAGTATATCATTATGGTTCTCTTTTAGTGATTCATCGAGTGACTAATATATAAAAAGGGTTTTTATGCAATATTCGCTAAGTAAAATTTAGAATCTCTCTCTCTCTTTTATATATATATATATATATATATATATATATAGTACTGTTTTATTGTTTTTTACCTTTTCATCGGTGGTATACAAGTATTCTTTTCGTAATAACTCTAATAAACCATCAATATTTTTCTTTTTGCTAGGTAGATTAGCCGAAGAAGATTTCATGCGATGCATGACGGGTCGTTTCTTGTTATTGAGTCTTCGTGAAGAAGAGGAAGATGAGGGAGGACCGTGATAGTGACGAGCATCAGCTAATTGTTGTTTTAGGATTTCTATTTCAGCATGAGAATGGTCGAGTTGGAGTTGTAAGTCATCCGAATTGCGTAAGGAACGTATAGAGTGCAGTACTTTTAGAGTTTCAGTGGTATCCGAGATGGAAGGACTTACACATGCTAGTAACAGAATGTGACTTTTTTCCACCGAAAAGGAAGACACATGACGTCGTTTAGCTATAGAAAGAGAATTGGGGCACTAGAACAGAAAAGAAATAAATAAATAAATGAATAATTTTAAATGGGACCAAGTAAATGTTAGGTTACATTGAATTCAGAGGCGAGATGAATGAATTGGAGGGTGGAAATAATGTGTTTATCCGGTATATCATTTTCGACTGATTGAATGATATCTCCATCCGATATGTGTTGGTGAAGAGTGATTGAGAATACACTGGATTTTGATTCAGAGCTATTTTCTTGCAAGAAACTAAAAATACAGATATGATGTAAGTATGATGTCTTTTAGCTTTCTTGAAATTACCAACTTTTGGAGTTGCCCAACCGAATCAATTCTATGTTCATCTTTTATGTGCGTCATATTTTGAATGTCTTTTTGAAATGCAATATGAATCTCAAATGATTGCCTTCCTAAAGATTTGCTGCTTTTCTCAATCATGCTTGAAAATAACCAATGAGCACATCGATAAATTAAACCTAAGTGCATTTTTAGTACTACTAACAAAAAAAAAAAAAAAGCTGTTTTTCTTGTATCTACCTCCATCCAAATTTGACTCAAAACCTGTTCCTAGACTGTACGTTTTCCCAGAACCTGTTTGTCTATACATGACCTTTTTATTTTAAAAAAACGATTCGATACTATTTCTTTCAGTACTTTATTTTTTTACCCATATGCAATTAATGTCACATTTTCACTAGAAAAGACACCGGAGTTAGCAAAAGTTCAGGTACCAAAAAAATAAATAAAAAGGAAAGTACCCTCTTTCAAAAGCGTCCATGAGAGGAAGTAAAGTGAACTTGAATATATCTTCTTGTGTTGACTGAGGTTGATAAACACGGTCGACATGAAAAGTCTCGTTTTCTACAACCACATTGTTCTCATCTCGAATCAAGAAAATGTCTGATTCGTTCTTTTTTAAGGGTCTCACCCTCAACGCCACTCTAGAAAAGAACATTAGATTAAGCCATATTTTTTTTTTTTTTTTTTTTTGTGGGTCCCATTTACTTGACAGGTGTTGTTGTCATGAAACGGTCACAGGCTTATTTTAAAATAATAATAAAAAAAGAAAGGGTTTTGGGACAAAAGAGAAAAAAAAAAAAAAAAAAAAGAAACAGTGGCGGAGATTACGGGTAACAATCAAAAAGGAGTGTAACACGTTTTAAGAAAAAAAAAAAAAGAGAAGAGTCCAGGCCCCCCTTTTACTTTGGGTGGATCGGGACCTTTTTTTTTTTTTTTTTTTTTTTCTCGCTTTGGCCTTAAGGAATCATGCCGGCGTACATACCACTAAAGTATAAAAGTAAGTCGATTTTTTTGAATTAAAAAAAAATTATTTCTTTTCCCTTTTAATTTTTTTCATCAAAAAAAAAAAAAAAGCATCACCACCACTAGTAAAAATTAATCACAAAAAAGCGTATCTTAACTGGAAAAGCAACAATTTTTAAAAAAAGATGAACTCTCAAAACACTCGCCGTAATTCATTCTCTTCGTTTGTCAAGAACTTGATATTACTTGTTTCGCCCTCCCAACATCAAGCCAATGATGAAGATGAACTTAGTTTGGAAAGAACCACGACATCCGAAAGTAGTCCATTTCAAGACATGTATTTCTCTTTCCCTGCCTTTGAAGAGACCTATGAAGATTCCAACTGTGCCCATTCAACTTTTATCTCTCCATCCAGTATTGTCTGTTAAAAAAAAACAAACAAACAATAGCTTCTTTTGTATATATTTCTTTTTTTTTTCTTCTTTGTATATTATTTACCCTTCTTTTTAAACTCTATATATCTTACTGTACAACCCATTCCCATTAATTCATACAATACATAAATAAAGTCGTTCCAACCCTAAAGGACAGTTTTTTTTTTTTTTAAGCATCATTTGTTTCACGTTTTTCCATGCTTCTTCATGACCCTATACAGCCAAGCTGACAGCTCTGAAGCCATAGTTACCGTCTCCACGAGGGTTAATCCATTGCTAGAATACTCGCAGCATCCATATTCTCTAGACGTGCATATAAACTTGCATCTGAATCTTGAGCTACAAATTGCTGCATCGGAAAATCTGTAGCTAAAAAAAAATGCTTTGGTCAAGTTATATAAATCACCTAGTGATTTTTGTATAAACTGTTATATTTGCAGGGTAACTATGGATACAAAAGAAAATATAATATTATCATCAATTAAAAGATTTTTATAATAAAAATCTCTATTAAATCACTCATAATCGTTGCAGAAATCAGTCTTTTTATCTAAATTATGCGCCTTCCTCTACTCATAAAGAACTTGTGACACAAGAGTATAATTAAATGATACGATCGAATAAGATCAAGAAATGACCTCAATCCATCGTATCACCTAGTTGATTCATACATTAAACTATGTTCACCTTTTGATAGAGCTTATTGGGCTTAGCTAACTCAATAAGATACGGAACCACTATTAAGCGAAGAGAATATAATTTAATAGATTAATCAACCCCGATATTTACCTATAAGTAGGAAAACCACTATATGCAAATATTGCCAGGTTTAACGTACGTATGGATTTCAGTTTACATTAACAGTGCTATTCGGGATAAAAATATGATGAGTGTAAAAAACTTTAACTTTAAGATTTTAAAGTTGAATGTTAATTTGGATTTTGATCCTCCACAATGGATCATAAAATATCTATGAAGCGATAGTTACACCAATAAAAAGGTAACCGGCATAAGGACGTCAATAAGTGGATACATTTATAATCCAGACGACTTTATGACCAAAATTTCATCACACGTACTGCATAGCAAAGCCATCTTTTGAATGAAAAAATTTGTTATCAGACATTTAGAGTAAACGCTAATATCGCCCTTTTACTTACGATCAAGCTTCGCTTTTTTTGTCATCACCCTTTTCACAGACGAAGAAGAAAACTTTTATGGACATGAATCCAGCACAGAATTTGTTTGCTAGACGGAAAAAGTAGCTCCAATTCCTTTAATTAAGGCCTCATCATTATCGGTAACAAAGTACTTTGGATGAACATCAACTGGCTTGTTATTTGGCCAAACTTTATCACGAAATGAAGCCATACCCCACTGATATATCTCAAATGTCTCACAATCCATCTAACAGCCTGCAGTTGAGACAGTCGTCAATTTTTTTGGTTTTTCTTTTGAGCGTAGAGTCCCTGCTATCACAAAATTGAGCAAAACCATTTTGTGTGAGTTGGTTTTATACGTTGCATCTATGACGACGCATTCAGACCGTCTTCTATTTTCCATTTTTCCATTTTCATGAATAAAAAACACCCTCCTCAAACTCTTTCTTTTTCGTCAACCTTGTAGCGAACTTCATGTCCAGTAAGCTCAAGGTCCTTAATGAATTCACACAATTGAACCCCATCCAAATCGCGGCAAAAACGTTGCTGTATATTTGTCAAGTCTGTGACAGTAACGTTGTTGATGCTTCTAATTTCAAGTATCTAGTGTGTCATACAGGGAAAAAAGGGGGAATAGGAGAGTCAACATACAAAAGCAAAAGTCGTTCACATTAGAAAGTAAGATTTATTGTCAAGTAGTTATGTTCATTTTATTTGTTATAAATAATCAAATGAAGACTACGCTAATCATACTTAACTCGCTCGTGGTAAAATTGACAAAATTGAAATACTTACCTTCAAAGTTTCACTTGGTGTAGTTCCGCTCTTCAAAACACTAATTGCAAACTTTTGGTTTTCAACACTCAACTTTCTAATACAGCTGTACATTCACTCGTCAAGGCTTAAAGGATGGTTGTGCTCGAAACAAGCAGATTGAATCACCCACTCCCCTTTGGCACACCTAGCATCCAATCTAACGTAAACAAACACAGAACAGCCCGTTTTTTTTTTCGGTCTTTCACGAGGGACGCTTATTACAATCACCTTCTACACCTTCATTTCCATCGGCAATGTCGCCAAGAGTATCTCCTCGTTCGACAGTTTGGCCGTCCTTATCCATATTATCTTTAAAGAAAACGTTATTACAGACTTCAGAAAATGTCAAAAACATTTAAAAATACCTTTTTGTCTAGTCGAACGATAAGAGACAAAGTGCTTACATATAAGCTTAATATAAATAGAACTGCTTCTTTGCGCTTCAAATGGAATGTTTTTAGATCTGCTCAATTCTTGGATGTTAGTCTTTGCAGTATCTTTGTCGACAAAACGCTTGCCGACTGGAAACGCTTCTTGAAAAGCTTCCTGTGACTTGATGAATTCCTCGTTTTGGCTGACTGTTTCAGCAAAAGAAGGTACAGTAATAGTAGCGGTGCAGTCTTCAATTTCAGCTTCTTCTGCATCGCTCAAGCTATCCCAATTAAGCATTTTTTTTTATCATCATCCTTTACATATCCCTGTTTTTCTTCCTTGCTGATAGCTTCAATTGCCAGTGACTCTTCAAAACCATCGTTAATTACATCAGTGTTCATTTTTGATAAAAGAGCTTTGATTGGTAATTCGTTGTCGTCCATTTCGGTTTGAGAGATTTTTGGATTCATTTTGCAGGCAAGAAGAAAACTAAATATAAAAAAATCGAAGTGGCATATTTGGTGTACTTCAGTATTGAAAACTCTGCCAAAAAAATAAGTGTGGTGTCATAAAAAAAAAAGTGTGGCGTGGTTGAAAAAAGTGTGGTGTTGTCCGTATAATCATCCAAAATTATTACTGGTAGTTTAAAGGCGGAAATGTCTAGAACTCCGTATTTTTTTTTTTTTTCAAACGTATTTTTTAGAATCATGTGATGGTCTACACGTCTATTGACATGCCATATCATCTAAACTTCATAAGGAAGGATTGGAATAGATTTTTATCCGGGAAGATCAGATGGGAGCGAGGATTGGAAGTAGACATAAATATTTTGATCAGTTAATGGTTTATGTTTCAGTGCTGGGTTGCTATTGAATGTCAAGTAGATTATAGGCTGGATATATAGTGTGTATATATAAATAATGGTATTGCTAGTTATGCTGATATAAAGTAAAAAAAAAAAAAAAAAAAAAAAAAAAAAGCCCCTTACTGTTTATTATAATAAAGGAAAAGAAAGCCGAAGCATGGCCATTGTTGAGGACATTTATAGCATAACCATATTATATTACAAATAAACAGGACACAGGTCACTCTGAGTGAGATGTCTCTGTATGACAAAAATCATTGGAAGTTTATTGAAAAAAGGTCTGCTAAATTACCAACGAACTGGAATGATCGACTTTGTTTTGTTCAGTATCTTGAACTTTTAGCAACTTTGTATGTATGTATACTGCAATCGCAAATATGAAGATTTATAGTTACTCAGACTATTTTATATAGGATGGCATTCTTACAACACAACAGGTGCAAAAATAACTAGTAAAAGAAAACCTTGGGCTCGTTGAATTTAGTGAGTCATCTGTCGAATCAATTAGCAAAGAAGCAAATGTTCTTCTAGAGTAATACAGGTTCAAATAGTAGTATGTTTTGAAATAGCTTATGATTTGAAGTAAAGTGTTTTTGTCCTTTTTTTAAAACTCCCTTTTTTTTTTTTTTTTGTCCCATGCTCTCACATTTAACTATAAAATGTTGTATGCGAGAGCATTATCGTCTCCCCTCTTCATTTTTTTCCTTCTTTACTTTATCTTTTTTCTTTAATTTTAAACACACTGGTCAGTCTTGACATTAGCATTGACATCAAGCGGTTGTTAATTGTATGCTACGAAGTGTAGTTGTGTGTTATTTTGTTTCTTTTGTTGTCATTTTATTCAATTGACTCATATCAACTTGGTGGTAAGACTTTCCCCCTCATGTTCCCTTTTAACTCTTATTCGCATCATTGCATTTCTGTTTAGTTGTTTCATTTATTTCAATAAATAATCTATCATAAATAGCGGTCAAAAACTATCGTCCTAAATTACTTACTGGATTTCCCACCGTATTTTCAAAAAGTCGGCAGTAAATTTTTAAAAAGCCTTTCACCGTCTTTTTCAAAAAGCTTCTTTTAATTTTTCAAAAACATAGCCTTAATTTTTCCAAAAACTTTTACCATGTCCATTGTCATTTTTATGAGCGATCTTAATCTTGATGTAGAAGGTGACGACGAGACTGAAGAGCTGTACGTTCACTTATACCAAAAAAAGTGCTGGATCAGCATCTAGCGTTACTGAAAGTGCCATGGAAGTAAATAATGATATTGCTGACAATTTGGAGCTTTTCCCTGATAGTAATGACGTGACAACAACAAAGGTTTGGACGAAGAGAGTACCCGAATTGATGAGACTTTAGAAGAAGCACAAACTCGTGTAAAGAACTATTGTGACCTTCATTTTAAAACCAGCCCGAATTTAAGCAGAATCAGGCGTATCAGGCGTATCAGGCGTAGACGCGGAAGCAGATACAACATTTGAACCATTATCTTCTTGATTTGCTATGGTATTATTATGTGTCTTTGTGGTATTTTCATGATTTTCACTTTCGACTTGTTCCGCAGCATCACTATCAGACTGTTGTTGGCCATAATGTTTATAAAAACTTAGATTCAGGAGTTTCTAATTGAAAAATAAACTATAGTCAGAGAAGAACTTTATCAAGCCGAAAATAAATTTACATTGATATCATTAAGAGGTGCTGTCTGATACTTCTTCATTGATGTTTGTGTTTGGCCAACTGTGACTATATCTTTTTTTATACATGATGATAAAAGCTCAAAAAAAGAGCCAAAAGATATGCATGAATCATAAAGGGAAATGGCTTCTATTAGATTCCATTTTCTTCCAGGTGTATGATAAAAATAATTAATGCTCATGGTACAGTGATAAAGAAAGCAAAGATAGCAAAACGCCAAATTTCTTGGCTACATCATTTTTAGAATGATGATGCGTCATCATTTGAAATTTTTGATCCGTCAGTGTGGAACATAGTCAAAAAGTTTGCCAAGCTTCAAAAAGCAAAGACTGCTGACTTTTTATCCTTGATCAGCCTTACGGAAACCAGGTAAAAAAGAGTATTTTGATAATCAAAAGGGCCCAAAGATACCTGATATCATTCTTTATATAGGCTGAATGTTTGTTCAAGTATATATACAAAAGTATTATGGCTGATCAAATACAGAGTCTCGACCTTTTTGCCATCACCGGGTTATATTAAAGACTGGCGACCCTATTCGTGCTGTAGCTTCCAAGCGCAAGAAAGTAAGATGTCAAATAGGAATATTATCTATATAAATCCTTTCTTCGTAATTTGATAAACAACTTTGAATCTTTTTATTTATTTACATACATGAAGTTACTGTTATTATGTAAAGGCTTTTTAGCCTTTCTTTTTTAGACCGATTGACGTTAACAAAGAACAATAGTATTTGTACGAACAAAAGATACTTCATTTGCTTTGAAATTTGAATAGTTTTTGCTAACTATCGCTTTTTAAAAAGGGCAATTCTGTGAAGGCTGGAAAAGGGTGTTACTTAAACCTCTCCAAAACATTATGATCTATGGAACAATCCTACATATTAAGCATACATATACGAAATAAACAGTAAAACTGGCTAGAGTAAATAACACTCAGCATATTTTGTTGGGCAGACGTTTGATCTTATTCCAATTTTGAAGCTTGTATGGGTTCCACGCTGTATTATTTTATTGGCCCGAAAGCTCTAAGTGTGCCAGCAAGAAGCTCGTCAATGCTATAAAAGCAGCCCCGTAAAATGACTTGAGCAAGGTAAACGGTGATGGTCTTTTTAGACCGTTACGCTACATAAATAATGACAAGTTTAGTAGCAAAAACAACATCATTGCTACAAATACCTACGTTGCTCTCAGATTAGTATTCTTGGACCGATCTTAATGGAATAGCTTCCATGTTTTCTTCAAGAGGGGAAAAATACATCCCCGTTTTTCTTGTATGGGTCTCTTGCTGATGTCCTGTACCTTCAATTGGGGGTTATTCACTTATCTAACTCTATTCAAACTTTTTAAATATTCCATTTGATAATCCTAAATATAATTCTTATTAATTCTTATATCAAACACTGATCATTTACTTTATGAACAGTCTTGATCTTATATCATTCTTCATAGAAGTTAAGGACAAACATTTGAATAATAACATCAATGTGAAAACATATAAAGGTTACATCAGCCACATTGATTATTTTCTTTTGTTAGTCATTGGGATACTTTTCCAATATCCTGCTTATTTTTCTTATAAAATGATGATGGTAATATCTTCCTTCGAAGAACTTTTCTTTATTTTATTTCTCAATTCAAGTCAAGGCATTTATTCTTTTTTTTATCTGAAAGCCCAACCAGTAGTGGTAATGCTTGTATAATTAATGATTTATTCCTCGTTCTACTGCTTATGAGATACTTAAACAATGGAATAAAAGTAATGGGACTGTGGTTCCTATTACGCGTGTAACCCCACCCCAAATTTGTAGGGCTAAGTGAGCAAATAACTGTAAGATCACAGCGCAACAATCATAGTTTCTCGTGAATTTAGTTGACAAAAATCCGACTCTCATTAAAAGACTCGCATGGAAAGGTATGCCAAGAAAACAATGGATCTTCAACTTAACTTAATCACCGCTTGGAAAGCAGTTGGCGTAGACTTCCGAACAAATTGTGTATTTATGAATGAGGCCGGCTAAATGCTCATAAAGTTATAAGTAAGCATACTCAGTTAAGGGAATACCTACAGTTATTCCTGTGCCAACTCAAAAGGGTGAAAACCTCAGCATTATGAGCTGTATAACTATCACCCTCAGTACGATTAATTTTTCGAAGGTGAGCCTTTAAAACCGGCTGATATACCTAAAATTGAGAAAGAGTTCCCTTTGCTAGCTAGTTTTTTTTAAAAAAAGAGCTAAAGTTGGTGATAAGAAGAGTCTAAATCCATAGATACCTACAACTGCCCATCACGTCGTAACTTCCGTTCGAAACGTCATATATATTCTATACAGCCACAACAGGCATGGTTTTTATATCGTCATGAATGATCGCGGAATCCATCATTCCAATTATATTGTTGATACCATCGAAAGTGGAGTCTTTAAAACCTTTATTTATGCCCCCCTATTCCCCATTTTTGAATCCTATTGAGGAGTGCTGGACCAAGATCAAGAAGCACATCAAAAGAAATCCGCTTTCCACTTTGGACACTTTAACCCCAAGAATTAAGGCAGCCTGTGAGACTATCACTACGGAAAATTGTATTGGTTGGATAAGACACTCTGAAACGTACTGGGAAAAATGCCTTAATACAGAATCAAAACTAGTTTAAACTTTTACTTGTCTGAATTTTTATTATCATATTTCTGAAAATAGTTTCCCTTTGTCTGAATAATTTTTAACGTTTGTCAAAATAATTTTTTTTAGTCTGAATTTTTTTTTAAAATAATTTGCAGTTGTCTGAATTTAAAGTGATAATACTGTATATACACATAAAAAAAACACGAGGATAAAAGTTGTTACACACTTTATTTCGCACGCTCATAAAAGGGGGTCTGTGTTGTCTAAACCTTTCTGTCCTCCTTTCCTGGCTTTTGATTTGTTCCGATCTTTGACCAAAAAAAGAATTTTTTTCTCTTCGCAATCTCCGCTGCTGAAACATTTTTTTTTTTTGTAAAATAAAGAAGAAACCTGTCAAATATTTCATGACGTTTTTTCCCTTTTTACTTAGTCCCCTTAATAAAATCAAAAAATGGAAGGAAACAAATTTCATGACCCAGAGACACCGCCTGCTATTGATTTAGGACAGTTTGTACATCACACGTCTGAAGCATCCGTCAGTGAAATGTCAGAAAAAACCTTATCTGGTACGACACCACCACCATTAAGAAGAAGCAGCCATACAGACCAAGCACTACATCTGGTTGACACTGTTACTCGAACAAGAGAACGTCGAAGACCCAGTCGAGGAGGTATCTTATCCAATCTATTAAAATTAGACTTGTTTGAAGAGAAACAACGTCGACAAAAGACAGCTCAAACAAAAGGGGCTCAAGGTACAAAGACACCTCCCACAAAACCCCAAAGACCACCATTGAAATCCATCGCTTCCAGTAGAGCTCTTTTGCAGACCATCAATGCATCCCCTTCCACCGCTGCTCGAAATAGCATGTATTTTGAAGATCTTCATAAAGCTGAATTAGGCATCGTGAATGATGATGTCGATATGGCTACACACAGGTTAGCCATTGCTTCCGAAATTGCAGATATTTTACAACGTCAAGACTTGATTATCAAAATGGGTAAATGTCTTGTCCGAACAGGCGCGCCCTCTCACCGTATTGTAAGCTCCTACATTAAAGACATATAAAAATAACTCATCAAGATGTATAGGAAGCGGCGATGGACCAGGTTAGTAAACGTTTGGAAATTGATGGAAGTTATGCAGTGTTACCAGGTCTGATTATTGTGACATTTGGTGATGTAGAAACGCATACCTCTGATACACACTTGATTCGCTGTTCGAGATCTTTGGATATTGGTAAGTTGGAGAGAGCCAATATGATTGCCTATGGTATTGCCAAGGGAGAATATGACTTGGACGAAGCTACAGAAATATTAGAAGCCATTATAATGGAACCACCTACCTCCTCACCTCTCATGACGATTCTTGGTTATGTTGCTTCTTCTGCTTTCGTTGCTCCTCTTTTTTATAATGGCTCTTGGACTGATTGTTGGGTGAGTGCTCTATTAGGTCTAGCAGGTAAAAAATCATCATCATCATCTTTTTTTTTTAGGGTGTCTTTTTTTAATCTTAATTTATTAGTGGGTGTGTTGACGTATATTTCAGAAAAAATTCCAATGTTTGGAAACATTTTTGAAATGGTGGTGACGATCCCTTTAGCAATTATCACACTTGCACTTCAGCCTCATGTTTGTTTCGCCGCCGTTGCCATGGCATCTGTAAGTGATTTTCAAAGATATTTTTAGGTTTTTTTTTTTTTTTTTTTTTTTTTTTTTTTTTAGTGGCACAACTAACAAACTCAGACAATAAATAGATTGTGATTGCGTTGCCTGGGTTTTCTTTGACTTGTTCGGTGATGGAATTAGCAGCCAAGAATTTGATTAGTGGCACCGTGCATTTGGTGTATGCCATGATGTATGTCTTGTTTTTAGCGTTTGGAATAGGGTATGGATGTTCTATATGGCGCTTAGCTCATCCTGGAGTAGAAATTGATGTATTGACAGCATGTCAAGCGAGTATCAGTCCTTGGTGGACATTTCTGATGTTACCGATAGCAACCGTGGCATTTGGTGTGGTGTATGGGGCCAGTCTGAACCAGTGGCTACCCATGATAGGCGATAGTGCTGTTGGATATGCCGTGTATTTCTTTGTAGCGAAATACGCAGGCTCTTCCTCTGTGATTACCCCCAGTGCTGGAGCATTTGCACTTGGTTTGTTTGGCAATATCTATTCACGTGTGACGAAAAGGTTGGCATTTGTACCGTTGATGGGTGGTACCATTATTTTGGTGCCTGGAAGTATTGGTGTAAAGGGAGCGGTGAGCTTATTTGATGGATCGAATTCTTCTAGTGGAGGAAGTTTTGTATTTCAAGTACTGGGTATTGCACTTTCCTTAACTTTGGGTCTCTTTTTGGCAAACTTGGTGGTTTATCCGATGGGAAGAAAGCGGTCAGTCTTTTTGGGTCTTTAACATGGAACACCCTTTAAAACGGGAATACCTTTTTTTTTATACCCCCCACAACCACCACTTTAGAATCTTTTTACTTTATATCTTTTAACCATCACTTTAGAATCTTTTTTACTTTATATCTTTATCCAATACACTCTTACTTATTTCTCTGTACTTTAAAAAAAAAAAAAAGATGTGACGACTTCTCGCCTCACCCCCAAAAACAGAAATCATCTTTTTTCATTTTTTCTTTTCTTTGACCCTTCATCTCATTAAAATGGCTAATTCTGGAATTACTGCCGATTCACTCAAAGAAATCATTATCGAACGTCTTCAAGCACAACATGTTGTACGTAAATGGAAAGAATAATAAATAATAACAAGAACTAATCCAGGTCAATAAATAAATAAAAAAATAGAGCGTGGTTGATTTATCAGCAGGCTGTGGACAAATGTTTGAAGTGATTATTGTGTCTCCTTTATTTGAAGGAAAAGGACGTTTAGTCCGTCACAAGTTAGTGAATGAAACACTCAAGGAAGAAATTAGTAAAGTTCATGCTTTTACTCAAGTAAGTTTTTTTTATAATTGTGAATATGGGTCGTCCCATTGACAACTTTTAAAATGTAGAAACCATATACGCCTGAAGAATGGAGTAAACTCAATCAATCATAAACACAACAATAATAAAAAAAGGTGTGTGTGTTTGTACCTTTTTTTTTTTTACATGTATGTGGATTACAAACTGACTTGTTTTATTTAAAGAGTTTTGTAACACTAGGAACGGGTATATGGCATGATTTTAATCGGGGACCACATCTTGTTTAAAAATGAAAAATCATTTCTATTATGTGATTCATGAGGAGTGAAGTTTAAACTTTTTTTTGAAGCGCCGGCCAAGTTACGTTTACTGAGAAAGAAAGGCGGGGAAGTTTGTAAAGGATATTCCGGTATACCTTGAGGGATGATAGAGTGAGAGGAATTGTAGGTTAGTGAAGGGTTGTGCACGTCTTTTATTATATCAGCAAGTGCTGATGAGGAATATACATACAAGAAACGTGTTCATTTCACTGGTAGCTCTACCATTGGCCTGTTGCTAGGTAATTTCTTCTGGTTAAGCGAGCACCAGTGATTTTAGTTTCATTCTATCAGGACCAGTCTTGTAGGGATATTTCCTTTTTTTTTTTTTGTGAGAGTCATATGTCTGTCTTATTTTTAAAAATAAACATAATTGGATCCATCTGCCATATCTTTTCATTAAAGGGCGAGTATTAAAAGGATCGTGTACTGACCAATGACTTTTTACATGGGATGGACAGTTGTATGCTTAAAAAAAGGAAGGAAGTTTATCCATTCCACAATACAATCCCAGTATTTAAATGCACTTGTCTCGATGAACACTAATTCATTAGATATCAGAGAGAATGTTTTGGTTCCAGTGCAAGTTTTCGTAAACGAGTTTTTCGTTACAATTATTCCGGTTTTCCATGTGCGTAAGGGTTGGGAGTGTAGTAGTAGTAATTTACTTACCCATACCGACTGTTTATCCCCATCGAAAATCAGATGACTATTGTCATTGTACACCAGAGTATGCGCACCATGTATAACGTTTCTTTTTGGATTAACTAGACAAAAAAAAACTAAGCCTTGACCATCTTTATGCAGCTTAAAATAGACCTTTTTTTTAATACTATCATTCCGTTAAAAAAATGAATCGACATAATAAAAGACACATGATACATGTTTATGTTTATTTCATTGAATATGATCAATTTACATGTCTTTGTACGTGATGTAACAAGAAAAAAAAATAGCACGATCACCCCTTAAAAAATGCAAATGGCCTATCAAAGTAATGAGGAACCAATGGGGATGTTGAGAGGAAAAAGGAAAACGTTTATGAAAAATAAACCTTTATAGGGTATATAATCAACAAGAAGCTATTTACATACGTAACATGTAGAATGCATTTCATGAGTGCATATGTTGATCGTTTAAGGAGAGAGAGCGCAATGAATTATTTTTCTTGTCTTTATTACGAGTGCAGATGGGTCTTTCTCTCTCTATATAAAAAAAGACTTGGTTCTAAACAAATAAACACTGCTCCAAATTCTTTAAAAATGTAAAAATAAAATATTGTTAAGAGCTCAAAAATGGTAAAAAAAAGAAATAGTTCATTAAAATGATAAAAAGCTTGTGCTAGCGAAATTTGATGAGCGTATTGCGACGATTTAATTAAAAAGCATAATCGTCCCCAGAAAAATAGCAATGATAAAACAAGTTAAAATTATTGGCTAAAAAAACAGTTTAATTTATCCGTAAAATATGATTTTGGATGCCTCTCTTTTCTTTTAGACATAAACCGAACTTGTGGTCAAATGTCACTTTACTTTGCTCAATTGCACTATGATTAAAAAAGTTGTTATTAAGAAGAAAAGAGAAGTTCTATCAAAAATAAATACAAGGTAAGATGTCCATCGTTTCAAAGTCAGAGTTTTACAAGTAAACGACTACCATATACTCAACGTATATATTTTACAAAAATGATCTGTATACATTGCCATGAAGAAGGGCATGGGATCAAAAACTTTTTAACTGCTTGTTTTACAGAGAAGCTTTTGCAAATGATGGTAATTTTGTGATAAAATTCACTGTTTATAGTGCTATATTTTAACATGATTAAAGTGGGCCCCTCCTCTACCAAAAAAAAAAAAAAAAAAAAAAAAAAAAAGGAAGCAAAGTTTTACTGTTAAATCTGAAAAAATCCAGGCGAAGAGAAGAAAGATTGACTCTGGCCCGACAGTCGAAGTATGTGGAAGTTGCAAACAAACCATAAACAAAGGTCCAGAGATTGCCCCAATTACAATCCTTCTAAAAAGGAGGTATTTCAAGATATTTCAGGTGCCAGCTATCAAGCCTATAATCGCAAAATTTCTTATAATACAATCATTAGTGATACGTATGAATTTACCTTAAGAAGCAAAGTCATAGCCACATTAAGATACATAAAACAGATCGTGATTAGAGCTATGATTTTTAACAATCACTACTGTCTTTAAAATATTGACTATATTCCAAATTATATATTCCAACAAAACTACTGGTATTCGTTATGTCAATTTAGTAGACTCGCGCAAGGTCACAAGCAGTGTACATGTTAATGAGCAAATTTTGACTGTTTGGAATAGTCTTCGAACTTTTCGAGCTTGCACCGATCTTGTGCCAGTTCGAACGAAGCTCGAACCGAGTTTTTGTACTCGAGCTTGCGTCACTTTTTTTGGGTTTGAGCGAGCTCACTCGGCTAAAATGTCGATAGTAGTCACTTTAAAGTTAAGTTCCTTGAAAGACTAGTGATGGCATTTCACCTTGGTTTTAATCTTTTCTTCCCTTTACCATTTTTTTATTTATTTATTTATGCTCTCATAATTCCAACTAAAATGCTTTAGACTTGTCGCTTTTAACTTGTCGCTTTTTTCAAGTGACAGGGTTGTCGCTTTTAACTTGTCGCTTTTAACTTGTCGCTTGCAACCAACAAACACATTTAGCATGGAAAATGATACAGTGTTGCACACTTAGCCCAACTAAGCCAAATTTTTACAGCAACCATAGTAACATGACGTAGCAGAATTAATTTAAACTTTCATGTTCACAAATCCAACTGTATTATATTTATAGATGCAGTAATAGTTTAATTTAAGTATCCGAATTTGGTGTTAAGGCTGGTGAAAAAAAAGTTTTTGTTATCTTTTTCCAACTCCTATTTCAATAAATAACAATTTTATTATCATAACTTTCTGTAATTAACATCACTTTGACGTGCACTTTGTGTAATAAAAAGTGCGAGCGAGTTCGAGCTATCGTATTTGCAACAGAGCCGAGCTTAAGAAACTTCAAGCGAGCTCGAGCTGCAAAAAAACGCATTCGTGCGAGCTTCGACTGAAACACGATCGAAGCTCGCTCGAGAGTTTCGATCTTCATTCCGAACACTATAAATACCTATACGTTGATGTCTGAGTAAATGGTCGTCTGTGAAAGCTTGATCCTATCAGTTTGAGCGAATAATTCTGATAACACTAAATGATAACCCACTTACCCATTGGTTCTAATTCAAAAGAGTGACTGTCTGCTTATAGATGTCTAGTCGTTTATTTTGACTATATTCTTTGGAGATTACAGAAAAAAAAAAGATTTTCATTCAAATAGGGTGTTTTCTTTCGTTCTGTTTTTGCTTCCCATTGGCTCTATCCTATATCCTTTGAAAAATAACTTTACTTAATATCGTTTCTCGTACTAAAGTCAACTTCTTAACATTTCAGCAATTACTAATCGTAATCATTGGTTAGTTGATTTTTTTCATAATACACTATGTCAAAAAAGTAGTCAGCTTGACAGTCTAATGCATCCGAAGTGCTCAAGCCTTCTTCTTTTTTTTTTTTTTTTGCCTGAAACAATGGCAGCTATAAAATTCCATTGATGACATTTACCCTTGAAAGTGGCAGTGGTTGAAAATCAACCATATGCTATTAAAAAGGGTCCTTCATGTACAATTTAAGGTGAGTAAACTTTTATTTATAGTAAGACTACTCCTATTTACAAGAATATACCTTGCTTAGGAATTAGGAAAAGATGCCTCAACCTTTTTTTTTCTAATTCCTGAGTCTACATGACAATGTGAATTAGGACCATATTTCCAAGCTTCGCCTGTTTTTTTAAAAAAAAAAATCAGTTTCAAATCACACAGGTTATTTTTCATTTGTGGTTGGTAGCTAATTGTATGAAAACACCGTTACTGGAAAACATATCTGTGGTGATCCACCTACTGTTGTTACTAATCACACCATAAAACAATACTAAATTAAATCTCATTTCATCATACCACACATTACTACATCACAACACGAACTAATTTCTTATGCATTAAATCATATCCAACTACAAGCACTATTTTAGTGCTGTGTAACTTATCCATCAAACTAAATTCATAATCCGATTTCTCTAAGCATATATAAATATGCAAACTGATAGTTAGAATAGAACCCTCTCAATCTTTCAATCTACTTTTTACTCTTAACAAAACTTATAAGCAACCTCAAAGTATTTTATTGTTTTTCTCTATTTAAACTCTATCCTCAACTATCACAGTCTCCTCATGATAATTAGAGGCTTGACGAATTTGCTTTTTTCCGTAACACTGCTAACAAATTTTGTTGAACGGTATTGGATGTTTGGTTTAGCGGGATTGTCAGTTACTGCTCAATTGAGTAAATCTTGCCGTTTTTGTATTTAATTGATAGTTTATCTTTGGTTTGTAACTTGTGCCATCAAAATGCAGATATGAAAACAGACCATGATTCAAACTGGATGATAAATTATATTCGTCATCTTCAATATCGCCGCTGCAAATTAAGTTTTTTTGCTATTTTTGGACCATGTTTGTACATGGGTCAAATAAAGAACCCAGTTTCTATTTAAACTGTAAAAGTTGTTAACCACAATTATGTATTTGTTTTTACTTATTTTACCTTTACTTTACACCTGGGTGGTGTACAGAATGTATTGCATGAAAGCGTATCATGATTGGAATTATGCAGCATGTCAAAACTGCTTTCGTCCATAATATTGGCCGCTAACAAAAAGTAAGGAATTTTTTTTAAACGTGTTTTGTCTCCGGATCAACGATAGAGCTAAAGAGGTTTAAGAAGATAAGTATAAAAATGTTACAAGACATTATGCTTCGCTTTACCCTTCATTTGTAGCTTATATTTGCACTGTCTTTAATAAAGTAGAGATTGTTTTTATATTTCTCTAGAACTAATACTGCTTGATCCAGTTCAAGTCTGTTAATAGCTACAGATAATTCTTCTTCGTTGGTGTTATTAGTGCAAGACTCATTGGACACTTTTACTGAGATCCTCGCTACAATTGAGTTCGATGTTTTTAAATATAACAAGAACATCCTCAACCCATCAGTTATTTTTTAGACATCGGCTGACAAATTAAAGATGGCCTATAGAATTAGTCAGCATAAGAATGATCCCTGAATTACATTGATACGTACCTTGTAATTAATAAGGCTACTTTCTCGTCTGGTCTGCATACACTTCGTTAATTTCTTGACGATCCCTAGTAAAAGCTAATTTTGACGCTTTTACCAAACCAAAATGTACTTGTAAAATTCGCACAGTGTAGGCTTATAAATTTCCGCTAGGAGAAGCTAGTAGAAGCTAGTAGAAGCAAAAGACATGCGCTTGATAAACGGCATCATACTTGTTTAATATTGTACGATGACTGTTTTGAAATCCCATTAGTTTGATTTCCTACAGTTTTCAATATGTAGTGCTCAAATGTCTAAATTACAAAAATTTTAACTTTCAAACGTTTTATAAAGATGCCATAATTATACTTACATTTGTTTCAGTATAAACTGAAGCGTGTCTCTTCATCGTTGATCTTTTTTGCTTCAACTTCAACGAGATTTCAAGTGTCCATTGAGATACCTTGATTTGGATTATACCATGTTTGCTAGGTGGGTGTTTGTAGCAAGCAGCCGTGAATAACATGCAAGTCTATTGAGTCGTTGCGTATGTTGACAGTATATTTTTACATGCTTGATATTATTACTTGCTGTTGCACCGCTAATATCCATTGGCCCGTAATTTTGTTAAATCTCCCAATTTCAGCTGTGTTTGCGTAAAGTTGTATCGCTCAGACTTGGGCCATATTAAAAATTTGTAGTTTAGCAAACATGGATGGGTATTTTGAAGATTTCCATCTTTTCAATATTGGTTTTTGTTTTGAAGTTGTTGTTATATCATTTGTTGTTATATAATTGGTTGTTGTTTTAAACTTGATTATTACATCTTTGGTCGTTTGATCTTAGTTAATTGTTTTGTTGTTTTCAGTCATTTCTTTCACAATAAGTTCTACGATTGGATCTTTCTTTTAAAGTTCTTAGCTTTTGCGACTAAGTTGTAGCACCTTCCGTATAAGCGTTGTTTGTAAATTTCTTATAGCGCAGCATATAAGGTCTTGATCAGTTGTCATACACTGCAAAATATTGCTTTCACGTAAAATACTAACTAAAACTACGGCCTGTTCAGAACATGATACGCAATGACACTTAATATTATCCTAATCCCAGGGCGTCGAAATTTACTCGCCGTATATGGTCATCTGTATACCTTCTATATACGGCGATCAAATTTCAATGTTTTGGTATATATCAACAGGTTTTGACTTACATACTTTGGAATTTTCACCAGGTCTTATTGATGCTTTTTTAAAGACATAGGCAAAGTTTCAGCTCAATACAAAGATCAAAAATGAGTTCGTTAACTCGACATATATGGAAATGTTTTGTGTACCCATTTATATCACACAGCAAAGAAGAACAAATATAGGAAATGTTTTCAACATTTCTGGAAAGTTAATATCTTCAATCGTAATGCAACAAAAAAAAATGTTCTGCATTATGAAATTCAGAAAATCAGAAATAAAAAAGGAAGACAATTTATTATACACGTCTTGCAACAATGAGGATTAAATACAGTATTATTTTATTATGTTAATCTTTAACCTGGTCCATGCCTGGCTTTCTTTGATACCATTGATGCTTTTACAGTGGACTCAAGTTTTGTAATAAAAAAATTTTGTACAAACTTAAACACGTTTTCAGCGAGTTAAATCATTTCTACCCTGTCCACGAGGAACAAATAACAGAAATTGCCAACTACAAAGCTCTAGTTATAGCAAAATTTGGTAAGTAAATATCTTCTATTTAATTGAGCTTTTGAATTTTTATAAACGCATATTCTTGTTTCAGTTTGGTTTCTAACATATAAAGTTATATAAACCAACATACTAAATTGATACATCAAGATAGAAGCAATAATAGTCAGACTGAGTTTTAGCATTTCAAAATAATATCTCTGCCAGATAAACCAGCACATAGAACGGATTCTACAATACTAACTGTATACACGTTGCAATGTTTTACATACAGGAAATAACAGTATTACGTACGGCTTTTATAACAGCTACTGCGTGTAAAAATGTTGTTTTTGCTTATCGGGTGAAAACTAACGTGAGATAGTTAATTAGAACATCCAATGACACGAAGCAAAAAGTTAACAATTTATTCTACAGACAGTCACTGTTGATATGGCTTATGTTTACATAGTAACTTATTAAAGTGCCTGTTAATGTGTAGAAGAATTCGAATTAACGTCTCTTTGGCACTGTTATCAGGATAACATTACATACATAAGGGAAACAAACTAATACAAAAACTTAGAGAAGTTAAGTGCATTACTGGAAACAAAAGTAGCGGCCTAGAGGCAAATATGATAAAGTTCCTTTCAAAAGAATAAAATAATATGTCTAAATAAGCTAACTGGTACGCCACGGATAACAGGCAACTCAGCTCTTAATCCAAAATTCGCAAAAAACTCATGACGACAAAACACTCAAGCCTTAATGTGAAAAACACACCTAAACTTGAGCAAGTACAGCACCTAATTCGAATCGAATGCAATCAACTATTTAAAATTGAAGCATAGTAGGATAATCATTAAAATTAAAGCGCCAATAGCTCGTAATGGTTGTCATTATCGAACAGCATAACTAATAATTTTTGGGGAGAACCAGATTGCCATAAAATTAAAATGAAGAAACTGATGCTTTTGTGACAAATTTTATTCTTTCGATTTTATTATTCATCAAACTATTAGAAAGGGAAGCTCGCTAACGAAACCCAGAATTGTTGAAGTCATAAAATCGTTTTGCTTTATGATTACTTTAGACCGTTAGTCTATGGGGTTTATAGAATCAGTAATTCACTGTCGACAAGTGACAATAAATCTTTGGTTATAGCAGCCTAAAATGCCGCTGCAGTGGGTGGTATTGAAATAATCTTTTATTCTGATAATGCCCTCAATTATCGTGTTACCTGTATGTGCATGCTTATGAAAGTTGAATCTGGGAGCGAGTAAATCTCATACAACAAACGTGACAAATCTGAATTGTATGCACCAACTTAACAAGGAACAAGTATATTAGATAGATAATGACGTTCGTAACAAAGTCTATTTATAAAATTATGACAGATATGTTGTAAAACCTCTCATTATTTTTCTAACAATATGCAAAGCGACTTCCCAAATTACTGGTTTTTTCGTCTTTGCCTAACGGGAATACATTTCAAAATAACAGTATTGAAGATTCGTAATGTCGTATGCAATTCAAAGCCATGTTATAATATGAATATTTCCAATAACTTTGATAATCGTAAATTAGGGGCAACAATATTAAAAAGGATTTTACATCTTGAAAACTATGTTGGTTTAATTAGGGATGTCAACTTTGTGAAATGTCGAATAGAAAAGTTTGTGTTCTGAACAGAACTTTCATTTACTTCATGTACAAATTACTCGCAATCAGCTTATAAATCAACTGTATACGTTCACAATTTCCAAACGTTTTCAATTTTCGTACCGGCATCAATATAAATCACAAACGAAGTAAAATATTCTCTATTGCAACTATATTAATGATATGCCTACTCATAGTAACGTTTATATAGTGATGCTTTGAGTGACAAAATTTAATGATTATACTTTATATAGAGGGATTCTACCAGGGCTAGAGGGTGATGATGTTTGTGGATGTTACAATGGGCAATCAAAAAAGCTGTGTGAACATAAGCAGTGCAATACAAATAAAAGTCAATATATATTTAAGCCATTCAATTAGTAATTAAACGCTTAAACGTCCATAAATACAAGTTGAAATTTACCATAGCTATAAAACATACTAAACTGCAAATACACTTAAGATGATCTTAAGCCTCAATACACACTCAAGAGCAATAACCTAAGACACTTTAAATTGCATTATTTTGACAGCCTTTTTAATGATTATTTATACCGATTAAAAAAGTGCAATAAATTGCTGCCTGTGATTTTAGCCAATTTTATTATATTTCATATAACGATTTCTCTACGTTATAACTAAATCATTTTCCTCTCCCTTCTTCACGGCAACTTACGGCAATGTTAGACAGCTGGTGAACTTTCGCCTTATCTTTGTAAAAATATATTACGAGGGAGTAAAAAAATGTGTAGATGAATAAGAAAAGGAGACTGTAAAGACTTAAAGATTTAAATACACAGACAGTTGTAGGAGAGATTTGCACTAGTAAGCTAAGGAAATCTGCCAAAGTAGTTATCTCGAGGAAATATGAAGAACTTCCAAAAATAAGACTAAGAATAAGATTATTTTTGATTGATTTACAATTTTAATGCTATTTTTATAGCTGTCAAATTTAACCCAAAATCACCCAAGAAAATTAAACCATAACTATTTACAGAATCAATTATCCGGATATCATCCTGAGATATAATTTTGACGGATAAATCATACGCGTTCCCAGGTAGACCAAAAATAGACTTAACATACAGCAAACAGGGTACTCGAACGGTAATAGCGGTATTTACCAAAGTAATCATAACACAAGAATGTAAGAATAAAATATTTACCCTCAGAAACAATCCCCACCAGGGTTCGAATTCAGAACACCTTAGAAACTCCAGCCAATACGATAACCTGCACGTGGATATCACGTGACTAAAAGATGTAGTGTTACCCGCGACATAATTAAAACACAAAAATAACAGATTAATAGTATAAAGGAGGATTAGTTGGTTAATCACTGTCACTTAATTAATTGCTGGTTTAGGGACGTAGGTTCAATTCCTTGCTAGTGCTTTTTATTTTTTTCTGAAGTGAAAAGGGTGTCCTTAGGGCCTTTGGCTGCTAGGCATTTTTTTTTAATTCTTTTTAACATTGATACAATGTGAGTGGTGATTGGTTTAGATTTAGTTTTGACAGTAAGGTAGAAGGAGAATAATACACGTTTGTAGTCAATTATTCAGTTCTAAGTGAGCACCACGTTATTTTATATAAATATATAATAAATATATATGGTAACGATCCAGTTAAGTAAAATAAAATAAAAGGTCTTGATAGACAGATTTAGAGAAAAAGAGACTAAGGCTTCGGTTTTTCTAGGGAGACAGTGAGATAATAGGCCAATTATATATAGAAGATATAATATTTGTTAGGGAAGTCATGATAGAAAGTATATAGTAAAATCTGAATGTTTATTGAAATATGTTTTGTTTTAAGGTTTATATAGTTTTCGAGAAATCAAAGGATCGGTAACGATACCCTTGATTTCGGATAAATGATAATAATAATAAATTTGTCAAAAGGTTTTAAATATTGAAAGGTAAAGATTCAAGTTAGAGAAGTACAATGCTAAAAGTTAGCATGAAAATTATAAATTGTTTGAGTAAAGTTTTTAGTGTTGAAGTCAATTATTACATATTGAAAATCCGCATTGTAACATTATGTCTAGTTTGTTTCTATTATTATGTTTATTTTACTACAAGAATCTATTTTGTTATTTAACAGCTACACAATCATTTAAATAACACACGAAAGGGCAGCATTGTTTGATGTCCAATCTTGTTCTTCATACACTTTATTTAATTCTTTTTTAACAAGTAGCCTTTTCTTTGACAAGAACATTCGCTTTTCTTCATTATTTTGAAATTTACCAGTGCAGGAAGGTTAAGCTTATACCTGAGTTTTTGTAATTGATGAAGTTGTGCTTGTATTCTTCCTATTAATTTTTTATTTACTCATAACATTCTGACAAGTGTACTCACTATGCTTTACTGCACGCGTTTATTTAATGGAACACAGGATTTAAACTTTACGCATTCCTTTGAAAGTCATTTTCTTTTTACTTTTGTACTTCTTATAGATGTTTATTGCCACACCCGAGTGTATCCTTTGCTTGTTCTTGTATAAATAAACATGAATGTGTTTGATAGAGAAATACAAGCATTGATTTTTACCCTCTTTTATAAAAAGCTGTTCTCTTTTGATTTACAAAACTTACCGTTTTAGTACTTTTTTAAAAATATGTTAGTGTGGTATTTGACAAAATACTACATAGAAAAGTAATGAGATAAAAGTATATTTTTATTAGAGGTAAAAATAGACTAAAAGAACTCTGCTGCTATGAATGATCCTTTTTATATTGCACAACTCTCCTGAGTTTTAATGATGAGTTAACCTTTCTGGTTTTGGAATAGATCTATACTTTGTTTGCCGCCTTGGGCTAAATGGATACTGCTCGCTAGAATTGTTTCCAGTTAACGTTGTCCCATATTAGTGGATTGGGAGCATGAGTATTCTAATAAATTTTTAGTATTACGAGACACTTATTTATCAGATCATGCAACGGTTACTGTAAAAGATGCATACTTGTTTGTCAAGTGTAATTGGCAATAGAACATAATGGTTGATCATTTATTCATTATCTTTGTAATGAATAAAATACGATCCCAAATATAAAATTTCTTATCGATATTTTTATATTTGGTTGTAGAAGCTAGGTATCCATTAATTCATACACTATTTCTTTATACTCTTTATCAGCAGTATAACTATATCAATATATAAGTAATGAACCATTTATATTAATAGCTGTTCTATTCTCTCTCTGGGTAGCTAATCCATTGAGAGAACCATTAATATTAAGCTTCTGTTTCTTATAATTCTTGATTTGATCTGAGAAGATTCTCTTCTCGATCGGTGATATCGTAACTCAGCGGTATAGCTTTCTGTATCCAACTGTCATTCGTATATCGTATTTAGGCCAATCATGCAATCTTTTATATAGAAGTATGTACTCGAAGTAGGAGAAGTTGTATAGCAGTATACAAGCGTATGCTCATATGCAACATAAAAGGTTGTTTTAATTTCATAGTTTATTTATTTAAACGATTTGCTTAATTATTCCTAAGTGAATCGTACCCAAATACGACAGTTAGAGTGTGTATTTATATGTTTGAATCTTTACCTTGTATCAGTTGATTTTGTATCTTACTGTTCTTGTTTTCCTTCTTTTACATGTGCTGTTTGATTTAATCTTGCCTTTGCCTTTTTTTATGTTAATTTCTGTCATCTTTTTAAGTGAAGGGCGTTTATAAAGGATACTATTTTGAGCCATCTTTCCTTCACCATGTTGTATTTGGTCTTCATTTTATAGATACGCGTTTAATTATTTTACGACTGTTCATTTATTTTTTATTAAATCAGAGTATGTCATTTTGATTTAAAAGAAAGTTCAATCTTGGTCTATGAATTGTTATTATTTTCATTCTCCCATTTGGGTACACAATCCTCTCTTCAATTCCAGATAGGTTCCTCGTAGATAAGACTTTTATTCTACCAGTTAGTAAGGGCTAGCGAGGATTAACACTGATTAAGGAAGGTATTATAAAAAAAAAAAGAATAATATAGCAATTAAATTGCCAGCGCAAAATTGAATTTTAAAGACAAGGCTTTCATTGTGATGGGCAGCGTAGCAACGAAACCCAACAAAAGGAGTAGGAGTCTATTGAAAAACGTATATTAACTTTACATTCAAGAGGGAAGGCTCTTTTTTATACCAGTTAATTCAACATACGAAGGATAATCTGGCTGTGTTTTTAATGCATAGTCTGTATCCTTTAGTACCTGTATATTTAAAAGATGTAGCCTACACGTATAAATTGCATACATGTATATTTTATTGTTATAATTAACCGTTAAAATAGTCAGTTATGAACAAGGGTATGCTGATACTTATAAAATATTATCCATCGTATGATGGTATAAATTATACTTTTTTTAAGCAAAGGAATACAATAGCGGAACCAGAAAAGCATTTTTAAAAAACAAAGTAGTGTTGTACACTGTGGTAGTTATGTTCAGACATGATGGCGTACTTGAAAAATACATGCAAGCGACCTGTTTGTGTCCCTATTAGTATTACAGGTAACACCTATTGAGTGCACATAGATTTCTGCTGCCTATAAAAAAAAATAAAGAATAAAATATAGCCGTATTATGTAGAGTCTCTTATAGATTATAGTGTGCGTGAAATAAGAGGGTACATGGAGACGTTCTATTTTTAATGAGTGTCAGTTGGCATGTCTTTATAAAATATCATTATTCTGTATTTAATATTTATAAGCAATTCCCCAAGCATAAGGAGGAGGGGGATTGGTTTTTTATTTATGGTAGTGTTATGCGACAAATCGAGCGCATTTCCAATCTTTTTTTCTTTTTAAACACCTACTAAAGTGCAATACACCTTTTCGGGTTTGCACCTGCCAAAACTACTTCTTTTCATCTTTTTCTTATCCTCAGATCTGTGACCTCTTAGTAGGCGCAATTACCTCAATCTCTTCTATAAATTTTCTCAATTTCTTTAATTTCAGTGACTGGATTATACGACCATCTTTATAAATAGGCATCCATAAGACCTCTCCTAAATAAAAATCCTCATCTATTGTTTTACTCATATTTCAACACTTTGACTTATTAGTTTTATATATTATTCAGCTCTATTATCATTCTGATTGATCCGTTTATTACATTTTATCATTGTATCTTTTATTTATAAGCATATAAGCTATACTTAAATCCATTTCTTTTCTAACAGTTCAGCTTCTGTTTAAACTAGCTGTGGTGCTCACTCAACTCGCAATTATAAAGACCTTCTTAACTAAACTCTATTTTATTTAAAGAAATACTCTTTATCACGCCAATACTACTCGCATACTCTTATTTCAGTAGCCCTCAAAAATAAACTCAATGGTTGCTTCTTGTAGCGTGATAAAGAAAAAAAAGAGGATTACAGGTAAGGCATTATACAGCGCATCATCGACATACTCATAAGAAAATAATAAAAACTGTTACCCTTCCACTTTTTTATTTATTTAATTGTACTAGTTGTGTGCTTTTATAGCCCATAAGATAAAAGTCATTAAATTAAGTGTATTTTTAAAAAGCAGGTTGAGGTTTTATTTTTATTATTTTCAAAAACTGATTAAGATCAGTATCCCACGCCCCCTTTTTTTCTTATCTATTTCTAGCCTGAAGTAACAAGACTTTTATCTTCCCCCTTTAAATAGACGCTATAGGTAATATGTGTTTTTATGTAATGGCCTCAGGGATATATGCGCCAAACCAAATTAAAAGCCACATTATTTACTACGTAATTAAAAAGAATTGTAAGTACATGACACAAGGGTTCATAAACATAACATATAGCTTACTTTATTCTGTAGATCCAAACGATCATCCAACAATGATTATGTATTGTTTGGAAAAATTTAACATTACTTTACATATCCAAGGTTAGTTTTTTTTATTCTTTTAAAAAAAATATATTTATACATGTACCTTAACATGCACCTTAACATGTGCCTTAACATGTACTTAATCAGGTCAATCTGCGGTATTACCGGTTGAAGGAAGACCGATGGCCACGCCAAAGAAAAGAGTGGTAGTGGAAGAGACCAGTGCCAGTGGTTCTGCTAAAAACCAAAAATAATACAGCAAGAACCCCTATATTGATGATGAGGCTGGCTGTTCCGACGACAGAACGAATGATAACAATGATTCTGGAGCGCGTCAAGTAAATGATGCTCTTAAGGCCAAAAAAGCTCCAGTTGTAAAGAAAGGAAAGAATGCCCTCCCGGATTTGCAGTTGGTTAAAAACAACATACAGTTGATGGCCACTGAGAATATGTTGATGCAGATAGTAATTCCTGTGGCTCCACAGTTAACGGACAAAACAAAGCAATCTGAACTTGAGGTATTTGCTAGTGCCGTTAGGGATTATTATGACAACAACATTACCCTCGGAAATTGGGGAACAACAATCCAATACGCTGGATGCTACCATTTCTATTGCTTCGGCGAAAAACTGAAGAAAGAATACCCTGGCTTCCACGACAAATTTGTAGATCTATTAAAGGGTAAATATTTCTTTTTTTTTAAAAAAAAAGTATTTATTCAAACAATAGAATGCAACTATACAACGCACAAGATTGCATTAATAAAAACTGTAGGCAATAGATTTAATATTCTGTTGCGTTACTTCGAACATGGTGCGTTGGCCATCGCGGCGTTATGTACAACAGACAGCATGCGGGTATTAATTCAGGCTGAATTCGCGGATATAATAACATTCATTCAGAAAGACAGACCCCTTACTATTCAATTACGATCTATGAAGTTACATCCAGATATGATTGAGCGTACTAGTGATTTGAAGTGTGTTGATTTTAAACCAAAGAAAGCTTTATAATTATACTAAAATAAAAAAAATTGTTGCGGATTAAAGTGAATTACTTTCTTTTACCTTTTTTAAAGTTGCATTGTTTGATTGATTATAATGGTGACACAATAGAATAGCAGTTACAAAAGACTGGGTTCTTTTTTTCCCCTTGCGTATCAAGAACAAGAGTCACAGCTCTTTACAAGGTAATGCACAAGAAAAAGGTAGTAATGTAGTGTAAAAGACTAACTAGGTGAGTCGCTCTAGTCTAGTGTCCCGACTCTTGAGAAGGAATGAGTCCAAGATTCTTTTTCCATGTATAGAGTCAGTAATTAAATACAGCAAAGACAGAGTGAAATGATGGACAAGGAGCCCGAAATCCCGAGCGTCTCTATAAATGAGTGAAGCTAAACAAGAAAAGAAAAAGGGAATTTGTGTCATGGAGGCCTGTTCATGGTAAGTGCATTGGTTGATGGCCAAATAAGGTAGCTTCTTTATAAAGGGGGTTCACTTTAAACAGTACTGATAGATTCATTTTGTTTACACAGAAGGATGATGAATAAGTAAAGTATAATAATGCACAAGCAAAAGAAGATTTAATGGGTTAAAGTAAAGGAAACAACGTTAGCAGTAAAAGAATGCATCAAAAAATGACCGAGAAGCTGATCTTTTTAATGTAGGTCTTGGTGCAATTTGTAAAGATGAACGCATGCTACTATAGTGTAAGTCATGATAAATAAGATGAAGGCGTATTGGCGTTAAACACGAAGCGTAAAATGTATTTTAAATGAAGGTAAACAGGAACAAGAGCCTGTCTTTTTTTAATATATAAAAAAAGTTGACACTAAAGTAGAGGTATAGGATATAATAAGTCTTTGTAAGGAACAAAGGACAGGTGTATAAAATGTCAAGTGTAAGTATTCTTTTTTTTATTTTTATTTTTCTACTTGATATATCTAAAGGGCAATAAAATGAAAAGGTCAACATAATCTCTATGACTGATAAAATGGTGTATGGGAGACGTCTTTGTAAAGAAGGAAAAAGGAAACAAGTAACCAAAGAATACATATGGAAGGTGGTGTAGGCGCACGGGCGCACGGACGCACGCAAAATCAAAGGCCAGCCTAAAATCTCCGCACACGTCATCTATCCCTCCCCCCCTTTTTTTTTCCTTTTTCTTTATTCTTTTTTTTTTTTTCTTCTGCCACATTATTCAAGTCTTTACGTATCCTTTATAATGACTATCTACACCGGTTGTAATGCCAGGTATAGCATTAAAGAACAGCTTTATGATTGAAGGAGTAATGTACTGATGGGACGCGTTTTTTTTAGTCTGTGTCGTTAATTATAAGGTCTGATGCCGCCATGGTGTAAATTCTGATATAAAGAAAACGTAAAAGTAAAAAGAAAAGTATTTAAAAAAGACACGTTTGAACACGTTTTTCACCAACATTGTCCATAGCCATACGTGCCTAGCAAGAAAGTAAAGCTACCAAGGAACACCCATTTGTTATAATCATGGCACCCAAGAAAAAGGACTCTTATTTCTTTATTCCTTTTCCCATCCATCTACTCAACAAGGACCTCTTTTACCACTGTACAGGAATACTGCTGCGTGTAGTCTCCAAGATCAAGAAAGGGAAAGACCACATTCTTTCTCTGTGCTGTCTCATCCATACATTATTGAATTCATATAGTGGAGGAGAATATTTTCTTAAGCACTCAAAAATAAACGAGACCAATGTGCACTGACTGTACTATGGTTTCCTCTGTGGTTAGGTGTATCCTTCTCTTACTCTAGCAAAAAAAAAGAACTATTGCTACATTCTTCTGATGTACGGCTCTTTAACATCTTTAAAAAAAGAAGACCAGGATGAATCTCTTTTTTATTTGACGTGCCTCTTTACAAAGACAAGTGAAATGACTTTATGTCTTGTGTATTCAACCAGAGCAAGTGTGGTGTTATACCTGTGAACAAGCAGCAAGTAAAACGCGTCATGCATTGTCTCTTTTTTTTTGGTCCATTACTCAGGAATCTAGGTAACAAGACAGCACTATTATTTGAATACTTTTACGTGTAACTCATTCATTTCTTGTATAAATAGAACTCAAAGCGTATACTGGTCCTGTTGTCAAGAAAAAAAGAAGTCTCGCCGTGTATAAAAAGAACATGAAGAAACTGTCATCTACTTGTTCTGTTACTCACCCGTTTATTAAAACAACAGATAGATGTACTCATACGTATTGTACAGGTCAACCGCTACTGCCTCTCTATCTAGTACGTCACTTGGATATATAGGTAACAAGAAAAAAATAATATAATCAACCTATTCAGTTACTTATGTATAATCAACAGCAGTAGCTTCAGCCATGGCTTATTATATCGGTCATGCCTATTGTCAATATAAACTGGTTTATCCTTTGTATAGGTAACAAGAAAAAAAAAGGACGTGTTATCTTGTGTTTTAATTTGTTTTTATTCCTAGTTTGCAAGAATCAAACTGATATTATTGTCACTTTCATTCTTATATTCTTTACACTATCAAAAAAAAAAAATATTATATCCCACTTGTATATTATTTATTCTTTCATACTAGTAACAGATAGTTATAGTCCTACTTACATCCCCTGGTTATTACTTGCATACAAACAGAAAAAAAATGGAATTGCTGACAATGTCTACTGGTTTATTTCTTGCTTGTACGGGTAACTCACAAGACCTATTGCCATCTTTTTCTGTTAATGACTCACTCCTTTTTCTTGTATAGTCACTGACTTAATGTCCACTAGTATTTGGATATAATAAACAAGAGCAAGGGGTTGTTGAATCTGTAGGTAACAAGAAAGAACAATAATAATTTACTCTGATCTAACATTCTTGCACCCTTAAAAAAAAAATAGAAGGAATATGCATTGATACTCTTGGCTTTATTGGACTACTGGTATGATGCTATCTAATGTGCCTGCTACTGTTAACATGTATGAAAAAACAAGGGAGAACTATTGCCAAAAAATAATCAGGGTCATTGTACTTGTGCACAGGTAAAAAAAAAAAAAAAAAAAAAAAAAAAAAAAAAAAAAAAAAAAAAAAAAAAAAAAAAAATCATACCTATTTAGTATATTAATTATGCATGTAAGTAATAGATATAACCATCACTGTTACTGTAACTCGTCTTAATGCCACTGACTTTACGAAAAACAAGGGAGAACTATTGTCAAATTTTTCTTGCGGCCGTT